CAGAAATTCCTCCCTCTTTCCTCCAATACCTCCTCTCCCTCCGGTGCCGCAGACCCACGCTTGAAAAATGAGCGCCAAAAGGACCACTACTCCCATTTCATCCTCCGGTTGGCTTTCTCGGCTACAGAGGACCTCCGTCGACGATTTGCTCGCGCCGAGACCATGCTGTTCAGATTTCGTTTCCAGCAGGACGACTCGAGGGAGAAGCGTGCATTCATCGATAGCTTGAATCTCGATTGGGAACCTGTGGGTGACTTTGAGAAGACGGAAATTGCGGAGAATCTCCTCAGCTCCACGCCAGGGCTGCGTCGGCTGGATGATGAGACCTGGTATAAAGTCGACTGGGAGAAGGTTCCAGAGTTGATCGAACGGCGCTCAGTCTTCCTGAAGAAAGGAAAGGCTTATGTTCCTGGTCGAGAGCAGTTGAGCATGATCATGGCTGAATTTACCGCTCGCTTGGAGCGCGCACTCGAGGTATGTTTGCAGTGGTGGCTTTATGCTTGAAATGTTGTGGCTGACTGGATTCTAGCTCACGAGTCGTGCCCTCCCCCGGCTGGACGAGGATGATCGTCTAACACCCATTCTGAATCATCTTTCAAAGAACTTTGGCAGCGCCGAGTCGGTGTACTCGGAAAGCGAAGGATATGTGGACGGGTCTCCGATTACGGCTAGCTCCATCGACCAACTGGCCCAGCAACATTTCCCATTGTGCATGAAGAGCTTGCACGTGAACTTACGCAAGAACAACCACCTGAAGCACTTCGGTCGACTACAGTACACGCTCTTCCTGAAGGGCATTGGCTTGTCCTTGGAGGAGTGTATTCTCTTCTGGCGTCAGTCCTTCAAGGGCAAGACCGATGACGAGTTCAACTCTCAATACAAGTACAATATTCGTCACGCCTATGGCGAGGTTGGTGGAGATGTGAACCGTCGCGGAAAGGGCTATACTCCCTACTCGTGCCAGAAGATCCTCGGCGACTCAAATCCCGGCATTGGCCAGACTCACGGCTGTCCCTATCGCCATTACTCCGTGGATAACCTGGTGGGCTTCCTCCAGGCCACTGGCGTCAGTGACAAGGAGGTCCTGCGGGGTGTACGTGAGGACGTTGGTAAGATGCGGTATCACATTGCTTGCAACAGAGTGTTCGAGGCGACGCACAAGAACGAGATCAAGAAGGTCAAGGAGGATGGATCGTGGAGTCAGACTGACCTTGACACAATTGTTCATCCTAACACCTACTTCAAGCGCAGCTTCCTGTTGAAGCAGATGGCCAAGGCCCCGAAGGATGCTTAGGGTGTCTTTTCACATGTCAAATTTTCATGATGTAATGTCGGGCAGTTTTTCTGTTTTCACGTGTTTTCTTTCATAGTCGGCGTTTGGAGGGAGCATAGGGTTGTACGAGCACATTTTGAAGCAGGTCCAATTGAAGCAAGATAATATATATTCTAACAATTATGGTATATAATAACGGGAGTGTGACCACAGCTGATTCCCAGAGAATCGGAAAGGATCAGAATGACCTCTCAAATCCAGGTGCCCAGCAACGGGTCAAGTCATTCTCCGCTCAACGAGTAGACAACTTTGCCATGGAATGACGGAAGTTGTCGATAATAATATGTTTACACACATTGTAGGCTGGCGTGAAATTGGAGAAGAAAAAGAAAAGAGCAGAAGAAACTGCGGACGAGCCGAGTTTTAATGAAGTGTTGATCCGGGAGGCGGTAGAGACCAACTGTGCTGCAACCTGGCCTTACTCACGCAGCGGACCTCCACACAACATACTCCTCCATCTCGCTCATTCAATCCCCAGCTATTAACGGGGACTCTGATTTCTTTCGGCACTGGATTATGCTCCGGGTAGCTCACGTGCTTTAGTTCTTGGAGTAGACCTTAAATTCCGAGGTTCCCTTTCCTCGCGACTACTCGATATCCGCATATACCCCCTCCCTTTGTCAACACAGGACCGAGTCCCGGAACATCTACCGACAAGATGGATTACGAAGCGCTGAAGGATCAATGGAGTGATGTGGAGGACCGTGATGGCATCAGACTCAGTTGGAACACTTTCCCGAGCACTCGCATGGTTCGTGATAGTAACCCTCTCTGACCTTCACCGCATCATCCGCTGATACTCGATATAGGAAGCGTCCCGCTTAGTCGTTCCCATTGCCGCCGTCTACACCCCATTGAAGGAAAAGCCAGAGTCTCCTTTGCTACAATATGAGCCCGTTACTTGCAAGCAGCCCTGCCGAGCTGTGCTCAACCCATATGCGTACGTGACGTGTTAGTCTGATATACCTCAATGAGTAGATGGACTGACGTTTGGACAGCACTGTCGATGTCCGCGCACGAGTCTGGATCTGTCCCTTCTGTCTGTCGCGCAACCCTCTCCCCGCGCATTACAAGGACATCACAGAGAACACGATACCCCCAGAGCTCCACCCCCAGAGCACAACGATCGAGTACCAATTGGCACGACCGGCCCCCGCTCCCCCGATTTTCGTCTTTGTTGTCGATACCTGCCAGGAGGATGACAGTCTGCAGGCTGTGAAGGATTCCCTCATCATGAGCTTGTCTCTTCTGCCGCCCAATGCGCTGGTTGGTCTGATTACCTTCGGTACTATGGTAGGGAACGATGATCTTCACAAGACAGGTGACATGTTATTGACCTTGATATATAGGCCCAAGTTCACGAGCTCGGCTACACCGAATGCGCAAAGTCATACGTGTTCAGAGGTAACAAGGAATACAACGCCAAGCAGGTTCAAGAGATGCTGGGCCTGGCCGGCGGCATGCGCCCCGGTGTTCCCCAGCAACAGCCTGCCCGTGCTCCCCTTGGCCCGGCTGCGCGCTTCCTCATGCCTGTTCAGCAGGCTGAGTTCCAAATCACCAATGTTCTCGAACAATTGCAGCGCGATCCCTGGCCAGTGGCCAATGACAAGCGTCCCCTGCGCTGCACCGGTGTTGCCCTGAGCGTTGCCGTTGGTCTGCTTGAGACTTCCTTCCAGAACGCCGGAGGCCGGATTATGGCCTTCACCAGTGGTGCGGCCACTGAGGGCCCTGGCCACGTGGTTTCACCTGAACTCAAGGAGCCTATTCGTTCGCACCACGATATCGACCGGGACAACATCAAGTACTACAAGAAGGCTGTTAAGGTCGGTTCTCAACGCATGGGTGTATTGGAATTTTGCTAATCTAGTCGTAGTTTTATGACGCCCTCGCTAAGCGCGCTGCCAACAATGGCCATATTGTCGATATTTTCGCCGGGTGTCTTGATCAAGTCGGTCTGCTGGAAATGAAGAACCTCTCCAACTATACTGGAGGTCACATGCTTCTCACAGATAGCTTCACATCCTCACAGTTCAAGCAATCGTTCGTGCGCGTGTTCGACAAGGACGCCGCCGACAACCTCTTGATGGGCTTCAATGCATCCCTCGAGGTGCTTACGACCAAGGAACTTAAGGTTACTGGTCTGATTGGTCATGCTATCTCGCTGAACAAAAAGTCAAGCTCTGTTGGCGAGACAGAATGTGGTATTGGTAACACCTGTTCGTGGAAGATGTGCGGAATGGACCCATCCTCCAGCTATGGTATTTACTTTGAGATTGCCAACCAGGGCGGCCCAGCTGCTGTTCAGCCTGGTCCTCAACGGGGTGTGATCCAGTTTTTGACATACTACCAGCATTCTTCCGGGTATTACCACCTGCGGGTGACCACCACTGCCCGCCCCTTGAGCGGACCTGCGGGTGACCCAACCCTGGCACAGTCCTTTGACCAAGAGGCTGCCGCTGTCCTCATGGCCCGCATTGCAGTGTTCAAGGCGGAGGTTGATGACGGTCCAGACGTCCTGCGCTGGGTTGATCGCATGCTGATCAGACTCTGCTCCCGATTCGCTGACTACCGGAAGGATGACCCGACATCATTCCGATTGGAAAAGAACTTCACCTTGTACCCTCAGTTCATGTTCCATCTCCGCCGAAGTCAGTTCCTGCAGGTTTTCAACAACTCGCCCGATGAGACTGCTTTCTACCGCCATGTCTTGAACCACGAGGATACCGGTGACTCTCTTGTTATGATCCAGCCCACTCTTGATTCATACTCTCTGGAGCAAGAGGGTGCTCAGCCAGTGCTGCTGGACTCCGCTTCTATCCAGCCCGCCCACATTCTCCTCCTTGATACCTTCTTCCACATCCTCATCTTCAACGGTGAGACTATTGCCGAGTGGAGGAAAGCCGGATACCACGAACAAGAGGGCTATGAGAACCTCAAGTTGCTTCTTGAGCAACCTAAGGAGGATGCTAGGGTTCGTTGTCACCTTCCCTGCCGTTTGTTTACCATATTAACTGACCCGTTTCTTATAGGATCTTATTTCCGACCGTTTCCCTCTGCCCCGTTTCATCGTCTGTGATGCCGGTGGTTCTCAGGCCCGTTTCTTGCTGTCCAAGCTGAACCCGTCGACCACCCACACCACAGGTGGCTACGGTGGCGGTGTCTCATCGCAGACCATCTTCACTGACGACGTGTCGCTCCAGACATTCATGGACCACCTGATGAAGTGAGTTTTCCTGCAATTTTGACTTCGAATCTTCCATGCTAACTTTATTCTAGACTTGCTGTATCTGGAACCAGCTAGGTGTTATGAGACAATGGCCATGAGAGCAAGGGCGGTCTGTCGTCGACCCTCGGGTCTTGTGTATCTTTAGCGGTGATTTATCTCCTTTGACGCGATATAGTAGTAGATTGAATGGATTTATACCATTACAGGAGGATCTTCTAAAAGTTCTTGCAATATTCATAAATAAAATAGCCCTGGAGCGCCTAGAGTTATGAGCATAAAACAAAATACCCAAAGAGGCAAGTAGCTTGATAAGGGTTATGTTGTCTCACGTGACTTTATGTGCGTGCCCTAACCCCCAATTCGGTCATTCGCTTAGATGAGCAAGTGTGGGCCGCGCTAGCAGCGAGTCTCCTTCAAGTTTGATTTTTTTGCTCCTTTTCTTCTTCTCTTCTGTAACCACTCTCTTCGACAACCAAGGACGATAGACTACCTTTCGCACTAGCCATGCGTAAGTATCATCTACTTGGTCTATTACAAGATGGCGGCTAACATTCCCTCGTGATCAGCTCCCAAGTTCGATCCCAATGAGGTGAAGATCATGTAAGTGAATTTTTCTCCAGAGCTGTCTTCAGCCAACAAGAAACTAACGATTCTTGTCTTTAGCCACCTGCGTGTGACTGGTGGTGAGGTCGGCGCTCAGTCCGCTCTGGCCCCCAAGATCGGTCCCCTCGGTCTGTCTCCCAAGAAGATTGGTGAAGACATCGCCAAGAACACTGGCGACTGGAAGGGTCTCCGTGTCACCGTCCGCCTGACCATCCAGAACCGTCAGGCCGCCGTCTCCGTTGTTCCCTCCGCTTCTTCCCTCGTCATCAAGGCCCTTAAGGAGCCTCCCCGTGACCGCAAGAAGGAGAAGAACATCAAGCACTCCAAGTCCATCCCCATGGACGAGATCATCGAGATTGCCCGCATCATGCGCACTCGCTCGATGGCCAAGGAGCTGCGCGGTGGTGTCCTTGAGATTCTCGGTACTGCTTTCTCCGTCGGCTGCCAGGTCGATGGCCGCAGCCCCAAGGATGTCTCCGATGACGTTAAGTCTGGCGAGATTGACAGTGAGTTTTTTTCCTGATTGTTCGATGATTGAATCAATTTCTAACAATCTATTCAGTTCCCGAGGAATAAATTATTCTCTCTTGAATGCTCAAAAAAGAGGTGGCCTATCTGATTTCTATGGCGTGCTCTCTTAATGTTGAGATGCTAGTTGCAGAATACGAATGGTTTCTCAAACCAACAAAATATTCATGAGTCATGACCTATGATACCTTTTTCTAATTCGCGAGTGTCCAATTGGAACAAATTGACCAGCTCGCTGCTTGTTCTTTTATCTCGTTCCTTTCCGGTTGTATTCCTCCTTTCTCCTTTCTCTCCCAAACTCCTCTCGTGATCCTCCCGTCTTCTCCTATGGCGATGAGAATAATGGAAGGCTATGCCCGGCGCAGCCGACAGTCCGTCCTTTGGATGGAACCCCCACAACACTCTGGCCCTTACTGTTCTTTCCCTACGGGGATTGATCATATCAAAACGTGGTATAGGCTTATTTTAAGTGGGGAAGAGAAAACCAGTCCCATTACTCATCGCGGTATCCTTGGAGCTTGTCTTCGTGGGTACAGTGATCCATATTTCGGGTCTACATCTCTTGCAGATGAGAACTATTTTTGTCTCTCGTAGGCTGTAGTCTAGCTAGCTTGAATCAACCATCATATTTCTGATTATGACTTTTATTCATTATCTTGTACAAATTATTATTCATGCTGTATTAATTCTCATACACGGACCCTCCAGTGGCGGTGTACCAAAGTACTCTAACATCCACGCCTAACACAGAACTAGGCTTTCCTGCATGCGGGCTGCCAACATGCATGTACATATGCGACGTGATGTTATTGAGACTTGGGCACTTTATACTTCTGGTGTTGATATTTCGAGGCTGTACTAGTTTATAGTTTCTAGAAACGACCAAACCGAGATGTTAAAATTTATTGCTGCTAACCGTGTGATATATATATCCCGAGTGAAACGACTCCCCACCACGCGACAACGACGTTGTATGTGCCGCACCATGAATTTACCATTTATCATTTACATGGATACCTAGCTAGGTATGGAGTACATTTACATACTCCGTATATGTACTTTATATGTAGCACTGGTACGGAAGTAGACGTCACACCAACGCTGTAAATAGCCCTGTCCATGTTTTAAATTCTATTCTGAGTCTGAAACATCCCAACGGCCGCTACACCAAACAGGCCCTCGAGCCAACAAGTATCCGAGCGCGACGCACCAATGAAAATTAATATAAAAATTGTGACTCCGTACATCGTATTTGTTATAGGCCGGGGGATACGTGGACGAAACAGTGACCTGAATCTTAGAGCAAGAATTGTTAAAATGATAATAATTGCTCACCGACGCTCTCTAGGTAGAATGAATAAGACTAATAGTATAATAAAATATAATAAAATGAGGAATGTAAGCAAATTAATGTCTAGCAATCCTCTTAGCGCGCAGGAACTCCACCGAGGATCCTCATCAGCCCTGATAAGGCGATGTGCGTGCTCATCCACAACGGGGGCTGATCCATTCAAATGTTTTGATATGCGAGTTGTGTTTGGTTTGGAAAGAAGATATATTTGGGTCGAATGGAGTCGGGGAATATCAAGTGGATATTGGGATTCCTTCTTTTTATTTTTTATTTCTTTACCCTTTATTTTTTTGTTGAAAATATAGAAATACATATATAGCAAGTCTGCCTTTTTTTTCCCAACTAAAATATTGAACCAGTCAACAGTGCCTGTATCACCCGACCCGCATGCCGCTGTACAGGAACGTTGTGCAGGCCAAGAAAGGATGCGACACACAGTGGGGGGAGTTTGCCGATCTCTGCCTATGATACGTTAACTTTATGAGAAACAATCGGTCTGGACGAGGGGTGTTGAAGGTTTCGAATATTCTCCAGTGTGACTGTGTTCTTTCATATGTACTATGTTGTATGCAGAGGATAGTAATGTATGTATATGATATGTGTCCCTGTATACGAATGAAAAGAAAAAAATAATAAGCTAAGAAATGACCGCAGGGATCGTGGTGGAAATGCTTACGAGCAACCCCAGAATAATCCTAGATAGGAAAGGATCGGAGGAGCCAACAACCAGGGGCTGCGTCTGTCAGAAGAGTGTGAGAAAGAAGAAGGAAAAAAAAGAGAGGGAAAAAAAAACGAAAAATAACAAAAATAAAAATAATACAGACATGAGCAGATACTCAGGTATTCAGTCCAGTCTGGGAGAAGAGAAAGGGAGAAAGACAGATTAAAGACAAGAAAGTCTTCAATTTCCTTAGGTTCAGCCAAGTCTCATAACCCACAGAAACCGAGAACAGGCTCGACTCGATCACCGGCGGGGGCGTCACCGATCCATCGCTAGTCGCCGCGATGGGACCAATGATCCACCAGGATTGGATTTATGGAGAGCCGTTGGATCAAGTGGATATTTGATATTCGATATTGGGTTTCCTGTATATTTTAGAGAGGGAGAGAAGGAGAGGAGAGGAAGGAATAAGTGATTCTATATTATATAGCAGGCATATAGCAGGATATATAAGATAACTATCTAATTGTTAATACATTATTCAAGTAGATATCCTATTATAGGATATAGGATATATAATATATAATATATTTTTATCTAATTTTCCCCCACCTGAATCCACCGTGTCCACTCCCCTCGGTTTTGCGTCTTCAACCTTGTTCTTTTGGACTTTCTGACTTTCTTGACTTTCTTGACTTTCTCGACTTCTTTGACTTCTTCTTTCTCTCTCTCTACTCTCCTTTTACCCTGTATACTCCGTATACCACCTTCCTAAACTCATCATTTTATCTGATCTCTCCCCTGATCCATTATTGATCTACCCCTCGCACTTGCCAAGAGTACCTTTTATTGGCCGTTTCGGACACCAGCATCGTGAGCTGGACATTCTGTCTCCCTTGCGTCTCGGATCTCCTTCTCTTTAATTATTTTTTAATTATTTTCTTTTCCCTCCTCTTCCTCTTATCATACATACTTCCCTATCACCTTTCCAGTCGATGACGATATTCTGAAATCCTTGGTTTGCGCCCCAAAACTGAAGGCCGCACCTGGCTGAACTGCTTAGAACTGGCTTCACTGGCTTCACATAATGAGGTGTCGGAAACGTTACAAGGATGATTGTTGAATGTTGACTCCATTGACGTGTTGAGTCTTCGGTGATACCCTTGTCGCTGGTCGGCCTCAAGGTATTCCGATCCCCGTCCTTTGGATCAAGGAGAGAGAGAAAGCAAAGATGTATCCGACCGTCGCACCGTTTCCCCCGGTTCAACCGCACCACCGCATACACTATAATACCGACACCCTGAACCAGCACATGTACGATGCGAACGAACAACTCCCCGTCCGCAACGACCCCTCCAAACCTCCCTTTAATACAATACCACGATCGCGCATCCAACTACCCCATCCCGTTCAACGCCTCGATCCTCGCGATGGGTCCAGCTATAGCTCTAGCGCAAATGTGGCCGAACACACCCTGAGGAGGAAAACCCCCAACGGAACTCTGGCTGCGGGGTATGATGGAACCCTTGGCGATACCATCCAGCTACCAGCATCCAAACATATCTTAGTTTCGCCAATGGAACCGGGCCAGTTCATCTCCCCTCAACAAGGGATGCAGTCCGAAAATTGGCAGCTCATGTTGGACCAGTCAGCAACCAAACAAATGAATTTCCCACCCGTCTTCAAAAATGACCCCGCAGGCAATACAATTCAAGGAGAAGTCGTTCAAGATGTGAATGGGACGAGCTGGGTCCGTCCGGTTAATTATCCTCCGGGCGTTGACTCCATGTTGAACCAAACTTTACCCCTGCAGCCGTCTCAGCGATTTCTCTTACAGAATGGGCAATATGTGCCCACAGTCCTACCGGCAACCCTGCAATCATGCCTCGGACCAACTGCTTCAGCAGGTACTGGGCCATTCGGTCCATATTGGCCGGATGGAGTATACATCCCATATCGTCCTGCGGCATTTCGTGATGCGCGTTTTGAATCCCCGACGCCCTTTACAAAGCAGATGAGCCAGACTTTCTACGACCTCAACCAGCAAGCCTTTAACCAAGCTCAGGTTCCGCTGGACAGCCACGCAGATTCGGGGCTTGCGTGGGGGCACTCCATGCCTGGTTTGCCTACTCAGGACTCTTCGATGAAACCCCTTTTCCCACCGCGTCACTCTGACCAATTACCTTTCCACGTTCGAGCCAACCGTCCTCTATCAGGTCTTCCACCGCAGCCCCTGAGCAATGAACCCACGAATTGGTCGAATCGCCCACTACATGGATTCCAGCCTCCAGGCCCTGCAGTGGTAGTGAACGCGGATTTCAAGGAGAAGGTGTTGTCTGAGGCTCATGGTGTCTATGTCGACCTCCTCGCAACCATCCACCAGGCCCGGCGCAACAGTATTAGTAACGCTGCCGTTGACGGTTACCCCCGATTCCTGAAGCCGAGTATCTACCCTAAACCCCCACGGCAACCGGGTCTCGACTTTTCACAAGCCCCTCCACCAGACCTCACGCGTCATAACAGTTACCCAGCTAGCCAATATGACTTGCAACGCCATAAATTTAATGCGGGCAGTCATAGGTCGAACGATTCTACATCTATTCCTCGTGCCCAAACTCGCCGCCCATCCTTAAACCAATTCGCGCATAGCAGAGGGTCGGATACCCATATGCTCGGATTGCGTGACATGGGCTGTCCTCCGGGAGTGTCGCCTTTCACCAGGGCTCGTGGCTCTCTTTTCAACGAGGGATCGCCTATGTCTAATGCTGCATCTGCTTTGTCAATGTTGTCTGACTTGTGTGCGGAAAGCCGTTGGGAATGGATCGACGGAATGCTTCTCGGGGGTTGTTTAGCCTATGGCTTGGGTGATTATCACAAAGCCGTGCGATGGTACTCTAGGATTATAGCTCGTGACTCGACGTAAGTGAAATATTGTTGCTTGTCTGATAATTGTTGCTAACAAGTACAAGACACGTGGAAGCTATCTCCAACCTTGCTGCTACCATGTTGGCACTCGATCGCCGAGAGGAGGCTTCGCAAAACTGGCTGCGAGCCGTGCAACTACGGCCGAGCTTCTTTGAAGCTGTCGAACATCTGATTGGTTTACTATGCAATAGCCACAGAGGCAGGGAAGCTGTCAACATCATTGATTTTGTCCAGACTTCCCTTCGTCACCCCAAAGACGGCGATTGCTTTAAGACAGATGAACACGCTAGCGAACCCGAGAGCGACGCCGAGAGCAACGTATCTGATGTGTGCATGTTCGACAAAGCGTCTTTCGAGTATGATGACGAGATGGGACAAACACAGGGAATGGAACCTAGCTCACCGGATGCCAAACCCCTTGGTTTTGCGAGCAGCGGATATGCAATTTCAGGTGCGGAGAACGGGAGAATGCTAGCTTTGGTTCATGCCAAAGGTAATATGCTCTATGCTCTCGGTGATAATGCGGGTGCTGCAGTGGCATTTGAGGATGCCATTCTCATCGCTGCTGGCCGAAGGCGACATGGCATCCAAAGCATCATCAAGCAGATTTTTGCTGCCTTTTCTGCCCCTCCGGGTAATGGGTACCCTCAATCCGAGCATGAGTCCCAGGAGAGCATCCTGCTCTATCCCGATACAGCATTGAAAACCGCCAAACTTGTTTTCCCAGCAGGCGGCATGCCGCCGGGGCTCCAATACGTCGCCGAAGGTATTGCTCGCAATGCAGCCACTTCCACCACCAGCAATTCTCTCCTTTCATTGGCGAAAATTTACCAGGATGGCATGTCCAGCGTGGGTTCCTCAGGAACAACCAGGTCTTCCCCTGGTGTCCGGGATATTTTGGCTCTCTATTATCTTTCCCTCTCCCTACAACCTAGCCCATCCACTGCAAATAATGTTGGCATTTTGCTGGCTGGCATTCAAAACAACCCACCAGCAAGAGGCTTGGTGCGTTCGAATGGTGAGACTCAGCACCACCTGGAGATCCCTGGAGTCGTCCCTGGGAGTGGAATATCCCTGGCCTTGGCGTACTACAACTATGGCTTGCATCTCGACTCGCGACATGCCCATCTGTATACCAACCTCGGCAGCCTGCTCAAGGACATTGGGCAGCTTCACGCCGCCATCAAGATGTACGAGCAAGCAGTTCACTGCGATGGCAACTTCGACATCGCTTTGGCAAACCTGGCCAATGCTGTCAAGGATAGTGGTAAGGTCAACGATGCCATTGTATACTATAAGCGCGCTGTCAAGGTAAATCCCGAGTTTGCGGAGGCAGTTTGCGGATTAGCAAATGCCTTGAATTCTGTCTGTAACTGGGTAGGTCGTGGTGGCGTCGTCAACGCCCGTGGCTTCCGAGATCGATGGCATGTTGATGAGAAAGGGATGCTTCGGGATTCAATCAACATCGACACGGGCTCTGGATGGATCAAGCGAGTAGTGGACATTGTCGACCGACAGCTCAAAGAAGGCGAATATTGGGGCCGTGGCATGTTGACTACGAGCACGGCAGAGCAATTGTGCCTGCAACTGGCTCCCGCTTTGGAGTCTACTCGCTTTGCTTCTAGTCATCGCATGTCTCTGACAAAGCTCTTCCAGTCTTGGGCCGGACAGAAATGGGAAGGGTCTCGACTCGTACGTCTCGTCGAACGAGCTATCCGGTCTCTCACTTGGCAGTGGTATCAAGACCGTTATGTCTTCGGCAAAGATTATCCTCTTTCTAAGTATCGTCGACCTCAACTCCCTGGAGGTCTTTCGGCCCCGAATGCACCTACCGTTCTGCCTTTCCATACCTTCACTTGTCCCCTGTCGGCGAAGCAAATCCGTCAGATCTCCCAGCGCAATGGACTACGGATTTCAACCTCGACCCTCAGACTCCCGTGGCTGCCACCTACCGTCTTCCCTCCACCGTCTCCGCCTAGTCCATACCTTCGAGTTGGTTACGTGTCATCGGACTTCAACAACCATCCTCTGGCACATCTGATGCAGTCTGTGTTTGGGCTGCATGATCCCTCCCGTGTCAAGTCATACTGTTACGCTACGACACCCAGTGACAAATCGGTGCATCGCCAGCAGATTGAAAAAGAGTCTCCGGTCTTTTACGATGCGAGTGGATGGCCGGTTGATCGACTAGTCCAGCAGATTGTTGCGGATGGGATTCACATCCTGGTTAACTTGAACGGCTACACGCGAGGAGCTCGCAACGAGGTCTTTGCTGCACGCCCAGCCCCTATCCATATGTCATTCATGGGCTTTGCAGGCACCCTCGGTGCTGAATGGTGCGACTACATCCTTGCTGATCAGCTTTCCATTCCACCGGAGACATTGAGCCCTGGACGGCGCACAACACGGATCGAGGATCGTCTCCTAGAAGAAGACAATGGCGAGGAACTCGAGGACTGGGTTTACGGAGAGAAGATTGTTTTTACCCGCGATACCTTTTTCTGCTGTGATCACCGACAGAGTGCTCCAGATGCTGGCGAAAAGCACGTATCATGGGAAGAAGAACAAGCCCGGCGCTGGAGAATGCGCAAAGAATTATTCCCCAAGTTGAGTGACGATACTATCATCTTGGGTAATTTCAACCAGTTGTACAAGGTCAGCCTCTATTTGCCACGCCCGCTCATCCCAACCCACATAACTAACCCCCTTCCAGGTTGAACCCACGACGTTCCGAATATGGCTGCGCATACTAGCGCGAATCCCCAACGCTGTTCTCTGGCTCCTCCGCTTCCCAGACACAGGTGAACAAAATCTGCGAGACATCGCTAAAGCCTGGGCCGGCGAAGAGACAGCATCGCGGATCATCTTCACGGACGTAGCTCCAAAGAACACACACATCGCGCGAGCGAAGATCTTAGACTTGTTTCTCGACACGCCAGAATGTAACGCCCACACTACAGCTACAGATGTCCTCTGGAGCGGCACCCCGCTACTTACTCTCCCGCGCTATAAGTACAAAATGTGTTCCCGCATGGCGAGCAGTATTCTCAGTAGCGCGCTACCCAACTCCGAAGTTGGCCAGCGCGCCCGTGAAGATCTCATTGCGTCGTCGGATGAAGACTACGAGAATAAGGCTATCCGTCTATGTCTGGATCTGCAGTACTCTGGTCACGAGGGCTACGCCCGCGGCCGGCTGGCGGATATCCGGCAGATACTATTCCGGGACCGCTATAAGAATAAGCTCTTCGATACGGCGCGCTGGGTGCGCGATCTGGAGAATGCTTATGAGGCCGTCTGGGCGCAGTGGGTTAACGGCGAAGAAGGTGATATCTGGTTATGATGTGCACTGCGAATATACCCCTTGAGCGATTTTTCCTTTTTCCTTTGCCCTTTTCTGTCTTGTCTTTGTTCTCATTCAACTTTTTTTTGCATATGGGTCCCATCTACCTTTCTATTATCCGCCCTGGTGTTTTGGGCTGGATCAATTATGTAATGAATTTACTTTTTGCATGTGGCCTTTTGTGATATGTACGTATACTGGGAACATTCACGAAAGAGAGGGCCTGTCGGATGGTTTCTTGGGCAGGCGTTTATGTCCTTCACATTTATTATTCTGGGTTTCTGGATATGCATGACCTGTAGTCGTGGTGATCTCGGTCTTTTGGATAAACTGAACAGCAGAATAGGTCTATCACAACCTTTGTCCAGTGCAATCGGCTTACCGTTTCCTCTATACTAATGATTTACAACCAACGCGTTCTAACGCTGAATGACGTCGTACTATCGAATACTATGGTAAGCTCTACCTCTATATCTATACACTAGAAGCAGTACGATCACATCATATCCACTTATCTAGGATCTACAACTTGATACGCTACCCGCTGCCGGACCACTTAATCCCTAATTACGACATGCAGAAACCAAGCCACATGCAAGCCCTCAGCCCTGAAATCCCTGTTTACCATTGGTACCTCGCCACTAGAAACCAATAGAGTCGACGTCCGTTCCAGCCCTCAATCGCAATCCGAGACATTCATTGACGCACTGAGACACCCATGCCCAATCAATACTTGATGTTGGCTTTGGCTTTGGACGGTCTGAGCACAAGACTTAGTGTCCTCCTGTTCTCCCCGTATGAGCCTATCACAGCGTCACACCTCCTTATCTCGTCGCCCTATGGGGTACCGTCTAAGCTCTATGTCTGGGGAACGCCTTCGCTCTATCCCTATCACGTCTTGTGTAGAGGGAATGGGAAGGCGTACCGACTACCTCGGTTGCCAGAATCCCAGAAACCCATTATCCACGTCTACGTCCAGATCCAGGTCCAGGCCCCTGCCCAACCAGCCCCAAAACCAAACCCAATCCGCCATCCGCGTGACGGAGGCTGAATCAGGATATCTGCATATAAGCAAAAGCACACGCAACGCCTTCGGCTCTGTTGCACGTTACATTACGCATTGCACAGTTCATAAATACACCACCCCTGACACTAGTACGGAGTAAGTAGAAGGGACAGCATTAAGCCATGATCCATGGAAGGGGCGGCGTCAAGCCATGGTCTATGGTCCATATTGACATCCCTCCATCCCTCCATCCCTAGACGTCATGTACATATCCCGGTAGATGCGGCATGGCATTCTGGCATTCTGTCACATGTTCATCCCTTCCCTCGGACAGGGGAGGAATGTAAGACATGCGCTTATCCGGATTTTGGCAGCAGGTTGCCTGTTTGATTCCCACATGGCTGTGTCCACGCATCGAGGGTTTGGGGGATGGGAGGGGATTTTCTTGATGTGTATGTGTATATGTATATGTAGTGATGGGGTGAGTCCGTCAGGTTGTATGTCCAGGGGGTTATTCATAAATAAAGGAATAACACACTTGATAGGTCCTACAGAGTAGGCGAAGTGAAGATGAAGTACGACGTGCCATGTATTCCGTACCATGCATATCAAGAGTCTTCATGATCAACGACCAACCTAAATCCGCCCCTTGGATACATACAACCACCAAAATAAAGCAATATAACCACATTGGATTTTATTGAAAAACCCTGAAATCCAACCACCACCCTACACTCCAAGGATCCCCCTCGCCCCTATATCCCTACATCAAAATCCAAACAACACGACCCCTACCCCCAAAATCCCTTACATAGCGCGCCCTCGTTGTCAATTATCAAATATCGATTGACAATTCCCGTCTCAGCCAAGTAAGCCCGTTCGCTTCACAACTCCCACGAGAGTGACAAACCATGCAAGCCGGGAATCCACACGCCCCATGTGCGTTATCATGTCCCATGTGCGGTATCATATCTACTTTTCTGGCCCTAGCTGGATCACACCCGGTTCTCCATCCTGTTCGGGTCTGTGTGTGTGGAGGGTAGCGGCATAGCTGCGTCGCTTATGGTGCGTTGTGAGTGGTGTGGCGCGGGTGGGGAATAAGCCACAGAGATTTGGGGGCGTTGGATCGGTCGATTAGCCGCAGAAAATAATCGGGGACCTTGGAACCGAAGATGGATGGATGGTGGCTTAGTTTTGGTTTTTGGTAGGTGGTAGGTTTGGGGGGTTTGTATTATCGATATTTAGATGTTAATTGTTGATAAGTATGAGTACGGTATATTCTGTACCGCATGGAGATATATATCAAGCATGTGCGGAGTACGGTGTCTAAACAAAGTACGGAGGTATAGTACATCGGGTAGGTCTTGCGTGAATTGGAAATTGGGTTAGTTTTTGTTCGAGTAGATGAGAAGAACAAATGTTATATGAATTTACAGTTACTGGAATGTTGAGCATGTGATGCTCATATCTCCCTGTAGCTCCTTGAGTATATCAGCACTACGGAGTACTCCGTACAATCAACCATATCAAGCCGATCACATGTCTAAGCAAAATCTCATCCAATTTGCGATACTCCGTAGGCGATATTGCATCATTGGCAATAACAATCAACGACAGCGAGACCGAGACCGAGATCTCTTAATCTTGAGACTAACGATAATCTATAAGCCAAAGTCAAGCCCCCAACAACGGGGTGGCCGATACGTCACACGCCCCCCTTCCACCTCCCCTTGCCCTTTACAGCCCATAAGCCCACAAGCCCACAAGACCTGGACTCACCTTTCCCCTGAAACGAGGCTCAAAGAAGAAAAGGGGCGACCAGAACCATTGGTTCTGGAGTTCTATATAGATTGCGCCCCATTTCGCTTGTCTTGATACGCTCCGGAAAATGTTCGGGCTGTGGAGGGTCTGGTGGAGAGATGGGAAATTTTTGCTATGGTATTTGCCGTGGGCGGGCAGGAACTGCTCCGTTCAGGTTCCACTCTGACACTCTCGGCCCCTCTTCGTCTTCGGGGCTTGGAAAAACTGTTACGATGACGGTTTGGCCCCAATGTTTTAGGGGTCGTAACGGTGGTGGGATTTTGAAGGTGCTCGGGGCTTTATTCATTTACCTAAGATATGAACAATAGTATATATACGCTCCCGAATCACTGGGTTCTTTGTCTTTGGACCTTTGTGCCTTTTTTGGGAACGATTGAGTCTAGACCGGATAGATAAGGTTGTTCGGATTTTGCAGTAGTCGGACATTGTATATTGGAGGTTATTATATTATTATGTTTGGATATATTAGACTTAAGACGTAGTACTCGTTCTCATTATAGATGTTATTGACTAATTACACATGTTAGGGAGCTTCAAGCCCAAGAACTGGATCAGAACTGGATCAGGAACTGGATCGCCCAAACTGGATCGAGTCAGGATTTTTACAGTTTATGAAGCGGGGCCTTCATATGGCCCGTTCTCAATTTCCGTTCTCCGACGTAATTGCAAGCTTTTCCAGGGTTGTCAACCTCAGACTTGCGGTGATGTCTATAGTATTTATTTCGTATATCGTTTTACAACATACATATGTAGGTGGTTTAATGGTGGATATATACAGACTTGACTCGTATTAGTGTTGTACAAGGAAGAGAATACATTCAAATTCATCTGTGTTACTATCGTAGTATACAAAAAGTGGCTCTGCCGTTTTCAAAATTTAAGCAAAATATTGTACGAGGTGGAGTATGGCAGCGTAGGCCCAAACGGTTTCCCACAGATCGGGAACCATGCGAGTGGTCCCCGATATCTAAAGCCCGAGAAGGTGGGCCACCAATCACAGTCTAGGCCGCGGTGTCATGCCCGAGCAAAATTCAAATTCAAATTATTCTAACTCAGATTCAAATTTAACTCAAAGTCAATTTTAATTTTCAATTTTCAATTTCACAACCTAAATTCAAATACATTATTTCTATACATATTTTCCATGCAAGTTGCATCACTTGCCGATTACTACATTGGATGTATACTTGGATGTACAGTAACTCCGGAGACCACGGGTTCCTTACACCTCCATTTTTCATAACGTGTGAATTGTACCTATAGCAGTACTCTGATGATCCACCTCGTGTTGTATCGATGAACACATCACAAAAGTACCCATTACCCAAAAGGGAATGGAAACGACTAGGGTAGTGTCAATCCGTGGACACTGCCAATAGCTACAATATTGAGAATCTAGAATAAATGATGTACTCGGTACTGAGTACTCCGTAGTCCGTACTCCGTATAGATATGCAACGATAATTTCTCCATAGCTTTTAACGTCATAATCATAAGGAAATAGCTAATAAGGCCCGATTGGGGATACAATATATTGTACCCACGTGACCCAAACGGCGAAAAGGAGGCCACAGGAACGCCGTGCTTGGACCCTCTCTCTGGGCTGCAAAGCCATGCGGAAGGCCCGGCAGTCAGGAAGCAGCTGCGAGACCGTTCGCTCCACTTTTAGACTTCTTAGTGACGGGTACCCCGTTGAACTTCAATATCTGGCTTCAAGGTCTTTTACTATATTGATATGGAGATATTCTAGTATTCTATTGTGCTTGCTATATCAAGTATACTTACTATCTTCTCTTACACCTGATAAACTGCTTTTACACCCCCAATACCAGTACTCAAACATCCGATCTAAGCTCGAGTGCACGGGGCTACATGATCAGCGGTGATCCCTGCACGCCGACAGGGATTTATCTCAAATACTTGCCGTGTCTCTGATTGGCGAACAGACAGGGGAACAATAGTCTACCTTGGGTAAACGGTAAACAACAAATCAAAATAAATTATAATTCATAAAACTGACAGGTCCATTCTCGGGTACACCCTAGTCGATGTTGCATTCCAAGACGACGGGTTCATCCTTTCAGAAACGGTTTTTTTCCCAGACGTACGGAAATCCGATCTGGCCGTCCACACGAGGACTTGTCCACATGGCTACACAAAGAAGGTCATCTTTCCCTTTTTACTTTCTTGAATCATGTTTCACACCCCAGAATAACTATACAACCTTGGTACAACATTGTTAGAAGTCCAAAAGAAAAGGGGGGGGGGAATCAATTAATGTCTTTTCTCCACATTCTTTTATTTTTGAATCTATAGATAGCCCTGTTTGAATGCTCTAAACATTAATTAATGGTTAATCTATATAGACACGATGTATAAAATTTTTTTTAATCAATCTAGGTATGAAATAGATTAAATGATCAAATAGATTAAAGATTTAGGAGACGACCATATCCGCCTATCCTTAACCGAACTGGCAGTCCCACTAACAATGACAAATACCTGGGGGACCAATCAACTTCCTAGTGCATCCATATGGGATGCATGTAAGGTCTACCCCTGGAGGATTTAAATTACAATATGTACACTAATTTGGTACATATTGTATGGTATTTGTGTATTCCACCTCTCCCCACGGTGGCTGTTCTCACCCAGGGTTCGAAGTATACCATCTGGTAAAAAAAAGCAAAAAAAAGGTGTGGCTTGCGTTTCAACGGTTTCCACCGGTGATCTCAGCTGCGACATGCCTAACCGGGTAGTCTGGAAACTTCGCACTCGTCGATCTTTCTTTCGATCCACGATCTCGCCTTCTGATGCATCCATCCTTTGTTTCTGGTACACCAGTGCTTAGACTGGAAATAGTCTGTGGATTGTGGAAAGGGACGGGAAAATAGATTGACCTATACTTGTGCCGTTATGGTATAGCGGGAATGATTAAAGATATCCATCCAGATTGGAATGGATAACGTCACATCCCGTGTCTTTGCAGCTCCTTGGCTTCGGCGTTAACGAAACCAATTTCGGTTTTATTTCACTTTCTCCCCCTCCTGGGCGTCATGGAGGATCCACGGTTAACTGTAAGTGACAGGTGGCAGGTGGCCCATGCGTTTTTTTCTTCTCATCTGAATTATCGTTTTGTCCCTCTAAATAATGTAAATTAGTGAACATTATCCAAACCGGATTAAGTGAACCTCGATCTTGATATGGAAACCAGGAAAACAAAACCGTCACGTTTGTGATGGGGTTCAAGTCATATGGAAGACAGCAAGGCATACAAAATATACAAATCCCTAAACCAATAGTATCAACATATCAACATATAGAATAAAATAATATATATAAAATGTCTAAAATATTAAATCGAAACTCCGATCTGGGTCTTCAGGCATAGCTCGGTGTTGTTCGGGGAGGCTGAAGCTTTCCTGTCACCGCACGGAGGCACCGATTTCCCCATACTATTGAAAGCAAAAAAAGGGATAAAATCAATTTTTGTCTCTTCACGGACAGCGCCCGAATAGAGAAATTTGTCAATCCAAACTCGGTCCACCGGTCCACCGCTCCACCGTGGATCATCGCGAGGTCGAGAAAGAACCCTGATCGAGCCAATGAGACCTCGGACTTGACCGATTGAACATGAATCGGGTATAAAACGAGCAAGTGTTGTGCATGGCTGGCTGAGTGGAATCTGGGACGTCTAACCGCTTGTCACTCGGAAGCTAGATCTGCCCCTGGCTGTTTTGGGGGTATTTTGACCCCTTTCTGTTCCAAAGTTGTTTTACTTATATTATTCTACATTGTGATTGTATATGAATGTAGCTATAATTAATTTTTAGGTTATAGAAGGGTAAGTCTTGAAACTACGGAATACACTTACTATATCTCGAACTGAAGGAAAGTAGCTTTTTCTATATTACCATGGCCTTGGGAATCAAACAAAGAGCATATAAAAAGAATAGAAAAAATAGAAGAAAAAAAAAAAACAGTTAGCGCCATGGATGATTTGGAATTCCAGCAACGGGGCTCAGGGTCGATCACTCCGATCTTTTTCTGTTTTACGCGTCTTTCCTCAGCCCGAATTCCCGGGTGATACTGAAGATCCCAACGGAGCATTTTTCCACTCCCCACGATCTATAGATTACAATAGTGTGTATTAAATATTAAATATTAAATATTTTTATTTTTTATTATATTATTTCAACCTGTATTATTCCGAACTGTCAGCTCCGAGATCTTGGATCGTGATCTTCCATAGCGGGACCTGTGTTTTTTTTCTTTTGGACCCGTCCCCCTGGTACTTAAGACTTCGACACTGTCCGATACTATAATAACCTCTTTACTTCTCATTATCTTATACTTCATCAAACTTTCTCTCCCCCACCTCTCTACCATCTACCATCTACCATCTACCATCTACCATCTACCATCTACCATCTACCATCTACCATCTACCATCTACCATCTACCATCTACCATCTACTCTACTCTACTCTACTCTCATAATGCCTGCTTCCCACCGTCGTGGTCCCTGGGTCCCAGAGGAAGACCAACTCCTCACCCAACTGGTCCGCGAACAAGGCCCAAACAACTGGGTTCGCATCTCTCAACACATGCACTACCGCTCGCCCAAGCAATGTCGCGAGCGTTTTCACCAAAATCTCAAGCCCTCGCTAAACAGAGAGCCCATCTCCGCCGACGAGGGCCTGATGATCGAGCGCATGGTCAACGAAATGGGAAAGCGCTGGGCTGAGATCGCCCGCCGCCTCGGCAACCGCAGCGACAACGCAGTCAAGAACTGGTGGAATGGCAGCATGAACCGCAAGAAGCGCGGCCTGTCCACCCCCACCACTTCCCGCACTTATACAGGCCGCATCGAGGCACCCTACACCCGCGCCTCAGCGATGAGCCCATCCCGCTCGCGCTTCTCCAGTACTTCTTCTTCTCGCCCCTCATGGACGGAGTCCATCGAGTCCGCCATCTCTGAACAATACTCCCACTCTCGCAGAGAATCCCTGGCTTCTTCCGCCCGCCAGCTCTCCCCCATCTACACCCTCCCCTCCATCAACCGACCAATCGAAACTCCCCCTCACCTCGCCCGCTTTCTCAGAGGCTTCACACTCTACCTCCTGCGAGCCGCCTTCTATGGTCTCAGACCACAATTCCGTCTGCTCTTCTTCACCCCGCACTTTCCCCTCTCCGCAACTCCTGCCTTTGCCTGTCGACCTGCGCTCGCAGTACGAGATCCAAAGGCCCAGTGTCCACGTTCTCGAGGATTCACCCAGTTATCCGGCTCGTTCTCTAGAGTCTCTGTCAGAGATCGCATCCACACAGCGTTGGATGGGTCACCAGCCTACTCTGGCTTCATGGCACCAGCCTACGGACTTGCCCAAGTCTTGGATCTCCAGACCTGAGCCTGCTCGTGACACCCGTATGGGGGTGAATAACCTGCTGAACTGAAAAAAAAACCTTGAAAAAAACCTTACATTTGTCATGATTTTTACGAGTCTCATTTCTCATCTCATTTCTCTTCTTGCTCTATACTCCTGATTCCCCTTCGCGCTCGGGTCCACCGATGGAACCCTTCCTGTACATTTGCCAAAAGCTCCAGCCTCGATTTTCTTTGTGTCTATGCTCTCTTCTATGGAGATTTACGATTTCCTTTTGTATACTCTTAATGTGTATTACCATGGTTCGGATCTTGAAAGTCTGCTCTTTTGGGCCTTCGAGGCTCGGTTCTACGTTGAATGATTATTCTCTTCTTTTCTACTTTTTCTTTACTTTGTGTTTGATTAGGCACGCAGTCTGGAGATAATTGGGCTCTCTATTTCTGCCTCTGGGATTGCATAATACCCTGTTTATAGCAATGATCTAATTCGAATAATAATAATAATAATAATAATAATAATATCTAACAAGCCTGCTACATTAATCACATCACATACAACAACTTTATTTCTTACCCAAATCTGCATCCCTACTCTCCTACATTATATACAGCACTACAAAAGTCGTGCATATACGATGCAAGAGGCAAAAAAAGACCCCTGTACTTCCACTCCTCCCCGGTTCCAGCCAGCCTCTCATCTAATATTGCAGGCATCAACAGGGAATGCAGATATGCAGCTTGCAACTGTTTCGTTTCTCCCCTTTGCACGGGTCCCCATGAGGAATGCGCCACCGGGCACACGCTGTGCTCACGAGGACGGACGCAAGGGATGCGAGAGCATGAGGCCTGGTTCTGGTCAGGGCGGCCTAAGCACGGAAGTAAGGACCCACTCGTTTGTCTGACAAGGCAAGGTTTGTTTTTGGAGATGGATTGTAGATTGGAAGATTGTTTGTAACTAGGTGGTACTGTTGCAGATGACTACATAGTGACATAGTTTATGCACATGTATACTAGACTCCAGCTAGGGAGGGTCGGGCGTATACGATGTATGTATTTAGCTGTCCAAGGGACAACGGGATAATACCCACACTGATGCTGGTGCTGGTGCTAGTTATGCTGGATACTGCTCATGTATGGCCGGCATCTAGACCAGGGCCGGGACCAGGACCAGGACGAGACGACGTAGATAATTTAACTAATGCATACATGTACATAATGCATAACCATGAACACCCTGCACAGTGACAGGCAAGAACCACAACCCAGATCCTGAACCTAGACATCAGAGACATGACACACACACACACACGCACACGCACACACCTTTCACAGGAAACCAAAAAACCAAAACGACCCAAAAAAACGGGAAGTCTATTCGAGAGGTTCGTCCGCGCCTGCAGGAGAAAATGGAAAATCAAACGGTCTAGCACCATCCACAACCCCTCCCGTCCCGACCAAGAGTAAGATTGACAATGAATCCCACGACCACTCACAATGGAGAAATAGACGAGGATATGTGTGGGCAAGTCCCAAGACAGCCTAATCCAATACACTAAGTACTAAATACTGCACCTAAATCACAGGCAAAAGAGGAACGAGAACGAGAGAGAAGGATGAGCGGGGGTGAAAGAACCATATCCAGTATTCGTACTCCGTACCTACTCCAGTACTCCACTCCTATGGGAACTGGGATTGTCAACGCCACACGACCAGGACAGGGTCGAAGACCAGACCATGCCTTGATTTTCCCGCCTATCCGCCCCATTTGGGGACCATTTGGGCTCTTTGTACGAAACCGCTATGCTACTGGCTGCTGTGATAACCAGTTAATGCAGGTTGTGGTGTCTTCGCTCGGATCGCCCAGGACGGGATGGGCGTTGGGATGAGTCCATGGCCAATCAGTGGAGTGGTTGTGATGCATTAGGACGGATTGGTCACCTTCTGACGGGATGAACGGCGGGGCTATTCTAAGTGGGGATTTGGTTGGTCTTGCATGGATCGTGGAGATGTTCGTGCATGCATGCAAGCCGTCTTGTTTTTTTCAAAAATTTTATTTCTCTTTGTCGGGTTGAGCTTTCCGCTTCCCCCGTGAGGCGGCTTTTGGGTGTATGTTGGGCTTTGGCCGTTGAGATTAGGTTTTTTTTCTTCTTTTCTTTGGGGGTTGGGTTGGGGGTTTGGGGGTTTGTAATAATCGAGTTTTTGCTGTTTTAGTGTGGTTTATTTCCAAGGATGGGTTTGTTTCATTTATTCTTTATCATTTATTTTTGGTTCTGGTTTTAGCTCGGTTTTGGCTCTGTTACCCTTTTTGCCGTCCACTATACAGGCGGATCGTGATCGTCTATTATGTCAAATCATTTCAAGACTTGCATGTCTGCCCAGGTGGAAGTGTCATTCCCAGCTCCACATTATTATGGCAAAAATGGTGCCAGCCAGCCAGCTATCGCTTCCACACACCATCCGCTCTGTTCAGCTCGAGACTATCGAAGTGATCGGGTATTGTGTACCATTCGCCGACTGAGATCTATCGAATCAGATCGAGTAGATGGTCTCTCAGTGTGATAGGACAACAATAGCTCGGTAAATCAGAACATAATTATATGTAATATTATTTTGTACGTAGGTACACTGGTACTTGAACATTGGCATTGTGAAGGATCTGCAGGTTCCCAGTACCTAGGTATGTATTTTGTATCTTTTAGCTTAATTCCGGCCTAACAGACCGTACATCCATACTTGTGTTTACCTGTTTGTTGTCTGTGGGTCCAAACGGGATGCGGACCGTGGAACTCACAAGGGAGAAAACTTTGATGTCATGGCGTTTACTGTTTACTATTTTCTACATTGTTCCCTTTTTTTTTTTTCATATTTCCTATATCCCTTGTAGGATATTGATGGTAGTGTTTACTCATCACCCAAAGAACCCGAATCCCAAGAGGGAAAAAAAAGCCCCACGAAACTCTAATTCCTTGTTCCAAGGCATAACTAGGGCAAAGAAAGTTCAATGAGTGCCGCGAACACTGCCCTGACCACCACTCGGCACCTGCGCACGATGACAAAAATGGAAAACGGCGCCAAGGCCAGATCGGATCGGTTTTATACCTGAAACAAGCCGTTGGAGTGTCGCTCCGCTGGTGTGGATATTAAATATTGCACTACCATGGGACGAGAAGGGAAGGATCAGGGGTACCTAGGTATAGCATACCTAAGTAATACGAGCAAATACACATTCAAGATTTTGGCTATTTCATCCATGGTTTGACAGACGCACGTTGCAACTCGATCCATGGATTCATTCTTCTGCCGTTGGGTTCCAAGCTCCCGGATCGCGATGATCGACGCCCACATCGCCCTATAGAGCAGTTTTGCCGGGCTCAATTTTGGGATCCATTCGTGTGCGCAAGACCGATCGAGATCGAGATTTGGACCTCGGCAGATTATCAGCATCAATGGAGTTTGGATGGTAATTTGGTATTGCGTTTGTACAACCTCCTATCTCTCCTGTCATACACCTGGGCATGGATCCTATTTAATTACATATTAGCATTCTAAAATTAGACCACTTAAATCTCTTTACATTAAATGTACATCAATCCTAGTGACATACGGAGTACACAATATAGTTTTAATCTACATACACAAAAGCTAGCCAACACCGCAATAACCGCCCTATAAAATACAGTCCCCTGATTGGCCCACGGAGAATCTCGGTGCAATCTAACGCCAACCCTAAGACAGTTTTAGCGCAGAAAGGTACCCGCCTGGCGGTACACGATAGCTGCCCAGCCGCGCGAGCCCTTTTCCAAGGCGTTTTTTTGCGCTTCCCACCCCCTGAGCATACCGGTACCCGCAGATAAGATGTGAGAGTGATGCAAATCGCCGTTCTTCGGGGCTTTCCCGAAACCAAAGCCTCGATTTCCAGCACCCTAACCATGGACTGAGGCCTTCATTTTCCCTTCTGGGTAACTGGCTCCGGTGGTGGCGGTGTTGGCGGTTTCCGGGGCTCTGTCAGGGGCTCTGGCAGCTCGTGTGGCAGGATTCCAGATTACAGGGTTGTTTTGAAGTCTCCTCCTTGTTCGGGATGATCTTCCTTTCCACGGTTTTGGGTGTCTTTCTTTCTTGGGACCTTGGAAGGTTTAACGGTTGCGTGATTGTTTCCAATCAGGATTTTGAGTTCCGATGGGCTTCTATGCATAAGTGGGGTTGTTTTTTTGAGGGTTGCTGCCTTGGGCATCTATCATTGTGTTTGTATATGCACAACCTACCTCGGGGATTTTTTGTCGCGGCAGATTGGTATTATTTGGTCCTTCCTAATGTGGCTGGGGGTTTGATTTGTAGTCTGCTGGGATTAATAAGGTCCTTGGCAACGGCGGCTTGGCTAGAAGGAATATCGGATTTTTGATATCTAGTAGTGCTTCTGCTTGTAGTGCCCCTCATGCAAGCTGCTTCCAGAGCTCACCGCGCTCATTTCCAATGCTAAAATAAAAAGGGGGTGGGGTTTTTTTTATGTTCTCGGGATTAAACGGCCACCGAGAGAATCTGTGAGAAACGGCGATACCAAAGGGAAGTATTCGTTTCTTTCGAAAAAGTGATCGAACAAGAATCTTTATTACTTATCAGCAGCTGATAGTTGAATATAGGCTATTAGATGTACTCACCATTCAAAATCAATTTGCTGCTCCCTTTATTGAGCCCATGGCTTTACCTCCCCGCCTTGAGCATTGATCGACTGGCAAGCTGGGCTGTTGGGGTTCCTCTAGCTATGGATCCCATTCGCCGTTTTCCTGCTCTTGATTGCAATTTTGTGTCAACATGAAGAGATCCTGAACTGCACCTATAAAGCATGTTATGTTGTTGGTAATCCAGTCATGTTGCGGGAGGTCCTTTGTAGCAGGATCGTTTGGGTGTGTGGGATGGCTGCGTGGGAAGAGGCGGGAATGACCCATTGCCAGCTACATGTACATAATGTTTGGCCCCAATTCGATTTCTCATGGCTCGAAGTGCTCTAATAACATGGTGTTCTAGCCTTGTATAGTTCCTTGCTCCATTCTAGGTACCACTTTGTTGCTGTGTTGAGTTTGATTGAGTCCAATTAACCGGTCACATGATGTTTTCCGTCTTTCGTGCTTTGCACCTGGTGCACATTCAAGCATGATCAGTTCTTCGCTTTTTGTTTGCGCCCAATGTATCATACAGTGATAAGGCTACAGCTGCCCTCCTTGCTGAAGCCAAACTGAATTCCCATTTCACGACAGGCCATGCCAAATGGCAAGAAGGATTGTTGTGTTGACTCTTGAACTCTAAAGTTCGTTGAGTGAAGGATAGCCCCTGCGGTCATCACCAAAGTGTAAGGCTGGATCTCAATTCTTTTGAGATTCGGGAGCCGCTCTCGTTGCGCTAGCACAGTCTGAAGATTCTTATTGACAATGTCGAAGTCCTCCTCGTGATAGCGAGCAAGCTGGAGGAATTCTAGGCTTGGTGGAAGAACCTCTAGGAGAGATACTTTCGGCCGATCGCTTGAGCCAAATTGCAAAAGTGTGCGTAATGGCATCCGAAGCTCACGTAGCTGGTGGAATTCGGCTAGAGATCCAAACCCATTAAATTCCTCAGTGTCTTCATCAAACCCGCTCTCTGTAGTCTCTCCATTATTATTCAATCGAAGTTCCCGAAGGCTGTGCTTTTGGGAACATAGTGCGTTGTAGAATAGAAGAGGGCAAAAGTCTGTGTAGACTTCACCCCATATGCTTTTGTTATCGTGCTGATAGTCGAAGATCTCCAAATTGGCACACGAAATGATGTATTCGGCGAAGCCATTGCCCCCGTTATTCGTATTAAAGCGACCAAGATCGATTTTCCTGATCGTAGAGGTCCCCGGCTTAAGTGATGCGATACCGGGGTCAACTTCACAGACTCCCCCTGCAGTGAACACTCGCATTGCGGGAAGATAGAAGAATGGCAGCAGTTCATGCGCCAGGTAGTATTGCTTGGAATCGTCCTCCCAAATATCCACGCTTTCTAGCAGTTGGAGAACTGGCTTCGGGCTGGATAGATTTCCATTGGCGGCAATTCGCGTTACCATGGGTAGGAAATAGGGCGAGTGTGAAAATCTTAGAGTCATACTCTTGATAGACTCGAGCGATAGCACAAGCACTGCGAGCCAGGCATCAGGGCATCCTGTCTGCAGACTTTCTTCCCATGCGGCAAGATCATCTGCAGCGTCGCCCGCTTGCTTCAAGGTTTTCACAAGCCCATCGACGTCGTAATCATTCCCAGGTTCTGACTTGGAGTGGTACCAATCAACACTCAGATTTTGGAGGGCAGTACCTATTCTAGGATTGTTTCGAACGGCGCGGGAAAGAGGATAGATTTTGGGGGCGTCAACAGAGATTGTTTTGTATGCTTTCGGGAGGAAGATCGAATACCAATCACGGCACACCAGTAGAAGATTGAGTTGATCGCTTTGGTCATCTAGGTGCTCACTGATGAGGAGAAAAATGTCGTTGTTGAGAGACATCTTGGTAAACAAGCATTGAAGGCGTATCGACAGCACAGAGAAACAAAATATCTCTAGGTAACTTTGCTATTGGCTACAGACGGAGAAATGAAGAAGAGTACAATTCGAGGAGGAATTGAAGAAGAGAGAGAGAGGGCAGGGAGAGCTAAACTATAGAATTAGCATCGAAACTGGTCGGGGGATAGAATTTAAAGTTGGATTTTTTCGGATGAGCGTCCGTCTAATGGTCCACTGACTACGGACCCTAATAGTGCTTGCGTCAAAAAAAACAACTCTTTCTTGGCAAAAACGTGATCTTGAAATATCTAGCCAATCAGAGGCCCTACGGCCTCGTGAATTAGTTCATCGTAGTCGTAACTTGAAGAGCTACCGTATGATACCCTTTTCATAGGGGATATGGCAGCGGTAGTTGCGACTGGTGCGAATGCGCAGTGTTTGCCCCTTACAGGAGAGGAACACCAAAAACCACAGCACCAGTTGACACACCTCGGTCGATGGAAGACATCGCCAAGGGAGCCCGCCACGTGCTTAACTACATCGAGAATAATGGCTCATAGGACAGATACATCACGGGATACATCCGTGCTGTCCGCCAGTTCGCACTCAACGCCCAACGGGGAGACGGCCAGGGGATGGCCAAGGTGCTCGAAGCGCTGACCAAGATCAACGCCGACACCGAACGTCTGAACCAGCGAATTGATACCATTGAAAAGACACCAAAGATTTTATCAACCAATGTGTCCACCTCCGCGGCGAATTCCGCAGTGACGTGGCGCCCATGGACAGGCGATGTCGCAGTCTAATTGGAGGAATAGTGAAATAACGAAGTTCGTAGTAGGGGGAATTTTGTTATTACTATGGCGGATTAATTGGTACATGTGACCGTTGTTAGAACCAGTAGAACTCAGCTTAGGACCTACCTTCCTAGTAAAAGTGGTAAAAAGTAAATCCTACAACTTTAATATCAAGTCAGTATGGCCGAGTGGTTAAGGCGCTACTTTCGAACGGTTTCTTTAATAAGATTTCCTCCTGTTAAGTAGTTCATTCGTGAACCTAGGTTCGAGTCCTAGTGCTGACGTTCTTCTTTTTTTCCCCGATAAGAAAAATTCAAGCATTCAAGATGGATATATAGAGAAGTTCTCTTTGTATCCCTTGCTATTTTTTCTCGGAAAGAAAATATTCAAGCATAAAGATAGACTATATATAGAGAAAACAATAAGACCTCGGGATCCTAGTACCTAGGTATTACTAGCAATGAACATTAGAAGCGAGCCGAGCCCAGTACGTTACCATCAACATTCCAAGATTTATATCACTATACTAACACTCTTTAGGAAATCAACTTAGCCTTCAGAGGCGGCAGCCAGCTATCGATTCTCTGTCTAATTTGGGAGGTCATTTTTAAAGTTCAAATTGGCCCATAGCAGCCTACGACCAGAAAGTATTCTCCATGATCGTAATAGACTCAAGGTGACCGGTTCTGAATATAGCGGATTTTAGAACGCCATTTAGCACTTGCTTAAAGTTATAGGGACCGGAGCTAAGGGAGACTGATCCAAATTATGACATGGCCGAGGCCCGAGAGCTATTATATTCCACAAAAGCAGTCATTCAAAACATAGGCGTTGTACGCCGTGACAAAAAATGAATACGATAGAGAACGCGCAGAAAGCAAGCTGAAGCTAGAGACAAGCTATCGAGAGCTAGCGGCCAAAAGGCACGAAGGGAAAAAGAAAAAGAAAGAAAGAGAGAAGGAGAAGGCGAGAGAGAGACACAGTGTGACATAGGCGCTAAGGCAAACCCTCGCTTGCAAGGGTCTGTAATTTTGGTACAAAAATAGAAGGGCCGGTCAGGTACTTGTCTTCTCTAACTATACATCCTCTATCTTGAATGCTTGAATATTTTTTAGAAGCTCTCTATACATACATACCTACTCCACCGTTTGAATATTTCGGAGGGGAAAAAAAGGTAAGGGACAAAAATAACGTCAGCACTAGGACTCGAACCTAGGTTCACGAATGAACTACTTAACAGGAGGAAATCTTATTAAAGAAACCGTTCGAAAGTAGCGCCTTAACCACTCGGCCATACTGACTTGCATGATTAGATTAACGCTAATTATACCTCAGGAAGGTGTCAGTTCTTTTCTAAAAAAAAACGATGTATGAAGGAGGCTGTCGTTTATGTACCTATATGTCCAAGGTTGTACCTTTCCCCTTCCATTCAGTCACCTCTTACCGCTTTTTGATCGCTAAGCATAATTGAGCATGCCCGTATTTTAACTTCCAAAGTTCCAAGGTTGCCCGACCAGCGAGCCTTATATAATCAGCTCCCTCGGGGCATACTTTGTATGCCCACCTGGGTGCCCGATGGATGATCTTGGATGATCTTATCAACTTTAGAACCCCAAATCGGGACTTGTCACTAATAGAGACTGCCCCTAACTTCCCATATTTCCTATAAGAGAAAGAAAGAAACCCTTTATATATCCTACATCAAAAATATAAACATGATCTTTATACGAAGATGGATTTTATCGCCAAGTGCTCCCTATTCTCCCTCGGTACCTAGTAGTTAGCGCGATTAGCGCGAATCTTATTCCGATCATTTTAGATATCCTTATACTAACTACGGAGTATTAATTGGGGTTTTAGAAGTTCTCAGTTAGTACGTTCTAGTATAATATATACCGTATTAGTGTATCCTTATACTTAATATCCGTACTAACCCTTCGAAGTTTTTTTTTACCCTACGACCCTATCAGCTCCAAAACCGGTAAATAGTAACGTGGTAACAAACTAGTAATACTGTAACTAGTACATAACCTCTAGTAAATACTAGTACCATTTACCCTGCGAGCTTTACCCTGTGACCATGCGACCATGTCATTCACAAGGGCAGCACTGGCAGCACTTTACGAATAACTTTATATCTGGGATTGTTAACAAATTCAAGTAGCTCACGGACATCGGAGAACTTCTCGCAGGGCTCTTCTATATGGACAACCGGCAACTCCAGGGGCTTCTATCGCGAATCGTGATACATTGGTATTATTGATGTAGTCCTTCCTAATACGGTTGAGGAGTTTGATTTGTATTGATTAGATATATATAGTTTGCTAGGATAATGCTTATCAACGGCGGCTTAATATCGGATGTTTGATATATAGTACGCGCTTGTATACAGACAACATGTAACTTCAGGGGCTTTGGTCGCGGCAAGTTGGTATCATTGACGTAGTCCTTCCTAATGCAGCTGGGGAGTTTATATCCAAGGTTGCCTTGATTGGATATGTAGTCTGCTGGGATAATACTTGGCAACGGCGGCTTCCAAGGTTGGCTAGAAGGAATATCGGATGTTTGATATCTAGTACAAACTTGGAAGGAGACATCGTACTTTGGTCACTGTGTGTGTGGAGAACTGCAACTAGCATGGCCAAATGGGAGGGGAAATAGATAACGAGTGGGCTAGTTCCCCAAGGCCTAGTACTTTTGGAGATAACGTAGCAGGGAGAGTAGAATTGTATGACCGAAGAACGAGATACGGCTTGCTAAGTCTTCCATCCTAAGTCCGCCATCTACTGGCGACAAAAGACAGGCATACTCTCAATCGGACACTCGATCTCAACATCGCGACCGCCCTCATACACAACATCTTTCTCGTCCCAGAGCTTCCACGATGCCCCAGCCGGCAGATAGACCTTGATCTTGCGCTGACCTGGCTCCAACACAGGCACAACCAAGTACTTCGATCCAAACATATACTGAGTCTCAACCTCCCAAGCCCGCTCATCCGACGGGAATTCATAAAACAAAGTCCTGATCACAGGAGTACCCTTCTCATGAGCCTCCCGCATCAACCCGCGCGTGTACTCACGAAGCTGCTCACGAATCCCAATATACCGTTTACAGATCTCATAAACCTCATCTCCATATGACCAAATCTCATTATCCGCCCCGCTAGCCGTCGGCTGTCCCTCCGGCTTCGGCTCACGGTCACCATGCAGCCGCATAACCGGACAAAACGCTCCCCACTGGAACCATCTCGTGAACAACTCGCGGAATACAGGGTCGTCTGGGTTGCCGCCGTGGAAGCCGCCGATATCTGTCGTCCACCATGGGATCCCGGCTAGCCCCATGTTCAGTCCTGCTGCGAGTTGATTGCGGAACGAGCTCCACGACGACGCGATGTCGCCGCTCCACACGAGCGCTCCGTACTTCTGGCTGCCCGCCCATGCACACCGCAGGAGGTTGACTATGTTCGTCTGGCCCTCTGCCGCCATGCCTTCGTAGAAGCCCCGTGCGTACTCTTTCGGATAGGTGTTTCCAATCTGCAGGTTGCTGCCGGCGTGATAGCGGTAGATATCGAAGTCGTAGATCGAGTACTCGGGCTCGGCTTCGTCAAGCCAGAATGTTTTGATTCCTATGTCGTAGTAGTTTTGCTTGGCTTTGCTCCAGATGTACTTTCGGGCTGCTGGGTTCGTTGCGTCGAAGTGTGTGATGTCGCCATCGCATTGCATCGCTACGCGCATACCGCGGTCGTGGCGGATGAGAAGCCCTTGTTCGAGCATCTCTGGGAAGTTCTCGGATGCGTTTTCAACGGTAGGCCAGATGGAAACCATGAGCTCGACTTTGAGCTCTTTAAGCTCCTTGACCATGGCCTCTGGAATTGGACATTGTCTATTAGTGGGTCTTACTATCGAAGCGATATAAGAAAAGAGAGTGATGACTTACCTGGATCGGGCCAGAACTTCGGATCAAAGCTCCATTCTCCTTGATGCTTCCAATGGAAGAAGTCAATGACAATCAAATCCAGAGGAACCTCGCGACGCCGGTACTCGCGTGCAATATTGAGCAACTGCTCCTGGTTCGTGTAGCGGAGTTTGCACTGCCAGAAACCAAGACCGTATTCTGGCATCATCGGAACATAACCTGTCGCTTTGGCATAGGCTTCTTCAATTTCTGCGGGGGTGTCACCCGCCACAACCCAGTAGTCCAATGCCTTAGTCGAGTACGCTTCGAAGCTCATGACATTCGTTCCCAGAACCGCCCGTCCGATACTGGGGTTATTCCATAGGAAGCCGTAGCCGAGCGACGAAACCGCAAAAGGAACACTGGCCTGGGAGTTGCGGTGCGCTAGCTCAAGGTCTGTACCTTTCAGGTTCAGGTAGGGCTGCTGATACTGTCCCATACCGAAGACCTTCTCTTTATGATCGAGAGACTCAAATCGCATAGTGAGGTGGTAGTCGCCGCCCAAGATTGGACGCAGCTCGCGAGCTTCGACAGTCAACGCGCTGCACTTGGGGTCCATCGGGTCCTGGCGGTGGCGGGCATACTCCTCAAGGAGTTTATTTCCCTTCGAGTCGTAGATGATAATCTTGCCTCTACGTGACACAGTTGCTTTGATGTTGCCGTTGGTGATAGTCGCTTCTTGGCCAGCGGATATCTCGATGGTTGGGCTTGGGCTGGATGGCTTGGAAGAGAGGGCCCAATCTTCCGTTGGAATTGACGCCTGTCTTGTTGCACGCACGCGGAAGGCATTCTCGCCCCATGGCTGCACCCAGAGGATGTGGTCGTCGAAACGGAAGACGAGCTTGTCGTCTTTGGCGTAGAGCATTTTGGTACACAAGATTGTTAGCGGTGATTAATCTGCTGCTTTCTGATGGAAACAAGAGGCGATCTGTGCTGGACAGATGAGCAGTTAGTTTAAAGAGCCGGGAATTAAGTATTGAGGGATGGCATGGTACCCCTCACCATGCACTCCTGATGCTGTGACATGGCTATTTCCGATGACAATTACCGCAGATCCACTGCATGAAGTACCAGTAACAACACCCATTTATTCGAGAGAACTTCTAAGAGGTCTCGGAGGTGTTGAGGTGGAGATACGTACCTTTAAACGCCTCGAGATCATAGGTAGCATCCGTCACGAGTTTAGCCTAAAGTCGACCTTCTAGATAGGGCAAGGATACAACTCCGTGTCTTCCAAAAGAGGAAATTTACATCGTCTGAAAAGATATCATATTGGTTCGTATAAGAATATTCCATAGACAAGCTCACTCAAAAGAAATGTCCTGTCATGTTGAATCAGGCACAAACGATTGGCGAGTACAGAGACCTGGATAAGTATAAATAGATTCCAGGGTAAACGAACACTCCCGACTCATGCTAAAGGATTTTATTTCATGGAAACCCTTATTTGCTGTGATTTTTAGGTCTAATGGCCTTCTTGCATTCCTTAATTTGCATAGACTAAAGCTATCTATTCCAGAAATAGTATGGTTGTACCTCGCTTGTGTTTTATATTGTGTTTTTGAGTATATCATGTTCTTTAAGGGTTCCCTGAATAGTACTTTGCAGACTATGTGAAACAAGCTACATATGGCACAGCGAGGTACATATGTAGTACCATAGTTTTTCCGGAATTTCGTTTTTGTTGGAAATTTCTATATACCATGCTCTAACTAGATCTCGATTCATGCCTCGTTTCAACAATGAGCCCAACCCACAATCGCCACATAAAAACAACACATACAAGACGAGGATCTCGGCAAAGATTGGATCCGCTTGGAGATTATGGCTATCATTCGGATCATGGATGGTCTAACAGCTTCATTGGATGATGTCTCCCACCTTCTTGCACTGGTATGTGTTTAATCTGTTGCCACAGTCAAAATATGTCTCCCGTTGTCCCCCTCAATTGGGCTTTTCTAGTGCCTGTTGTAAGCCCATACAGCACTTCCGTGCCTATGAGACATACGTTGATGGCGGGGTGCCCGAGAGACCATGTTACTATTTCTGTCCTTCTAGCCCTTCTTCTTTGTTTAAATATTTAAATATCCATAAGCTGTCAAAGAAAACAACCTTTAATCCCTTCACAATTCGTCCTCAGGCTCAGCGTTCAACAATAATAGCTGTTTAGACGTTGGGACGTTCGAAGTTGATGCCGGATGTCTGGTGTTCCCCGGAAAAAGAACGCTATTCCTTATCAGGACAGAGAGTCAAGCTACCAGCGGGCACGGTTTTCACCTTGCATTGCTCAGTCCTATCCCCTCAATTGTCAATTCCATTCGAACTGATAGCTGAGATCTGATTTGAACCTTTGATTCATCCAGCGAAGCCCAAATCATGGCATTCAGCGGGGCCGCCTCAGCTCCTACCGCGGACATGGACATCGACATGGACCTTGACCTAGGACCAGAGCCGGAGCCGGAGTCAATTCAGGTGGTGAGTGTTTTCTTTTGTCTTTATAGTCGTAATCGATTGTCGACTAACATGTGTCGAGTGCTAGGAAACAACTTCCAACTTAGAAACCACCGTCGACCCTCTCACCGATGAAGCGGTCTACGAAAAAGTGCATGTTCGCGGCGTCGATGAAATGACCACAGAAAATATCAAACAATATGCTCGCGACTGCTCTGGACAGGAACCAGTGCGCGTTGAATGGATCGATGACACATCCGCCAATATCATCTTCTCCGACGCCGAGATTGGCCTCCAAGCTCTCACAGCTCTCACCCAAGTCGCCGAGGAAGAAGACGCGTCTGGCTTGCCACCTCTGCGTCTCCGATCGGCGAAACTTCCCTCCTCCCACCCTGATTCCGTCCTCCAAGTGCGATCGGCTGTCAAGTCGGACCGCAAGCAAGCGCGTGCTCATGAGAAGAGTCGCTTCTATCTCATGCACCCCGAGCACGATCCTCGAGAACGCCTGCGTCAAGAGTTTGCGGATAGGAGACGCAGCGATGACACAGGCGATGGCGATTACAGGCGGCGCAGATTCGATGACCGGGAGCACCGACGCCGCCGAGACCGCGACGAGGACGACCACTTCAACGCCGACATGTACGATGATAATGTTGGCTCTGAACCCGAGCGCGCTCGGGGAAAACCCAGAGGTCGTGGCCAGAGGGACCTGTTCCCAGAGGACGAGGGCCGATCAAGCGGACGTCTCCGAAATCGCAGTGCGTCTCCGGGACGAGACACGCTGGAGGAAGAACTTCGAGTCGATCGAGGTGGTCGTGATAATAGCAGGCGGTTCCGTGAAAGGTCGCCTCGAGGTCGTAAGAACAAGGATAGAGAGCTTTTCCCAAGCGCGGGCGCGGGCGAGAGCGAGTCAGGAAACCGCGAGCTTTTCCCAAACAAGCCCACATCCAGCTACATCAAGAAGGAGTTGTTGCCTAGCAAGCCTAGTCATCATCGCCGGTCAGATGCATTCGACGCTTCTTCTATCCCAGGCACATCTGAACACAGACGCCACAGCAATATTGAGCTCTTCCCTGATTCCACCAACAATGGCGCCCGCATTCGTGGAGCAGCCACAGCCACCGAGGACCAAGGATTTGCCATCCGGGGCGGCGCATCGAACGGCATGTCGATTAAAGGCAGGGGTGCGTCGGTGCGCGAGCTTTTCCCTTCCAAGTTCGACAGTGACACCGACAATAACACCAACGCTGGCAAGGAATTGTTTTCTGAGACACTAGAGGGACGCGGCGGTCGTCGGCGTCGGGCTGAGGATATGTTCAGCTGAATAGACTAAGCGATAGGGCGTGAACTTGTGCATTTGCTTGATGTTAGGGGGCTTCACGGGAGCATGATGGATATCCGGCGTTTCGCGAATGGGGAAATTGATTGTCTGATAAAATTTTTATAATGACACATACTCTGCTCTGCTGAAGGGTGGAACACCTAAATTGTTCTGTAATCTCCGAATAATAACTGAATGTAATATGTAAACCAAACCAACATTCGTCTAGGAGTCGTAATTGGAAGATCTATACAAACATGTCGTGCGCCGCGACTAACCTCTCCCCAACCGAAATCTCTCCGAGGCATCAGATACAAGAATGGCTCCCTCCAAAACAATAGATGCACTATCAAGTGCTATCGTTGCTCGGTTCCTGCGCAACAATGACTATTCCGAGACACTGAAGGCTTTTCTCCGCGAGGCTGACCTTGCTCCCGACGTGGGGCAGACCTCGGGCGATGACACCAACAACTGGACCATCCAAAGCTTGCTCGAAGAGAAGAACACCTATGATCAAACCGTGAATTTTGAAAGATATGGCAAGGGTCATCAACAGTCAGCTTTATGGAGCGAGCCAGGTGAGTTTTATCCCTCTGGCATGGCAGTCAAAAGTCATGGGGACTCGGCTTTACATGTCAAGCTTTATCTGTAATTGCTTTCGTTCTGTTTTCTGACAGACATCTAGCACCATCAAGACCTGCTCTCATTCAGACACCGACATCATCAAATATCCTTGCTGCGTCGGTAGAGCAATGGCAGAAACCCCGCGGCTATGCCGATGAAGCCGCCGCAGAGGCTGCATCAGCGCAGTCTTATGTCGTCTCCACGGGTGCAGACAGACAAGTCCATTTACTCGAGACAGCAGAAGGCAATACGGCTATCAAATCATTCTCGGGCCTTTCTGATTCACCCATTCTATCATTGATCTCGATCCTTCAGGGCCGGTACATCCTCATGACCAACATGTCCGGACAGCTGCTCCTCCAGCATGGATCTCAAACGCTGGACAGCAGGAAGGATCATGCAAAGTACGTGGTGAAGGTGGTAGCCTACGAAGACAAGGCCGATCCTTGCAAGTGGTGGGTTGCCACCGCCGGGTGGGACGAGTGTGTTTTCTTATATTGCCTCAATATCCCCGAAGAAGCAGACGCACCAGCTCTCAAGATTGGCGAGCCCGTCACATACATTAAGCTCGTTTCAAACCCGGAATCACTGCTGTTTGTCCCACATGTGGACACCAACGAGCTGCTCCTCCTCGTCTCGCGCAGAGACTCGACTTATATCTACTACTACCAGGTAAAAGCAGCATCGGAAGAAACTGATACTAATGAAAATGATGGAACCGCTGCGGAGAAGTCCCCACGAGAAGCTCGCCTCCTTGGACAGCAGAACCTGGCCCCCCATTCAAATACCTGGGTTGTGTTCTCGCCGGCCCATATGGCGCTCAGTCCACACGACCCAGGCCTCTTGGCCGTAGCGACGTCGACATTACCCCATCTGAAAGTGATCATCGTGCGTCTGCTATTCCCTGCAACGAAGACAGCGCCCGCTTCAGAGGACCCGGTGACACAGGCGTCTCAAGCACTGGCAACACTGGAATTGCAGAACCGCGAGGATGCTGCTATCCTCGTGCAGGCAAACACCTTCGCGCCGCAAACTGCTTACTCCACACCGCAGGTGGCATGGCGGCCTAATGGGTCTGGGGTCTGGGTCAATGGAGATGATGGTGTGGTTCGTGGCATCGAGGCGAAGACCGGGAAGATCATTGCTACGTTGAAGGGTGGTCATGAATCCGGCTCTAAGGTGAGGACCGTTTGGTCGGGGTATGTCGCTGTACCTCAGGAAGAGGGTGACCCGGTCTGGGAGGAATGGGTTGTCAGTGGTGGGTTTGATAAAAGATTGGTTGTTTGGAAGGTATGACCTTTATGTAACTATGCAATATCTGTAGTGTGTCTAGAAGTGATACGCTAATATGAATATCATGAATGTGAAAGCAAATGTAGACGTAAAATGAATTGATTCGAACAAGGCCAAGTATAAAAACGACTGTTACTGTTTACGGAATGTAGGCCCCCTGACCATGAACCCTGTCTCGATCGAGAAGAATCAAGACAGGATATATAGCAATCGGGGACTTGGGGGTTATTCTTGGCACGTTAAGAAAAAATCCTTCAGCAATCGCGCATGAGAAAAGCACGCAGCTGTACACACATATGCCGGACGGGGGTTTGGGGAAATGGGAGCGAGACTAAGCTCAAGGGCCGCAACACAGACGAAGTCGGACCCTCGAGTCTGGAAGGAAAAAGAAAGGGATATAGCAGAAGAGATTCCGCTTGGGAAATTGGCACCGCTGTGCACATCGAATTAAGCCTGTTGATTTCTCGATATCAAACAACTCGAGGTTCGTCGCGCAAGGAATAAGCAAAAACCAGGCCTATTCGACACAGCGGACCGTCCTTGATCGTCACACACGTTATGTTCTCTGGACCTCTTGCACGCTCGAGTTGCATTTCATGTTTCCCATTTTTTTAAGACTGAGTTCATAATCTATGCGATCTCACGCTTGCCCTCCTTGCGCTCCTTCTATTCAATGGGTCAGTATTCCGTGTCATAGGTGGTGGGTGTTGGGTTCGGGTTGTGGTCAACGTACAAGGGCCTTCATGGTGCCGTGGAGAGCGTGACGGTGGTTGCGGCGGAACTTGGGGTCAACACCGTTGAGGGAAGGGTAACGGTTGGTCTTGGGCTTCTTGATACTATTCGAGGAGATATATCAGCGATTCGGTTCTGGTTGAGATGGTGTGACAGATGGTGGTCGAATGCAGTAGTTCGAAGAGATTGCCCGAGCGAATATTCAAGTCGTAACCTCAAAATTATCACACCAGATAAAACCATTCGCACGCTGGCACTTCTTCCACCATGTCCGTTGAATCGATTGAAAAATGTCGGGCAAGTGTAACAGTAGGGTGATCGAGGGAGTTCAAGGGTAGACGTACCCGTTACGGTGAGCCTTCTGGCTGTTGTGGTGCTGGGACGCGTTCTTGGACTCTGTGGGTGAAAATCATGTCAGCGCCATCGCCCTTTTTTTTTTTTCTCTCGCCAGCTTGCAGCAGGGCGAAGGTCATAGGGTCGTGGTAAAAACGTACTGGCCATCTTGTCGGATGTTGTCTCTGATTGACGGTGTGATGGATGGAGAGGAGTGGGAATAGGGACGTCAGGCCTAAGAGGCTCGGCTAGGGCTCGTCCCGTTTGTGGGATCTCGCTTATCGGGCGGTGTACATACTAGAGCGTCACTTTATGGCTTGTTACTTGCAGGATTGTCCTAGACAACGTCATAATATTTCAATACGGTAGTGTATCCTATTGTATTTCATTTGGTTATTCCAGATAATTCAAAATCTGGGTCTTTTTAGCTTGCTTTTGGCAGTTCTTCAATCTGCGACTTTTTCTCACTTCGTTCTGCCACTTTAACACACGTGACCTAGATATATTTATCACGTGATGTATATACTTCTCCATTTGCAAGTTAAGTACTCCAGGGTGCTGTCTATGGGGTATCTTCAAGACATTTTTTTTTTTTTCGGAGGCCGCATGACAGCAGCAAGTCCAATACACAGATACAATGCATTGTGTCCGATTACCAGCGAGAATTTCCAGACCAACTTGTTCTCGGCGTCAAAATTTCACCTTTGGAATCGGACTTCTGGCAAGAATTTAGATTCCAAAACGGACAAATACTAAAATGCATAGAGCAGTAATTGAAACAATATGTTTTTTCCTTGTGTTCTCATAAAAATATGCGTAGAATGACCGTAGTCAACACAGCTCATGCTGGCCATAGTCCGGCCGTTGAATTCCCGTGCCACGTGACCAGCCGCTAGGGAACAACCGGCATTCCGACTTCGACCTTTGCAACGCAACTTCAAGAGGGATAATCCAGCCTTTGCACGTCATCCACCACTGCAAAATGAGCTCCTTCCGCTTCGCTCGCTCCGCCCTCCGGGCTCGCCCTTCTTTCCTCGGTGCTCCCGTCCAGCGCCGTGGTTACGCTGAGGCCGTCGCCGACAAGATCAAGCTGTCCCTGACTCTGCCTCACCAGGTGCGTGAACGAACTCCGGCCGGCATCCCAACATCATTGCTTAAGTACTGACTTGATAATTACTCGACAGACCATCTACCGCTCGACTGGCGTGTATGTTATGCTTCCACTTGCGCCCGCGTCGACGGTGCCTGCGCCCTTTTCCTAAATACTGACCAACCTCCGCAATTACAGTACCCAGGTCAACATCCCCGCCGCCTCCGGTGAGATGGGTGTCCTCGCCAACCACGTTCCCTCCATCGAGCAGCTCAAGCCCGGTCTCGTCGAGATCCTTGAGGAGAGCGGCGCCACCAAGCAGTACTTCCGTACGTCCGATCCTCGCGCCCTGAGACATTCCGCAAATCTGGTCTCTTGTCAATTGGGATTAATCAACTAACAATGGTATTGTTGTATAGTGTCCGGTGGCTTCGCCGTTGTCCAGCCCGACTCCCAGCTCAGCATTAACGCTGTCGAGGGCTTCGCCCTTGAGGATTTCAGCGCCGACGTAGGTTATTTTTCTTCGCAACGTCGCGACTCAAGCTAACTGGAACTTCCTTGCTAGTCCATCCGCGCCCAGATCGCCGAGGCCCAGAAGATTGCCAGCGGCAGCGGCAGCGAGCAGGATATCGCCGAGGCCAAGATTGAGCTTGAGGTATGAACCCGCGGTGACTACTAGACTGGTTAAATACTGACTTTTTCTCGAACAGGTTCTCGAGACCCTGCAGGCTCACGTCAAATAGACTTGATGTACATAACCATTATCGCCCCAACCATGAACCTGTAGAATTATAGCAATTCTCCCTTTCCCTCTAATTATACTTGTTTATTATATCATTTCTTCTGTCTATATTCTAAGCGGTAGAGGTGGGAGCGCACCTTCCAAGCTTGGAAGTTGCGCACATGACTTGCCCGTCTCATCTCCAACGACCATCGACTTTCATCTTCAGCTGACCGTACAGACATGGCATTCGCCAAATCACTCAAGTCAGACCCTCTCGGCATCGTGGATACTCGACTGACGATGACGGACTCACCTACTGATGGCTTCTTTTCACCTCTCTTTGCGCCATTCACCGGGCTTTATGGAACCGACGAACGACAGCCGGGCAACCAGACAGAAGCAGAGGCAAGCCCAAAGCAAGCTCACCGAATCCTCGAACTTCGCGAGTCATTCCGTGGTTTCGATTCCAGCCGAAAATGTCCTCGACTTGAGTTGGATGTTGCTGTGGATAAGTACCACACTCTTGATGGCCTTGCTGAACCCTTGAATCCCCAAAACACGCCCGCATCAAATAGCGAACGAGGGAGCACGGAGGAATCTACTGAGTCCCTTCGTTGCTATAAAATGGAGAACCTACGGACGAGTCCTGCACCTCAGACGGGGAATTCAATTTCGATTGCTTCCAAGATTCGCCAGAGGCAAGCTTTGTTTGTCAAGACGATGGAAGCGAATCCCCCAAACCCTCAAAGTTGCGACGCCTTTCCGTTGGCCGCCGACAATGGATCAAACCCCCAGTTACTGCCCTGGCGAATCATCAGCCAGGCATAAATGCCGGTAACTTCAAGAAATTCGGCAATCCAGATTCACTGCTGCGATGCGTTCGGTTTTCTCCTCCAGCCTCTCTGTCTCCGCCTTCTCGTGCGATACGTCGTCCCCTACCTTCGATCGAAAGAAGGCAGGATTATGTTGCTTTGCATCGACAAAAGAAACAATACCGCAAATGGAAGGTCACTGGTCGCACGAACTCTCGAAAAAGCTCGCCATGCAACATCCCTGCAAGAAGAACGCAGTCTCTGTCAGCCTTCATCCCAAAGAACCATGATTTGCGTGGCTCATCCCTTTCTAGCTTGCCATATCGTGAAACACGTCAAACACCGTTCCTCCCTCGCGTTGTCTCGGGTGGTGATACCCGGGAAGTGAGAGCTGGCAATGTGGGCGACAATCCTGTTGCAGATGACTCGAACATTGCGGGTAACACCGAGCAGAACCTCCCTGCATTTCTTGCTGTTTCATTTTCGCTCTACGGACTCCGACCCGCACCTAGTTCATCCACTAAGAAAGCACCAAAGTACGCTTTCAGATTTCGAATGACTCGAACTGATCTCCCTCAACAACCTTCTCCGCATTTCCCTACCGAATTCGAAAACACCACTTGCCACCCGATCATTGATGACTTAATATTCCACACTTGCTTCATCATCCCTGCGCTAGTTGTACTGCTGCCTCTCAATGTCATCTTCGTTGCAACATACCCATTGACCAACACCCGGGTCGGCGCTGTAATGCTCTACCTTGCCAGAGCTTTACTGTATCTACTGACGAACATCATCATTCTTGTGTTGTCCAAATGTGGCGTGTCTTGCGGCTGCCAGTGGAATCCGGACACCGTCCATTCGGACTGAGAAGCTAGCTACACCCTTAGGGTGGTGAACAATTGAGGTTGGACAACATCGAGGGCACATGCGGACCAGCGAATTCCGTTCGTACTTTCTCCGAAGACAGTTTGTATGCAGTATATGCTACGGGTATCTTCTTGTGTCGTGCGATTGTGTTTACTCTTGTTCTATTTGATACACTTTTGTGGCTGAAAGCCGAGTCATGAGTATGAATTAAACAGATTTCAGTAACGAAGCCCTTTATACACTGTCCCATGCCACCTGCAACATGGAAATTCCACACCATGTCTATCTAAAATAAAAAGTAAAGACCGAAGCAATAAGTGAGAAAATAACGAGATCGCTTTTCGTAGCTACGACTTTGTGGGGCTAATCAAAAGTTATGCATGGAAAAGTCGATATCACAAATCAGACCTTTCCTTCCTTTTTCTGCCGTCTATCTATGAAACTGAGAAGTGGGACAAAATATCTATAAGAAAAAAATACATCTAAAAAGGTTAACCAAAAAGACATCACAAGGCCGCATAAGCGGCTTGCTATTCTTGTTCTACATATGCAACTATATGTACCGGACTTTCCCTGGCGGGTGGGGCTTTCCTTTTTATATCCACAGAACTTCCAATTTCACGGGATGTGGTCTGCCAGGATGCGAAGGAAGCGTGCTTCTAGTACCATAGGACAAATGGCAAAAATCAATGAAACCCAACAAACCAGATCTAGAAAAGACGCAGAAGCAGCCAAATGGTCGAGCAGACTGGATTTCTTTTTTTTTTGCTCTAGAAACGAGTTGAGCTAGTCATATATATTTGTCTACAGGTTTCAGAGTGCTTCAATCTCATTCAGCCCAAGCTTGGTCCAGCGCAAGATTAAGTCTTCAAAGCTCTCTGGTAGCGCGATCAGTTTGTTCATCGCCGAGGGAGGATCAGTATGAGAGTTTTCATCTGCTTCTTCATCAGACTCTTCTCCAGACTGTTCTCGAGACCGAAGAGAATAAAGCGCAGGAGAGCGACCAAGCTTTCCGTTTGAGGGTGATACAGGAGAATAAGATGGCGACGCCGGAGAATAGGAGGGCGATACAGGGGAAAAAGCGGGTGAGGTAGGAGAGTAGGAGGGTGACATAGGGGAATAAGCGGGCGAGGCAGGAGAATAAGCGGCTGATACAGGAGAATAAAGTGCAGCAGACTGGTCAGGCTCCGAGATAGCATCCTCTCGGTTGGTAGATGACGGGAAAGGAGCAGGCAGTGATGCGCCGGTGGCATTATTCGTTCGGTCCATATTGGCAAGTTCAGATTCCAGGCCATGTGTTGGAACCGTTAACTGGACCCGAGGATAGTCACTGTGAACTGGTCCTTGACCCGGGGAGGCGGGTCTGCTGGGGGTCGTTGACTCGTTCGGCGCAGTCGGTGAGCCGGGCTTGTTTTCAATGACCTCTGTGTGCTTATAGCTACTCTCACCATAAGCGTTTTTCTTATCAGAGAGATATTGTGCCTTGTGCTTCCGCTCAATCTCGAGTAGTTCAGACTCGTTGCGAGAGAGCCAACCCGATTTTAGAGAGTTCTGTAACTTGCTGGACTCCTGCACGTTGTCGGTAGGGGGTGTCTTGACTGAGGAAGCTTTACCCATCGTTTGTCGGGAGATCAATACGGGTGAACGTAGTCTGGGTGGATTTTCAATCCTCGAGAGGGCTTCTTCCCCTAGCGGTTTGCTAAGGACATGTTCGTGCGCTGCTGTTGGATACATCCAGGGCGCCTCCGCCATTGACAAACCTAGACCGTGGAATCGGGAATTTCCTCGCACGAACAGCTTCAAGGGAGCGCCAGAATCCGATTTTATCTGACAACAATATGCCAGGTTGGCATCACTCATGGGCTCTCCATGTTCGGGTTGACCGGGCTCAGCGAGGGAGATTTGCGCACTAGCCCAGTCGGAAATCCCGAGATTTTGACAGATCATTGCACGTAAATTCTCAACTGAAGGAATATCGGATATGTTGACTAGACGAAAGTTCAAGCCATCCAAGGTCACGAGAACCCATTTCTTCGGTTTTACCGTCAATACGTCGATAGAGGTCGATTGATGCTGGTTTGCAGTTTGTGATGGACCTTCCTTGGACAGCAAGTTATGAATATCATCCGGGAGGGCCACAGGCAAGGCAGTGTGAACCCTTGGACTTTCCGAGCTGTCGTTCTCGTCGCTATCAAAACGTCAACATTATTCTCATATGTGCCGATATAGGAAAAGTAACGTGAACGCACATCAATAGTGATTTGTCAAAATGACGGAGAACAGAATGACCATGAGTGAGTTGGAATCGAATAATCTCGCTGTCATGTATACTCAGAACACCTTTTCTTATTCTTGAACAGCGGCTGTTCTCGAGTTTTGATTTGCAGAAATCAATTTCATGCAACATTTTCCGAATCAGTGCGTTATACTCATTCACCTCGGCGAACTCGCCTTCTTGGAATGGATTTGGTTTTGGGGGTTCTTCTCCCGGCATTTTCGAGTCGAGCATATGCTGAGTCTGTTGATATTTCGGCGGAGAACAGTTTTCGCCATTCTTTTCAAGTTGTTTGTCTCGTAATAGTGTCTCTATCAAAGCACGCTGCTCTTGATTATTCGGTATATCATGGCTATCAATCATTTAGAAAAAGCGTGTCCAAGATCCAAGTTCAAACTCACTTGCGAACCTTCCCAGCAAACATAATAACATTGAGCAGAAGCAGCATTGTTGATTTGAGCCTTTCCAAGTCGGCTTTCAGGGGATCTAGGCTCGGTTCTAGTAAAACGAGCTTAAATTTCCCAGTAACCTGTTGCAAACGGCTTTTGCCAGACTGATCATTGATATCGACAACTTTTTCGATCTGTTGAAGCACATCGCGACATTGCTCTAGAACACACTTCAGTGTTTGAAAGGCCTCATCTGAACAGAGCTTAGAGGATTCCCCCCCTTTCAAGCTATCACCCAGCTCACGCAGAATGGCACTGATAAGTGCGACCTCGTTTGACAGGAGCTGTATAGTTTCGTTTGCATTTTTGACTCGTCGGTAAAAGGAGAACAGTTTGACGGATAGGGAAGTGCCTAAGTCTGCGACCTGTATGATACTGGCTGCAACACCAATGATCTCGAGGCCAGACATGACGGTAATACACCGAGCTAAGCACAGATAAAAGAAAACACTTGAGAAATACGGGTGTTGGGGCTGTTATTGCAGCGGGCGGGGCGCATTGTTAGCGCAGTGTTAGCGTTTCGTCAAATGCCCACGTGAAGGGATCTTCAATCATTACTTATTATGCACTTTGATACGCGTCAAGCTCTTGATTTCCGGGACAGTGGCCAGTGGGTGTATGAAACTAAGCTTGCCCTAACTTGGCATGTAGTAGCTCCGTGAGTGTCTGAGATCATGATCATCTATACCTACCTAGGTACTAAGGTTCAATTCAATGTAAGGAGGTTTACTACCACAAAATGATATTCAACATTAACCAAATTCCAGAGTCTTTTAAGTTGCATTTCTGGTCGGTTAGAAAAGTCCAAGCGGTTGCAAAAGAATAGGGCAGATAACCAATACCAAGACCAGGTATATTGGTAGAAAGATGAAGACAAGAAGACCAGCAAAATAGCCAACCAATAACCCAATAAAACATCCGTTAAATCGCTGGCATCATGAAAGCAGAGATGAGAAAGGAAAAGCTAGCTAAAAGAATCATTTCGTCGCCTGAAAAGCACATTCAAGAAAGAAAAAGGAAAACATATAAAAAAGACATAGCAGCGTGACAGGGGGGATCATTTATATCAACACGGCTCTGAAGCACATAACTCGTTTTGTACATGTCGTAAACTGGGTCTGGAGTAGACACAAGAGAAAGGGAAAACGGAGGATGCTAGACGGTACCAAGAGAGCGATCAAGTAAATTCCACACCGTGCTGCTGCTGCCTCTCTTGTCGGGTCCGGGCTCGTTCAGCACGTCTGCGGCGACGATTGTTCGCGTACGAGCCGCTCATCTCAGTACCGGTATATGTGGGGGAAGTGACACTGCCTGCCCCATATGGAATGGTGGAAGGCGCAGGAATGGGAGGTGCGGGCGGCATTTGGCTGACCTGGGAGGCCGGTGCGCCCCATGAGGATGCAGGAATGCTGCCTGAAGGTGCCATAGATGCCTGTGGAGGGGCAAGTTGAGCAGCAGCGGCCTGTTCACGTCGCATTTGCTCGTCTTGTCGACGTTCGAGTTCTTCGACGCGACGCCAGCGGTCGTAGCCCGCGTCTTCGTTGCCAGACAAGGAGCCCGCACTGCTGTTGCGACGTCGAGAGCTTCTTCGCTCTCTGCGACGGGCCTCACGGCTCGCGGCCGCTTCTTCTTCGGTCAGCCGACGGAGTGTAACATGTCGTCCGTCATTGTGCATTTTCACTTTCACAGATACCGGCGGTGAGGCAACGTCGTCCCCTCGGCGCCGGCTGCTGCTCCGATTGCGACGGGAGGCTGCATCTAATGCTGCACCAGCGGCCGCACCTGATGCAAATTCTGCTCCATCATGGGCGAGGGAGTGACGTGAGGGAGGAGCTTCCGGCCTCAAGTCACCAGAGAACTGCTGGTGGCTCGGGGGCATAGGCGGCATATCTGATACAGCGCTATGGACAGCACCGGAGGCCAGAGGAGGCTCTGCAGTAAGAAGAGACTCTCCATGTGAAGTGTGTCGAGGTGGAGGACGGGATAGATCGGTTTCGGTGAGATCAGTTTCACTGTACGAACTGGCCCTTCTTCGTGGGTAGAAACTTTCTCCCGCCTGTGGTCGTCGTCTGCTGTTTACTCTCTGCAGCGCCTCGTCTTCATCTTCTCGGCGCTTGATATCCTCCAGCCGCCGTTTCTCTTCATCGTCCTTTTTATTACCGCGGCTGAATAGTCGCTTCACGGCAGCAAAAGCACCGGCACCCAGAACAGCGTCTCTAATCCCATGAGAAGCGTTTCGCTTGGGCGGTTCGGTGAAATATGTGCTGTTGTAATAGTAAGATGAGCCTGGACTTTGGGACCTGCTTGGTGCACGACTCGGTGGTCGATTAAGGGGCGTGTGATGTGTTGGCTCCGGTCGACCATCTTCCATCCTGCTGAGAGATTCATCCGTGTGGCTAGTACTGCGCGAATGCGCAGGTCTATAGCGACCCGATTCGGCATCATCTTCTCGCTTCTTTCGACGGTCCCAGAACTTCTTGGCCATGAGACCAGCCCCAGCCAGTGCGCCAATCTCGAGGAGTTTCTTGCCGAAACCACCACCTCCTCCACCACCATGATGGCGGGAAGATTCATCCGAATATTTTTCATCGGAAATAGATGTGCGAGAGTCTTCATACGCATGGCTTGGGTGGCGACTGCTTGTACGTCGTCGAAACATTGAAGCCAAGCCAGCACCTGCAGCACCGGCGGCGAGAGCTTGTCCCGCGTGATTGCCATGGTGCTCTGAAACTTCTGAAGGTCCCGTATAATGACTGCGATCACCACCGTGCTCACTTCCCATGTGATATCCTTCGACGTCATATCGGTAGGAAAGTATAAAGTAAAGAACCAAGTAGCCGAAAGCTGTCAGCGCGAACAGGATGAATAGGACCTTTGGCGACCCGTAAAGCGTGAGTCCTAGTGGAATTTGGGCAATGCCGAGAAGTACAAGAGCACGACCCAGCCACCGGTGAAACTGAGATATGTTAGAAAAGCACATAGATCCCTTCTTGAGGCATCACTTACCACCAGTTTCAAAGGAACGTGGACTCGCTGTCTCTTACTCTCCTTCTTGTGCAGGAACCAGCCCCACAGCACCTGGAAAATGACCAAAACATAGATTGCCAGGCCAATTCCATGATGAGGGTTGGTTAGGCTTCTTTCCGGCCCAACGGCGAACCACCCAAGCACAAACACGACCGTGGTCAAGAGCAAGGTAAGTACCTGACACCAAGCATGCAATTTGAATGCCCAGTAAGGATTCCATCGGGAGTAGTATCGGATTAGGAAAGTTGATGTTGGGACGATACCCAAGAAAACGATGGTTGCAATGACGCCGTGCGCGATGATTATGGAATGGTACCCGGCCATATCTTTGAAACGGTTCCCCATGCCTGTAACATGTCAGTCATTACAAGATAACTAAAAAGGTATACATCTTAGACTAACCATTGTATCGCATCGTCTCAAAGTTAACCCCCATCAAATTGGGCAGCAGGAAGGTATCCCGCCCAGAGTCCCAGGTGCCATCCCCAACATGAAGGGTATTGGATGAATACGTGCTGCTCCCAGCGGCGGCGAGATCTGAGTTTGACATTTTGCGGATAATTCTCGAACGACTATGCGATCTTCAGTCTGGAATGTCGGATTTACCGCCGGAGATCTTTCGAGATCTCCCGATCCGAGGAATGCACCATGCGATAACGGGATCGGGATTTCAACTGGAATGCCCAATAACAGGTGGCCCAATTGGTTGTATATTGACCAGTTTATGGCGTGGAACTGATCGTGTCACAGGATCTAAGTAGGGTTCGAGAGTGTCGTAGAGTAGAAGTCGAAGCGGAGCGCAAGGAGAGAGAGAAAAGAAAGTCGTACAGATTCGGAATGTGAGGTTAGGATAGGATTGAAAAAGCGTCCGACAACGCAGTTGATATGAAATAGAAAAATGCACGTCGCACGGGACCTCGGGCAGAGAGGAATCACAACAAGAGGCTGAGCGATTCCCCTTGTCATCTGTTTTCCTACAACACATTACCGGGCCAACCAGCTGCTGACTCATCATCGGCATTGTGACCGCCTTCCAAAGTCAGCTAGGCTGTTGACTCGTTATCTTATCCGTCTTATCCTCAGCTGATCTTATCACAAGATTGCGTGCTGTGCCTGATGGAGCTCGAATCGTAACATCCCACACCTTCTCTTCTTCCCCCGCCTGATCCTTTGGAATGAGTACCCTCAATACAAGATGACTCCTCAACGAGAGATATTTATTAACGCTTTGTCCCGGTTTGTGAACTATTATCCGCACTTGATTGCCACAGGGCAATCCAAGGTTATGAACATGACTGACTAATACATCCCAGCTCTTTAGGATGGGCATAGTAAGTCTATGTTGATTCCGAGGCTATATTTCATGTGACACTTGATTTGATGGCTAACTCGAACACAGCATGCTCTGCTGGTCGGGGTCTTTTTATCCGCAGCCCATCACCAACTGGAAACGCAAGTCCACAGTCGGCTTGTCCATTGATTTATCCACTGTCAACCCTCTCGGCTTTGTCTGCTATGCGATATATACCTCCGCGTTTCTCTGGTCACCGGTCATTCGATCACAGTATGCGGCCCGCCACCCTGCCTCGATCGAACCCACCGTCCGGTTCAACGATTTCGCGTTTGCGGCCCATGCAGTGGTATTAACCATCATACTGTACACACAGTTCTGGCCTTTCATCTGGAAGTTCCACGTTTCCCGTTTCCAAAGGGTCAGTTGGACAATGGCAGGCCTCTTTTGGGGGTCTGTCCTGACTCCTCTGGTGGTTATGGCGGTAGTGTTGGCGCAAAGTCCGGATGACGGATTTGATCCTTCCACTTGGGCGTGGATTGACGTGGTAGGTGAAAATAAGCTACCTTTCTTCAATAAACTTCTAAACCATCGGGGAAACTACAAAACAAAGCTAAAATCCTTCCAGATCTACTCGTTTTCGTACGTCAAACTCCTGATCACCATTGTGAAATATATGCCTCAAGTGGCGTTGAATTACAAGCGCCAATCTACAGTAGGATGGAACATTGGAACCATTCTACTAGACTTGGCTGGTGGTGTTCTTTCAATGCTTCAACTAGTGCTTGACTCCAGCCTTCAAAATGACTGGAGCGGTATCACAGGTAACCCAGTCAAGCTACTGCTGGGCAACGTTACAATCCTCTTCGATGCGATCTTCTGCATCCAACACTATGTCTTATACCGAGATGTTACCCCTGACCCGAAGAGAACACCTGGTCCGGGCGAGGAATCGCCCCTCTTGGTCGGACAAGATGATGCTGTGAGAGATCAGGAATGATGCAAGGCATAAGAGAGATACATGGGACGAGCATAGTGACTTTGGGGCCGAATTTGAGACATTGGGGATATTTCTCTATTTTTGTAGAAGCAGTGCAGTCTGATCTTGGACCTTTGAGACATTGTGGGGGCGGGAATTCTGACCAAACGTCTCAGCCCTGGGAATATCTTGGCGATTTGACGATTGGGGGTTTGGTATAAGCCACGATTTAGATACACGATAGACCATCCTATTAGGAATGTGATGCTATGTTTTTTTTTTCCAGATCTAAGACACACTGCCAAAGATTATTCTTAGACCGAAGATATCCGGTCTCACAACCAGCTTACAATGTACAACGTGCCATTCTAGAAGCATTCAGGCCATCATTTGCTATTCCTTGAAACCTCCCTAGATAACCCGTCGCATAATGTAATAGTTTTAATTCACACAGTGACTGGATAATGGGCCCGAAGCCACACTGAGGCTCACGCCGATCATATTGTAGACACCGCTCCTTGTTTTGAACGGCCCCCCGTATTTGGTCCCCGCCGAGCGATGTGAGTGGTCGAACGAAGGAATAAGCACAAATTTATCAGCTTTGGCCAATCATGAAAAAGGAAACGGTCTATCCAATATGCACTAACGGTGCTAGCCGTCGGTGTCGTGCTAAGAGCCTCTGGTACTATAGCTGAACCTGAAGTCCAGATTCCCAGATTCCACATGAGCTCATTTTCTACTATATACCGTCTGCAATACCTGATTTGCGTAATGATCAACCATACAAAAGAGCCTTGGGGGCGAAATATGTCTGCAAGATATCAATCCCAGCTCCCTACCAGTAAGATACCCCGCCACGCAAGAGATACTACCTTCGGCTTTAACGTTACCTTCAAGCTGACTCAACCTTCAGAAACTGGAATTAAAATTACGAAGTTAAGAAATCGGAAATTATCAACAGGGCATGGAATCGGGGATTATGTGTATAATTTCAGGCATCTCTTGTGTAATGTCGCCATAACAATGAGGCTCTTGATATCTATGAACAAGATCCACGTGTTTATAGCGAACATGTATAAAAGACAAAAAGGATCTTACAGAATACCGCAACACCGGTCCTGGTCATCCCTGGCATCCGGCGCGTCTCGTGGCTTTCTACTGGCCAATAATACGAGCGCACAACGCAGACCCTAGGAATATCATAGCTAATTCATGAAACCCTAACCTCTTTCAATTATCTGCCGGTCTTGGTCTAGCCAACCTGGGAATGTACCATGTGCAGACCGACGTCGTCATCTTTCAGCCCTACTTTGAACTTGCCCCCATAGTTATACAAACGAGAACACCAATACCTGCAAGCCATGATTGGGTTGAAGATCATCCCTCAAGCCCCCGGCCCCAGTAATCCATCCATTCTGAATTTGAGTCAACCCCCAAAACGAACGGAACGGTATCAACTGCTCGTTCGATATATTACCAATACTAACTGGCCAGTATCATTAACAATTCAATGTTCTATATCAAGCATGGCAGTATTATCACTGTTTCAATTTCTTCTGCGGAACGCCTAGAAGTTCAGGATTACAGCACTGCCTCCTCGACTTGAGATGGCCATAAATACTCCACTACCTGTTACGTCTTAGTCTAAAAGACAAGTTCAGCTCTAAATCTGCCAAAACTCTATAACACTTTGGCTTCTCAGTCTTATCGGGCAACAATCTTCATGTGCATGGACAACTGTTCATACATCCTCTATAAGAGCGAAATTATACTAAGCATTTAATATGCAAGAGCGGTTTCCTCCAAAACACAGCTTTGAGTACTTGGAGTTCTCTTTTCCATCCTCAGAACTATCATCCCACAGCATCATCTACATCCCCAACATCCCCAACGTTGCCAATATGTACCCTAGTCGCCAGAAGTCTAGGAGTACGTACAGCACGATGCCGGATAGTGCTGGTTACTTAGAGTCCTCAGAGCCCCAACAGATGGGAGGCCTGTCCAATATCCCCACCAGCGCTGCATCCAACTCTTACATGTCCCCCCTTCAGCAGATGAACTTTATGGACGCCCAACCAGACCCTCGGTCCTTCCTAGCCCCGCGGAATTATTCCACGGGGAGAAGGGGATCGACAGACACTGACACAATTGGCTCTCAATACGCATGGTCCACTGCGTCTAACGCAGACATCCTCTCAAACTCTCCGCACATGCCCCCCTTTGAGACCACCATCGGCCCCACCACAACGCCCTTCATTCAAGGTTACTATCCCCGGGAATCTCTACAGCTCGCTATGAACGGCCCGGGCGTGTCGGGCTATACTCCTCAGCAAATAGATAAATGGTGCATTGAGAGCGAACCAGCCAGAGACTTCTACCAGCCACAGCCCTTCCCAAACATGGGCTCTATGCGTTTTCCACCATCAGCGGAGGTGCAACCAGAGCCCTACCCAACATTCAACAACCAACTCAACACTGCGAACGAGCAGTGGCTCTCTTGTCCACCCCATTCCTCTGATCCGATCCCAGAAACCTTCTTCTCAGTTCCCCGATCCGTCTCGGCTCCTCGATCAGTCCCAGCTCCAACAACCCATATCTACCAATCCACCGCTACAACCACCTCAATCTCCTCATCGCCAGCACACTCCCTCTCCGACCCAGATTCTCCACCAGCCGCACCAGGTTCAGCCTCCGGCTCAGGCTCCGGCTCCAACTCAGGCGACCTAAGCAACTACGGCATCCCAACGGGCGACGGCACCTGGCGCTGCGCACACCCAGGCTGCTCCTCGCAGGCTGTCTTCCATCGAGGCTGTGATCTGAGGAAGCACTTCAACCGCCACCGCAAGTACCTCTTCTGTCGCTATGAGGGATGTCCTCAGTCTGCGAAGAATGGGTTTAGCAGCAAGAAGGACCGTGCTCGGCATGAGGCGAAGCATAATCCTGGTGTGTTTTGTGAGTGGGAGGGCTGTGGGAAGGTGTTCAGTCGTGTCGACAATATGAAGGACCATGTGAGGAGGATTCATCGGAAGGGGGAGGCTGCAAGGGCTTGATTGTCGGTGAGATTACCATGATGACTATGAGGGTACTATGGTTCATGTTTACTTGGTCTTGGGCTTCTTTTGCTGTCTTGTTTGTACTTTGTGGGTTTTGGTTGGTTCTTTTATGTATAACATATAACATTGGTAGGCAAAGCGGAAAAAGGCATGGCGAATTTAGAATGAACGATTCTGTTGTTTAGCGAGGAGTTATATTTCGCTTCTATCTTTAAACACACAAAACCATTTAGAAATAAATAATTGCCTCGCTTGAGAAATGCTAGACATATACATGATGATGTAGATATGCAAATCTAGAATTAAACTTGCGCATTGCCGAGTAGTCAACGCCATGAGAAGCGACTAAAAATGCTTGATTCTAATTTTAACGCTAAACAAAGCCCTAGGCCAGACTAACATCATCCTGAACCTGATAATAGGAATTATTGCAAACAGGCCTGTGTAATCAACTACTCGTGACCTTCTTATGCATCCAAGACGTTTACGCAGAAATAGACCAGATGAAACGGGAATTTCCCCTAGATTTGGATTCTAATAATAGTGCAAGATACTCATAGTTTTCTACAACAAACAGTATTGCACAATGTCTAACCTATCGTCCTTATACGAGCCCACTACTCAGTTGAGGCTATGTACTGTGGCGAAGAGCAGGTATAGGAGCAAAAATATAAATAACTGCAGGGATTGCCCGATTGCCTTTCCTGTCCAGGGTATCCGGGTAAATAAGGTCCTTGAGGTTTGTTAGTCTATGGAGCCAGGGCAATGATCCAAATCGTCGTATTTCTATGTCAAGACCAGACTTATGCGACGAGGTGTGCTTTCCCGATTCAGAGCCCTAACAAAACCGCCTCCGCGCGTTGGTTTCTACCAACTACTAGTACCATCTTAGCGAATTACCAGTCCCGAAATATCCTCCTCGGATCGAGGGCGGCGCCAACCATGCAACTTAAATAACCTGGCTCGATTTGACCAGACCAGGCAGGGCCTCCGTGCCGAAACCAACAACAGCCAGGCCCCGGCAACACATCTGCGCCCGGAGGATGTGGAAATGATGCAGCGGAGGTTATCAGCATCGTTCCGGGTGCCATGGAACTGATACGAGCCCAGCGTATTACACCGACGCCCCGGGCGAGTGCCCTCCCGGTGACGGCTACACAAAGGGCCAGCCAACATACTACTCCAATCAGTGCCTTGAGCAGCCGCACGCTTCCTGGGTAACCAGGAGCTATTACTAGTTGCTACACTATTTAATTAGGGAAATGGATGATATAGTTAGTGTTTTAAGGGTGTGTTCTTCAGGTCGAAAAAAAAAGAATATCAGATATCTGAAACTTCCAAGGGTTGGGAAACCCAAGGTTCTGAGGCTCCAAAGTTTCAGCTTCGCACGTGTTTCCAAGGTTGATCCTAGAAGCTTAACTCTTAACTCTATTTGAAACGTGTATGGACCCCCGTCGTTCACGCACAACGGCATTGTATTATAAACTCTGTCTGTAGATATCGATTTTAAGAGATATATGGCTTGCACAACACAATTGAAACCAGAAAATCGCGAGAAACATCCAATTTCGTGCAGATACCCCATCAGTCGAAGGCAAAGTTCTCGCCATGTGTGTAATATCCTTAAGCGAGATTCTGCGAATTTGCCGTTCCATTAAAGTAAAGATTCCCTGGAGTCCAAGACCCCAACCAAGCAGGATTTCCAGAGAGAGGAGCTGCCATGGCCGTTTTATTTGCAGCAGCATCACCACCACGGGACTCATGAAGCCACCCTGTAATGATCGACCTCACAAGCCCATACCCACCATCTGCATGACCACTGAACCTCGTCATATTGTAATGATCAGCATCGATGCTGCAGCTCTCATAGCCCCGCAGAACCGCCGAGTGCTCTTCAACGATCTTTCCTACTACATCATTCATATTCCTCGCTTCGTAGAAACAGAAGACCTTGAGGGCGAGGTCTCCGCGACGAAGCATAGCCTGAAACTCATTCCCAACTCGTTGCACATTGTTCGAACCTGGATGGAGAGCACCGACCATATCTCTGTTTGCGGTGTGGACTATGTTCATTCCTTTTGCGAGTTTTTCTCGGTACGAGGCGAGCGAAGATCCGTATTGCGGTGTGCCCATGAAGATTATCCCGATGGCGCTGGATGATATCGCCCATAGTCCGTCTATGGAATTGCTGAGGATCAGGGCCTGCTGGCATACCAGCCCGCCTAGACTGTGCGCGATAAATAGGATGGGTCTGTTTGAGCAGTCGATTCGTTGGCTGACTATTGCATAGGCTAGGGATTGGCTGTGGTCGTAGAGTCGGTCGGAGAAGGTAATCGAGGTAAAGCTGAATATGTCGACGTCGTAGCCGAATGTCATGATGCGTGCCGTGGATAAGTCTTTGGTGAGAAGATCTCGGGGCCATAAGGTTCCGTTTTCGTGAGTCCATGTTCTCTCGCGGTTGCCGGTTAATCCGTGGATTAAAACAATGCTAGTTTAATGTATGTCAGTCCGAATGTCTTTTTTTGAGTTCTTGGTTCATCCACTTTGGGCTCCCTCTTAGAGTAGAGGATGGACTCACTCCAGGTTAGCATTCAAAGGATCAGATAGCACCTTCATTCCAATTGCACCTTCTGTGGGGTACCTCGGCATAATTAGCTCGGTAAATCATTTCTATTCTCGAAATCTTACAGACTGTGTTCTGGAACCCCGGGTTTCGTCTTGCTCCTGAATAGCGATAGCCTCATAGTGGCGAACTATATGTGACCTTGGGTCAAATACGCGAATGGAACAAATATCAAGAAAAGAATAGCGAGATAGAGTCAACAAAAGAGACAAGCCCAGAAATGAGCCGGTGAAGGGCTAGATAAGTTTAAAACTCTTTATCCTGACTGTTAAGCGCCCTCTTCTTGAGAACGTACTACCCCTGTCCGGAGCTGACGAACCCCATGCATTATACAATGTCTTAAGTGAACCACATGTCTTAACACTGTCCGTTATACGTCCATATTGAAATCATTATAGGTGACACAGAAATATCCCGATTAAAATGGCTGCGAACACGCATGTCCGTGAGAATATATCGGGCTGGAACGTCGTGGTAGCCCCACAGGATCAGGCGCAGAACTTCTACATCGACAATGTAAATGGTCGAGTGAGCCATTGGTGCATGATTGGGCTCGTCTTCAGGAGGGCTGCCAAGACATCGTAGACTTGCTTGGAATTCCCGGCGGTGAGGATCCTAGGACCGACATGTTCAGGCTTCTCTGCGCTTGCATCTGAGATAGCAAGGATGATTGGGCTCTCATACTTGACAATTTTAATGGTTATCGCTTCCTTGACGAGAGCCTGCATCTAGTGTGGACGTATCTTCAGACTTGATTATTGGATGCTTCTTTCTTTTACAAAAGTTCGCAGTCGCTAATCCGACCTTCCTACTAGAATTGGGACCGATGCTAATTTCTCTTCCTACATATAATCGGCCAGCTCACTGCATTAAGCAAGCCACCAAGCCACGTAAACGTGATGTAGTACCCATAGTTCGGCAGTGGAAGGAGGCTGACTCGATTGTGGCGCAAAAGGTGGACAGAAAAAAGTTCCTAGGCATAGATCATCGCGAGAGACACCCTAGGAATGCACAACTTGGCGGCTGGGAAACTTAATCGACATAGTGAAGCCATGGAGCTGATGGAAAGTGCGTGGAATCGAGGGAGCGAGTTATAGCCCGGCATTCGGACTTAATTCGAATTTCTACTAACTTGATGGAATGGAAGGTCCAAAAGTTGAATCTCAAGAGAGGAAGTATCAGATCGGATTGATCATACGCGCATTTAAAGTGAAGCCAATCTCCAGTTATGGTGCACCAAAGGGGAAGAGACTTCTATCCGAGTGTGATCTTTGATATGTTCCAAGTAAAATGAAGGAGAAATTTCAATAGATGAGGTTTCATAATACCCCAATCGAATCGATCAGACAAGATGGAGAAAGAAGATGAAATAGTAAAAAACAATAAAGACTCACAACGCTCCAATTAAACGAATGGTCCATGTAACACCATGAATTTCTAACAATGGACAGGTGGTATCATTGCAGAAGCACCAAAACAAAAGTACCCAAAGGTAACAAAATAAAAAACAGCAGAAAGGTATCACAGCTGAGAAATTCGTCACGCGTAAAGTTGCGAAGTTGCCTCCAGGGGGGATTAGCATGTCTTACTGAGGCGCTAATCTGGAAATCTGGAACACCCGGGGGACACAGGGTTGAATGTGGGAGAGAGTGAGGGTGGAAGAGGGTACACGTCGGAATGGGTAGGATAGAAAGGACATGGGCGAGAAAGAAAGTTGGAAATGCAAGATGTGAACAGAAATAGAATCAAAAATAAAACGAGAGGCTAAAGGTTCATATATTGTTCATCCTTCGTTTTCTCCCGCGGGCGCTACCAAGCGGCCTTTGCGCGAGAACCTGTCGGAGAATGGGATCGTCTTTGTTTTTGTCGACGTGGTGTACACGGACATGTCTGTGTGAGTGTGAGTTCAGCTGATGTCAGATTAAGTGAGGCTCGGATGTAGCACGAACCGTTGAAGATTGTCGGGTCGCGGGTATTTGTGTTGCTGGTCTGGACAGAAGGGACAGACGTAGCCTGGGGAGTTGTGCACGAGACCATGGCGCATCATTTCATTCTTGCGCTTGAAGCCTTTTCCGCCCAGTGCGCGTGGACAGCCCTCTACTGGGCAGAAGTGCGGGCGGTCTTGTGAGTGTACGTTTGCGTGAGAGCTGCTATTTCGTTAGGTGGGGGTTTCACTTGAGTCGTTTTTTTTGGTCTTACTTGAGGAGATACTGAGTTTGGAAGGGCGCAGCAGTGCATCCAGGATGTGTACACTTGTAACTACCCACGGGCCCATTGGCCTGGGGAGTGGACGCAGAGAGCGAATGCCGATCACCCATACCAGCGCCGACCTGTTCCGTGGGCGTAGGATAACTGGTTGCTGGGCTTTTGGCAGTCATAGGGGAAGCCTCATACGGGGTCTGGACGGACAGCATCTCAGACTGGGGTGGTCCGCGCCAGAAGGACGAGTGCGAGGCCGGAGAAGGGTTGGTAGATGAGTCCTTCATGCTCACCGGCGAAAAGTGAGAAAAAGGACTTGCAGGGATGGAAAACTTTCCCGGAAAAGCGCGGTCGAATGGAGAATCGTTCCCTGACGTAGTTGATGTGGGACACGAGGAGAAAGGGAAGGGTGATGACATTGTGTTGACTGGTGGTGCGCCGAAGTCTGACAATGCGCTGAGAGCTTTGTGGATAGACGGCAGCGTCTGTTTATTGCTGCTGTCTGGGGTTTTTTCGAAACATGATCCAGAAGAGGGTTCAATCAATTTTAGTGATGGGAGGGGAATATGGGGATCTCTTTCCGGAGAGGTTTTGAGATGGGGCAACACCTGTGAGAGTCGTGGGGTCTGGCCACTCAATGATGGAAGTCGCTCTCTTTGAACAACCTCGGTTTTAACCTCAACATCTGGCTGCATAGGCTGGAGCGGGACTGGAGCTGGTTCCAACCGGGGGGTTTCTTCTCAATCTTGTTATATGAGGCTGAGCCTGAGGGTGCCTTGAGTTCCAGTGATAGTTTTGCTGCAGGCTCATCCCTTGAGAATGGATTTGACCTCTTTGGATCTCTGGGATCAAAGTCAGGCGGTTGCTTATGATTTTTTTGATTCCCAGGTAATGGTTCCAATGGAGAATTCCTTGCGGCTGCGGCAATCTCAGGGTGGTACGGAGCTAGAAACTCCATCAGCACTCGGTCGCCCTCACGGGTTGAGTTCTGAGGTTTCGGCTGGTTGGGCTTACGAGAACCCGCTGCATCGGCATCTTTTTCGCTAGTCGAAACAAATGGTGGTGGTGGTGTGTCGTTCTCTCCATAGTTGGGTTTCATCGCCTCCATAGGAGGCGATCGATTAAAAGCATCATCCGAATCATACATAGCGGATGTCATAAAGAAAGTGGCAGGTGCATCGGGCACCTCGCCTTATACTTGTTGTTGGTCTGACTGATTGAATTGACGATCACACATCAGAACTGATGATAAGTAGCCTGTAAGATATGGTTAGAGAGGGGTTATTGTAATTTTGACTCTCCCGATGATCGGATGAATGAAAAAAGCACGATCTAAGTGAATAGAATAGAAAAGAAAACCAAAAAAGCAAGTTTTGACACAATGCGACTGCCCGTAGTTCTGCAAAGTGTCGAGATGGGGAGATGAGGGGTTGTCAGGTCAGGATGACCCGAAGAGAAGAAAACGAAAACCAAACAGGTCTGAGGGTAGGAACCATGAAAGACAAGCAAGAAAACAAGAATGTAAGAAAAGCAAGAAAAGCAGAAAAGAAAAAAAAAAAAAGAAACCCCAAGCTCTAGAATATCCAGTTTCGAGGTCTGCAGAAAGTGCACTTACCCAAGCGGAAAGGTGGACGGGTAGTGAATGGGTCCCGGGATGAGGCTCAAAAGCTCCGATTGTCACTGCGCCATCTGCAGATGAAATGATATCACCCGAAAGGAAGCGTGCAGATAGGAAACTGTACAGTAAAGTCTGGAAGAAAAGAAAGGAAAACTAAGGTAGAAGTTGCAGGCGGGAAAAAGAGTCTAAGGGTGAGATAATACCACGTTCTACACGTGTAAGTTAGGGCCCCAGCAATATCTACCAGTATAATGCCAGTATCAAGTATCAGCAAGAAATAAAAAAGAAATAAAAAAGAAGAGAGAACACAGAGAAAAGGAGAATAAACGTCTCAAGGAATATTCGAGGGGGAAGAGAAAGAAAGACATGCGGCTCTCTTAACTCGGGGACCCACATAATTAATAGATTACATAGTTTACCGTGACATATTCAAAACAGATTTCTATTATTATTCGGGTTTTATATTTCAACAATGTTTGTATTAAATTTTTGTGATTCTTGTTATTTTTGTTATTTTAGGTTTTTGGGTTTGGGGGGTTTTTGCACCCTCTCAACTATACCTTCAACTTTCAACTTCCTCTCTGCTGACCATGATCCCCTGACATACCTTATCCCCTCTACTCGGAGCATTTGAACTTGGTCGCACATAAGCCAAGAAAAGAAAAAAAACCAGAAAAAAAGAAAAAAAGTCTCCACCGCTACTCTTCGCTATTCAGGCTCCACCATTAAACTCGGAGACAACAACCGGGGGGTGCAAGTCTCTCTGAGTCGTTTCCCCTCTCTCTCTCCACTCCCCCAGTCTGTTATACCCGGCTAGGGAAGCTGCACCACGAAGGGGGGCCCACAAGGTCTGTTCACATTTCCCATTTCCCTCTTTCTGTCCCGCCTTTTGGTCCTTTTTTTTGTGCCTTCCTCTGCAACGTCAGACTCAAGTCTGCGCTGGCACGCTAACATCCTGCGAGCCTCGAGCCGTCAGCCCGAAGGATCTTCAGGCTTTCCCGGTTTGGTTGTCAACGCGCTGTCGGCGGTAAGGAGATCGTCCGGCCCACGTTGTTTCAGAGCCTCGTTAAGAGACGGCTCTTACTATATTATATATTATAGTTCTATTATCCTACCACATTGTACATTGTAGACCACATAATACCCCTATAATAACTATAATACTACGCTATACTACCTGCATAGATGTGTTGTCCAACCCTGTCGGCCTCAATCCGAAACCCCTAATTCCTGATTTCTCTTATTATCCCCAGCCGCATCCTCTCGATCCCCTCACACTAGTGAATAGTGGATAAAGACAGAGAATAAATTAGTTAATTTAACACCAATGCCTATCTGAATAGCGAATCTTATCCAAAACCTGCTATTGAAATATATATGGAATCAGAAAAAAAAAACAAGTGGATTCTTCACCCCCTCAGCCTCACTTACGCGTAGAGCCGCAGGGCAGAAAAAAGCCTCACCCTTTTTCCCCTCTTTTGCGTCCAATCATAACCTGCCCGACTACTTTACTGTCTGCCCGCAGATGGGCTCAACGGACATTACACAATGCGGTATTCCACCTTTCCGCGCACTGTTTCGTTCTCTTATAACCATGGATCTAATCTTCTATATACAGTTATGCACTTTGTCTTCCTTATATATTTTTTCTTCTATATACTTTGTGTTCTTTTATTTAAACCCATTGCATCTTTATATATCCCTAGGCACTAACTTTCATTCGGTAGTGATCGGATGAAATGGCGTACATAAACGTGATATGCTCGCAGCATATTTCCTACCTGGAATACGATGTGTTCTCGAATGTTTGTCCCCATCGGGTTAAGTGCTTACACCCACACGTCAGGCGCCAAAAGTACTACTTTAATCTAGCTGTTCTAGGCTACATAACCTCCATGTCCATACCCATAGAAAGTGGGGTTTTTGGATTGTTTCATAGTGGAGAGTTGGTTCTGGACCAGCCTTACATACTATTAGTAAACCTGAAGAGTCCGATTTAGATTTAGATCGGGCCATGTCAAGCTACATTGTACATGCATCTATCTACATACAGACGGCGCTAGAATGGAATGAAAGTCCAGGCCTCGATTCTGAGTATATACAATGCCCAAACCTGAAACCCTCAGTTCAAGTACTGTCAACAGTCAAGTAAATAATGCTCTACTCTCTACAGAGTCAGAGTGTAATAGACTACAACTTCCCCTCAGCAGCCCTCTTAACAGCCCTAACCCTCTCCCAAGCCTCCTCAGCAAACGGTTTCGCCCTCTTAGCATAATCACTGGCCCTCGCACTACTAGCTTGTCTCCCAGCGAACCGGGCCGCAATGCCCTGCATAATCACGGAGCCCCGGAACGCAAAGAACGCATCGCCCCACGCCACGTCGGAACTCGTTTCGTACCCAGACGTCTCGGCGTACCAGCCAATGCATTCCTCGCGCCGCGGCAGCCCTGGAACAACCCCCGGCGCGAACTGAGACAGTTGGCTGTCCCCACCGTCCATTATGTACGGACTGGTAAGGTTGCAGAAGTCGGAGAGCGGGTGTCCTATGGTCGCCATTTCCCAATCTAGGATTCCGATCACGCGCGGCTCCGTCTTGTGGAAGATCATGTTGTCGATTTTGTAGTCGCCGTGAACAAGTGTGCCCCGGTCTAGTGGCTGCGTGCTCTTTTGCGAGAAGAACGTCACCATATCGTTGAAGTGGGGGAGTTCGCCGACGGGCTCTTTAGTGTCGGCATCGACGACGGCTGCTTGGGCTTTGGAGATTGTCTTGAAAGTCGCGATTTGACGGTCGAAGAAGCCTGTCGGCTTGCCGAAGGTTTCGAGTCCGACGCTTTTGGGGTCTACGCTGTGGAACTTCGCGAGCGTTTGTACTGCATTCTTCCAGCTGCGTTGCTTGTCAGTATGTGGTTGGTGTCTTGAGTTGGAGCCTCAATCGCGTGACGTACAGTGCTTTCCTCTCCTCCCCGCTCACACCTGGCATCGCTGGGTCGGTGAAATGCCGCCCGTCTAGGAACTCCATGATGTAGAATGCGGTTCCGATCACGCTGTCATCTTCACATAGGCAGTACGCCCTGGGAACAGGTACATTGGTATCGCCTAATGCCCGGATAATCTTGTACTCGCGCTCGACTTTATGGGCCGTCTTCGAGAGCAGCTTGCCGGGGGGCTTCTTGCGCAGAACGACTTGCTTGCCATCAGCGGCAGTAAGGAGATAGGTAGGGTTTGATTGACCGAAGCCGAACTACAGTGACAAGATATTAGTTGGTCTGTTTGATATTGCTGATTTGTTGATTGACGGGGCCAGACTCGCCTGCTTCACATCAAGTGGAGTCTTGACCTCCGGCACATTCTGGTCAATGTACTTCTCCAAAGAGGGGATATCTATAGGCTGGCGCACTTCTCCCGCCATGATGTCGATATGAAATGAGGAAAAACTGTCCAAAAAGCGTATGTACTTTGTAAATTGACTGACAGTTTCAAAATAATATGTACAGGGAAGCAATAAATGTCCCAGCACTTACCTCCTCGGCGTGACCGGGGGACCTCGGCCCCAGCATCTCCTCGGCGTCATCACCGCTTCCCCCTCGGGCGGGGAGGACAAAGAAGCAAACAGAACAAACACCCGGCGCGTCCCAGCGGTGAAACGCGTAGGCGTCGAGCGTGGAGCTCACCGCAATTTTTGTGAAGCTAGGGGCTTTGGTCACTTGCGTTAGCCAATTCATTCTAATTGTGGGACCCTATTATTTTTTACCACTCTATCCACTCGATTCTCGATCTTCGATCCTCCAACCATTTTTGTGTTTACCATGACCAAAGAGACCACCCCGCCACCCCAAGAGAAATCCCTCCCCGCGCACAATCCGCCTTCACTGCCTGCCTCCCCGCTGGCGAAACGATCAAAGCCAGACACAATGACTACCGCCGCCGTCACCTCGATCCAGCAGCCGCTGCCCCCGCTGCTTGTTAAGAAGCTCGTCGAGTCTGCCCAGGCTCCGACTCGTGGCTCCGCTTTCGCGGCTGGGTACGATATTTACGCTGCGAAGGAGACTGTTATCCCCGCTAAGGGAAAGGCCGCCGTTGAGACTGGCATTGCTATTGCTGTGCCTGAGGGAACTTGTATGTGACTATACCTGTGGTTAGGATTGAGAACTTTGGCGAAGCTCTCTGCTTGTTGAGGCTGAGCTGGGTTAAGAGTGGATGGGATACTAACGAGGAATACAGACGGCCGCATTGCTCCCCGTAGTGGTCTTGCTGCTAAGCACTTCATTGACACTGGTGCTGGTGTCATTGATGCCGACTACCGCGGTGAGGTCAAGGTGCTTCTGTTCAACCACTCTGACGTTGACTTCCCGGTCAAGGCGGGTGATCGTGTTGCCCAGCTGGTTCTGGAGCGGGTGAGTTCCGGCTATCAATACTATTGTATGTTGTGTGAATGTGTCTGACCTGTTTTAGATTTACACCCCTGAAGTGAGCGTTGTCGAGGAGCTGGAGGAGAGTGTCCGTGGTGCCGGTGGATTCGGTAGCACTGGCATCTAAGAGCCATACCTCGGTACACAGTTGGGAGGATGACAGACAAAAATTAGACGGCTTCTGGGTTTAACAGGACCTAGTTACGATTACATGCATTTGAGAACTTGTTTGATTGAATGAACAAAAGACACAAAAGAGATTCTATGCTTGATTCAATAATCAAATCTATGTACAGACCGAACCGGTTTTTGATATAGAGATGGCCACAGACCCGGCTTCATCTAATGCCCTCCCGAAATCCTTCTATCGTCCAATCATGCCACATGCAAAAGATATAAACCCCAGCTTTAAACCCAACCAAAGACTACCGCAGATCCTTAGGAAGATCCGCCTTCTTCCAATCCTGCACCTCAAACAAGATCTTCGGATCCCGCAAAATCCGCGTATTCCTCACAAGCCTAACCTCCGCAGCCTTAGTCCTCCGCAAATAATCCCTCTTCTCCAATTCCTCCACCGAAGCCTCTCCCTCCAGCGCAGGAACAGCAACCGCCAGCTCCGCATCCCGACTCTCCAGCGTCCGCTCCAGAATACTATGCATACTGGATAGAACCTTGACAGTCGCGCTAGCCAGCGGCAGATTCGTGGCCGCAACATCGTCAGGCGAAACCCACGACTTGGTCGTGCGCAGTCCATCCACTGCGGAAACGGCTTCGCTTAGACGCGCGACGGTCAACGCCGCGAACATGTCACCCGTCCCGCTGAAGAAGCAGTCCAGAGCTGGTACGTCGACGCGGAATAGTCGCGGGGACCCGTCGGAGCGCGTGGTCGAGCCAATTACTGTTAGGAAGTTCTCTGGTGGGGCTGGGGTTAAGCCTGATTGGGAGAGCTTGAAGAGTTGCACTGAGGTGATTATCACGTGTGGCACGGAGTAGATCCTGTGGATGGCTGTTACTGCTGAAGCGAGGGTTTCTAGGGAGGTTATTTTGATGCCGGAGAGGGTCCTGGATTATTTTATATTAGTGGTCTGGGTAGGGGGTATGAAGTTGAAGTTTGGGATGAGCTTACTCTGCTTCGAACTGGTTAGGCAAAATCAAATCCGCAAAGGGGACGATTTTCTTGTATGCGGGGACTACGTCGTCGTTGACATATAGTCGGCCTTGGTCGCCCATGACCGGGTCCAGGACTGATATTATATCAGCGTCTATTCTTGGGAGGAATAGCGGGTATTACGTACCCCAGAAAAATGACCCGGGCTTCTTTTCTGCCTTCTCTTGCAGATCAATGCCGATAGTGCCTACTGATTCCACGGCTGCTGCACTCGGGGCGTAGCCCGATAGCATGACATCGAAGTCTGTGAGGTTACTCTGGCACAGGCCCTGATAGAGGTCTGAAATTTCCTGCGCGGTGGCACGAGTCCCCTTGAATTGGCGATAGCCTGTGTGGTTACCTGGAATTGCATGTGAGTCAGGGTTGGGATGTTAAGATCGGGGTTGCAACGTACTAAAATGGACGGTGTTTAAGGCGGCGACTTCGCAGCCCAGGGATTGCATGACGAAGGTTGCCATTGTATTTCCGACATGGCTGGAGAGAACGTGTTAGTTGATTGATTCTAATAGTGTGTTGTAGATATGATAAACCGCGTTATCAGACTTGTCACATACCCATAGACTACCTGGTGGACTGTCAGTTTATGATCCGAAGGAGTGGGCAATTTCACTTACGTGGCTGGCAACAGCCAGAACACGGGTCTCAGGAACTAATGAATCCATAATAAGTTCAAGTTAAGCCGTTGAATTGACAGAGAGTGTATCAAGTATGTTGTCGCTATGACTCTGTGTGGGGGTCGGGGATGATTTACCGAAATTCCTCTTACCTAATTGGTCCCGAGAACCGAATTATCAGAGAGCCAGGAAATAATATATTCAATGGGATTTAATGCTAATTACATATGTAGTGATGTAGATATACATTTAGATATAGAATAGAATCAATTAAGTTATAATTTGTAAATATTTGGAACTATGTATGAGTCGACCCAAGTCTCTTTAAACCCTGAAACCTCGTGTTACAAGATCTTGCTTCCAAGGTTGACTTTCTTAAAATTCACCCAAGGTTGTACTCCGTACTTCATGCTGTATACTTCGGTTTCAGAATGATCCAGTCTCCGAGTGATGATGTCTAGCCCACATGTGCATCCGGACGGGGAACCGGTGGGGGAAAAAGCGAACACAGAAGGGAACATCTGGAGATAGCCCTGGAGATAGCCCTGTACTTTGTACTATGTATGCGGGTCTCGTACCAACTAGGTATCGGATCTACTCTATACGGAGTATACTAGTACATAACTGTTATAGCAGTATAAGCAGAGAGCACCCCTGAACCAAAGCTGAGTTCCACCGAACGGTCTAGTTCGTGCTAGTGGTACTTCGGAGTCCTCTAGCGCATTGGCAAGTTCTCGGCCTTGGCCTTTTGTTATGCGAATGCCTGGGAACTAAAAAAAGTCCCGTTTTAGGCTTTTCTGCACCTTCCAGGGTCAATGGCACTTGCCTCGTGCACTTCTCATCTTCAACTTCATCGACTTCACCTTCGAGGGAATTCCCTCCGTCACTCCTTTCAATGAAGTGCTGATTATCATTCATTCCTAATTCGTCACTCACTCACAATGTTGGAATAAAATCACTTCTTTGTTTCCCAACTCTGTCACTCGTTAAAGCATACAAAGACTGTCCTTCCTCCGATAATTCATACTTGACCGTTTATGTCCTCGCCTCGATCTCAAGTCGACATAACGCCAAAATGTCCCGTCTTTACGATATTTACAACCTCCTAATTCTAATTACTATTCTCTGTCTATCACCCACATGGGCCCAATCAGTGGACCCCACAGACCTGACCGTGCCACGATCGACCTGGCAAGCAAGTGGAGAGACCACAGATCGTCAATCACTACAAGCACCAACAGAAGAAACAACAACAGTTCGCCGACGAACAATCATCACAGCCTCAAACTCCACCTCAACAGGAATGCCCAAGCCCTTCGACACACTGTCGTACAACTTCGCCAACGGAAGCACCTGCATCGACTTCTTCGCGAAATGGCGCACCAACACAACAATCTCAAACTGCAACGCCATTTCCCTACTCATCGAGAACTCAAACGCCTTCTTCCACACCCTGAACTCAGCACCCGCCACCACCCGCATCCTAGACACATCCTGCTCGGCAGATGTCTCCAAATGCGCATCAATCATGACCTCCCTCGCAGCCGATCTCCTCAACCCCGCCCACTGCGGCGACGACTATGAAAACGGGAACTCCGTCGTCAAAAACACGTATAGCGATCTCGTCGCTTACGAACCAATGTACCGCGCCACTTGTCTCACGAACCCATCGACGCAGAAATACTGCTTCGTCGACGCGGTGTCGAATTCGACGAACGCAGATGACTACGGTGTCTACCTCATACCGCTGGGGACCCCGCTCACTGTCGGTGCTGTGCCGACTTGTAATACGTGTTTGAAGGCGACTATGGGGCTCTTTTCGACCTGGGCGAGACGGGATGGTCAGTCGCTTGATTCGACTTATCTTCCCTCCGCGAAGATCGTTAATGCGCACTGTGGTGGTGGCTTTGCGTCGACTAATATCACCGTTGGATCGGCCGCTGTCAGGGCTGGGGCGGGCCTTGCTGTTCCCTTGCCCAATCTTGGGATTGCTACGGTGATGGCCTTCGTTCTTGGTGTTATGTTGACTGGCCTGTTTTGATCTGAATATTTCTCAGAATTGTCTGTTATTCTTGTCCATACACACACTCTTTTCTTGTTTATCTTTTGCGGTCCGTCTGCCCGGGTGGGTATGGCCATGGTTGATGTCAGCGAGCGTGTTTTTGACTTTCTGGTCTGATCGTCTGATCTGTATGTAATTTCTAGTGATATTGTCCATATTTTGCTCTGTAGCAGTTATTCACTCTGTTATTTCCTTATTCAGTTCCTCATGTATCTGATCGGGTTTGACTCGACTCGTTTATATTGTCTTTGTTAAACTTCCGAGATTCGCTAATGCCAAAAATGACCGGGTCAATCATGTATTCCTTAGACGCCAGACAGTATATGATAATATAAACAAGACAAATAAATCGCATCTTAAATCATGGTTCGAGTGCGCATAGTTCGTTACGTGTGAAGAGTCTGGCAAATATATGTAGCAACAAAACAACAAAGCAAAAGCGCTCACTGACAAGAAAATGTTATAAAAAAAAGGATCAACCCCAAACCTCATCAACTCCTCCTCTTCATCCCACCGCCCATAGCAACACCAACAAGACTCTGCTGCTCACCCCCAAAGCTAGCCCCAGGACTCGTAGGAACCGGCGACCCACCACCAGAGATAGGACTCTGTGTAGCGGCATCTCGTTCCCGTTTGACGCGGATATACCCCAGCTTCGCAAAGCGGCCAACATGCGTCCAGAAATGGCGGCCGGCTGGGTGTGCGGCGATGCGGTCGAGAAGATCAGCTGTCGCTTCGCGGACGACCTGGTCCGGGTGGAACAGACCCATACTGATATAGAAGAGACCAGCCTGGTTCTCCGGTGCGACGGTTAGGAGCTGGCAGATGCCGGCGTAGTCCTTGACGGAGTGGGAGAGGGCGAGATAGATGGAGGCTGCTTCGGAGTGGGAGAGTTTTAGGGCGCGGAGACGGTCGTGGTGGTGGTGGATGTCTGGGCGTTGGATTGGACGCGCGGGGAAGTACATTGCTGCGATGTCTTGGATGTAGGAGTAGTAGGAGCGCGTGTTGCGCCAGCCTTCGATTCGGGAGACGGAGGCCGAGAGCTCGCGCTGTTTGGCGGTTTCGTCTGTCCAGACGTACCCGTGTCCGCGGAGAGTTGTTGGGTCTGAGGCGTCGGTTTGGTGGCCTGTTGGGCTGTCTGGGGAGAGTTCTTCGCCTGGGCCGATGATGTAGAGGTTTGAGGCGCCGTAGACTGCTTCTTCGAAGGCTGCGGCGACGCGGACGAATTTAGTTATGTAGGCTCGCCATTTTGCGCGCACGGCATTCTCGCCGTGGCGTTGGCTGATGCTGCGGAGGATGTCTTCTATGAATAATGTATCACCTGTTGGGTCTTGGGTCGTGTGGGATGTACTGTTGGGTAAGAGCGAATTCTGCTGCTGGAAGAATAGAAGCCCTTCTGTTACTGGTGCAGGTTCAACGTGACTTGAGATCTTGATGCGACCAGTGGGGAGGTCACACATAACGTCCCACCATTCGGGATGGTTAGCAAATGTAGGGTTTGTGACTCCTGCAATAAACCCAGGTACTTTGAGGAGATCGTCGATTTTGGACAGATCAGTATAAGGGAATGCGTGACGAGTAAATCCACGCAGAATGCCACCGGATGCAAGAGCGCAGGCCGCCAGAACCGCCTCTGCAACTTCTCCCGATGGCCGGTTGTGTCCTAGAAATACCACCCGCTTCTGAGTGAGGATGGCGTTGACAAGAACAATAACGGGGTGTGTGAATGGTCCGCTGGTTGTCAAATGGGGATGCGCTGGGAAAGCCTGGGGGGATGTGGCATGCGGCACGGCGAACGTCTGAATGAGCTTGATGAGGGAGAAGTCTCCAACGGTCTCCGGCCAAATGACTGTCGGAATTTTGACCGGGATGGGGATGTCATTGTAGACCACTTTCGACTCGTACTCATGTGTATCCCGCGGTAGGGCGTATCGGCTCATTTTCTTCGGTGACGGCGGACATTCCCCATCCTGAAGTTCTTCTTCTTCCCGCTGGCGAATCATTTGTTCGAATTTCTCCAGGAACATATCCTTTGTGTTGCTAGATTGCAAGATATGGCGCTCAAGCATCGACATTTTCGGCATTAACGAAAGGTCCATGGCGTTAACGGCATCATAGAGGGATGCCAGAGTTTCGGGGAATGGAGACTTGAAATAGTCCTCCAGCGCTAGAAGTAGTAAAGGCTGTATAATAGTCAGAATTGGCTAGGTGCTAGGGCTAGGAGTAGCATAATAGCATACTTTGTAAATGTGGAGGAATGAATGTCGCGTACAGATTGCCATTGCCTTGACTACTGCGCCTCTGTTCGCTGTTAGCACTCGCACATCCAGACAAGACAGTACGACTTACCTTCGGACCGTGTTATCTTGCTTCGTGTTGACAAGATTCAACACATACATCAAGGGTGGCCCTTCACCACCCTCGTCATCGCTGCTGTCGGGGTCATCGGAGGTCTCCAGGTCCTCGTCCAGAATATCGGCTCCCTCTTGGTTTCCATGGTATTGTGATTTCCGCTTTTTCTTCTTCTTTCCACCCGCTGAATCCGTTTCTTCGTCGCCACTAGTGTCTTTGTGTAAGAAGAACATGGTCCAGTCTTGACTCCGCACATGCGTCTGATCCGGCAGCATCAGCTCTGCAAGCATGCTCTCGTCCCCACTAATTGCAGCCGGATACTGGTGCTCCATGATCGGACCCCGATCAATATGGAAGGACGCAACCAGGATGTATTCCACATGGCGCTCCGGCGAGTCGAGCGGGTACTGCGCTTTACAGCGGCGTGGCCTGAAGCTTGAGGTCGCATTCTCTGTGGATGTTCTTCGATAAGAGCCGTGTGAGCTGCTAGGCGAGCGTCCGATAAAGGAGGCCGCAGGCGAGAGCCGAGGAAGACCACTTGTTTGGCGGTTATTCGAGGCGGAGAGGGAGTCGTTTGACGGTCGATACGGTATTGTTGTTGCCATCTTAGGGTGTTGGGGATAGAGGATTGCTCCGGGCCAAGCTATAAATCGAGTAGCATACCGGGGGGCACAAAAAGCACAGCGTCAATGGCCAATGATAATAATAGTTGAATTAATTGTCTCGAATTAACTGTTCAGGGGTTAAGAGGGGTCAAGAAAAAGGACGATTTCTCCACAGTGGAGAGACGATAAGCTCGATAAGGGGATCCATATAACATTCCAACCTTGGAAGATTGAACATGGAGGAAGACGATCTATCAGAATGTAATCTCCCTTTCTTTTCTACCATACATTGTAGATCTTTCTATTTATACACAAAATTGACACATCGGATTGTTGCAGTTCCAAACCATTTGCCAAGAAAAACAACACTGACCACTTCTAGGTGTCTTATCGATATTAAAATAGGGAAAGGCAACCTTATGTCACAAGACACTTAGTAAATGGTACTCTATAAGTATGTACATATATCTAAAGAAAGGATAAATATATGACTTAGCTTCTACTCATATTATCCTTCATATTGGACCCTTGGAAGCCAATTGATGGTTAATGTGACGAGTATGATTCCTTATAGATCTACGAACACTTCAAAGTTATGCAACACCCAATCAGTTAGGGCCTATTTTATCTGGATACCATATCTAGACTTTATCAACTAATTTATCGAGGCAAAATTATCAACATTAAAACCAAGGATCGTACAATATACAACAGAGGATGAAAGGCGTATGTTCATATAGATCGTATAGGGCGGTGGGAAAGTCGGTGGCAAAATTATGTTGTTGTGCCGGGCTTGTTTACATCGATAAGCAAGCCTTCGTCATAGGGTGTTTACAATTCATACTTCAGCTCACACGCGATTTTCACCATGGTAAGTGAGGTTTTTGAGAGAGGATATGCCTATTCGAGACTAATCAATAATGACCTAGGCCAACAACCCCACATTCAAACCATCGCCGTTATCCTTTGGGTCGCCGAGGGCATCCCCGTTCCGGCGCCCGTCCACTCCAAACTCCCCGCCCTCAGCCACTCGCACAGGAGGCACCCCAGGGAGCTCTCCCAATCGGGCATATACACCCATGGTGTCTCCCAGCAAGCTCAATCAATCATATACAGTGGAGGATGGTGAATCGCGTTCTCCGAAGAGCGAGCGGCCCATTCCGCAGCCGAACTTTGGCAGAGAGCTCTCTCCTTCCCCAACAAAAGGAGCTCGGTCGCCAGGAAGCTCATCCCCAATCCTTGGGACAAAAATGGGTGGCTTTGCAGGCCCATCTGGCGATGCGGCTGGAAAGCTATCGGCGCAACAAGTGAGGGAGATCAGAGAAGCTTTCCAGGTTCTCGATCGGGATAACGATGGGCTTGTAGACAAGGATGATGTGATTGATGTGCTGACAACTTTGGGTAAGAAGAAAATCCATATGTCCTTTTTTCTGAAATTGGCATGAGGAACTAATCTGAGTTTTGAACAGGCCAAGACTCGTCGCCCTCTACGCTCTCGCGCTTCTTCCCACCAGGAGCAGACCAAACTATGAACTTCCCAACCTTCTTGAATACACTTTCTGGGCTGATGGCATCAATGTCACCTTCACAAGAGCTTCTCAACGCTCTTGCTGCGTTTGATGACGATGACAACGGGCAAATAGACGCCGCCGAATTACGTGATGCTTTACTGCACACCTCCCCAGAAGACGGAGAGGAACGAATGACTGAAAGACAGATCGATGAAGTCTTCAGTGGGTTTATAGGGCGCCCAGCATTTATTGGTCGGGGAGCGAAGTCAGGCGGGATGGGTAAGAGGGGCGAGGTTTTCCAGTATCACGACTTCGTGCGCAGTGTCATGGGTGGGGAGAATGGAAACAATGCGAAGCGCGAAGGAGATGCAGCACATGTATGAAATGCTATCATGATTATGGGTTTCAATTGAGTTGTCGTTACGGGGTTGCGTCTTATAACGTTTTTGGCAGTTGACAGATTCCAAGGCCGTAGAAGCAAAGGTCAGAATATACAAAGCTTGTCATGAATGATCATGTACCATTAGTTATTCAATTACCAATGGAAATTGTCGGTAAAAGCAGTGAACTAAGTAAATAGTAAATAGTGGAAGTGGAAGTATACGTCGGAGCTAACGCCTTCCGCGTTTCATCGGCAGAAAAGCTCCAGCCACCGCGATCTGATACACTCCACCCGTCAACTGCGCTCATCATACCTCGTTTCTCAAATATGTCTCTTCATGCCCCTCCAATGCAGACTTGATTGCAGAAAAAATGGCCAAACCTCAGCCCTCCTGGGCTCTCGGCGTCCCGGGCCCCGACACACCCGCATCGCCGCGAACCATGCGAACCCTCCGAAAGATCCAATCCCACCAAGTGCTGTCAACCTCTAGCGCGCTCATTGCCCAGACTCAGGCCTCTCGCGAAGCTGGCTCCTACGAAGCTGACCCCGGATCAGCAGCAACTCCTGGTGCAGCAACCCGAGCGCGCGCACATCGCCGAGCTCGATCAAATAGCGACGCGGCTTCTCGTGAAGCTGCGGCAACACCACCTGCGACCCAGAGACGACCCGCGCGGAAAACAGGGTCGGGAATTGGAATAAAGCGATCGCTCTTGGAGAACTTCTTGCGCGATGGACCGCAGAATTCAAATCCCCACGAGGGACTGCGAGAGCTCAAATACCTCGTCCTATCCAGCAGAGTGGATGCTGACGGAGATGGCATGGTGAGGTGTACTTAGTCTGTTTTACAAGATTAATGTCTAACACTTTGCAATGATAGTCCCCATACCGAATCTACCTCTGGTTGGTCCTCCTCGACGTTCCTCCTATGCCAACCGATGACTACCTTGCTCTTATTCACCGCGGCCGTTCTCCTGCTTACACCAAAATTCGCAATGATACTTTCCGCACCTTAGCCACAGACCCTCTATTCAAACGCCGAGTCACAGAAGCAAGCTTGATTCGACTGCTCAACGCTGTGGCATGGAAACTCCACGATTCCAGGCCGAAACCCCGGTCTCGACCGACGTCATCTAGGCGCCGTGAGATGGAGCTTCTAGTGAATACACCACCCAGCATAGCAGAGGAGTCCCCCTTTGGCGGGGAACTACAGAAGGTCACCAATAGTACTACAAGTGATGCGGCCATGTACGTCCAAGGCATGAATGTCTTGTGTGCGCCGTTTCTCTATGCTGCTCGTAGCGAGGTGGAAGCATTTGCTTTGTTCCATTACTTTGTCACACGCGAATGTCCAGGTTATATCCGTGGTGCTATGGATGGAGTCCACAAGGGTCTTCGTTTAGTTGACCGATGCCTTGAGATCGTGGAGCCCAAGCTTGCAGCATATCTATTCTCCAAGGGTATGCACGCTGAGCTGTATGCATTCCCGTCAGTATTGACCCTTTGCGCTTGTACGCCTCCATTGCCGGAGGTATTGCATCTGTGGGATTTCTTGTTTGCATATGGGCCACACCTGAACATTCTGTGCATTGTCGCCCAGCTAATCCGTATGCGGGACCAAATTTTCGAGAGTCCGAGGTAAGTTCCAACCTGCTATTTAAACCTCTTTAGCAAAAGCTGACTTGAGTATAGCCCAAACAAAATTCTCCGCTCATTCCCTCCTCTCGACGCAAAGGAGATCATTGCTTTGACGGTTCTCCTCGTCCGTAAGATCCCAGAGGACCTTTACGCAGAGATGATTAGCCATGCAAAATAGACATGAATTGAGCTCATGGGGAAGCTCTGACCGAAAGAGAAATAAATGTCATACTACCTGGGTTTCATAGCGGCGTTTTTGATATGATGATCGCAACGATTGGGTATGGTGACTGGATGGGATATGAGACTTACATTGATGAACACCAAAGATAACACGCTTGTTTGAATGAATTGATGATTGTATACAAATGTTTACTAGTTTTTTGAGAATGCAGTTAAATTGAGATATGATTCTCCCTTTTAGAATTCCGGTCCTTTGCTCTTGTGGAACATGCAGTTTCCCTGCTCGTTTGTCAAAATGAGAAACCCTACTTTTCCTCAGTTCCTCTGAGACACTGCACACAAAAGCTGTTTGCCACTGTCTTATAGCGCATATCTTCAGACACGAAACATGGCATCAGTTCGTACACTGCTTGTTTCCCACAAATCAAAAGACAAGAAGAGATGATGAAGACAGAAGCAAACAAGACATCTTCTTCATTCATACGGCTTGCATGCCTTAGACTCTTTTTATCATCTACGTTATAAGTATGACCCTGTACTTGGCCACCGATTTTCCAATCCATCATTTCAGAGAAAGATGTCGTCGGCTCTAGCAACATCCGTCGTCCTCGCCATATCCCTTCTTCTCATTGTGATATGGGGCAAGAGGCAGCAAACCCATTCAATTCCAAATGACCCAGCCATATGCCGCCAGATCATTGCCGGCGTGTTAAAACACCAAGACCAACCAAATATCCTCTCGCCACATCAAGCCAAAGCAATGGCGAATAGACATCTTCCCATCGCCTTCGGAATCGACAATGCCTTCACCCGCGGATAGTGACCGTGCCAGAAAGTTCGTCGATAAAGTCAAACCGTTGATCAATCTATCGGTAGAGCAGTGGCACGGCGTATCCGAGTTCGCCAGAGTCACGACTAGCCACTGGGTTGAGCATGGCTTCCCCGGGATGGATCATAGCTGCGGCACCAGTTGTGATAAAGGAAAGCAGAAGCTCGACCCCAATGAGGTCACTGTCGACCGCAATCGGATAAATATCGCCAGTCTAGCACAAATGCTTTCATTGAAGGTTGTGTTATGGTTGATGTTTGATCAAAAGACACAAGACCAGACATGTGATGAGAACCTGCTGAATATAGCGCAGTCTATAAATCGAGTTTGGATATCTTCCAAGCTAAAGACCACCGAAAACGATATCCCGAGATTTGAAGACGACGTTTTGCTCCAGACATCGCTGATCAATGTTTTCGGCAAACACGACCGCCCAGAGGATAACCCACTCAATCTCATCCTGCCTTCGTTTGAGACAATGTGGCGTGTCGTCTTACGAGCCTTCCTAGAGATCAGGTTCGCCACTGGGAAAGATGTGCCTGCTTGGCGACATACAATGATTGCTTTTGCCGAAAACCCAACCAGATCCCAATTCGACATAGGCTCTGGTCCCCCGTCCAGTCGCTCCAGACCCGAATCCAGCAATGATCCCGGAATGGGTGATACATGTGATGTTCAGAGTCCACCTAGTGCGAATTACATAGTCCGCGAGTCACTCCGACTATACGTGCCTACGAGGCACATACATCGAGCGTACCAGTGGAACCAGGATATGGGGATATCTCATGAAATCCAGTCTGCTGATATCGAGGGATGTCATCTGAGGTCTGATATCTGGGGTTCTGATGCAGAGCGATTCAACCCGAATCGCTGGTCTGCTTTTACCTCGGCGCAGGGAGATGCCTTTTTGCCTTTTGGATGTCCGCCGTTTGAATGTCCCGCTAAGCCGACTTTCGGGCCGAGGATGATTGGGATCTTGATTGGTTCTTTGTTGGCTTCCTTGGGGGATAAGGATCGATCAGGGACTTGGACTTTGGATTGTGAGGATGGGAAGGTTTTGGAACACCTCGCGTCTGGGAAGAAGTTGTGTCCGCATAGGAATGCCTATACGAATTTGTATCTAGTGCGATCTATGGAATAGAATAGTGAAGAGAGATATCTTTGGAAATTCATTTGGAACACAAGTGCAGTTTTAGTTAGAAGTGTAGCAAACGCAGGCCTGAGAGATAAGACACTCATAGAGTTGTCCATGTTGTCCAAGGATAGGCATTATACCGAAGCCAAAAGAATGTCGACACCTAAGAAGCACAAAATAGTTTACATCGAAAGCGATCAAGAAAAACCACTAACAAAAGCCAGCAAAAATTCAAAGCACGAGTAGAACGTGTGTATGTTGAATATCGACCCCCACCTCGAATATTACATAGCTATTCTATCACGTAGGCGCAGACGTCGATAAAATATCACCCGACCTATTCAACCCAGACCCATCTATCACCAGCGGCTTACAAACATCAACCGCATTAGCCTCTGCAGTCATCTCATCAGCCCATGACTGACACGTATCCGCATTGCCAGGCACCGAGCCCGCGGTGTCTGAGCCAGCACAAGCACCCAACACCCCATCAACGCTTACAGCCCGCGTGAGATACTCGCCACGATCAACCTTAACCCTAATCCGCGACCCCATGAAACTCAAATTGTTAAACATGGTCACAGCGCACTGGGCCTCGTCTGCTGTTTGCATAGTGATCAAGCCACGGAGCCGGCCATTGCTATCGTCCGAGTCCGTGGTGACTATGCTGCATTCCTGGACAGCGCCGGCTGTCTGCAGAAGGGCTTTTAGGTCGGTGCATGTAGTAGCCGAATTCAAGTTCTCGATGGTGATGGCTCGGCGATCTGGGTAGAAGGATGGAGAGTTGGGATTTGTTCCTTTGCGAGATTCGCGATGGTGGTAGTCCTGTGGTGGACTATCGCCGCTTGGTTGGTGCATGTGTTGTGGGGGGACATCTGATAGCCTGGAATCATGTTCCAATGTGGCTCGTACATTGCGCCGTTCATTACTGGGGATGGGGGGTAACACTGCATCGGTGGTGCGTGTGGATCTGGCATCATGGGCATGAATCCTTGTGGTGGCATCGGTATGGGTACCATCATGACGCCGTACTCTGGGTATGGATATGGTGGAGTGGCGGGGTGGGATGATCTGGGCGAGGGTAATTAGCTTGTTTGATTTTTTATAGTCGAGATTGTGGTATACTCACTCTGGCGAGACGGGTGACGGGGGAATTGCCATGTTTCCAGGTACTAATGGAGGCGTGGAGTGGCCAGAGACATAGTTTGTGGGCATCATTGCTGGTGGACTTCTGGTAGGCCCGGCAATGGGCTTGGTTGGCGTACTGGTCCGCGAGAGTGTGACGACCAGGCTCTGGCCGTCCCATCCGGTGGTCGAAAGTCGATCTGTGGCGGTGTTAGGATGGAGCATTGGGGATTGCGGGATATAAATACATACGGTACGTTCGCCAGGCCTCGTCTTCATTCTTGACGATGATTTGGCCGAGTCCGGTGGGGAATCCATGGCTATCATCGTATACTACTGCCTGTCGAATATGCAGTGCAGTTTGGCGCACGAGATCCTTGAGTTCCTGCCAGCGGCAATGAGGTGGAATCTGGAATTCTTGTTAGTATTTGAACGCATTTCACATACTCCATATCAAACTCACGCCTTGAAGGAATACGACAAACTCATCATCCGACCTGCGCGATCTGGGACGACCTTTATCACGACCGAGAAGAGGCATGGCTGCAGATATCTCAAAAAGATATACCCCGGTATTTCAGTGCCGAAAGCGCACTAGCTCAGACGTATGGATTTAAATGGAGGATAGATTTCGATGCTTGCAGTATCCCGGTTCGTCGGCGTTGCGAAATAGTCGGGATTCGACTTGTCCGACCAGGTGTTCGGTTGAGTCCAGAACTTGGACAATTGTACTTCCTATCAGAGGCCCATGTTAGCTCAGGGTATATAAATATGGTGATACTTTTGGATTCCCACTCTGCTTGGGCTGGGAAGACTACAGGAACGACATCTCAAGCCTCAAGGTGCAATACTTGGGAAATAAAATCGCACAAGCCTACCTTTCTTTTCTTTTCCTTTCCTGTCGGATAAATGCAGGTCAACTAATTGGTCTGACCGACAAACTGCAGAGAAAAGAGATAAACCCCTCCACGAGCAGGACGAAGAGCGAGCAGATTATAAAGCCCTGGAACAAAAAAAAAAAGAGGATGCGTCGAGGTTTCACAGGAATAGTTATGATGGTATATGATATAGTCAATTAATTTGTTAGGGCTAGTAATAAACTATAGTCTTGTTCATGGCTTGCAAGTAGAAATCACGGGGACCCAGAATACTGCACAATCTGGACGAATGGCGACGGCAGTCGATCAGCAGTAGCCAGTCATATCAGAGAACAAGCAGTTCCCTTTCTCCTTCAGGCTGAGATATGTCATTTTCACCATGAGCTCAGCTCTGCCAAATATTAGAATGCAGTAGAGTGGTTCTCTCGTCCCACCTCCCGGGTATAGTTCCGCATAAGGGCATTGTATCAGTGGCCATTCTAATATGTAATATGTCTTCCTCCCCCTCCTTCGCTACTAATATTTAAATAATAATCCCCACCACGTATCGGATATACCTGTGCACAGAGGCAAATCACTTCGAAAGCTACGCTTACTTGACTTAATACGGAGAATGTATTGTTACACCGCTAGATCCGGATCGGACATGCAGACATGCAGAGTGAAGTGGACCTGTATTCATCACATTGGCTTATGTGTCTATTGTCAGATCGGAATTGAAAAAAAAAGCAAAAAAAGAAAGTAAAGAATGGACAGAAATGAAAAAAAGAAAATATTTCAAGAAAGGGATCTTCGATCAGAGCGGGACTATGAGCAGTCATATCTTGCAGTTATTGGTTTTTTTTTCTTTTTTGGATTACACTATTGATTTCCATGCGTATTTTGCTCTTAAGTACGGAGTACCTGCAGATAAAATATGAAGAGATGGGATTATTATCGAAGCAATAAGGGTAACGCTTGGAACGACTCAAATTCATTGCCCTAAATTCTTGTTCAGCTGCACAGACACGGCGTATACCTCCCTAGATAGTCAGTCACACTGCAGGTCCCAGCAAGTCGCAATCAGGTATGTGGAATACTCATGTACTTATCATCCTACCCTATATTGTACGGGCTTACAGATACTTCTCCTCGGAACATGCAAGACCAAGTGTCTTACAGATAATCAAATAGATCTTCATCTTGTGTTCCCTTCCGTTGATCAAGGCCAGTCTGAGGGGAGCCAATAACTACAATAAACCTGCCACAGGGCATGTGTGACAGTTGAAAGTATATGAAGACAAATGACCATCCAAATAGCGAGCTACATACGTACATTCCAAGTATGTATGGTTTACCTGGCGTAAGACGAAACTGTACTATGACGACACGCGACCAAAGCACTGGGCTCCAGGGGAGATCACATGGCCATGCTGGTCTTTGCGCATATCTATGGCGTCTCCTACTGGCAAATTGTAGAGAATCTGCTTTAAATAATGTTCGATTCTCGTGTCAATCATAAGGTATCCTCTCACCCACGGGCGGAGTCTTGAATTCCCCGGGTGCCAAATGCAGATGTTTAGGTTATTTGTATGCTCGCAGATGATTCGCCTGAAAAGAGTGTACTAAATATATAACTAACTAGCAAGTGTATACTCTGTAACTATGTAGGCAAGGGATCATGTTTATATGTTTCAATTCAAACAGAATGATGAAGTGAAGTATTCTAATTCGATGTATGAAAAAAAGTGATATCAGACAGTGTGGCTCGAAACAGATAATGGTATAGGAACCCAGTGGGTGATCGCTGAAGAGCAAAAGAAACCAAGTCATGAGACCAGCTCCATGAAATGCAATAACATGATGCAAAATGCATAGAAAGGGAAAATGTAAACAGCATTGCCGCTGAAAGTTGTTGAACTTGCAAGAGAACCCATGTGCTTGGCAAGTCAAGGCAGAAGAATCCAATATGCAACATATGTTGTGTATGATCAATGCCGACCGAGTGGAATGAGCCAAACGCGATGATCTTCCAAGCGCTCCTCAGTCCGAAGCCCCGTGGTTCTTGCACCGAGAACCACGGATCCCCAGACTGCCATCCTGGGTGTCGCAGACACCCAAGAAAATCCAGTTGACCGAAGCCAACCTGTGTGTGAAATCCCCCATAACCCCCGTCGGTATTCTCAAATCGCGATCAATGAAGATCAGGCCGTGCCAGCACAGCCCACAAAATCACACGGGAACTCTCGAACCGGGGTCCGAGGCGAAGTCGGAAACGAAGGAAAGTATCGAAGACGGGATAGAATGGGTATCCTATTCGGAAAGGAAGTCGCATCTGCCCTTGCGACGGGGGGAACGATTTTTTGTTGGTTTGAAAGACAGTTTTTGATGTTGATCCGGTCAACCACTCGCTAGACTCCCCAGATCCTCCGGTTTATTGTGGTTTTTGGTTTTTGGCTTTGGTTTATTGTTTGGATATTCTCGTTTTCATCCTCCGAAGCCTACTTTGGTTGCACAGCGGCTGCAGTAGTAGGAGTTCATGCCGAATTGAACGATGCTGCAGCCTGATTGGCCTAAGCTGAGAGATTGTTGGCAGCGGGAACATCGGACAATGTCGAGAGTCTGTGGAGAAGTGGCCTCAGATGGACGAGCAACGCCCCCGGTAGGGGGTTGAGGAATAATTTGTACTGGAGAGCTCATTTTTGGTGAATTTGACCCCGAGTGAGGATCTGAAGGGAGGAAGGGGGGGAATCGCATGTTTTTGAGTTGGACCCGGTTGAGTGGTTGAGCCCCGTGATTTCTCAGTTTACCCCAGTTTTATTTTAAAGTGATGATGATTTGACTTGTTAAGCAGGAAAGGGATAGAAATATGAAACAGGGAAATATTCAATGGCTTTTTAAATTATTTTCAAGCCCAATGCTTTTCTACCCTAATCCTTCCTATACGGAGTACTACGTATTTCCCCCTTCTCTTGCCGATCATGCATGTGGGCGTACATATGGGCTGCTTTTAGGCGCTCATTCCAATAACTCTGTTACCTAAACCCATCGGACTTGACGATAAACCTGGAACACTTTGTTTTTTTATCTAATATGGAATTTAGGCATTTTTGACCTTGATCATTGACGGTAAACAAGAATATGGGTCTAGACAACGCAATAAGAGGCACTATGTTGTATATTACACAAAATTAATTGTCCCCCACTTGATCCAAAACAGACCTAAATCAGAAAGGGGAATATTTTGAGAGACACTATCATGCACATCATGTACATTTACGTAGGTGGGCGTCTTGGGCTTCGCGCCAACATCCCAACAATTAGACTGGTAATATGCACTTTCCATTTTGTCTCTAAATGTGGAAGCTGATATCTTGAAATCTACAGATTTATCTGTTTAAACAGTTTAATAAATAGTCTAGGTTATTTAGATTACATAATCTTCTATATGAAGATCCTGAGGTCATTTCCTTATCTCCTGAATGTTGGACGGGACGATGCTTACATTCCAAGGCTAAACGATCAGAATCCTGCAGCTAGCCCAGTTTAGGTGAGGAAGTCAGAGAGAAAGTCGAATAAGGTGTGGCAAACCCTGGAAGAGAAGCAGATATCCGGGTGAACTCATTGGATGATCCTTGGTAACATCCCACTTATCCCACTTATCCCACTTTGGCGAAATCCATAGGTTCCACGAATAGAACCGTGGACATGAGATTAGCCAACGTCATCTTCTCTCAATCCGGCACCTTCTTCTCCTCTCTCCTCCTAACTTACTACATTGCAGTTGAATTGATACCTATCTAGCCTAGAGCCAACGCCAAAAAGCGATTACCTAGGTAGATCTCGGCCCTTGCCCCGCCAAAAACGAAATATCTCCTGCCCCTCATTCTTGTACCACCCACACATCACTATGGCCACCGGACACCCCAACCTTCACAGCTTTGCCAACTCCGATGAACTAGCTGCGCAATTGCGAGGCTACGTCCTCCGCTGCCAGAATTCCGCTCTTTCCCGGCACGGCACCTTCCGCCTCGCCGTCTCCGGCGGCTCCCTGCCTACCGTCCTGGCCAAAGCCCTCCTCGCCACCAGCAATGGCCTCCCGGAAGATACCCCCCAATTCTCCAAGTGGCACATCTTCTTCGCCGACGAGCGCGCCGTACCGCTCGACCATGAGGATAGCAACTACCGTCTGCTGAACGACGAGCTCGTCGCCAAGATCCCTTTCGAGCTCGGCACACCTGTCGTCCACCCCATCGACAAGCAGCACATTGAGGATGACGATCCTCAGGAACTCGCAGATCTCTATCAAGAGGATCTGATGCGCGAGTTTGCCGCCAAGGACAGCGTCAAGTTGCCCGCCTTCGATCTCATCCTCCTGGGCTGCGGCCCCGATGGCCACACCTGCTCGCTCTTCCCTGGCCATGCCTTGCTTCGCGAGAAGGATGCTTGGGTTGCGCCTGAGACAAACTCGCCCAAGCCCCCGCCTAAGCGCATCACCCTTACCCTGCCGGTTGTTACCCACGCTATCAACATTGCCTTTGTCGCGACAGGCGCGGGCAAGAAGGAAATCCTTAAGCAGATCTTTGATCTTGAGGAGGGATCCAGTCTTCCTTCCGCTCTGGTTAACCAGGGTGCTGGTGATAAGGTGACCTGGTTCACTGATCACCCGGCAGTGGATGGTGTTTCATTTCCTCGTCGTGGGAGTCTTTGAGGTGTGAGCTTTCCTTGATGGAATTGAGTGTATGGATGGGGGATGGCTTCCTTTCCTGGTTCGCAACCCTTGATCTGCCCTGTGTGGCATTGTGACTGCGATGAAAAGTGATGTTCTGCTTTGTTGCTAGGACCGGTAGACCAAACTTATTATAGAATTCATATTTTGTTCAATCATTTTTGTCCCTGAATTGTGCCGTACAAAGTAGGCGACCTCTTTTGAAAATATGTGCTAACCTTGGAAGGTCCTATTGTGTGCGTCACTGATATTGTTCCTCTCAATGTTCTTCCAGATCTTTCTGGTTGGAATGGTGTAAACAATTGTCTCAAACAAGTCTGGAGACAACAAATGAGCAATCAATGGTTCCCCGGGACATTGTTGGCGTTCCAGGGCGGGGGAGATGTCAGAGTCGGCAGCGGCACTTGTACTACCAATCCACTCATACTCTCAGAACATATCAAAAATGATTTCTGATGACAACAAAGAAATATTGCAGTGACCACAAGCAAGCTGAAAGCACACGCCAAAAGGTATCAAGACAGAAGGTTGCGCGGAAAGAATATCAAACAGTCTTTGCAAAGTCATCAATCAAAGGCAATGGGTCATTTTAATGCCCATTGTGCATTTCCCCAAATATATAGAGAGGACACTATGTACATCTATATGGGAGCAAACTATAGTGGTCATGTAATAACTCTTTTACCACTTGAAAATCCAGGCCTCTATTAGTCTACTACATTCTTACTGATATTAGCTTTTACGAAAGTAGAACTCAAAATATGATATAGATAAATCCATTGATATTGATTTACTTTCATAGACTGTAATGACCGACCCAACCACATAAATCTCATTCCCCATAAAGCCGTAATATGTAGATAATGACTACATAGTGATTCCATATCGACAGTCTGTATCTGCCCGGTCTGCAGGCACGTCCGACCTCTGCATAGTTTGGAGCATGGTGTTGCTATAGAATACCTGATCAAACACGGCTCCTTTGATACTTATGCAGTTTAGTAGCTTACCTTCGTTAGGACTAGAAGCAATCCTTTCCACAGTGGCATTCACCGGTATCGGTATTGCAGTATCCATATTTATCGGGACAGCACTTTTTCGGATCTTTGGCGGCGCAATGCTTCACGGTACATGCCCTCTTGTCTAGCTCCGCGGGCGCAGCGGCCGCAAGCATAGCGAGAGAGAGGACAATGGCGATTGGGATGGAGATAAACTTCATTTTGATGGAGTGTTTGGTATGAAGGTTGGACTGGATTGACTGGGTTGAGATCAGGAGATTCTCGTAGCAGGACACGACGCTATATTTATATATTTTTCAACTACTCTCAACTCTCGATGAGGGGTATATATCGCACCGGTGCTATTCCCGAACTCGACACAGCCATCAGGAAGGCAAACTGTCCAGGAGACTGGACATATGATCAACATTGGACGTTCCAATCAATAACCTGTATACCATTCAGCCAAGGAGTAGTATCGAATCATGTCGTGGGTTTGGAATTCTTTTCTCTTTGCGTGGGTGAGGATTCTTCGTTCTTGATTGATGTGAGATTTATGCAGATCATCCAAATCGGGTCTTATGAAGCGCTCATATTGAGGCTATCAGAAGACGCGCTCTGTTATTGGTAGATACGGTTGTCGATCCCTTATGCTGGATCCCTTGCATTATGCCGATTGTCCAACCACGAGCGTACCCGAAAATTCGTTGTTTGCCAAATTCAGCCTCCCGTCCCACCCCAAAACTTGATCACAGAGACCCTGTTATTCCATACGAGCACTTATCCTACGGTGTTTGAGCAGTATATAGTATGTGTCTCTATCCACTCCAATTCAATCGCACCCGTAAGTGATAGCTAGATTAGATAGGGGATCTTAAGACGATATTTTACAGCTTTAAGTGATAATAATGACAGCTAAATATACTAGCCGATAGCCGATGTGCAAGATGTGGGGCGCAGGGAACTAGAAGACTTGCACATAAGCCGGGTATCTCTACTCCGTGATGGACTTTACCTAAAGCATTTGTAAGGTGGGTGAAACGGGTCGCCTAACAAGGGTCCTATCAAGGTAGAAAGGGGCCAAAAATGTCCATGTTCGAGTCAGAAGATCAAAGATCCCTGTTATTTGCTATCGTTGCCTTCTCTAGGTAGCATTGAGAGAGCATAGATTGAAAGCAGACATCAGACAATTCATTGATGACATACTTACCCAATCCTTATCGAACTATTTTAAGATCTCCGTTTTGCCCAATAGATAGATACGGCGTACCAATGTAGACAGTGAATGTACATATGCCAAGGACCCAGATTTTGGGTGGTATGAGGTGTCGTTTCCCCTACATATTTCAGGGCGCTCAGCCACGCAGCCCAGGCGTGTCGATCTCCCGTTTCTATCCGGCCCCCACAAATGCATGCAACCCCAGATTTTCCTTACGGAGTATAGCTTCGCCACCAGGGCTGATGACCTCCTTAATCGAGTAGGCAACTATTCATGTAAGCTGGAAGCTTTTAGGTAAGGGAAAAATAAGAAAGATGTGTTGAATATGGAGCATGTCAAACTACCTAGACTATAGGTGTGACGCTTATCACTTGACCGCTAGGTACAGCAAACGACTTGGCGCCGGTCAAATAACCAACGAACATAAAATGACACAACCAATCATAGTCCTTTGGCCATATACATGCCCATAGAGAAAGCTCGATTGGTCAATACATAATCAGGCTGAGACCCGTGGACCCCGGGGCCGTTTTGGCTGTCAACGTTGTATTGTCCTCTCTTCTCTGTGACATTGTGATGCTCTAGCTGTTCTTACACTTCTCCAGACATCCCTGATCACTCTATCATGATTGAATTGTATTAGCCAAAAATCAAAGTTATGCGAGCGGAAGGAACTTACTCCACCATCAATCTTGCAGAGAGTGAAGCAATTATTGGACCGCGAAACAACCGACGCTTCTTTGTTGGCTTCGATGGGTGAGGCAATCGCTAGGCCGATGACAGTTGCAAGGGCGAGAATAGAGAAACGCATTGTGAAGGTGTTGGTGGGGTAGGTGGGGGTAGGTGGTTGGGTTTCTGGTGGGAATAGGTTTTTCTAGATTTGATAAACTGATGATTGTTTCTTAAGCTACATCGAAGGTGAAGTGCCTACCTTTTATAGTATATTTTCGATTGTATACTATATGATATCAGTTGCCCAATTCATCCCCCTTGGTTACTGAGGATTTCCGCCCCCACGACTCGTACAGGCTTATGTGCATAATCCTATCATGCAGGAATGATCCGCACGAATGCTCACTGGTTTTCCAAAAATGCCAAGATCGATCTACATAGAGATTCTGCTGTTTGAGTAAAGACCTGCAATTTCTATGAGCTGTTTCTTTTTCAGCTCGAAGACATTGCAGTGTCAGCTGATTCAATTCCTGCAATGTAACCTCAATTTGCGGAGTAGTAAGGCATACTCCGTAGTTTTGACAAATTAGGCGTCCAATCTTAAGGATCTACAATCTACCGCTCCTATTAGGGAAGTAATCAAGATGGTATCGGCTGTATATAAAGCCCGACGCTCACGCGGGTGATGAAACCAATTCCTCAGCTGTGCATCCTTTTATCCCGCTCTACATTCTCTTCAAATCTAACAAACAATTTTGAACAACCTTTACAAACAAATTCCTCCAACATGAAGCTGTTTATCGTCCTGTTTGCACTAGCTGCCTACGCAATGGCCGAAGCCGGTCCAAATCTGGAAGCGAGAGCTGGGTGCTCCCAGAAGGGACAATTTTGCAATGATGGCACATTCCTGTGCTGCCCGGGACAAGGAAGCTGTAGTGGAGGCGTGGTAAGTTTGCCCCTGCTATTTTTTTTGGAAACAGATATGGCCAAAACATGATAGCAGATTGCTAAGAAGAAATATAGTGCAATTGAGCCACCATCTACTGAGGGAGTGCAGAGGTCGCCTTAGGGTTACGGGATTCCAATGTATTGGAGTGTTGGGCCTGTCTCTTTGGTCAAAATCCGGGGTACTCCAAGCAGTGTGTTGCCGCTTCTGAACGGCAGTTGATAAAAATTTCCATAGGCAATAAGATCCAATATCCCAATAAAGCCAGCTCGAGGTGGCAACTTGGTCATTGAACCAGGACTTCTATCATCCCCAAACTCGATATTAGTGGACTTTAGATCCAATTCATAGTAGACAAGAATAATAGGCCGGCCTCTGTCCTTGATGATATTATCCAGTTGACTCGATCTAGACTTAAGGAGATAGAAGTTCCGCAATGTAAGTATCCCAAAAGGAAGATGTCAATTTTGATGAGGTGAGCAATATGGCAGCACATCTAAGGACCATGAAATGACCTTTCCCCGTATACCATTGGAATAGTGTAACCTTTGATTTTGATTGTGAATACGACAGAGTAAACAAAATGTTCCCTTGACTTTGGAGATATATAAACCGCATTGTAGATCTGATATTGTTGGGACTTATGAGCATATCTCTCACCGACAGCCTCATTGCATATGAGCAACCCATTCGCCAACTTCACCAACTTCACCACAAACTGTGCCCTTGGTTATCTGCTCTAACCAGGCATCAAGTTGGGTTCCATAGAGTTAGGTGGTTAAACTAAACATTCATTAGAACGAATGACTTGCTCGTGGCGAATGGCGGAGGAGAGCACCTATTCAATAGACCTCTACACAGTGTTCGGTGCCTAAAAGTTGAAATACAATGATTCTATATCGTCATGTGTAGCAGATCTCGTTGTTCAAAGAACTACCATGCCACTGACCCCGTAAAGATTTATAGGAATAGTTCGCCGTGGGTCATTCTAAACTCGATATTGATGTAGTATGTTCAATGAGTAGATTCTTCTCGTAAAAAAGGGTTCCGCGTACCAAGCTCATCGGTGCCCATGTCAGAAACCGAAGCAAACATCTAGACCTTAACTGCGAGCAAGTGTATTGCCCTTAAATTCAAGAGAACAAATAATCGACCCGCGGACTTGACTCACGCCATTTCAATCGAGATTCAGTCCATGATTCGAACTTCACCTTCACCACCAACCATCCACCACCACCACCCACAACCAATTAGTTTTGCTGCTTCGAAAGCTTCATTAAGTATTATAACCCAAAAGCAATTTCCACTGTTAACAAAATACAGCAGGATGGCGGATGATACTTATTCTATAAAACGAATTGACAGAACCATTGAATTTCTTCGAGATGGAGATTGCATTACATGTTGAAAGACTCACCTACTGAAGACCCTTCGAAACCTCAGTGGTCCTATCTCTTCACCAGTCTATCATGTAATATTGGGGTTGAAATCATATATGTACATACAAGCTAGTAGGCTGGAAGTCAGAGATTGAAGGTAATCTTCTAGTGAAGATCATTCTGGTCAGTGTGGGGTCTTCACTGTTTTCAGAAAATGTACTAACTATGCATTTAAACCCAATGTATCACCAATGGCAAACTTAATCGGTGAAGTCAGCATCCATCCCGAAATTTGCCGTGAGCCAATTGGAATGCCGGAGTTGATTTGATAGAATTTATCACTGTCGAAGTCCATATTATTACTCCGATTTGGACATGATAGACAAGAGCTAGTACGTATTCCCAATATTGCAGTTTGAAGCCATGACGGCACAGAAACTCTAAGTGTGCTAAGCCATTTTTTCCCTTTCTAATATTTAGGTATAGTCACGGCATTCGATTCTGTTTAGCACCGCGCATTGTCTGCCGCTGGGGCTGATCGATCTTTCAATCGATTTTGCGACTAGCGTGCGGATGTGCGAAATGGAAAACCACACTCTTTAAGATTATGGACCCACAGTAATTGGATGCATAAACCTGGATTCGGCCGAGGAAAGGGTAAATATCTAAGGAATAAGGAAAGCTACAATGCGTACTTCCGCACGAGATATGAAGATGGCGTGCAACCCCTTGGGGTCCCTGATTCCTGTGTTTAATTCGTCATTTGCGGATGATCTCGGACGTCATGTTTTGCGTACATATACCCACTCACCTATTTTCGATTATTCTACGGAATACCCACTTGGTCCATGTTGAACCTGCCGATCACTAAGACAGTTCATATGTTGTAATCCAATGGTAACTCTAGCCAGTCAGAATCATCTAATATGGTCGATCCTATGTACCACACGCGCCTGAATAACAAGCTCCTCTTTCAAGGGCTGTTTCCGATAAGCTAAATGTGAACCGGTGAAGGGTATAAAGCCCGAGCGATAATTCCTGCCATCTAGAGCCAAATTGTATCATATTCTTTTGGACACTACAACGACAAACTCAGCCCCATTGTTTAAACATGCAACCAATCCATTTCCTTTTCGCATTTATGATTGCTACTGTGATGGCATCTCCAATCAACGAAGGGCAATCCAAAGCGTTGGCCGAGCGTCAGCAGGTAAGAATAACCCGAGACTTTCCATGGGATAAGAGCTGACAAATGGCAATCGATAGCTGGTAAGTGATGCGCTCCCCTAGTCGGATAAGGATGACCGCACAGAGCTGATGGGAATGGCAACCGATAGAATGTAAGTGATGTTCCTCCTAGATCGAATAAAGTTGACTATATAGAGCTGACGGAAATCACGACTGATAGGATGTGAGTGATACTCCTCCCCAATCGGATAAATTTAACACAGCTAACGGAAATGGTAACTAATAGGTGGTAAGTGATGCGCTCCCCTAGTCGGATAAGGATGACCGTACAGAGCTGATGGGAATGGCAACCGATAGCCGGTAAGTGATGTTCTTCCCAGATCGAATAAAGTTGACTATACAGAGCTGACGGAAATCACAACTGATAGGTGGTAAGTGATCTTCTTCCCTAGTCAGAAAAATGACGCCAAAACTAACCAACCGATAGAATGTAAGTGATGTTCCTCCTAGATCGAATAAAGTTGACTATATAGAGCTGACGGAAATCGCAACTGATAGGCGGTAAGTGTCCTCCCAGATCGAATAAGTTAACTACACAGAGCTAACAGAAATGGCAACTAATAGGTGGTAAGTGATGCTCCTCCCCGATCGGAGAAAAACGATTCACATAGCTGACGGAAATGGCAACCGATAGGTGGTAAGTGTCCTCCCAGATCGGATAAAGTTGACTATACAGTGCTAACAGAAATGGCAACTAATAGAACGTAAGTGATGCTCCTACCCGATCGGACAAAGTTAACTACACAGAGCTAACAGAAAGGTAACTAATAGGATGTAAGTGATACTCCTCCCCGATCGGATAAAGTTAACTACGCAGAGCTAACGGAAATGGAAACTAATAGGTGGTAAGTGATATCCCTCCCTAATCAGGAAGGGATGACTATACAGAGCTAACAGAAATGGCAACTAACAGGCGGTAAGTGATGCTTCTCGCTAATCGAATAATGTCCTCCCTGGTCGGATAAGGATGACTATATATACAGAGCTAACAGAAATGGCAACCCATAGAATGTAAGTGATGCTCCTCCCAGATCGGATAAAGTTAACTACGCAGAGCTAACGGAAATGGCAACTAATAGATGGCAAGTGATACTCCTCCCCGATCGGATAAAGTTAACTACGCAGAGCTAACGGAAATGGCAACTAATAGGTGGTAAGTGTCTTCCCAGATCGGATAAAGTTGACTATACAATGCTAACAGAAATGGCAACTAATAGGATGTAAGTGATGCTCCTACCCGATAGGATTAACATGACTAAAGAGAGCTAATAGGAATCGCAAACTATAGGTGGTAAGTGATCCTTCTCTATAATCGGATAAAGTCCTCCCTGGTCGGATAAGGCATGTATGTGTACAGAGCTAACAGAAATTATGACCGATAGCTGGTAAGTGACGGTCCTCCTAGATCGAATAAATTGACTACACAGAGCTGACAGAAATGGCAACCGACAGAATGTAAGTGATGTTTCTCCCTGGCCCCGGGGCCCCGGGGTCGGATAAGGATGACTATACAGAGCTAACAAAAATATGACCGATAGAATGCAAGTGATATTCCTACCCGATCGGATAAAATTGACTATACAGAGCTGACAGAAATGGCAAACTATAGATTGTCCGTTGATGCTAGACGGAGAAAAACAACACTGCAGAGGTGACAGAAATAGCAATTGATAGCTGGTAAGTGATAGACCTCCCTGGTCGGATAGGGCTGAGTGCATAGGGCTGACAGAACGTTTTAGCAATGATAACATCCATGGATTGCTGGCATTGAATGACGGGAACTCATCAGAGTTCCTATTTTCTTTGCTTATATTGTCTTGATGTGGGTTTTCCCCCATATATCATAGGTTTCCCCATATTATTTTGCGAATGCAAAGGCATTATTGTTTAAGACATTTACATGAGTCGTGCAGTATAACTAGCGTAACATAATAGTCTTGGTAGTAGAGGGGCAACTTGCGTAGGTCATTTACAATTCGGGTTTTCGAGTTAGGAACAAAGATGCCAAGACGGAGTCTCTATGGTGGATGTGATAGATAGTATTCAATATTCGTATGAAGTGAGAGTGAATAATTTGAAAGTAGACAATAATGCAACGACAACCACAATAGCAATGCCAATTAACGTTGTTGTGGTTGTTAGAGCTTCTGCTATAGAGATCGAGGGAAGAGAGAAGGAAGAAATCTTGATCAGAGGGGTGGCGTTAGATCGTGCAATTGTGCAGTTGTGAGCCCAGGATGCAATTCATTCAATGTCTCGCCCCCTAAACTCGTTGCTTCTTAACGTCATGCCAATACCCTTTCGCGACAAAAATTAAACTCAACACAATGCCTAGCCCGGTCAACCCAATACCAAAATACCACGCGCCACGATACCCAAGCAGAGCATCAGCCGGCGTCGTGCTGCCGCGGTTAACATGCACGTCGATCGTGCCTGCAAACCCCAATCCAAGCGAGATACTATAGTTTACTATCGTACCAATCAAGGCCCCACCCATACCCTGATGCTCCTTCTTAACAGCGTTCGAGAAAATAACTGTCGCCGCAGGAAACGACGTATCCATACCCCACGGGATAATCAGCATGCACACAAACAACTGGGCCCAGTATGTTTGATGCACTGGTGCCGTCGCCACCAGGATAGTCCCCACCATGAAACACGTTAGCGAGAATACCATAACCCACGCTGCGCGTACGTGCTGTAGCAGGAAACCGGTAGTCACGGATGCGAAGGCGCCCGAAACGGCCACTGGGCAGATGTACGCGGCGGTGAGCAGCGGCGAGCCGCCTCTCAGCACCTCGATGAACTGCGTCACGTAGTAGATCCAGATTCCAAAGCAGGCCCAGCCGCAGGCGACGCATGCAACCACGAAGTTGATATCACCCGTGAAGATCTCGAAGGGCACAAGTGGTGTCTTGGCCCAGCGAGACTCAATGAAGTAGAAGGAAACTGCAAAAATGACGCCAAGGATTAGGATGACGTAGATATATGCTTGCTGCCAGCCGTACGCTGGGGCTTGATTCCATGCAAAATTAAATAGCACTAGCGCTGCGACGCCCGTGACGGCTCCGGGGATGTCGAGCATTGGAAGCTTTTCTCCAAGGCTTTTGTTTTGATCGTTTGAGCGGCTTTGTGTTGGGATGACTAGGGCGCTGAACGCAGCCAGCAGAACCAGCGTGATAGCGTGACTCCAAAATGCCCATGGCCACCAGGCTAGCGCAAACAGGCCGGAGAAGAGTAGGCCAAAGACACCACCGCCTGGAGCACAGGCACCGAATAACGCGAATGCCATGTTCTTCCTCGGTCCGGCGGGATAGGAAATCCCCAAAAGCGCAAGCCCGTTGGGTAATAAGGCAGCGGGCCCCAGCCCCTGAAACACCCTGGCGAATATAAACAGGTACTCGTTACAATAGATGCTGAGGCCCGCAACCATAGTCCAGAGAGCGAACCATAGCATGCCAATTATGAAAATCCTCTTGTGCCCAAAGAGATCCCCAAGCCGGCCAGCAACGAGTATAAAGGTCCCCGACGTCAAGCTATAACCAGCAATGAGCCAAGAAAGCACCCCAGGGTTTGTAATACCGAAGCTGTCGCCGATCTGATGCAGGATGCCCAGTGTTTGGGTTAGGCCTACTTGCGTCGTGAATTGAGCCGTGCATATTGTTGCGATGAAGACACATTCATGGAAAAGTGACATGTGATCAGCGGCATACATGGTGGATGTAGTGCTTTTCTGCTCGTGGCTTATGGAGTCTTGGTTCCTATCATTATGCTGGGGTCCAACCTCAGAATCGGGATGCACCTCTATATCGGATTCCGGATTCGTCATGGGGATGCTGTTCATTTTTCTTTTGGGAACCAGGCCGCGAAAGCAATGGTAACCCTACTCAGAGATTAGGTGTGGATATTCGAGGTTCAGAAGAAGAAGTTACCGTGGATTAATGATATATTGAAAAACCGAAGGCGATGAAAGTTGTAGGAATATGGGTAGAATAATTGGTGAAAAGATTGATTAGGCAAAAAGAAAGTAAGCCACCATTTGCAGAATGAGACTAGACTAGATGAGTTCTTTACAGGGGCGAATCACCCTCAAACAAATGAAAATGGCCCTTCGACTTCTTGTCCGGAGATATCAGCGGGATCAAGGCCGAGCAAGACCGGGCGCCAACTAAAGTCCGATTTTTCTTTTTCTTTTTCTTTTTCTTTTTTGTTTATTTCTGTTCGCGCTCCGAAGACCGAGGGAATAATATTGTAGTTAAATCAAATACGAAAAGAGAAAAGAAAAAAGAAAAAAGATGTTTTTTATTGCAAGTTAACAGGTCATTTACAAATTCTATACATGCACAAAATACTAATGCTAGATTTCTATAGAGCCATGCCCAAAGAGAATCGCCGCAGTTTCGCACCAAACACCTGAATACATACCACACCGAGAAATGCCACCACTGTGATCACCGCCTGAAGGCCAAACGAGACATCGTATCCCTGTTTGAGCCCCCAGGGCTGCTGGAAGTAGCCGACAGCAAATCCGCATGCTGCCCGGCCCAGGTTAAGAAAAGCCGAGACTTCTCCAGACGCAGCAGGACAACAATCCATTCCGTAGGCGACCATGACCACCGAAATAATCATCACCCCGCCCTGGAACATGCCCCAACCAAATAAAATTCCGACCCAGTGGAGATGCTGCTGCAGGGTAATCCCCACTAGGACAATTCCGGGGATCATCACCAGAGCCGCAAGGTAGACCACCCACAACCGGGCTTCGGGAACGAATCGCCCCTGGTGTCGCTTTGTGTACTGCTCCATCGCATAGTCGTTTAGAAAATGGCCCACAAACCACCCGAGAAAGACGGACACAATCGGACCAAAGTAGACGTAGCCGATTGCTCGTGCCGACATGCCATACCCGCCGGACGCTTGGGGAAGTTCTAGCAGCAGAGCGGAGCTCTGGTTGATGCCAATACTCCACATGAAAAGTACTCCGTAGTTTATCACCACTAGGAGGATTATAGGCCGGAGAGCAACCTTGAAGAGTTGGAGGTAGCAAGGAAGAACCGGGCGGTAGTATTCTCGGTGATGTTGTAGCTGCCACCAACCCACCACACGGGAGAGGCGAGCCATAGTGTTCATCGCACGTTTCGGTTGCTTCTCATCTGCGACATCACGATTGTAGAAAGACTCATCGGCACACGCTATGATCATAACCGTAAGACATGCCGCGAAAGCAAAGACCAGCCAGAATAAAGGTCTCCACGTGCCCAGTCCCGCCACCATGAAGTTGCCTAACATGGGCCCAGCAAATGGGGAGACGAGGAAAATACCATACCAGAGACCAATTTTGCGGGGATGTTCATGGAAGAAGAACATGTCCTGGATGAGCTGCAGCCCAATAGACGATCCAGTGCCTTGGGTGACACCCTGCAAAGCACGCATTGCATAGTAGGTAGGAAAGTTTGGCGCCAGAACACATCCTAGGGTGAAGAAAAGACCCATCACTGTACTCCAGAATAGAACAGGCGCACGGCCCCAGGAGGAGAGCAGAGGTACCCATAGCAGTGATGAAATCCCGATCATCATAACGGCGAGATTGTTGGGCTCATTGACTACCGACGCGGACACCTTCCATTCTTCGCTCTGCAGAATGGCGGCAGGAATCCCAATTGCCATGCCAAAGTCCCCTGCAAAGGAGCCAAAAGCGACGCAGAGTAGGATCGCGTGCTTCTTGAAAGTGCTCCAGTTGAGCGGATCACTAGCGTCATCCTTCGGTTGGGGAATGAGGATGGTCTGATTTCCGTCAGCTACAGCCAGCGCTACCCTTGAGAAAAGCGCAAAATATCATACATGGCCATCTGAAGCAAGTTTCAATTCGGTCCTGTTGCCGGAGGTGGGCGTCAGACTGTTCAAATCTAACACCACGACGCCATCATCCATAGAATCAACCTCGTGGCTGGCTGTCAAGGAACCCTTTAATTCCATCGTATGCAAATATAATTTGATAGTTAGGGCACAGTATAAACGGGATTTGATGGAGTTCATTTATCAAAAGCGTCCAGGAATTAAACTCCCTCTGCTATTCCTTCAGCGCAGTCGGACCCCGATGGCCGAACATCGTCAACAGGAACGGCTTCAATTCGGGAGCCGGATCCCGTTTACCTTTCTCATTTCAGCCAAAGAGAAAGAGTACAAGTATCACGCATCTTGTTGAGATCGGACCTTATTCGATCTGGCACTGATCAGCATACACACACGCAGGCAAGCAAACAAACCATTCTTCACCAAACATGATGCATCTCTCTCGTCTATCAACTGTCTTTGTCAGCTTAACGGCAGCGTCTGCCTACAGCTTCGAAGCCTCCAACTACCATGCAAACAACATCATTAAACGTGATGTTTGTGTCATTGGGGGCGGTGCCGCTGGAGCATATGCAGCGGTCCGACTCGGTGACTTGGGCCAGAGCGTGGTTCTTGTGGAGAAAAAAGATGCGCTGGGGGGTCAGACTGAGGCATATACCGTACCTTCCACCGGGGAGATCATTGACTACGGAGTTGAGAACTTCCAAAACACCACGCTTCTTCGCAACTTCTTTAGCCGCTTCAATGTAAACCTGGTACCATACCTCGCCACCGCGACAAGCACGCAATATGCCGACTTTTCTACGGGTACCGTCTACCAAAACTTCTCTCTGCCCAAGCCCGACTTCACCGAATATATGACCCAGCTCGAGAAATATCCCTATCTGGCCGATTCCTGGAATCTGCCTAACCCCGTACCCGAAGATCTGCTACTTCCATTTGGTGAATTCATCACCAAGTATTCGCTGGAAAACATTGGCTACCTTCTGGGCATGTGGGGAGCCGGCAACGGCGATATCCTGAAGCAGACCACCGTCTACATGTTGAAGTCTCTCGATAAAGCTTACATGGAAGGCTTTCAAGGGAGCAACGTCATGGCTCATGAAAATCACGCCGTCTATGCTGCGATGCAAGCTCATCTTGGGTCTAATGTCCTCTTGTCTTCAACGGTCGTTGCGGCGAGCCGACCCGCAAACGGCTCGAGTGCAAAATTGGTGGTACGCACACCCTCAGGAAATAAGCTCATTGTGGCCAAGAAACTCCTCGTGGCAATGCCGCAGACGCCGAAAAATATGAATCCTCTGAGCCTGGATGTCACCGAAAAGGCTGTGTTCGACCAGTTCGGCTACAATGCTATGTACGTGGGCCTAGTGAAAGGCACCGGAATTGGAGCATTCGTCGACACGCTGGGGATTGATATCAGCAACTCCTACGACTTGCCCACCCTTGGAGGTCTCATGTACCTGCAGTCAACAACCTCGGAGGGCGTCTACAGGATCTGGTACAACGCAGAGACTGACGTCTCTGAGGATGTAGTGAAAGCGGAATCGCTGGCTGCTATCAAGCGTTTGACAGGCAAGACGGCCGAATTTCTCGTTTTTGGGAGTCACACTCCATATCAGCTATCGGTTGCTGCCAGTGCAATTGAAAATGGCTTCTACAACAGCCTCAATGCGCTTCAGGGACATAGAAACACCTGGTACTCCGGTGCGGCATTCTTGGCTCATCACACAGCCTCGTTGTGGAATTATACCGAAGTTCTATTGCCCAAGATGATCGCTGCATAATTCTGTCGTGTGTAGAATGATCATAATGCTTGAGGGTTATCAGATGCGATTCGAGGGGAAAGAAACACAAATGAGAAAGATATGGAAAAGCAATTTGAGCCATATTTACTGAATCGTGATTTTAACTTCTGGAGAAAACAGATTTATAGTAATTGCGAAGTTGTGAATCTTTTCCAAGCCTGATAATATAATGAAGATTAAATATTGTCCCGGGTTACCTACATATATCTGTATATGTATTGCATCTTTATGTTGATTGTTTAATGCGACTTTCTAATATTATTGTTTTCACTTTTGTTGGGGCTACTAACTGTGGGAGAGAGAGAGAAGAAGAAGAATCATGATCTATTCAATCTATCTAGAGCAGGGGATTTATACCCTGCCAAACAAAGAAAGGCTCAGTCTGCAAACAAATGGAGGCATCAATGGGATGACCGACATAGTCCAACAACTTTGCCTTTTCATTGGAATATTATTAGTATGGTCCTTGAGGCATCTCTCCATCAATTACCTCAACGAGAAATATCAAAAGGATCACGTTACTACGTACCGGTGCACTAAAAGAATGTTAATTTCGCCCTAAGGTGCTATTTTCGGGTGTAGATGGTCGAATTGTACAAATATGTGTTCCCTAGAACTATATAGGCAGATAGAAGAATAGAAGAACTGGGATGAACCAAAACACATAAAGATTCTCGCAAGGGAACATCAGTCAATCGCAGTAACCATTACACGACAATATCAGAAGACTTATTTTCAATTAAAGCAGCCGAGTACGTGAAAACCATCTTTCCCAATAGCCCTATCGCATAATTCCAGCAAAATACCGTTTCAACTCCTGTTCATCCTCCAGGTCCCCTATCCAACCCACGCATTGATCAGGTCGGGTCACAACCATACAGCCCCTGCCGCAACTGATGCCATATTTCACATGTGCAGACTCTGGACGACCTTGAGAGAGTGAAGCAGGTGGATCAGAAAATATTAGATTGTAGTTATATCCCCGGGACGCATCAAAGGGGAAGAAGGTGTCATGGAAGTCACCTAGCTCCACCTGATCCAGACGACCGTAGTAAAAGACCAAGCTTTCCACAAAAGGCTGATCATCACGAATCGACCGGAATTGAGTGACCAATTGGCTGATATATTTGCCTAGCTGGTTCACACGCTCCAGCTGGGTCGGATTCGTCACATCGCCGGCGAAGACCAACACCCGCCATCGACCGTCGCTTTGGAGGAGGGTTTGGCTCTCGACAGGAACAGCACTGGAGTGGTTGATGACCGGGTGACTGGGAAACCGCATGCCTAGTCTCAGATGGCTGGCCAAATGTTGCTTCGCCGTTGTGGCGCTTGCCACCAGCATACCGGGAGGGTAGCAGATATTGGCGCCGCTTGCATAATTCCGGAGCCGCTCGTACACCTGCCCAACTCCCACAGGATCGGACATGGTTTCATTGGTCAGGGCGTTAGCTAGACTTGTATCGATGTTGATAAGATCCTGGGCGACGGGCCGGCGTTCCGACTGGTATGTCTGTAGAACACTGCGGTGAAGCTGGCCCTGAATCACTCCGGCCAACTTCCACCCCAGATTGAAGGCATCTTGCATGGAGACATTCATGCCTTGGCCACACTTAGGGGTATGAGTGTGCACCGCATCACCACCGAGGAAGATGCGGTCCCGGTGCGCAAAGCTGGTGGCTACACGTTGGCCCACACGGTAGATGGTCCACCAGTCGCAATAGGAATACGCCAAAGTATGAGGGAACAGGCTCTGGCGAGCGACGGCAATAATTTGTGTTCCCACTCTAGAGTCCGTCACCGATACGTTTGAGAAGGACGGTGGAAGTTGGACATATAACCGAGTCATGCCATCCTCCCGTGGAACGCTGAGAATGGTTCCATGCTGGGTAAGGATGGTGCAGTGTTTGCGAAAGCTGGAAACAAAACTTTAGTGAACTGCGGTGTCTTCATCTTGCAGGAAAGAGCAAACTTACTCTGGAAAGTCGGTGATAAGCACAGCATCAACGACTCCCCAAACTGCATCGGTGGAGGTGCCTTCCATTGAGAAGCCCAACTGGCGGCGCACCCAACTATGAGCACCGTCACTCCCAACGACATATTTTGCATGGATGGTTGTTGTGCTTCCCTCATCACTGCTGACCCGGGGGATAGTGTCGTTCTTGGTAGCAGACGATGGAGAGATAATCCCCTGGATCTTTCCCTTTTCTTCCTGGATCACACCACCTGGCTGAATACTATGCGAATTGGTCCTCCACACGGCTAAATCTTCTTGTCGTTGGTGTCGCAGTTGGACCTTCACCGGGTATGCCTCAGGGTCGTCGACAAGACTTTCATCAAGCTCCATAGAAATGGGCACTACACCTCGTTCGACCTCTGGGCCGGATCGTTGTCGGATTGCATCGAGCAGAGTGGCTTCCGTATTACCTTGATGCATGGTGCAGGTGTTCAGCCTACCGTTGACTGTTAGTATTTTGTTCTTTGATTTAATACATGCCCTGTCGAGGCCTGCCAAACAACCTACCTTGAGACATCTAGCCCCATCATGCCCTGCCGTTGTTGTCTTGACAACCGACCATCATCTCCCGGAGCCTTAATGGTTATTTACCGTTAGCCACATACCTAATCCGACTCTCATAGGTAGAGTATACGTACCCAAAGACACCATTCATCAAATCTGACTCCAAACTGCTGCAGGACTCCATAGATACCGAAACTGTCCCAGATCTCTGCTGTGCGCACATGAAACCCATCGGCGCGACCATTTAAGGCTCTCGTTCCTTTATCGTCAATGATACACGTTTTGATTCCTAGCTCTGCCATCCATAGTGCAGTCATTAGCCTGAGAATACAGGTTAGTATGTCGTTTCTCTTCTTTTTCTTCTTTTTCGGCTTTCACTTACCCCATTGGGCCAGCACCAATGATCAGAACATCAACTTGTTTTTTATTTGAAATTGTCATTGTGGTGACGCTTCTTTGGTCTCGGCAACTGAATAGCTTTCGATAAACAGAGGGGTTGCACACCCTAATTATATATATGCAAGTGACCACCCCTGTAAAATGAACAGAGCCCACCTGCCGGAAAAGTTCTCAGCAACTGTTTTATTTTATCTTTTTTAATCGGTACTCGGTCCTCGGAATCCGAGACAATCAATCGTGGGAAGTCAAGGATGGACGGCATAGGCAGTTACCTCGAGGTTCACTAAAATGCTTTCATGTAACCGGCTTTGGAATACAATTTTTAAGTAACATATCAAGGTTAAGGTTTCCGAATATCTAATGAAAAGTTTTCTATGGACTTAATATTTAGTGAACCACGCATTTTCCCCATTCAATGGTTTCTTCTGTTGGTGATATAGAAGATGGAGGCAGTCAAATACTTCTTACGCATCTGTAGGAAATTTCATCGCGGCAAAGGGGAATTGAATAGAGGCTTGAAAGAAGACAATTGTATGAAGGAGACACATATATAGCTAGCCATAGAGTTCTCTATTTCTTGGTCCCTATATACCAATACATCTTTCCGAATGGAGGCAACATCATCTCTTCGCCGCTCTTGAAATCCCATCCGCTGAGGTCCAGATCCGACTGTTTATTGATCAACTGCGTGATTTCCTCCGGCGTCCGTCCACGTATACATGACACGTAGCCGTCCACGGCAAAAAACATCTGAACAAGTGGAAAGAGGTAGGTAAAGATCATATGAAGAGGTGAGTGACTGAACCACATAAACGTCGTTAACAAGGGCGATAAGACAATGAAAGTGGTATTGAGGAAGGCCGAGAGGGTTCGATTTGTCATTTCAAAGATCCTAACGCTGCATGTTAACCAAACTGTGCGCAACTTAACTCGCATCTTTGTCCGGGGAGGAATAGACATACACAAAAGCATCCGTCTCTTGGATAGCACTTCGAAGCACCGTAGCGGCCTCTGGGTCATCAAAATGGTGGAAGCACAGGTTGAAGATGCGACATTCTTTCTTTCCCGGCGCCGCCATTCGCAGGGCACGGGTGGCATCCACCGGGGTCTCGATGTAAGATATATTAGCGCTCCGTTTCGACATGGCTGCCCATTTTTCAAGCGAGGGGTAGAGATCGGTGAGAATGAAGTTCACCGGCCCTTCCCCCCTTTGCTTGAGTTTGTCGTTCAGGGTAGCCTCCATGATAGGAATTGGTCCTCCCCCGCCTGCACAGGAGTCAATGAAGGTGAAGGAGGCCAGGTCAGGCAGATGGTTGAGCAGCAGGTCGCAGACTTGCACGGCTGGCGAGTCTTTGGTTCCAGGGGCCCTGGTCTTCCACATCTGGATGCGAGCCATGTGCGAGTATTCGCGCAGCCATTCTGGACACCATGGCTGATCGCCAAGCTCTAGCAGGTGGAACCGAGGGGTAATGATCATGTTGGGTTAAAATGAATTTCACAAAGTAGAGGTAGCCAGCTTGTCTGTTCTTTTTCTTGCTTTGTTAACGTGGGGGGAGTCTCCCAAATAAGACGTACGAACGGACCTAGCCTTCATCGCCTGGTTCGGTCTTCGGGATCCGAGCAATCAAACAGCCTACAAACCCAGGATCCTGTATACTTCCGGAAGCAGTAAGTCTCAGGGACAATCTCGAGCCGGATTTAAGCTTGTCTTAAGTCCTATGGCCGTTGGGTTGTATCGGGTTCGTTTAGTACTTTATTTATATTGTACTGCCAGTCAACTTACTGCGAGTTTTCGAAGAACCAAAAACTCCTCAATCTACACAAAAAGCACACCCTGATTATGCGTGTCCTTCTTACCGGCGGCACAGGTAAAACCTCAGTCCGCCTAGCCCGCTTCCTTCAAAATGAGAACATTCCATTTCTGCTGGCCTCTCGTCGCGGTCCCTCCGCCGCCCCCTCCGGGATGCCGGCCGTCAAATTCGACTGGCTGGATCAGTCCACCTGGAAGGAACCTTTCCAGTACCGATTTGCGGGGGCGGGTCCATCTCGGCCATCTATCTCATGGAACCACTGGTCGCTGAGCCCTGGAAGCCCATGAACGAGTTTATTGACTATGCGCGCAAGGAACACGGGGTGGGAAGGTTCGTGCTGGTGGCGGGCAGCTCTGCTGAGCCGTCGCAGCCGGGCATGGGGATGGTGTGGCAGCATTTCCTAGACACGGGAGTGGATTACTGTGTGCTTCGACCCAGTTGGTTCATGGGTGTGTATACCCTAGCGAAGAGTCTACGCGGCAGTCATTCGGTACGCTAGCTAACCACTAAATCACTCATTCCATAGAAAACCTCTCCGACGAGGCTCCTAGCACTGTCATCCGGGATCAGGGCAAGATCTACACAGCCTGCGGCGAAGGGAAAATTCCCTTCGTGAGTGCCATTGATATTGCCGCGGTTGCATTCCGGGCTATCATAGATCCCCAATCGCACAATTGCGACCACCGCGTGCTGGGGCCAGAGTTGCTGACCTACGACGAGGTGGCCGAGAAGCTATCCGTCGCGCTGGGTCGTCCCATTGAGCACGTTAAGCTGTCTGGGGACCAGCGGTACGAAGGCTTGGTGAGCGTTGGGGTTTCTGAATACTATGCTCGGTTCCTGACGAACCTGGAAACCGCTGCATCCACGGGATTTGAAACTCGTATGAACGCTTCGGTGGAGAAGGTGACCGGCCGGGCCCCCAGGACACTGGATCTTTTTGCGCACGATAACAGAGGGGCGTGGGAGCCACTGAGTGAGTGAGGGGCTTAATATGAGCACATATGTATTTTATACCTAGGTATATCTAATACTATACATATAACTCTCCATTTAAGTTCTGTTACTTACTAGTTATATGTGTAGTTTATCATATAAATATGGAGTATCCAATTATCGACACTGTAAAAGTGTGTCACGAGTATGTGGGCAATGAAAAACTCAAATTTACGATGTGGCTGGCGGTTCCTCGTGTTACGGCCTCGGCACGAACCACCACGACAACACTATTTTTCTGCAAGGCCACCCATTACTAATTCATACGCTACCCCGTATAGGTATTGAAACTCCTATCCCTCTATACCTATAATTATAAGCGTATAATAACTTGCTTACTTTCACAATAAAGGCCATTACCTAAACACTAACGTCCTCGCTTAGGTGCTACATATACATAGGCCCCCGTCCACCTATAGATGGGACCTCGGGACGTCGGGACCCCGGGAGTCCACCGGCGGACGGGGAAGCGGATTGGCAACTATAAAGTAAGAAGAAAAGAAAAGGTCCACGGGTAACCCACTTGGTTAATTTTAATTCCGCTTATGCACTTTAGTCGTAGTCTTTAGATCTTTAGATTTACTAGGAATATTAATTGCAAAGCCTTCCTTCTCGATATATATATATTAACTCAAAAAATTAGAGTAAACGGGAGTGAAGTGCTTTATTTCGGTTACATACGGAACCCGAGTAAATTGTACGGCGATTGCTTTTGATTAAAGGGTCTCATTTTAAATACGAATATACTATTATAGTAGTACTACTATCAAAGAGAGAGATAATCTGATCTTTAATAAAGGTTTAAGAATAAAATAGTATTTTTCGTGGTGGTTCGAACCGAGGCCTGTACTCGTGTACCGGGATGCGACGTAGTTTCAGCCAAAATGGACCCTATAGGCATCCATGGGTGTCACCGGATCCCCCCTGCATAACGATCTATAGATACCCCCCCCCATTTAATACGAGAGACCCAATCGTGGCAACTTCATAACCCGCCCGTTGAAAGTGACTGCCACCCGAAATCGAAATGCATTCCTGCGATGCAGCGAGAGGCGTAAGCAATATCAAACCGTATCCGGAGCGCCAACCTTGCATCCGTGGTGTGTCTGGAGAACCGAATTAGGGTTAGCATTGAAACAACGCCGATTCCTGAAGGATTGTCTGCATAGTTAGGACTAAAGGTAGCCCGCAGACGTGGTGCGGCATTCTCTAACTGCTACTGCCCCATCTCCGATTTTGCCAAGCCGCGTACCCAATTAGGAAAGTGCGTGTCAGGTTTGGGGGCCATGAATATCTAAATGGGGGGGGTACATATATCAACACCCTTTATTGAATTCGCATACCAACTTCTTAGTTCAATATATAGTATATCATAAAAATAACGAGTTCAATACATAGTATATCATAAAAATAATGTACAAATAGGGTTTTCAGTGCTCATTTAAAAGGGTTTGCACGGAGGTAAATAAGTATCGGAAAATCCGACGTGGCGCAGTCCAGGGTTGGCCAAAAAATCGCCGTAAGCAAAAGCTTATTTCGGGATTCAGATCCCTGTTCAAGTAGTATTGCCAGCTGAAGAAGGAGTCACATCTTAAAGCAGGCGATTATAATCTAGATGACTGGTGCCGAGATGTGTTATGCACATGCAGAGGGCCATGTAGATAGCAGACCCTCCAAGCCTCGCTAGGGCTGACTCCCTGGGGCCGTTGGTATTAAAGAATCGAGATTCCGGGTATATCGTGCGTCCTTTCTATGGAATTATTCTCTGGCCTCCAATTGATTAGGCACAATCGCTCCACCAACATTCTCTTCCTTTCGTTTGTACTAGAATAGGCTTTCCATCATAAACAAAAAAGGAGAAACAAAAAAACGGAATAATGGCAAAGACATCCGCCATTGCCACCTCCGATGCGGCATGTGCCCGCTGTCGGGAGCGAAAAATTCGTTGTGGACGTGAAAAAAATGAATGCGCAAACTGTGAACGAGATGGGGTGGAATGTGACTATTCGACCCCAGGGAAGCGGGTCAATCACATCAAGTTATTGTATGTTGAGTATCATCTATCATCAGAGAATGAAATGGGCTAAACTAAACCACAACAGATGCAACGATGTCTCGCAAATCCAAAATAAGTTGAGCATCATTGAAGAGGGGATGGCTACTATCCTTTCGATGGCAAAGCAAGATCAGCACTCCAATCCACATTCACAGCCATCTTTAGAGAGTGAGCCGGTGAGAGTCGACACCTCCACTATAATGGATCATGAGATGGAAGATGAGAAGGCGAGGGAGGTGGAAGGCTCAAATGGGCTCATAGCTCCCAATCATCACTATCATAATGACCGATATTATGGACCAGGAACATTGTTGGCGCTCTGTCATCGCTTCAAACGAACGCTTCTAGGGTCACCTAGGGATTCCATCGATAATTCCACCCAACATGGCCTAGAGCTACACCTGAATCTCCTGTGTTCAGAAGCAGGAAGTGAGGAGTCAATATCAGGCGCGAGACCAACCCAGATAACAGCCATGCAATTGCCACCAAAGCAGCTGTTCATGGTAGTCCAGTCACAATTCTTCCAGCACTGCCACTACGCCACCGATATATTTGTCCCATCGCGATTTCGGATGAAAGTTGAACAGCTCTATGAACGGCCTCTCATGCCCGGTGACGAGCCCTGGGCCATTTGCCTGCATACACTCACTCTCTTGGTGCTCGGCCCAGGGGCGATAATGATGTTGCAACAGCTCTGCACAGGTGCCCCCGGCCTGCTTGCAGTACACGCTGCTGTGACAGATCCGAGTATCCTAGTAGCTCCTCAATTGATTAACGTTCAGACTTTAACCCTGCTCGTAAGTAATTCATTTTCCCTATCCATCGACTAAACCCAGTGTTCTAACGTGAAGGGACTTAGGGAAAGCTTGCACAACAGTATTATCCATTGCACATGGCCGAAACTATCCATGCCCTGGTTTGTGTGCTAGCAAAGACGATGGGCCTCCATCAACTCACCAATCGGGAACAAGTGAACCTCTCAGCCGAAGAGGTCCAGGAACGAGTCCAAGTCTTCCGTTGTCTATACATTCAGGATATTGGGTTTGGCCTGTCGAGAGGCTCGACTTGTTGGCTTCGTTCTCCGGGCTGTGTCCCTTTGTGTGACCTGACGCAGGGGGCCAATGGCGACCCTCGCATCCAGCTGACACAGATCCAGGAGATCTTTCTCTGCACTCTCCATAAAAAGAATCCATCAAGCACACAACTCCAGCAGATTGTGTCCCAGAACCTTAGGCGTCTTGATCAATGGGCGCTGGACCACCGCATCTTTACCCCCGCCGTGCTAGCTGACTTCACGTCCGTGGATCTCCGCCAGGGCTTCTTTGCAACTCGCATTGCCGTCCTCTCGCACCATTTCGACTGTAATTACCTTGCAGATGCCACTGTGGATGCCAGGGTGGCGTGTGGGATGTTGCTCCTAGTTTGTGCGGCCTGCACTCCATGCAAGGTGGAGGAGTTGGCGCCTACTGACGCATATCCCGTGGTCGGCGTCGATCCCAACGACTCAAGCATCACGGTCTACTCGCAGATGGGTTTGGCGAGGTTCACAGATCTTCCCTTTTTGCCCACTCAGAGCCTCGTGGAGCAATTTCCCATCGCTGCCTTCTTCCTGTTGGCTACCAGACTGGTAACCGCACATCCACTCTCTCGCGAGACAGATCTCGAGCTTCTGCAGAGAGTGTCTGTGTTCTACTCTGATCTGGGTTCTAGGAGACCTGCCAACAATCATATCCACAAGCTGGGTCGAGTGTTCCGGCTTGTACTCGATGTCGTCCGCCACCTGTGCCCCTTGGATGTCCCCTCCGAGAGTCTCATCTCTGACAGCAGCGAAAGTTCAAGCCAAAGCAACATTGGAAGCACACAAACGCAGACTACGCCCGAGTCAAGTGCGTACACGTGGGATTCCAACCCTCTTTATGGTGCTCCAGATGGAATTCTCCCACGACAGCTTTGCGTGCCTTCCCAGGTTGGATCTGATGCTACAGTCGGTGTGGCTATGACAGCAACGGCTTCTCCCTCGCACATTCCTAGCCTACGGGACCTTCAGCCTGGAGGGACCGTGGCAGTACATGATGCGCTCCAACAGCTGGCATGGATGCAGGTCCCGGATGCACAGCGAGAGAACTTTTGGTGGCAGCAAAACTCGTGCGATTCAGGGCAATACTATCATGATCTACATCGGGATCCCAGGACGAGAATACTGCACCCACAACAGGTGGACCCAGCTCCAGACATGGATCTTGATTTTTGCGTACCGGAGATAAACACCTACAGGCGGCCCGGGTAATAGAACAAATTACATATATACTGATGTGGGTGTCCTGGCAAAGGGAGAAAGGAAGACCTAAAATTATACTAGAAACGACTTAGATTAAATTAATGCTTTCTCCTGTGATCACTATCGCGGTCTTTCAGGAAATTATAATCATTTTCCAACTGTCCATCTGGGATATCTCGTCTTTTCAGGCTCTATTCACTTTCATATATTGCGTACTGCTAGTAACTTCGGTAGTTCCTTGGCCTCACTCAACCTCCTCTCACCCACACGCCACGAGTAAAATGCAAATCCCATCCGGAAACCGAACCCCGAGTAATTGGTATCAGGGTCATGTCTGAGGAGGCGGTTTGCCAAGTACACTCAGGCTTATATACCCTAATTCACCACCCTTTTTTTGCCTTTCTCTTTCTTTCTTTCTGTCAGTAAACCTACTCCCTTATTGTTTCAAGAAGCCCTCCAGGGAGAAAGGCAAAAAGAGACCCATTCATCATGAATATCAAATTAGGCCATCCGGTTTCTGACAGGACCATCAACCGTCTTGCCATCTTCTGCGGTCCCATCGGCCAACTATGCTTTGTTCTCTTCTTGCCAGCCGGTCTCATGCTGCCTCCAATCAGCCCCTCTCTCTCTCCTGAGGAAACTGCCAATCACTACCGAAAGAACGAGGCCGGAATGAAAGCTGGGGCGACGATTATGCTTCTAAGCGGTATCTTCTGGCCTATATTCTGTGCCGGGGTCAACCGCCAATTGGCCCGAATCCCGAACATCAATCCGACACTCCTGTGGGCACAGTTGGCGGCCGGTTCGCTTGGCGCAGTGTCCATGATGCTGCCGGCCATCTTCTTTGCGGCCACAGTCTACCGACTAGACCGGGACCCAGTCCTCACGCAGCTCTTAAGTGACCTAGCCTGGTTCTGTTTCGCATTACTGTTTCCCCCATTCGTGGCACAGGATATGGCTATATCCTGTGCCATTCTCTCCGATACCCGCTCCAAGCCATTACTCCCTCGTTGGTTGGCATATACCACTACGGGACTCACTTTGACTCTCTATCCTGCTTTGGGGGTTCATTGCGTTCAAAACGGCCCCATCGCGTGGAATGGGGCTGTGGGATTCTGGCTGGGGGCCGCCGGCTTTGGCATACAAGTTGGATTACTGGTTTCGTCTCTGCTGAAGGCTGTGGCTACGCCTGATAATGATGATGGTTCCGAGGAAGAGGGGTAATGGCGATTATTGGGGAGGGGACGAAATACTAGGGTGATAATGATGCATGAATAGTGATGGAAATGGAAATGGGCTTTGAATGTATCCCTCGAAAATGTTGGAAATAACCTCGGAGTCCGAGCCCCGAAAGTTCTCTCGGCTCGACAGATGAACTTGGGAAGAGTAACTATAAAGAGGTAGTAAATTTGTGTAATTGGTAAAATACCAGTGTTACTACTACTATCCAATTCCTCTCTGTCTATCAATCGAACAGTTTCTATTTCACTATGGGCTTTTACTACTCCCAATTCCTCGTCAGACCGAGCTACCCCACGAACTCATTTGCGGGCCAAACTGTACTTGTGACAGGAGCCAATGTCGGCCTGGGCCTTGAGGCTACTCGCCACTTTCTCCGACTCCAAGCCGCTAGGGTGATCCTAGCCGTCCGGAATGTGGCAGCGGGGGAAGACGCCAAGCAAGAGCTGGAATCATCCACTGGCAGGGCCGGGGTGTGTGAGATCTGGGAGTTGGACCTAGCCTCATATGCCTCTGTCCAAGCGTTTGCCCAAAAGGCCGCCCAGTTGCCTCGGATCGACGTCGTAGTCGCTAATGCCGCCATTGCAACGACCAACTTCAACCTGGCCGAGGGCCACGAACGGACCATCACTGTGAACGTCATCAGCACCATTCTTCTTGTCTTGCTACTGTTTCCTAAGCTCCGGGAGACAGCCAAGAAGTACCCTGAGGCCCCCCGTCCTCGGCTGACCGTTGTGGTCAGTGAGACCCATGCGTGGACCCCGTTTCCCGAGTACAAGGCGGCGAATACGTTCGAAGAGCTCGACAATCGGGCGACGGCGGACATGGTGAACCGATACGCCAGCTCCAAACTTATGGAGATTATGATTCTGCGAGAGATAGTGGATCGGGCGTCGGATGCCGAGCAGCATGTGGTGGTTAATATGGTGAATCCAGGCCTGTGTCATTCGAAGCTGGCTCGGGAGACTGGGTGGGGCTTCTGGTTGTTCAAGCAACTTGTTGCTCGCTCCACGGAGGTGGGAAGCCGAACTTTGTTGGCCGGAGCATCTGCAGGGGCTGAAAGCCACGGCAAGTACATGACTGATGGCAAAGTCGCTGATACTGCTTTATCCGCATTTGTCCGTAGCCCGGAGGGGAAGAAGGCGCAGCATAAACTCTTGGCAGAGCTTATTCCCATCTTGGAACGCATTGACTCTTCAATTATGCAGAACCTTTAGCATTAATTTAGATCGATCCATAGCCTTAATGGGAAAGTCATCTAACCAAGTGATTGCTTTTTTTTTTTCCCCTTGATAAACCTTGTGTATGCCCCAGTTTTATATTTCTCGGAGTCCGTATCCCATCAGATAATTGCAATTACTTTGTTAATGAAAATCAAGACATAAATAAACTAAACCCTCTTCTTTGTCTCGAGTTTGTACGCATACATATCTTTATATGTATACAATCAAATACTTAGGTACCTCTCAAATTTTACCTTACGCGTTATCAGCATACTACTACTCTTTCTATCCTTACATCCGCTCCAATGTCAAGCCCAACCATCCTCTTGTTTGGGCCCAATTTGCTGTCCTTCGATCTCGAACAATATACGCACCTACGATCAACAATACAGAGCAATTCACGGTACGGCCATATTATCGTCAAGACCATAGCTGAGCTACCAGAATGGTGGCAAAGCATCGCTAGGGTCTTCCCTCACCTGCAGGCTTTGCCAGGCGCTGAGTTGCTTCGTGTATGGCATGAAGATCTCAGCACCAGCAAGCCACCGCAGTTGACCTTCCCCATCCCCACTACCATTCTGACACCGATGGTGGTTGTGACTCAGTTGGTGCAGTATCTTGAGTATCGGGATACTACTGAACAGCAAGCCTCGCCCCCAGCTGCAAGGAAAGAAGAAACATTGGGGTTTTGCACCGGCCTCTTAACTGCGTTTGCGGTGGCCAGCTCGGCAACTCCAGAACAATTTGAGAAATACGCAGCGGTGGCCATCCGACTGGCAATGCTCATTGGTGCCATAGTGGGTGCCCTGGAGGCTCCAGGTAGCCTAGGGGAGTCTGTCTCCTATTCCATCATATGGAATAGCCCACAATTATTCCAGAAAATTGAAGAAATATTGCTGGAGTATCCTCAGGTAAGAAGCCACCGTAACAACAAGGCAGCTCGGCTGAGGGTTAATGCTGACGATGCCATCTTCAGACTGCTCATATTTCTGTCCTATCCGATGAGAAAAGAGCTACTCTCACTGTATCTGAAAACTGTGCTGTGGCTTTGGTGCAGAAGCTGAAGGGTATCGAGGTCCGCGTAACCGATCTCGCGCTGCGCGGGCGGTTCCATAGTCGTCATCACCATGACAATTATATCGATGCTGCGCGTCAGTTCTGCGATTCCAACACTGCCTTTCAATTTCCGGACGCCTCACAGCTCGTGTTACCAACCCAGTCGAATACCGATCCGGGATACATCACCCAGGGAAAGTTACATCACATCGCCCTCGAGTCGATCCTGCTGCATCAATGTCGTTGGTATCAGGCCGTGTCGAGCCTGACTTCACGGTTGGTTGGTTCTAATTTTGAAATAATATCCTTAAGTTCGGAACGCTGTCTGCCACCGTCCTTGCTCTCGAAATTGGGATCGCGAGTGATCCACGCCGCTGATCTCCAGTTGCCGAACCGTCCTCGCCAGCATCCAGAGATTCGAGAAGTTTCTGATTCGGATATTGCGGTGATCGGAATGGCATGTAAGCTTCCAGGAGCAGATGATTTGGAGGAATTCTGGAATCTGCTATGTGAAGGAGACTCACAACATGAGCAAGTCCCTGAGGAGCGCATGAAATTCGAAAGCAGTTGGCGGGAGGCAGATTCCAAGAGAAAATGGTACGGGAACTTCATTCGCGACCACGATGCCTTCGATCATAAATTCTTCAAGAAGAGTCCCCGGGAAGCCGCAGCTATGGATCCCCAGCAGAGATTGATGCTGCAGACGGCATATCAGGCAGTGGCTCAAGCAGGATACTTTTCTGGTCGCCCTCAGCCCGAAGTGGGATGCTACATCGGTGTGAGCAATGTCGATTATGAGAATAATGTAGCGTGCTATGCCGCAAATGCCTACTCCGCCACCGGGGCCCTGAAAAGCTTCGTGGCCGGAAAGGTCAGCCATTACTTTGGGTGGACAGGCCCCTCCCTTACGATCGACACTGCCTGTTCTGCAGCTGCGGTGGCCCTACACCATGCATGTCAAGCCATCTTGGTGGGAGACTGTACCGAAGCGCTAGCAGGAGGTGTCAATATTCTTGGGGGCCCCATTTGGTACCAGAACCTTGCTGGAGCATCATTCCTCAGCCCAACGGGACCCTGTAAGCCTTTTGATGCAAGGGCAGATGGATACTGTCGAGGAGAAGGCTGCGGAGCGGTCTATCTCAAGAAAGCACGGGCTGCTATCGCTGATGGAGACCAAATCTTTGGTATCATTGCCGGTACGGCAGTACAACAGAACGAAAACTGCACGCCCATCACCGTCCCCAATGATAAGTCACTCTCGGACCTCTTTGTCAATGTGCTCCGCAAGGCGGATATTGCACCCTCACAGGTCTCGGTAGTGGAAGCTCACGGAACGGGTACTGCGGTAAGTTTGCTCTCTCTCTCGATCGTTGAGGATTTATCAATCAATTAATGCTGACCCAATCTGAATATGTGGCAGGTTGGAGATCCCGCCGAATATGAAAGCCTTCGTCGCGTTCTAGGAGGCTCTGTTCGCTCAGGCATGGGCCCCTTGTCGTTGAGATCAGTCAAGAGTCTGGTTGGGCACCTCGAATGTGCGTCTGGAATTGTAGCCCTCTTGAAGGTCTTGTTGATGTTGCAAAAGACCTCGATCCCTCCCCAGGTCGGCTTTGAGACCATGAATCCGGCGATCAAAGCCACTCCAGCCGACAAGATGGAGATTTCTACCAAGATGAAGCCCTGGCAAGCAGATTTCCGAGCTGCTCTAATCAATAACTATGGTGCTTCTGGCTCAAACGCTTCTGTGGTGGTGATGGAGGCGCCGCAGTCCCAATTACCAGCGTCAAAAAGCCATTCCCTTCCAATGAGTGCTCTCAAATATCATCCTTTCTGGTTCTCTGCTTTGGATCAAGCCAGCCTCCAAGCATATTGTACCGCTTTCTTGTCCTATCTCCGCTCAATTCCCCGCTCCATGCCCTTATCCGACCTATCTTTCAACCTGTCCACTCAATCTAATCGGTCCCTGGCTCAGAACCTTATCTTCAGCTGCGGTGCTATGGAAGAGCTAGAAGAGACATTGAGACGTTTTCAAAGCGGCCATAGCTTTTCCACAGCTCGGAGATCAGAAAGACCTGTCATTCTTTGCTTCGGCGGACAGGTGTCCACTTCCATCGGGCTTAACCTGGGCCTGTTTGAGAATGTGACCGTTTTACGGGTTCATTTGGATGAATGTAATTCCGTCTGCCAGTCCTTAGGCCTTGACGGGATATACCCTGAGATCTTCCAGAAAACCCCCATTCAGGATACGGTCAAGCTCCAATTGGCCCTCTTTGCCATTCAGTATTCCTGCGCCAAGGCATGGATTGCCTGCAACGTGGAGGTTGCCGCAGTGGTCGGTCACAGCTTCGGCGAGCTTACCTCGCTTTGCATTGCAGGTGTGCTATCGCTGCACGACGCGGTACGGCTCATCGCTGGCAGGGCTCAGCTGGTCCGGGATTCATGGGGCGAGGATAAAGGAGCCATGATTGCCGTGGAGGCCGACCGATCACAGATTGACAGCCTGATAGACCAGTGCAACCAGGACCAAGAACTTGGCCTTGCCTCCATTGCCTGCGTGAACGGGCCAAGAAGTTTCACTCTGGCTGGACCAGTCAAGGTCATGGATAGGGTACAGGCCCTGCAGGGTAAACCTCAATTCGCATCCCTCCGTATGAAAAGACTGAACGTCAGCAATGCCTTTCATTCCACCCTCGTGGAGCCTCTCATGGCGGATTTGGAGCGAGTCGGCGAGGGCCTTGTTTTCCATCCGCCGACAATCGCCGTGGAGAACGCCACGGAATCCAAGTCCGCAATGCCATCGAGTGCGGTCTACGTGGCAGAGCATATGAGATACCCTGTCTACTTCAACAATGCTGTCCAACGACTTGCGAAGCAGTATCCATCGGCAATTTGGCTGGAGGCGGGATCCAACTCCACCATCACCGTCATGGCCGCCCGTGCCCTGGGGAATCCCTCGTCGTCTCACTTCCAGGCAGTGAATCTGGTCAGTGAAACTTCATCATTTGTGGACATGTTCACCGCCCTGTGGTCTCAAGGGCTTGATGTTACCTTCTGGCCGCATAATCGCAAGCAGAGTACGGCTTACAGTCCGTTATTACTGCCCCCTTATCAGTTCGAGAAGTCCCATCACCTGCTAGAGATGAAAGCTCCGCCCAAGCTAGCGGCAGTTGCTCCCCCGGAAACAGCACCCGATGAGCATCGTCTCTGGAGCTTCCTCGGGTATCAGGATTCCCAGCAGGGGAAAGCCCGGTTCTTGATTCACACCAACACCAAACGATTCAAGGGATATATCGAGGGTCACACAGTAGCACATTCGGCCCCGTTGTGTCCTAGCACACTGCAACTGGAGTTGGCGATTGAGACGATTCGGAGCTTGCATCCCGAGTTCGCAGGACAGAACCTGCAACCCCAGCTCCAGGGACTCGATAATCATAACCCGATCTGCCTGGATCCGACACGAACAGTCTGGCTGGATGCAGAGGCGCAAGGCCCCGATCATCATCTGTGGAAGTGGGAGATTATCAGCAAACCGACAAGCAGCAGCAGCAACGCTGCCACTAGTCTGCACGTGTCAGGCAGCATCTTGTTTCGCTCAACAGAAGATGCGCAGTTCCAGATGGACTTTACGCGCTTCGAACGCCTTGTGGATCATCAGCAGTGCGTCAGCCTTCTTGGTAGTGATGATGCCGACGATATTATCCAGGGTCGCCAGATCTACAAGTCTTTTGCAGAGGTCGTCGACTATAGCGCCATGTACCAAGGAGTCCGCAAGGTCGTCGGCAAGGGCAACCGGTCGGCCGGCCGCGTGGTGATGCAATATACGGGGGACACCTGGCTGGATTGTCCCCTGTGCGACTCATTCTGTCAAGTTGCCGGACTTTTCGTCAACTGTATGAGCGATATCTCCACCCAAGAAGCTTTTATCTCCAACCGGGTCGAGCAGTTGATCCGTACTCCTCGGCACCCCATCATGGCATCGCCCCCGGACTCGTATGATGTGCTTGCAATCCATAGCCGGCCGTCGGACAAGATCTTCCTGAGCGATGTCTTCGTCTTTGATCCTCGCAATGGTGAGCTTCTGGGAGTCATCTTGGGTATCCAATACCAAAAGGTCAACAAGGTCGCCCTCGGAAAAATGATGAACAGGCTCACCCCTGGTAAGGCAAGTATGGAGGCCACTACTGTTGTTCCAGTAGCAAAACCACCACATGCTGCTGCGACTTTGGTCTCCGCGGTATCGGCCGCCGCTCCAGGAAAGAATTCATCTCCATCTGACGATGTCTATGGGAGAGTAGTGGAGCTTCTGGCGAACGTTTCTGGCGCCAATCCTGCTGAGATCCATGAGCACACATGCTTGGCAGATATCGGCATTGATTCCCTTATGGCAATGGAACTGGCGCGAGATATTGAAGGAGCTTTCAATTGCACCCTTGATCCTGTTCAACTGATGGAGCTGACGGATTGCGCGAGCTTGGTAAGATGTCTCCACACTTCGCTGGGAATCGTGGAAGACGGAAGCTCGACGACCGAGGACAAGAACGATAGCCAGAATGAAATGATCGAGACCCCAGCCACATCATCTGAGGAAGAAGAGGATGAACCTCCAGTTGCGGTCAAAGAAAAGGATGCTATCAATGTCTCGAGGTATGCCGATCCCGAGAACCCCCAAAGGGCCGTTGACGAATATGTCTGTACATTCACACAGGAATTCCTAGCGCCTGTTCATCTCCCGATATCAAAAACACCGGTCGTAGCGCAACAGTCCTCCGTTGTCTTAGTGACCGGTGCCACCGGTAGCCTGGGCTCACACTTGGTGGCACACTTGGCTTCCCAGCCAGGGATCCAGACCGTTATTTGTCTGAATCGCTGCAACGGTAATGATCCAGAAATGCGTCAAAGTCAGGCGCTCGAGTCGCGCAGTATCTCTCTGAGTGCAAATGACTATGCAAAACTCAAGGTGTTTGAATCAGATACCAGCAAGCCGCTGCTGGGACTTCCTGACGACCTGTATCAGCAATTAGCGCACACAGTAACTCACATTGTCCACAACGCATGGCCGATGACCATCAACCGACCAGTGCGAGGTTTTGAGCTCCAGTTCCAGACAATGCGAAATTTGATCGACTTCGCGAGGACTGCCGCAGGCACCAGACCCCAGGGCTTCAAGTTTGCATTTCAGTTTATCTCCTCTATTGCAACGGTCGGACTCTATCCACTGTGGAGTGGCAAGACCTTAGTTCCTGAGGAACGAATGACGGTTGACTCGACATTGCCATCTGGGTACGGTCTGGCCAAGCTCATTTGTGAGGGCATGTTAGAGGCGACTCTGCAACAATACCCGGATACCTTCAATGCCGCTGTTGTTCGTATTGGCCAGGTCTCAGGGTCAACTCTGTCTGGATACTGGAATCCTGTCGAACATCTGTCCTTCTTATTCAAGTCGGCCCAGACACTGAATGCTTTCCCGGATTTCCAAGGAGTATGTCGCCCGTTATATAACACGGTCAAATACTGATAGCAATGCTAACGGTTGTTTCTTTTTCTCTAGGAATTGTCATGGTGCCCCGTGAATGACGTCGCCGCAATTCTCGGAGATATCCTGCTGCAATCAGGCTCTGCGTATCCCATCTACCATGTTGAGAACCCCACTCGACAGTCTTGGACGGACATATCATCCATACTCGCACAGGAGCTGGGCATCGCGTCTGACAACATCGTCCCATTCGATCAGTGGCTGGCTCGCATGCAACAGTACTCGGACCTCACTGAGAACCCCGCTCTTCGAATTGAAGCGTTCCTAGACGATCATTTCATTCGGATGGCTTGTGGTGGACTGATCCTTGATACCAAGAGGACGCGGGAGCATTCCGCCCACCTGCGCAAGCTGGGTGCCATCAGCCCGGACAGTGTGAGGAAATATATCCAGCAATGGCGCCAAATAAGATTCCTCAAGTAATTAGAATCAAATATGTTGAAATAGTACACTGACCTTAAATTTTTGTCTTTTATTTTTATGTATATTGGATTCTCTTTTAAATGATTGGATTAATTTTAGGTGCTTTTCTACGGCCTATGGAGTAGAGTAGCCTGGAGGTTCAAGATCTACGTAGAATACGAGACCTCGGGAGTGGGTAACCTTCCAAGGTTGGGGAAGATCGCACGCACACCTCTCCCGACTCGCTGTTAAGAACAAAGCGCCCATTTCTTAAACCCAATGCATCATGCTGGCTCTCATCTGATGACCTTGCACAATGCCCATCCCAACACGTTCAGTTTCGCTGCGCGATCCCCGTAAACAAGTCAGTCCCCCGTTTGTTTATCCCCCGTCAAGCTCCCCACAACTGCCGCATCCCTGTGCTACCATTGCCATGCCAATAACTACATACAGAAGCCATGCTAATTACTAAAGACTTCAAATATAGCACGACCTGCCACGAAACCCTCCACTCCACTACCCGCTACGGCCAGCCCGACCAAGGACTCTGCCCGAGAGACGAATAACAAGAACCGCTCGCCATCAAATCCCTCGCCGGTCGAGGGTTTGCCTCTAAAAAACAATGGACTCACTGCTCGAGGAAGAACCCTACTCCCCCAGCGCAGTAATTCTGCCCAAGACAATGGTAGTGGAACTGGACATGGGCGCATTCAGCCACCTAGCAGCAAACTGAACCCACGCGGGGACCCGTCACCAACTAGACCGCGAGAGATATCGCCGGCTAAAAAGCAAACACAGGCGGATTATGCAGCAACGAAGACCGGGGTAGCACCCAGCCGCCGTCAGAGCATCATGCGACCTGGTGCCTTGAAGATACCTTCAGCGAAGATTACGGTCCCTTCGCCAAAGAACTCAGCGCCATCATTCGCGCCGGCCTCACCCCGCAAAGTGCCAGGAAGGCGATCCCCAGTCCAACCTCCTACGATCAGAAGGCCCCCTTCACCCAAGAAAACAGAGATGCTACCCCCACCACGCTCCACACGGTCCCTCTCTTTAAGACAACCTGTCAACGCCAACAAAGGACCACCCGCGGCAGCCAAAGTCCATGTGCGGCACAGGAGTCAAATGGTACAGAATACAAAACAACCCGAAACAACCCCAGCAACCGGCCAACGTGCACGAACACTCTCGACCTACCAACGGCCGTCGTCTCCTAAGAAATTCTCCAAACCTCCAACACCTACCCCTGGAGCCGAACCTCAGCCTGGGAATACGCTGATCCCTTCATCATGGCCGGACATCGCAGCACTACAAACGGAACTTCTTCAGCTCAGTCTTTTCCATTCCAACTCACTGCAAAGCCACGCTGAATGGAAGTCTGATTCCGAGTCACGTCTGCGCAAAAAGTATGACAGCGTCGCTAATCAATATCGCTTGGTATTGGCAGATGAAACGCAGCGGCAGTGTCATCTGAATGCGCAGGCCCTAGGACTTTGGCTTTCCAATTGTCGCGAACATCGCGGTCCGCATGATTTCTCCGAGCAGATTCAAATTTTATCTCGGGTTTTACAAGATGTCTCAGACATGATTGCTGGCAGCCGGGGTGCACAGTACTCTCATGCTGTGAAGACCTTTGAAGACTGGATCAAACAAGCAGAGCTGATTCGTCATAACCGCGGACCGGGGTACCTTGATGTCGGCGCCTTTATTGACCCCCTGGGGCGAAGCTGGAAAGAATCGTTGCATACTTTAAATGTGAGGCTGGAACTCTGTGCACGCCAATTGCAAGTACTTGATATCCTGGGCTTCGGGCAAGTGGAGCGTCTAGAACAGTCTGCTCTTGTCAGAGTGGCCAGGAATTTGGCTGAATTGATACAGCTTATGACGCAGGAGATTCGTGCCATGCAAACATTGGAGGCAGAAGTTGTGCGTTCAGAAAGAAATTCTGTTAGCCTTCTTGCGACGCAGCTGGCAGGCTCTATAAGGGAAACGAGGGCTCCCCGAGTTGGGGCATGGAGAAGCTAGTCTACGGTTTATATATCTTTGTGGTCAACTTGAGTACGCGAATGCCCATAGCTAGTTTTCAAACACCTGTACAAACATGTGCATATTATGTGGAAATGAAAAGGAAATGAGAATAATACGAAGAGCATGAATGGATATGAGGGATACGAGTGATAGTACTTTGCGCCAAGTACCTTGCGAGTAAGTTAGCTAGTGCGGTACCTGATCCGAGGTAGTTTGATGAGTCAGCCAGCGTCATCCATCTGCATGGCTCAAGGCTCCCGGAGGTGGTCTAGATCCTGGAGTCTCGCGAGCCCGCTCGTTTCCCCCTCATACTTTTATTTCTACCTTTCTCACTCCATTGTCACTTGTTTCTTTCTACACCCCAATATATCTATTGGAATGAGCTGCTTCATCCAGGGTGATGTAACCTTGGAAAAGTTATCTCTCAACTCTCTTCTTGACGTCATCCACGGCAGCTTCCGTTTTGACAGATAAAGTCACCCGCAAAGAGACAGTATCCACTTGCTCAGTACTCCGTACCTTGCGAGATGGTCGCCGATCGTACCTAGCGAAGAATTTCAACTTTCTCGCCCATCTGATCCAGTGATCATGAAGAACTCGCTCTACGATCGCCTTTGGCGCCGGGAATGTGGGGAACAGCTGCGGTATGCTGGGCTTCGGGGAATTTATGGATCCAAGGAATGGGTCAATGATCTCGACATCGTGAATGAACTCGGTGGGCATACCGGATGTGTCAATGCCCTCAGGTATGTTTATAGCTTCTACCTAGGCCGAGGTACCCTGGTTTTATCGACTGGCCAACACTCCCGCCATTTCTGATGCTTGTCATGCTAACGGTCTCGCAGTTGGTCGAGGTCAGGGCGTCTTTTGGCGTCAGGCTCTGATGATAGACACCTCAATATCTACTCCTACCAACCCGACTCCTCCGATGCTCCATTCGCGCTCAACACCACCGTTTTCACCGGCCACAAAGCCAACATCTTTTCCGTCAAGTTTATGCCACACTCAAATGATGGGACTCTGGTTACATGTGCCGGCGACTCGCAGGTTCGTGTTTTCGATATCGAATACTCAACTGAGAGCAGAAACGATGCCGCAACCTCCGCATTTGCGGCCTCCACTCGGAGCCGGCGCTTCAATGAGTTCTTCAGTGAAACGCGGTACCTGAGTGACGGCAATACCAACGCTAGATTGTATCGAAGCCATACCGATAGCGTAAAGCGCATCGTCACCGAATCGTCACCTTTCCTCTTTCTCACTTGTTCTGAGGATGGTGACGTCCGCCAGTGGGACCTGCGGCTACCATCTAGTGCATACCCTCCGCCACGTGGTCAGGGCTTCATGGCATACCGACAAGGGTTGGAAAATGATGACTCCAATGTTCCACCCCCTCTAATCTCCTACAAGCCATACAGATTGGACCTCAATACCATCTCCTGCTCGCCAAGTCAGCCGCATTATATTGCTTTGGGTGGTGCGCACCTCCACTGCTTTTTGCATGATAGACGGATGCTTGGCCAGGACACCTCCGCTGCAAGGGGCAGAGCTACATCAAGCGCTGCCAGTCTCAGTGATGACGAGGAGATGAGCAAGGCGACGCGATGCGTGCGAAGATTTGCACCGGGCGGCAAGCACCATATGAAATTTGAGGATGGACACATCACGGCTTGTAAAATCAGCGATGCGAACCCCAATGAGATGGTTGTTAGCTGGTCTGGAGATCACATCTACAGTTTTGATTTACTCCGCAGCCCAGATGCCCGAGAGACAGAGGTGGGCAATAAATCGACCCTCAAGGGCAAGAGTGGACATGCTCACCGCAGTTCACGGAGCCGGAAGCGCAAGAAGCCCGCAACACCTTCATCGCAAGAAAGTGATGGCCGACATCAGTCCCATCGTCGCTCAGCAGAGCCAGATACTTTTAGGATCCAATATCAGAATGGCGAGGCAGAGGATGTTCCATTCCCCACATTCTCAGATAGTGTCCTAGGCACCGACCCCGAGAATTTGCTCGAGCAGGCTCGATATTCTGTGCTGAATGATGCCCAGCGATTGAGCATGCAGATCGCAAAAGGGTTAGTACAACTTCGGAAGGCTCTGTTCTCAGAAACGACAGTCAGGGAGGCCGCAGTGTCTACCGACATGGGACCCGAATCGTACTCGAGATATTTTTCATCAGCTTTGGAAATTGCGTCTACGTTTCTCCCACAAATGGGTGATGTCATGCGTGAATGGAGCTATCCCGTGAACCCATCACGGGAGACTGTTAATTTCCAGCAATCACTTCGTCGCAATCGCCAATCGTCATGGAGATTTGTCCAAGCTGCTGGTACACTTGCTCATGCGTTGGCAGATCAAACACAAGTTCTGGAAGAATCAAGCTTCCAGATGATCAAGCCTGCGCCGGGTGAAGATGACCCCATTGACCCAGCAGCTCAGTTTGGCTATGAATTCCTCCGAGCAATTCTTCTATGGCTGCAGGGCGGAAGGCAACGTCTTCTAGAGGGATTTCAACGCCGCAATGCCCCTCGTCGATTACATTGCCGATTTCCAATCCCAGATGAATCCGAAGAGGATGCCATCGAAACTATCCTAGTGCCCTATATCATGGAATTGGCGCGTGACACTCCGATCGTGAATGTGGATGCTTCTAGATTCGAGCATGACAGTACGCGCATTCTGTTCCAAACCCAACGGGCTGCCGTGACTGCATTTGGGAATGCTGTCAAATTGCCCTTAGAAGATCTCGGGAACTCAGCTGCTCGATTCGACAGGCGCCGTGTTTCTAATCCTGCCTCACAAATTCGCTCTCTCGACCGTGCTTCTACAAAGAAGTTCTGGATTTTGCGAGTAGGCAGAGGAATCTTGATGGAGGTAGGCAGTGAAGTAAATTACAGATTTGTCAACAACGCTTTCGGCGGACTTCACACCAGAATGGAAGAGTCCGAGAGTGGCTCGGATGAAGAGAGAGAGCAGGCTGATATCGATCCCTATGAGGAGGAAGAACGAATACAGCACATTGAACTCGTCAGGGCTAGTGGTTCTGTTTCCAGGCAGAATGACCCTCGGCCTGAAAGCTCCCGAGGCGATGAAATCTCTTCGAACAATAGCGATGTTAATACAGGCGAGGATGAGAGCGATGGGGCAGAAGAGTCAACCGACGATGAAGATCTTGATGGCTGGCCCACGGATTCATCGAATGAAGATGGCGAGGGGTATGATCCCGATGACGCTATGGCCCGGAGATATGCCATTCGAAAGGCGCGACATGAAAATGTCGAGCGCCATGCTCCACGTGTACCTCATATGCGAAGCTATCGCGGCCACTGCAATGTCAAGACCGTGAAGGACGTCAACTTTTTCGGACTGGATGATGAGTACGTGGTCAGCGGCTGTGATTCTGGTCACATATTTATCTGGGACCGCAAGACGTCAAATCTGGTCAACATCCTAGAAGGTGATAGTGAGGTTGTCAACGTTGTTCAAGGTAATTCCCGTCACTGGTTGGAAAGAAAAAAAGTTAACATTGTGATTTAGGCCACCCCTATGAACCAATGATCGCCGCTTCAGGAATCGATAACACCATCAAAATTTTTTCGCCAGACCAGCACGCTCAAGATGATGCCCGTAATGGTGTGAACATCCTCGACCCCGACAATCCATCGAACAAGTTTGGGCGAAACAACTCCAGGATCGGCGGTCTAGAGAGCCGGAAGCGAGTTCATGAAAGCTACCGCATCATGAGCCAAAACGATGTTGAGCGTCGTGGTGGAATAAGCGAGGCACAACTCACTGTACATTATCTGCCCTCTCTCTTTATCTAGATCTCTTTGCTGACTTCGACATAAAGCGGAGTATGCTCGAGCGCCTGGCTGTTGACCTGAGGGGCCGACATGGCGGCCTTGGGGTTGGAATTGATGATATTGCTGCTTCCGGTGAACATCGGACCGTTATCATCGATGATAATTGCTCGGTATGTCTGGATTTGCTGGTTTGTGGAATGATATTAACCATTCGATAGGTGATGTAACGGATGAACAGGCAGAGCTCCGGGTATCTGCATTGCACAGTGTAAAAAAGATCATCAGTCTCCCATAACCCCAAACGTTTATTGTTACAGCATCGCATTACAGTCTCTAATGCAAGAAGGCGTTCTTTTACTTGATTCATTCATTCATTCATTCATTCATTCAAGGTTGCTCCTGCCCTTTCTATATATTTAGGTATTTAGGTACCTTCCCTTCCTTATAAAGCCAAACAAGGCTTAACACCTATCATCACCCCAACAAATACGAAAGCCAGCGTTTTCTATATTCACATGTGCAAGCAACATTGCACACATCTCCTGTCGGCTCCACTAAAGCCAAACCTTCTAATTTTTCCAATATACCTCATGGTAGGAAATTCTTAGGAAATTCTCTACACCCGACGCCTGCGAAATTCTCGTGTTCGATGCAGAGTAGGGCTGGGGCCCACGAAAAAGCCCCTCGTGACTGCCCGAAAAGGCGGTGGTTTTGGAAGTCGCCAATTCAGAGACAGACGCGAAACCGCACCGAGACGTGGCTTGACACCACGAGGGGAATGCGCAAACTGCCATAGCAGTGAAAACGAATCGGACACGACCAACTATCACTGTGGACAAATGGAAATGGGATGAAACAAATGTGTCTTGGATGTTCCAACGCGCGACTCGCGTCATCAGCAGCGCTCTGTCGGCGCCGCCATCAGAGATGTCTGTCAAATCAAATACAACCGATTCCCCATGATCAGGAGTCGCCGCGCTCAGAAAATGAGCTAGCGTGTTTTCGCTGCCGGAAAGATCTGATGAAAAAGGAGTTTGACGAGGAAGAGGCAGAGCGCCTCATAGACCAATGGAAAGCACATTCAACCCAGTTGCGCTGCAGTCGTACGTTGTCACCAGTACCTGTGTCGCTGACATATCATTCGTGATGCTCTCGATTGCTGTGATTTTAACTCCGTTTTTCCTAACAGTGGTTCTAATACGTCCAACCCCGTCTCAAACACCCGCGACGAGCTCGCTGGGCTACAGAATGCCGCCTCCCCTAACGCTTTTCAACCAAACCGCGCACAACCTTGTGCAAGACCTTGTACAAGTCCCTCTTCAAGATGGAATTCCACCGTATCGTATGTGGTCAAGGCCATCGCGTGAAGACGATTTCCACTGGGCAGCATCAATCTGTGGCCCAGGTCAAACGCGAACACACATGGTTCCTAATGCAAAATGCAGCCGTATGGTTCTGATGGAAGCAGCATTGAATTTTAACTGCCTCTTCGAACCTACTAAAAAAGAATTCACCGACTAGGTCAGATACAGCTTCAACATGCGTGGCTTATCTTCCAAGACCATCCAGCTCCGGAGGCCTAGAGTGGCAGCATGAAGCTAAGAATGAAATCATCACTGCCCCGCTGAAAGGCAGATCGCATGGTCCGAACCTACTCATCGGTGAAAGCCCCGAATATATTCCGTTGAGAAGTCTCTCTGGATGGAACTCAGCATCGAAAATCAAAACCCAATATGGCCACTACCTAACCACCAAGATCCTATGGAATCAGGACTTTGTTAAACACCTACTCAACGTGAAAGCCAGGATTTGCGAGCGGTTGAATATTACAAATTGGACCAAGGCTGTGATAGATCAGTATTTGCCTGAGTACTAACATTGGCACCGATTTCTTGACCATATGGATACTTATGCTATCATACAACCTAGGAACCTAATTTTGATTGGCGCGTTTTCCAATGTGCGAGATCAGCAGGATCGACTCGAGGGGGCTTTCTTAGATCTTCCTACACCAAGAGGAGAAAGGTTCCCGATCTCTCATCGGAAGCCTCCGTTGGGCCGTTTAGCGCCTTCAGCCAGCCTATAACGGGCGGCACTACAACCCCCTCCACGATCGCGAAACCCGAAGCTATAGCTAGACGACTCCAGAATCTAACGCTAGAAAGCCGGGAAACGGACAATACGGGAGGATACACCGCGCTTATGGAATCGTTTATGGAAAACCTGTTGTACAAGGAATATCGCGTTCAAAAACATACCCATAAGGCAAAGATAAACTCAAGTTTTATCAACTTGCTGTACACGATATGCCTGCTCATCTCCACAGATCTGAAGTGGGACAATGTTCAGCGAGAACTCAATGTCAAGCTCGGTAATGCTGAGTACACTGGCGATATTGGACGGTGGACTGGTCGATCGTCATGGCAATTGCCATGATGTCATATTGCTGATGAGCTCGTCGAGACCAATATATTCGGCGGTCCTATATAATAATAATATTAATCGCAATGTCGTCTATCAAACTTCATTTATGTAGCCAGTATTCGATATACCCAGGACATAGGTGATGATGGCATGGTCTGTCCTGACATCAAGAAGACTTGGTAGAAGCAGCTTTGTAAATCTCGAGCGAGTGACGAAAAGCTAGGAAGTCATAAATCCCTCGCAAGAAATATTATGTGCTCAATTGTTTTGAGTCTGCGCTATCCAACCTTTTGGCTTTTTGCACATCTATTTGGTCTAAGAACAGAGAGAATCCTGTTGGCCTATAGCCGGACAACATAGTAGTCCCATTTTCCTGAGACTTCCCCGCGTTGTCCAATGATTTGTTTGCTCTAGAACACCACTATATCATACAAAATAGCATCAGATTCTAACTCCTGTTCTCTCTAGACTCATTTGACGGCATTTTCATCTTTAATCAAGGTTATTAGCCCTGTAGACACCCTCCATCGGAGAGAACTATATATTCACGTGACCGCCCTTATCGTAGAAATTTTTGCGATAAAAAGAACTTGCCCGCACGAATATCGTCGATCTACAGAGGGGCAGACCACAAACTTCATTTATAAAAGTCAAAGATCATTTGACATTGTATCAATGCTATAGGCCGAACTGTTGAAGTCTACGGCCTGCTATCTCTCTACCACCCCAAACTTCTCAGCCCGGTAACACAGTTTGATATCGATTTTATACTGCATTTTTGGCTGTCGAAACCCAAAGAGTGTACAAAAAGTTGTTATAACTTTGAAAACAAGAAGATTAAACACATCACATCATGTCTGCATTGCAAGTACTCCAAGCTCGCAACGAGACAACCACCAGGCTCTATGCAGACCCTCACAACCCCCACCTCCACCTTGAACGAGGCCTTCAGTATGAAAAGCTTGGCTTTCCCGATCTCGCCTCTGCAGATGCATACCGCGCGCTGGCACTGCTAGAATCCGTGGTTGACCCAGATGAGTGCGAGTTCCATGCCAGGCGGAAGATAGACCCTTCCCAGCAGGCTCCCGAGAAAGCGACGAATGAATCAGATGATGAAGACGAAGACGAAGACGACAGCACTGTTGCCATCACTCAAGAAGAATATGACACCATAATTGACCAGGTGTATGTTCTTCTAGTGCGCAGTCTCGTCCGCTGCGGCTGCTACCGTGATGCATTTGAGTTCGGCGTGCGCGGGTTGGCCTTACTCGAAAAGAGATCTGCCACAGCGTCAGTAGCTGCTTTGAACGTGCAGATGGATCGCGTGAAGCAAATATACAAATCTCGCTCTGGCTCTGAAACAGAAAATATCGACCTGGACTCAATCAACCCCAGTGTCCTCCCTGCACAAGGCTTCGCCCGCCGTGTCCTCTATCCCTGGAACGAGCACGAGCCCGACCGCCGTTCACCAGAGACCCTCAACATGCTCAACGAGCGGCTGGCAGTTATTGCGCCGAAGTGTGAGGTCCGCGCAGTGGCCTTGCCGGTACTACATGCCTCAGCAGACGACGACTCGTCCAGCATGGACGTCTCCGTGCAGCTCGGCCTCTTCGCGAAAGAAGACATCGCCCCAGACGAGATCATCCTCCGCGAATCTTCACTGCTCACAGCAACCAACCGTCTCCACGACGATCTCTGCGACGCATGCAACGCACCACTCCCAGAACTGTCTGCCGCCGAGCCCCCCATCGCCTGCGAGGGCGGCTGCGTAGACATCATCTTCTGCAGCCAGGCATGCCACGACACGGCGCAGGAGGTGTACCACGGCGCAATCTGCGGTCTCGAGGACGGCCTCGACTCTATCGGGAAGGATGTCCCCGACCCCAAGGATAAGGCCGATTACCTATACCTTCTTCTGCTTGGCAGAGCGCTCGCCATGTCCGCCACACAAGACAAGCACGCGCTCGACCTCCCCGAAGTGAAATACATCTGGGGCGATTTCCACGATTTCGATATCGAGTCTGTCTCCGCGGAAGCAGAGACAACGCCCACCACAGACGATACCGCCACTCTCCCCTTCTCCTTCCAGCTCAATGTCCTGCAGCCGGAACGTTTCCTCGACGAAATGGGTCTGGATCCCTACGCCGTGCTCTATCGCTACGATACCTGGGTTCTAAACACGCTCTTTGCTAAGTTCCGCGGTACGGCGTCAGGCCGACTATCGACCTGGGATGGGGGCCCGGAGCTGTGCGCTGTTCATCCGCTGTGGTGTCTTGCAAACCATTCGTGCGATCCTAATGTGACCTGGGAATGGAGTAGCGAGATTAATTTCCGGGCGCGGAGAGACGATGAGACGGCTGTTTGGTCGCGCGGGCTCGAGATGAAGGAGCTCAGGCCTGGGGGTATTGCGAAGGATTCGGAGATCCTGAATCATTATTGCGATATTGGGTTGCCGGTTCAGAAGAGGAGGGAGTGGGCTTCTGGGGCTTTGGGTGGGACTTGTTTGTGTGATAGGTGTGTTTGGGAGGCTGGGGAGGTTGAGTAGGTTTGTATTTATGGGTTGGTGTATAGATCACCTTGATAGATCATAATGAGATACCCTTTTGAATGCATTAAATGACAACATTGCCAACCAATGGCTCCTAAATATCAAACACTTAGTACTTAAGAGATACAAGGTGGTCTATTTGAATATCTTTATTTGAACATCGAGGAAATGGAATCCCGAAAAAGCGTGGGTACACCATGAATAATCGATTTGCTCCTAATGAATCCCCATAAGTTCCCAATTCCTGGCACCAGACCGAATAAAAGAAGCACGGTGTCGTATTTTCGCTCCAAATACGCACTATTTCATTAACAACAGTAACATGCGGGCCGTTTAGCCAATCCCCAAGAAGTCGGGATCAAAGCATCAGAGGCTCCCGATTTATCTACGCGGCGGTGGTGTCCGCGAATGAGTTCGACCCCGTGATTCTGCCCGGCGCTTAGGAGTAGGCGAGCGAGAGCGAGGGACAGAGCCTGCAGCCTCACCTCGTCGGCGGGGAGGGGGTGACACAGATTCAGACGAATATCGTTTTGCACCTCTGGACGCCGGCTCACGACGGGGCGGAGGTGTGACAGACCGGGAAACTGATCTGGTGATGCTGCGGTTCCTCCGGCTAGGAGGGCTTTGGCCTCGGTGCGGCGGTGTGACAGACCGAGAAACCGAGCGACGAGATCGATAGGGACTGCGACTTGGGCTTCGCGAGTTGTAGGAGCGGGAACGTGCTCGACTGCGCTTGGCCGGTGTGCGGGAGATGGATCGGGATCGGGATCGTCCTGCGGGGGTCCGGGACCGACTGTCCGATGCGCCACGACGGCGACGGACTGGGGACCGAGAGCGCGAAGGTGTGTAGCTTCGGCCCCGGGAAGAGGGAGTGATGGAGCGAGAGTAGGAACGGCCGCGGTCCCTGGAAGGAGAGCGGGAGTACGAGGGTGACCGGGAACGGCGGGAGTGAGGAGATCCAGTGCATGTTGAGCACATTGAACGGGATCGATCAGATGGGGTGCGCGAGAGGGATCGAGAGGTGGCTCGTGCAGGCAAAGCGGGCACTGTAGGACGAGGAAGGGTTTTGAGGTTCTCACGCATGTCTTCCGTCAATACACCCATACCGATACTGGTGAAGTAGTTGACTGAGAACCTAGTGTGGCGTGGGTTCTCTGTCGGGAAGAGACCCTCGAAGCTCGGTCGCAGTATATCATCCCTAAAGCGGGCCTGCAGTCCAGGCAGACCGAGATTCTCTGCGAGGTTTTGGAACAGGATTTTGATGAAGATACGGCTGCTGGAGGTGGTCTCCTCTTCGTTGAGATGAACCACAGACAAGACATGCCAACCAATCGCATCGTTGCTAATGAGGTGGCCGAAGAACTGGGCAATGTTGCGCAGTTTGTTTGTTTCATAACGATGGATGGTATCGTAGTACTTGGCAAAGGCAGCCTCAAACAGGTCTGACCAAAGTCGGTTGATCTTGGCGAATCGCTCTCCGATCAGGCCATAGAATTTGGAGTATGTCCGTTCCTGGGAGCAACATTCAATGACCATGGATGGAAGTTCATGCTCCAACCCGGCCGGCAGGTTGATCTTCATCAGCTTGTGGCAACATTCTTCGAAATCAATGCTGGACATGATTGTGAGGTAGATTGTTCGTCGAAGGTTGACCAGATCAGTATTACTCTGATCCTTGATATCCATCTGTACTTCTTCCGTATCGGATTCTTCCTCTTCACTTTCATCTGTCCCGTCCTCGTTTTCCTCGTCACTCTCCTCGCCCAGGATCTCGGCCTTCAATTTCTTATAGGCCTCCTCGTGCTCCTCCCACTCGGCATCGTACTTGAAGATGTTGAGAGTGTCTTGAGTTTCCAGCTCGTCATCCAAGCCGGCACGGTGTGTGATCTGATCTTCCTCTTCCACTAGGTCCAACTCCTCCTTGATTGCTGGGTTGTCTTTGTACCGATCCTTGCGCACCTGGAAGAGCACTTCGATCATATATTGAACACGCTTATCAATATCGGCCTCGTGTAGAATGTTTCGGAATTGGTCGAATACGGCGAGTGCGATAGGAGCGTTCATCTCCTCCAGATGCTGTCCAACTTCTCGAGTGAGACCTACAGCAATCTCCACGCTGTCGTCCGTTGGCTTGTGCAAAAGAAGCAACAGGATCTGAGCTGCCAACATCTCGTGCGCCACTTGTTGATTGCAGAGGTGCGCGATGAAAGTTGTAGAGGAAATGCAGACCGCCTTGTCATTTCGCTTGAAGGCCTTGCGGAATTGAACAACCAACCTGGTAAGCAATAAATCGCCAACCTGCGGAAGTTTGGTGTTGACGATAGATGCCATCGCTGCGTAGATTGGAGTGAAGGGCAAACTGGCCGCCTGCGCCTTCATAATCGACCGACAGAATAATCCTCGGCCCCTCACTAGGTTCTCCGCAAAAAGTTCCGGGACAATGAACTTGATGTTGGAAACGTTGATTTTGTTGATAAGACCATTGATTGACTTCTTCAAAGCTTCCCATGCCATGCGCTGGTATTCCTTGCTCGTCTTATCTGTGATTTGCGCCTGCAACGCACGGAGTCGGGCCGGAGGGATGTAAGTGCCACCGGATCGCATGTTGAGCAGCTTTTCGTACTCTGCCTTTGCTGAGGCCTGCTTTTGCTCCTCGGTCATCGGCTTGCGCGCGGCTTCGCGCTTTTCATGTTCGCGAACACGTTCAGCGAGTTGCCGTTCTCTGTCGTCGGCTTGTTCTGCATCGACGTTGGGAACATCGGGACCATCTCGAAGAGAATCACCGGGAGGCGATCGGCGACGATTTGGGGAGGGGGAACGAGACGGAGGTGAGCGTTTTCGAGAGGCTGCGGCTGGCGAGTACGACGCGCCCGGGGGAGGCGTAGGCACGCGCACCGCAGACTGGAGAACATCCGAATCGGACATTTTAGATGAATAGAGAGGCCTCCGGGGTAGGGGGGAAGGTTTAATGTACACCGGAGGGACGGTGGTTGCGAATCTCAGCCGGACTGAGGTTACAAGATTATTCAAGGATGCAGCAGGAGAAAGCTCTAGCGCGGTGCACGTGACCAGAGGCCAACTAGGGACAACGGGAGCTCCTGAGATTCCTGGTAGTTCTGTCCAGCCCAGGATTCATCGACGTTCCTTCATATTTCTTTTCCTTTTTAGAATTACCGCTCTTTATCAGAATGGTAAATTATCTACCCCCATTCAATGGACATACCCCACTGACTGTGCTTTAGCTGGGCCAACTCGTGGGATCCGTCATGCTTTTGGTCGCGACTGCGATCTTTCTCTACTACACTGCGTGGACCCTGTTGATGGTATGCTAATTGATGATAATGTTTGGTTTTCCACGCTGATGTTTGTTCTACAGCCCTTCGTCGACCCCGGCCACCCTCTCCACGACATCTTCCCGCCCCGTGTTTGGGCCATCCGCATCCCCGTCATCCTCACACTCTTGGGTTCTGCCGTGGTAGGCACCTTCATCGGAATTGTCATGATCAACAGCAACAAGAAGAAGGCAGCTAAGGCTAAGGCTGCGGCCAAGAAGAAGACCTAAGCGACCATGGACGTCATATCAGGAGAGAGGGCAATCCTCTTGTGACAGCACTCTGTACTATCAACCATTCCGAAGCTCAGCGGCTATCAAAACACATCTCAAGTTAATTAATTTTGTTATATTGAGCGCCTTGCAAACACTTTCATGCTGGATATACCTTGGACATGGCCCAGAATAGTGGAGGCTAAAGCGGCCATATATGTGAATATATGGACCAAATTACCATGTAACCCAAACAAAAGAGCCTGAAATTCCCGGCACAAATGTCATTTGCCATCAAAGCTCAGACAAGTCGTCATCTTTGCCCACGCCGCAAATGTCCTGTGACCTCGGCTGGAGCCAACGATGACGCCAGCCACTCCTTCAACGGGCTAACTTTATTGACAAAACAAACAAGGAATGGTCAGGAATGGCTAGGAAGGACACGGGTGGACTCGGCTGCTGACTTCAACCATGCAGTACCTTGTCAAAGCATGTAAGGAGGCAATAATTAGCAGCAAGTAATGACGAGGGGCCTGGGCATGTAGGCCGCAAAGACATGACTAAGAGGGCCTTATCGGCGTTTGCATGGTTTGACAGGTTTCCCCTCATATGCGTATTGTTCATGGCCACAAGGTACATTGTGAAGTCGGGATTGGTGAATAGAAAACAAAGATAGACAAAGGAGTTAAGACCGAGACTCAGATCATGCTTTCTTTGGGAATGACACCGTCAGAGGGTTATTCTGTGGTCTGACTCAGTCCCCCCCTATTACATCCTATTACACCCTAATAGCCCCGTACCTGACTGGTGACCTGGGGTCAGCTCCCTCCCCCTCTTCTCTTATCGCGAACCATAACATCATCCTTCTTCCTTCTTGACTCATCTTCGGACTTCAACTTTGGAACTTGTGGATGCAAGTCATTTTGGATTACTATTTTCTGCACCAGCTTGAACTATCTCAAGCTGTTGCTGTGTTGTGCTTATCTATCAAAGCTTCCCCGCGTGTCTAGGGTGATCTCCGCTCTAGATACGCTGTTAGTGGTGCCTGCGTTCGCCACAACTCCCTTATTTTTAAGGATACTGTGAATACAGGTATGCATTTCCAGTATCTTCAGGCTGCTGTGATGTTTGATCATTTGATTGATTCCATGAAAGCCATCCTCTTCTTTAGTGATACCTCCCAAGGTCCCGGTGCCCAGTTAGGATCTCGAACAGAACGATCCTACATATCCGTTCTCAGACCACAAATAAGGTCCTGAGAGCGGCTTCATTCCGTTACTTCTCTATCGCCTCTCACTGAGGCATCATCTATTTGAATGCTCCCGGTCGTATCTGACGATCTCATCCGCCAGCACAACCGTTTGCCCGAAGACGATAGTTCCTTCGCCCCGGAACAGAACCGGACCATACCAGAGCATGAACCAAGTGCGAAAAGCAAAAAGAAGAAGAGCAAGAAGAACAAGGTGGCCAGGGCTGCAACTGAAACCCCACCGGATGATATGTATGTATCCACCGGTGATTGCCTGGTTTCTGATGAATGCGTGCCATTAACGCCAGATTGCATGGATAGCATTCAATCATCTGCCCCACCACCAGAGGAGCCTCTCTCCTACCCAGACCCCGAACCCCTTATTGAACACCATGTAAACCCAACTATCACGTCGCCTGTTCTGGATGTTCTCGATTCCCTCGATGAGCCAGCAGGTGACGATCTCACTAGCCGCACCGATACGTGGGCGCAATCAGTGCCTTATGGAAAGAGCCCTCCCGCCGATCTTATGGATGGGAATATACCAAGTGCATCACTGCCTAGTGCATCGCCCCTGAATTTTCCAACGATCCAAGAAAGGGGTGGCTTCAGCCATCCTTCCTCGGCATCTCCTCAGACTCGACCTTTACCATCTAGTTACGGTAATGGCTACCGAAGTAGTCTCAATTCGAGACAACAGTCTGTGGATAGAAGAAAAAGTCACTCTTACGGGAGCCCAATGGGCAATCACGCGCCTCCCCCTCATCTTCCTCAAGCACATTTCTTCGGAGCACCAGACATCGATATTCTTCCAACTCAGAATCGATCTTCCACCGAGGGAAACTATTCATTTTGTAGCTTTGATACGCTGCCTAGCTTGTCACCTAAAGGCTCGCGGACAGGAATGAACGTCTTGCTGGTTGGGACAGATGGCGCCGTGCAGATCCTCGCCATCGAAGATCGCCGAACTCGGCTTGTGGGACAGATCACTGGGTTAAATGGCCGTGTAATCGAGGCCAAACTCTTGTCTGGTCACCCATCTAGTGACCCCTTTGCATCGTCCCGGCCGCATGTGGCTGTCATTGTTCATGGGCCGTTGCCGCCTCAAGAGGAGGAAGGTCGAGTCTCATCTGCAACATCGGACGCAAATGAAATTCCTCCTTCGACCATTCGCGGTCACTCTAACGACAAGCGCTCTGCTCGAGACGACATTCAGTTCTACCAAACCCGAGTTGAAGTTTACTCTTTCCGGACCAGCGAACATGTCTCCACCCTGTTTGCAAGCAAGCCTGTGCCTTGCCTGGAAAATCCCCCCGGCCTCCCGTCCTTTGCACCCTCGCCTGTGGGAAAATTGAAGCTCTTCACAACCGGTGCTTACACTATCTTAGCATCTGGGGTCAGCGGGGAAGTTTATATTTATAGACATGTCCTATCCCCGGAAACAACTGCATACCAGTGCCTGGGTAAGACATGGACTGGGGTTCAGTCCAAAGAAACCCGGCGCTACTCGACCTCTTCAAGTTCTACAACTGATCCAGAGGGGACTAGCACCGACTCTCCCCATGGTTCTTCTGCCCTGGAAAGACCCATCTTAGCTGTACAAGGAAGGTGGCTTGCATTCGCTCCACCATCCTCAGCCTATAGAGGATCGATCCAGGGCACTGTTCCTTCGAGTTTGATCCTCGGCAAGGTTCCGGGAATTGAAACCCGCAGTCCTCCTGCTGTCCCCTCGGTATCGTGTGCGACAGACGTAGGAGAAGGGGAAAGTTTCTTCGACAAAATGGCAAGAGGCGTTGCCCAAGAACTCGTCAGAGGTGCCCGCTGGATGGGTGATCAGGGAATGCAGGCCTGGAACAATTATTGGAACACCCAGCAAGCAGCCGGCACCTCTCCACGTCGGCCACCTCAGGGGCTGGACCCCCAAACACAGGGATATGGATTATTCCCTCCAACCCATGCTCAAGATACACAAACATCAGCCACAGAACCTGACACGGTATCCATCATCGACCTGAAACGATTCGAAGACGGCACAGATATACGAAATGTGTTTATCCACCCAGTCTCGACGTTCCAGGTTCCTAATGGTTGCAGCTTCTTGTCTCTTTCTCCTAACGGCTTGATGTTGCTCACAGCGAGCAAGAAGGGCGATGTGCAATACGTGTGGGATCTCATGCAACTCAAGCACTGTCGGTCCATGGCTTTTATGGCTGATGACCAGACCGGACAGAATCCCAATGTGCGCCAGATTGCTAGATACGCGCGGTTGACTACATCTAGTATCGTCGATGTGATTTGGACAGCGCCGGTGGGTGATAGATTGGCTGTAATTACACGTAAAGGCACCGTCCACGTTTTCGATCTACCCCGAAGCGCATTTCAATGGCCCCCATTCCGCCGTGCAAAGTCTACTGCAAATAAGCCACTGGCTATCGACCCCATGACAGATGAGGTGACCAGCCAAGCTGCCGGTGGCAACCCGTTGTCAGCGGCCATGAAGTTGGTTGGCGGTAAAACGCAGCCATTCTTCTCCGCTGTCCGGGGTCGTGTCCCGTCCACGGGCGCTGCATTTCCCAGTATGAGTGGATTTGCGTTACCTTCGGCTGCGAGCGTAAAGAGCGGGAAGGTTGTTGCCGCAGGCCTGAGCAAGTCAATGGGCGCCGCAACTGGTACTGTCAATACTCTGCGCCATGTCGGTGAGAACCGTCTACACTTGCCAGGGCTAGCTCGAGACCCTGCACCTTCTCGGGTGACGTGGATTTGCAGCAAGGGTCTCATATTCTTGGGTGTTGTGGATGGCGGACACTTCAAGATGTACCGCCTGAAGCGTGCTACAGTACCCGGCCACAAGAACCGACAGCCTCACTCCGTTATCGGCGGTAAGGAGTCCCAAGTCAAACTCCCTGACAATCTCCAGGGTCCTTGTGGACCGGCTCCTTTGTCTGCCTTTGATCCAGAACTAGCAGCCCATGCCTCTCTTATTCTTCCTTCGGTCAGCTCTCAGCCATCTAGTGCTGTAAGATCCCTTTGTCAGCCTCTCTCGCAAGCTGAGATCGAGACAAATACCCCATACCAGCCGTTCCACACGGACCAGCGGGTTGGTTTGAGTGTCTTCTCTTCTGGTAGCGATGCAAGTGAGCCGAGCGGACAATGGGTCTTTGGCAATGATATCCCGCTGATCAAAGTGCACTTGAGGTCATTCAACAGCTCCAGCGATGACCACGGCGATGACGAAGATGAGAACGCCGTCATCCATGGACATTCACTTGGGGCTGGCGGAGATATAGAAAACCTCATCACACTTGGAAACAGCACCGGCAATGTGGAGGAAGTTGTTATCACCACCCGCCGCAAGAAGAGACACTCCACTCCACTGAAAGCCGACGATGGTTTCTTTGAAGATGATTGCGAGGTGCTTGACTTTGCTCGGGACCGTGTCTGATTGACTCGATATTCCCTCTTTTTTTTTGTCTTTTCTTTTTTTTAGCTCTACACTCTTTGCATTGATTTAGACGTTGTGCTCGCGCGGTGTCGCTGATCGCAATCGGAGTCTGGTGCTTCTTCTTTCCTCATTTCTCCCTTTCGATTTTATTTTGCTTTGACTCTCAACATACTACACTTTTGCATAAACCCATACTATCTATCTTTCTCTGGAGGTGGGTTGTTTTCGGCTTCCTAATTTCTTTGCTCTCGGATTGACATTACACGTTTGATATCGTTCACAAACACACAAATACCCAAATACCCAGATCCAGCCCCGAACGTTCTTGGAGTTTTTATGTTCTGATAGATGGGAGGCTCGGCGATGATTTACAGCCAGGTTTGTCTCTTTTTTTAGGCAGCGGGAGTGGTATGCACCCTTTCAACAAGCCCTAAGCTAGAATGGAATACAATCACCAAGAAACAGATAGCTGCAAAGCACCAAAAAAATACAACTTATTCCATGTATACCTCCAGGGCTGTTATGTGGAAGTGTTATTATTAAAGAGATAAGCAGGGTTGGATACATTCCATTATTACATCACACGATCCTGCATACAATGACAGCAACCAACTTATTGTAGGCTATGTAGTTATAGGAATGAATATGATCAACTGTATCCAATGGCATTCCTATGTTCGAATCTGACAAGAACCTTCCCATATCCAAACAGCATCCAACGCCTGTCTCTATTTCATCACTCATCACTATCTTCAATAATTGGTCTGTTCGGTTTCTGACCCTTAGGTTTGGACCCACTACTAAACAAAAGGCTAGCGTCCATCAGTTCAAAATCCGAGCCGTCATCACCAAAGTCATCATCTATGAAGGCAAATGGATCGTGCTTCTGCTTGAGTTCACGATCTGGAGACAATAATGAAACAACATCCCCGCCAGCGGGGTTTGCAGTGGCCTTGGTGGAAGCTCGTCGAGCAGTATTTTTAGACGGTGTTTTCAAGGGCTTTGGGTTGCGCCGAGGCTTCTTAACCGAATCCTTCCGGAACGTTCGACTGGACTCGTCTGACGAAGGAGGTTCGCGGGCCAAGATCTCTTTGAATCGATGATCATAGTCAGGGCCTGCCTCATGCATCTTCTGTAAAGCTTTCACCATGCGTCGCGTGAGAGACCCATGTTTGACGCTCTTTGTAGGCCTTTCAACGAGTTGCAGGCGTGGAAAGGCGTCGTTGCGAGGGAATCGGATGAACTGGGGAGAAGTGGCACCGATGTTCTGATAATGATGTTCAAGATCATTTTGCTCACTCGTGCTAAGAACAACGTCCTCCAGCGACGGAACATCCACAGGCTCGGGCGTGGGGGTCCGGGGTCTCTTTTTGGGGTGGGCTGCCTTTTTGGGCGCAGCGGCTTTCTTCTTCTGGGGTTTGTCGCCAGCCAAAGTCGAGGCTCGAGTGAACCCTGTCTCCACATCATCGGGCATGTGGAACACCTTGGCAGGTCGTTTTGGTGCTCGCCCTTTACGCTTCGGCTCGGGCAGTCCTTGCTGCGAGTTCTCCGGAGGTATATCGATCAGTCGTTTATCAGGCACTGGACGAACGCCCGCGGGTAAGATGCGTGCAGAACGATCGTCGTGAAACGTGAATCGGGCGCCACTGGCAATCATTTGCTGCATCTTTTCGTAGTTATCTTTGGCCTTGATGTAGGAGTCTTCTTCTTTGCCTTTCATCAATAGCAGAGTGATGTTACCAGCCCGCTTACGGCCAGTTCGACCCATGCGCTGCAGCATGCGAATGGGCGATGCCGACGAGTCATAGCACACGATCAGATCGACCTCTCCAATATCCAATCCTTCCTCGCCGATGGAGGTAGCAACGATCGTGTTGTATGTGCCTTTCTTAAAATCCTCAATGATTCTGAGTTGTGTCTTCTGGTCCATGCCTTCAGAGCCTTTAGCGCTTGATTGGCCCACGAAAACATGAGGCCGAATCATGGGCTCGTATCTTTTAAGCACTCTCGTGACCTCTTCAGCACTGTCACGGAAATGCACAAAGATCATGACTCGAGTCGCAGGCCCACTAGTGCCGTCAGGCAACTCTTTCCCTTCACCCCTGTCCATAAAATGATTCAAAACCACTGACTTGAGATATTCCAATTTCGGATGGCCAATGAACTCTGGATTCTTACTCCATGGTTCAAGATGGCTGAGTAGTTTCTTGAAACTATCATCTTGTACAACTTGCTTTTGATATTTGCCACCTCCGCCTTTCTGTCCCTCGGAGCTTGACTTGAAATGAATGACATGGCGATAGAATGGCACGATGCCATGATACTTGAGGAGATCAATAGCGTGGGCCAAGCTAGCAAGAACAGTGAAAATGGAGTTGACTTTGCCTTTCAAGCCGAAATTGGCATTACGACCAGCGTCGGACTGCATCCATTGTTGCCTCGCCACTGTGAGACCGTACGCAGTTAGCCCCATAGGGTCACGTCCCCAGTAGGCGTTGATGGTCCGGAGTTGGTCGAGCAAGGGCTGCAAGGCCGCAGACATGAGGTCCATACAGAAAATCATTTCATCTGAATTCTCAAATATTTCTATCTCGATATTGCGAGCGTGAACGTACTCGCGAATGTCGATCGAGTTCTCGGTACGGATTTCGACACGTGCTATGTCCAGGCCATCGATAACCGACTGTACCGATTCGACTGTTGAGCCCGGCGTTGCTGTAAGTGCGAGCACGCGGAAACTGTTGTTGAAGCGCCGAAGGAATTTGACCACCTCCACGTATGCATACGCACCCGTGGCGCGATGAGCTTCATCAACGACCAACAATACGATTCGCTTGGGATCAGCGATTCCGGTCTTCAGGTCATTGATAAGTGTTTGGGGTGTCATGAAAAACACCCGCTTTGATTTCCACTCTTCGGCGCGAATACCCGGTGATGCCCCTCCTGTGAGCATGGTCGACTCAGAGCGTGGGATTCCGGCAATATCCAAGCAGGCCGATACCTGCTGCGAAACCAAGGGTTTCGTTGGTGCTACAAAAATGATTTGCGAGTCTTTCGTCCAGCGAAACCAGTTCAGCATAATTGTAGCCGCTATGAATGTCTTTCCCAAACCCGTTGGCAAGGCCACGAGTAGATTATGAAACAGGCCTGCCTGAGTGATGTTGAACTGGTAATCTCTGGTTTTGCCCAAATTCGTGGGGTAGACCCATGTATCCAAAGTATCCTTGACAAGTTTGTGTTGGGTTGGTGGTTCAGTCTTCTCTGATGGCCCCCAGTCTTGTTGGCGAGGTACCAAGACCTCGGGGTTTGGAGCAACCATGCCGAATAATGTGCTCTGTCTAAGATGGGGTTGTCGAATTGAGCCTCGAGATTGACTGAATTGCGGAATTGCAGGCTGGACTGGTCGTGCTACTGGTGACAATGATGGCGAAGAATCAAATGCACCTTCAGGTATGTCCTCCAGCTCAAACGGGACATCCGCCGAGATATGCGTGTTTGCCTTTTCCGTCGGGGCAAGCTTTTTCGGAGCAGTATTGTTTGATAAACTCGGGGGTAGAAATACCGCTCTGGTTGTTTTTTCCTCCTCAAATGAATCCAAGGAGGCCGCGATAGCGGCCATCAACTCCTCATCATCATGGGAATGATTTCTCTCCTGTCCACCACCACCACCACCACCACCATCTTGTCCTCCAGTTTCAAATTTTGGCGGAGGGGGTTTTGCAACAGGCTTCTGCCACCGCGGACCCCGTATTCGTTCCGGACTTGAGGAGGGTTGCGTGAGTTGCGTGACGAACATGTCATTTTGGACACTGGCTTGCTTCAGTACACAGCTCTTAATTTTGGAGCGATCCTGGTATTCTTCAAAACCACGAGGTGATTCTCGGTGCCCGGAGGGTAACTCGTCATCCTCCATATCAGAGAACGAATCGATCGAAGAACCGTCATCTTGACCTTCGCGCTCTTCCCCGCGATTTCGAACGCGGCGGCGTTTTGCGGGACGGGAGGGCCCATCGGGGGTTCCAGGGACTACGAAGTCGTCATCATCGAAGTAATCCGACTCGGAATCTGTCGACATCGCGCGGATAGTTGAAAGGCATTGCCATTACACTCCGTATGTGCAAGCGTCTCGCGTCGCGTCGCGTGGTCAGGTGATGAGATTGTGTTTGTATGGTTTGCACTGAACCCTGATCTATTGAGCGCCAAATCTTTATTATATGCACCCGTGGACTTCATCTCCCTAATGGCCGAGCTTAGACTAACTACAGGGTACGGAGTATATAGAACCTATACACGGAGTAGGTGCTTGAGGAATTCAAATCGCATGTTTGTTTATCACATTGAACATGTGCCTGGTCCCATTGCCCCTAACAAAACCTCCATTCTATTTTGATATTCCACCTGACAAACAGTAGCCACATAGAGAATACCTACCCAGGTGATTGTGCACAATATACTCTGTATTAGTTAACTACCTAAATCCTTAAGGTTGTCTTTTGCGTTTCTTTGTGACATTAAAGGTTCCAAGGTTCTCCTGCCGAGCTCTAAGAGCCAATAGGAATGGCAATATACTCTAGCAGAAAATAGATTGGTCCCTTGCTCACACGCTAATGCCTGAAGTCAATCAATATTGTCCAATTTGATAGGTCTCCTCCGTACTACCAAGGGTCTCAATTTGCGACAAAACAGAAACCCCCTTCCTAAGGGGGAGATTGTTCTGCATAATATCCTTGTCCGGGGAAGTAAGATGATCGCCGTGCATCACCTGGATGGGCTTGGTTCGTCGAAACCAAAGCGCCAAACTCAATGGCTTTGACATCCTCGGATTAAATATGAGACATCACGAATGGGAATCCTTGGTATGCCTGTTTCGGTCTCTTGGGTTTGTATTGAGGCAAAGTCCATGTCAGGGCCAAGGGCGTCCGTTTGCTTTGTAGGCTTGTTCTCAATAATATTTAATACTTCGCCGTTTGCCCTTTTCCCACCCTACATCTGCCACTCCTTACTACCATATCTGTCAATACTTACTAGCACTTTTTCCTTCACTGATTTGATCATTCTTGCTACCTTTCTACTCAACATGAAGTTCAGCATCCTTGCTCTCTCGGCCTTGCTGGCTTTCGCCGCCGCCGCAGACACTACCACCGCGAACCCTTCAACCATTACTACTACTCCCGAGGCTGAGTGCGCAAAGAGCTGTAAGCTACCCTTTCCCACAGCCTCTCGTCTTTAGCTTGATACTAATCCAACTTCAACTGTAGGTGAAGCCAAGGATATCTGCTGCACAGCCAAATGCTACCATGTGCCCTGCCCCAGCGATAACCAGGCAAATGACACTAACGACTGTGTTGCTTCCTGCCCACAGGGCACTGGCTCCCCGGCTGATACTCAGAAGTACGCCGATTGTGAGCAGTCCTGCTACAGCTCGCACTTCTGGGGCGGCAACGGCAGCGGTGCAACTGCAACCCACTCCTCTACCACCTCCACTGGTACCGGCAGCACTGCCACACAAACCAGCTCTGACTCGTCCAGCACTGATTCCAAGTGTATGTCTACATTCATTTTTGTTGTTACGGAGCTCTGCTAACATCAGCCTTCAGCTTCGGGTAACAACAGCAGCAACAACAACAACAGCAGCAGCAACGATGGCTCTTCCTCCTCGGCCACTGCTACCAGCTCCTCGGGCTTCTCGCAGCAGACCACCAACGCTGCTCCCAATGTCAAGCTCGGTGCCTCCGCTGCTGCCCTCTTCGGCCTGGTTGTTGCTGCTTTTGCTCTGTGAGCAGATTGGATTGGGTCTTCGGTTTACTACCTTGTAATTTGGCATGGTCATACGGGACTGTCCCCGATCTGGATCTATGGGGTAGCCCTGTTGGCCTTGTGACATAATTTTGCTTTCGTCCGTGTAATAGTGTTCTTGGATATCAATTTGAAGCATTTTTTTAATGGAATGATCATATTTGCAACGAGCGTAATCGGATGTTTTTTCACATTCAATGAAGACTTTGTATAGTAATCTCTCAACTTATATTGGTCCTAACCACAATGCCTTCGCTGCAGATCAGTCCCCGCAAAGTTGGCACCCCGCATCTACAATATAGAGGCCTGTCTATATCTTCAATAAATATGAAGCTGTTTCCACAATCCCACGGGGACCCAGGGCTCATACTGCGTAAAATTGCAATACGCATTCCCGGAGCTATCTCCGTAGCTATAAGTTGACATGAAAAAAACGAGGCGAGTGTCATTCACCGCCAAATTTGTTTACTGCGGGGGAGATTCGGTATTTTCTTCCAAATATAGTGCTGTTGCCTAGGAACATAAAAACCAAAAGTCACCTCGGTATAAAAATCCAACTTGAACCGTTGGTATACCATTCAGTCTATATCATCGAACCAACCAAAAAAACCAATCCCCCAACAACCGGATCAAAAGCGCCCACAATGGATGAGACCAGCGAAGAATTCCAAGCGCTCTTCAGCAGGATGTCCGCTTTCGTGACAGACTGCATGTCAGGCCACGACCCATCGCATAACCCAGCACACGTCCACAGAGTGGGAGCGCTCGCCAACAAGATCCTGGAAGCAGAGCGGGAACTGCACCCGACAACGCAATACAACGGGGCAGTTGTCAAGCTCGCAGCACTGTTGCATGACATTGGCGACAGAAAGTACCTATCTAAGATAGATGCAGCTCCTGGAAGCGAAGAACCCGACCCAACGACGATGGTGCAGCATGCGCTCCTTGCGCGGGGTGCGACGCCAGAACTCGCATCCCGGGTGCAGACGATTGTGTCCCATGTTTCTTATACGACTGAATGCAAGGATCCGGCGTTGATTCGGAGGATGATTGACGAGGATGGGTTTGTCGAGCTTGGGGTTGTCCAGGACGCTGATCGACTTGATGCCATCGGGGCTGTTGGAATTGGCAGGTGTTTTACCTTCCTTGGGGCTGTAGGGAAGAAATATTGCGTTGATGGGAAATGGGAGATGGATAATTCCATTGAGCATTTTGGGGACAAGTTGGTTAAGCTGGAGGGGATGATGAAGACTACTACGGGGAGGGAGATGGCTAGGGTACGGACGGAGAGGTTGAATGTGTTTGCGGGGTGGTGGCAGGAGGAGATGAGTCTCGTTTCTGGTTCTACTTAAGAGAGGCTTTATGCACAGTGTCAACTCCATATTGATTTATTTTTACACTCTCCGAGATGGTTGTGATGTGCATTCTAAACACTCCTGGCAAAGATCTTCGAGATATTTTAGACTCACAAGCCTTACTCGACTGCTGGGCTTATGATAGTCACACCCCTCAGAAAAGTCCATTACATAAATCTGAGGAGAATGGTTTCGTCCATTTCTTGCGAGAACACTGAAGATCCAGCAATCCGACAATGGCCGGTCTTTTCCCTTACGATCTTGCAGACAGTGGACGTATTCCATACGCTAAATTAAGAATCAAAGATAATCAAATAAAGCAAAGCTTGACTACATAGTACAGATATTTGTAGCTGTATATTTGTGCAGTCTTTTCCCGTCTTTTTATAGATGCAAATTGAAGTTAATGTATTCCAAGGTTGCACTTGATATAGATATCATGTACTGCCACGCAAGCAGCCCGAAACGTGCACGCACCTCATCCGCCCAAGATCAACACCGCCATTCGTCGAGCAACAGATATACAACCAACCTTCGCAACCATGGCTGATGCACAATTCGACAGCGCGCTGTGAGTAACCTGTCTCAACTAATATGGCACTACAACCCCCCTTTCCCACCAACCATGACACCTTTCTTGACAATCCCAGACTCGGACGCAACCCCGCCCCATGCAGTCGGAGACAAGTGAGCTGACCACCCCCCTCTGCAGCGACCTCCTTCGGCGCCTGAACCCACGGGACACCAAGACCAACTTGCAAGCCATTACCTCAATTGTCCCCGAACTCACCGAAGACCTCCTCTCCTCCGTTGACCAGCCCCTGGAGATTCGCCGCTGCCCGCAGAGCAACCGCGACTATCTGCTCTGCGACTACAACCGCGACGGCGATAGCTACCGGTCACCATGGAGCAATGAGTTTGATCCTCCGCTTGAGGATGGTACCGTGCCCAGTGAGCGAGTGCGCAAGCTCGAGGTTGCCGCCAACGAGTCGTTCGATGTTTACCGCGAGCTGTACTATGAGGGAGGCGTGGGGAGTGTGTATTTCTGGGATTTGGACGATGGATTTGCTGGCGTGATTCTATTGAAGAAGGGTGCGTTACGGATTGACTGTGGATCCCTTTCTATGCTTTAGATTGCGACTGACTGACTGTTTCTTTCGATTAGGTGTCACCCCGGGTTCCCAGAGCTCCGGCGAATGGGACAGCATTCACGTTTTCGAGGCCACCGACCGCGCTCGCATGTCCCACTACAAACTCACTAGTACCGTTATCCTCCACCTGGCCAACAAAACCGAGGCTCTTGGTGATATGGACCTCAGCGGGAACATGACTCGCCAGGTGGAGGTTGATATGCCTGTGGAGTCGGATGCTAGCCATGTCGCCAATGTGGGCAGGCTGGTGGAGGATATGGAGTTGAAGATGCGAAATTTGCTGCGTATGTTTCTTTCTCTACCCGTCATTTAACGGCTTGAAATTGTATGCTGACCTAGGCTTTCATATCACAGAGGAGGTTTACTTCGGCAAGGCGAAGGATGTCGTTGGCGAGCTCCGAAGTAAGTGGATGCACATAATATCCATGCCGTTGCAATATGCTAACATGAACCTAGGCTTGGGCCCATTGTCTGATGCGAACAGAGACCGGGAAACCCAGCGGGAAATGATCATGTCCATGCAGAAGTAGCCTTTTTACTGTTCCGACAAATATCCTGCTCGGCTAGGCCGATGAACTATACCTGTCGTTGCGTTTTCGTTTTGTATAGCTGAGTTCTGTGAACATGCTCGAACACTGGTCCATACACATTTTGCGCCTGGTACCATGTAATCACATGTGTGTATCATTTCCAATGGAGCTCATTGTATTCGTAATTTCAATGCCAATGGCAGCAGCTGGCCCGGGGTATCATAAACGCATAAAGCAAACTCAGCCAATCGCGCCGAATAAACCGATAGTTCACCATTCAATCCACTTGCATGTCCTCCGGTTCATTCGCTGGCCTAGAATCCTTGCTTGTCTCAGAAGGCTTTTGCATCTGCTCGACGAATTGACGAGCAGCCGCCCACAATTCAGCCTCCTTATCTTTTCCAACTGTATCTTTCCGGCTATTGAGCCGACTGATGTCCAGCGAGTTCGGAGCTCGCGATTTAGCTCCCGCGACTCCTTCGTTTCTAGCTCCAACCTTTGTGTCCCCTGCGCGCGAGGCCTTCTCGGGTCCTACGAGAGATGATTCCTCTAGGGAGTAGACCTGGCGGCGGAGGGAAACGTCGACTGAGGAGAGGAGCGCGAAGTATTTCGCACTTGCTTCTTTGAACCGCGTTTTGTGCGAGTCGAGTGATCCATCCGGTGCAACGGAAGCGGGGCCCGGTTTGGCGTTGGTCAAGGCTTGGATCGCGAGACCAGCAGAATGAAGAAGTTTCGTAACATCCTAATGGAGAAGAATCAGCAAATGTTTCCTGCATAAATTGAATTGATCGTAGTACTTTGTCCATCTCATTCAGCTGTCGAATGCGATCGGCAGAGGTAAAGCTAGGTAGCTCTTGCGGGGGTGCGTTTTCACCCATGTTGACTAGTCGGAGGTTGTATGAAGGAGGAATATCAATTGCTGTGTCCGTATGAATCAATTCCACTAGCTTTTCGAGTGTAGAACGAGAGATCGAGATCGCAATGGAGATGGGGAAGCTTATTAGGTGGAATCACGTGCCGGAAGTTGGGGAGGTCTTAATAAGCGGTGAGGTTGCCCGGACCCGGGCAGCTCGTCGGGATATCAAATTCAAGATATCAAATCCATTATTCTATCGTTGAACGCTCGAAGTCCCATATACCTTTGGGCGCTATATACATTAGACAAAACACTGATAGCTGACGACCTAAGCCCATCATATAAATCGCCGGCGATTGTACCCAACCCTGCTCCGTTGCCATTCTCCGTCGCAATTTGAGGATTTGTCTGAAAGTTATTGTCGATTAGTTGTCGATTATGTCTGCACCAGGCGGGGCCCCAAGCCCTGGACCGCGGAGCGGCAGTATGGGACCAGGTGTAAACGGGAATGGGATGGCGATGCCTTCCCAGCAACCATTACCTGGAACCCCCGTTCATTCTGCACCGACCCCAGGACCCAGTGCACCACCAAGTGGTGCTATGTCACAGCAGAACTTGAACCAAATAGTAGGTACCCTTGTGATTTATTTGTGCGTTGTTCGAGAAGTCTTGCTTTCCTCAAGTCCCCTCTTCCCTTTGCACGTTGTGTTCATCCTGTGTCTTTCGGAATCAGCCGAGTTTGAGAAGCTTGATATATGGCGACATTTCCACTGGATTCCCCCAGAACATGGTGATAGAGATCCAAGATGGAGGACTCTAAGGTGCTTTGCCTCAACGTCGACGATATTGAAAATGCCGCGAGCCCTCGAGCACCCTATTCATTAGCCATTGCAGCCCTTGGATGATGATCGAGGTGTCGACGATTGAAAACCAAAGGTAGCGCGCCACAGCGTCGATGATTTGGTTGATGCAACAAGGACAGGAGTTCCTTGTTCATTGGTCATTGCAGCCTGTGGTTGGTGATGGAAGTCCGTGATGGAGGACTCGGGTTTCTCTGCAACACCGACAACATGGTTCATTTCACAGACCTCGAAGAGCATTGATAGCTAGCTGTTATTGCCCAGTGCAACTCAATGACTCGCGATCAAGCTCTGTGACTGAGTACCCAAGGCATCACAACTCAGAGCAAACATACACTATTCATCCATAAATTTCTCCACGCGGTTTTCACCAAACAACCATTCTTCACACTTTCCCGATTATCATTCACTCGGTTTATCCATCTTTATCAACCCATCAACCCAATACCTTTCTTTCATCTTCACACAAAACGCACCGCCTTCACAAAACATCGCCAGAACTGCTGTGGCTATGGACACTCGAGACGAGGTTTGGCGGCCTCCTCGCCGGCGCCCAAACACGACCTCGCAGACCCAGAAGACCCAGAAGAGACCTAAGCCGGTGGCCGCTGATGTGACTCCGGCACAGTCTGTGCCGCGTCCACCCATTGCAAAGCCTTTGCAAGCCCTCACCTTGGAGGAGACACGCGCACGTGAACAGGCTGTCTGTTTGCTCATTCAAACTCCTCCCACCCCACCCTACTTGTCTTGCCCATTTTTTTTGTTTGCTCAAATAAGTTCAGTTTGAATTGTACGCTAACTTTCGATCTTTTTTAGGTTATTGATTATTTGGCCAAGAAAGGCTACAGCCGTACAGAGGCAATGTTGCGCATGGAGTCTGCCAACCAGGAGATCGATGGGCGTCCGCTCCCTCAGCTGGGGGAGGATTCTCGTCCCAAGACTCGACAAGGCTTTGGTGAGCTGGGTATTCCAACCAGGTGACTCAACATACCAACTAATACTCTACTAGATTTACTGAAGAATTGGGTTGAGGAAAATCTTGATCTGTACAAGGTGCGACAAACAAGGAGCGACTTGATAACTCAATGCTAATTCTCTCGCAGCCTGAACTTCGGCGTGTTCTATGGCCGCTGTTTGTCTATTCCTTTTTCAACATGGTCACTTCCTTCTATCCTCAGGATGCGAAGTCATTTTTCGAAACCAACAAGAACATGTTCCTTCCTGAGCATACCGATGACGTCCGCCACTTCGAGCCTATCAGCTTGCCGGAGCACCTGCAGGACAACTCCGTTGCTAAGCTTTACCGAAACAACAAATATCGCGTTGTGTTAAGCAACCCCGCTTACACCAATCTTCTCCAGTTCCTGGAGAGCAAGGATAAGGAGGGAGGTTCTGTCATGAACGCAATTCTCAGCAGCTTTTGCTCGGTGAAAACTTTGGACCGAGCAGCAGATGACCGATTCAGTTTCGCTGCCATGTTGAACCAAATTAGTGCGGACCAGACCTTCCCGGCTGAAGATGAAGGCATTCCGGGACACCACCCCGGCTCGGCTTACACTGGTGACAACCCGGCCATGGCCGGCACACTTCCCCGCCTGAAACTCGGAAGACTCCCTATGGAACAACTTCTGGAGGAGGATGTGCGGGCTGAACTGGCCGAGGAAGATGCGAAACAACCTCCTGCCGCTGGCCGTAACACCCTCATTCAAGAGTTCGACCAAATGATTAAAAATGAAGATGACGAAGAAGCACCTAATCGTGCAGATCTTCCTTTCCCTCAGTCCACTGCTCGTGACGTCCAGATTGAGGTGAAGAAGGTTATGGAACATCGCGACCGGTTCGAGATCAAGGCTCGCACAGGTGGTGTCGGTCCTGGGCTTAGTGTGTGCATGTTCACATTCCACAACACTTATGATGGGTATGTTCATCTGAACAGTCTTTTTAATGCAGATCTTTACTAACAAATACACAGAGTTACTTGCATGGACTTTTCAGATGACAGCCAGGTTGTTGCCGTCGGATTCCAGCAGTCATATATTCGAATTTGGAGCCTTGATGGCACCAACATTCAAGCTGCTGACCCTGACCTCGATAACTCGCCACCTGCCAGCTCGCGCCGTCTTATCGGCCATGCGGGTCCCGTCACTGCTGTTGCATTCCAGCCTTGCGCATCTGCTCGCGAGAGCCTTTCGGGAGATGACAAGGTTGCCACCAATGCACGCTGGCTGCTTTCATCATCCATGGACAAGACAGTTCGCCTTTGGTCTCTTGATAGCTGGCAATGTATGGTCGTCTACAAGGGCCACGACCGCCCTGTCTGGGACCTAAGCTGGGGACCCTTTAGTCACTACTTTGTCTCCGGTGGATCTGACCGGACCGCCCGTTTGTGGGTGAGTGACCAAATCCGCCAGCAGCGTATCTTCGTCGGTCACGATCATGATGTGGATGTCGTCTGCTTCCATCCCAACTCAGCATACATTTTCACTGCCAGCTCTGATCACACTGTCCGCATGTGGGCTGTTTCGACTGGTAATGCCGTCCGCATGTTCACTGGCCACACTGGCAGTATCACCGCGATGGAGTGCAGCCGCGATGGAAAGCTTCTAGCATCCGCTGATGACCAGGGTTGCATCATCTTGTGGGATCTGGCTCCTGGTAGACTTCTGAAGCGCATGCGTGGCCATGGCAAGGGTGGGATCTGGTCTGTCAGCTGGAGCGTGGAGTCCACGGTGCTGGTCTCCGGTGGAGCTGATGGTACCGTGCGAGTTTGGGATGTTGCTGGTTCACAGGAAACCACACAGGGTGGCCGTATCATCGGCGAAACAGGTACTGGAACCAGACTGGATGCAGCCGCAAACCCCTCGACGAGCCAGACCAAGAAAAAGAAGGGAAAGGACGTCGTTGTCACGGCCGACCAAATCAGCGCTTTCCCGACTAAGAAGTCTCCTGTCTACAAGGTCAAGTTCACCAATATGAATTTGGTGGTTGCTGGTGGTGCCTATTTGCCTTAAAATGGCACCCAGGTCCGTTGTTCTTGGCGTCATGCGCTCTTTTTTTCTCTCTCAGAATACCCTTACTCCTCCTTGTATTATCACGTCCCTTTTCACGATCCGCGCATGATGATTCCGTGTGATGGAATCCCGGTGGCGTTCGGAATCTCGAAACCCTGATTCTCGGTGTTTATCGATGGAGAGGCACGAACTTTTTGCCGTGCCCGGCAGCTTTTTGTTTTTCCTGTTTCTTTGCTCTAATGTTTGTCGCAGCGGGGTGGTATGGAACTTCGGACTGAAGGCTAGACTTCTGGCTGCCCTGTGTAGTCAGGTTGGCCTGGGCCTGAGAAAGATCCTCTTTTCGCCCCATTCGACAATGAAACGTTTTCTTCTTATATCATTTTATCTCCCTGCATGCAAGTAGCTAAATCCCATCAATTGCAGATGTAATGGCATTAGAGAAAGAGTCTTGTAGATCAAGTATTTGCTCGAGAAGGATGTGTTTACATCTATGAATGGCCTCTCATTTAATATCATGTTTCTCATTTCAATCACCAAGACAAATCATAAAATACTATCTCAGGTGCCCCGTTGGGCCACCGGGAGCACCAGTCCCCTTCTTCATCGCCGCTGATGCCTGCATATCCGCCACCTTGGGCGGAAGCACCATTGCGCTCCGGTCGTTTCGTCGGTAAAAGTCCGCCAGAATCTGCGCAGTCTTCGCAGGCTGGTCCTCATGAACGAAGTGTCCTGCTTCAGGGAAGACCTGAAGTTGATATTTTCCTGTGGTACTGAAGTGAGCATGATGCCGAATGTTTATAGACAGCTGACAGATATTTTTTTGAAGCGCATACCTTGCATCTGCCCGATCATTAACTCTTTATCTAGTCTGTCGGTCCCAGCAAGTAGTAGTAGCTTGCCACCTCGTGCATCGAGGAACTTTCTACTCAAGCCCACAAACCAGTTTTCCCAGAAAGGTTTCGTTGCGGAGAGGTTGGTGCGCCACACCCAAGGACGGGACGGGTCGCTAGGCTCGCTTTCTTCGTATAAGAGGGACGGAACCGAGGCGCGAGCGGAAGTGGTGTTCCGTATTGTGCGGGAGCGAGTACTTGTGGTATTTGTTAGCAATGATGGAAACAAAGGACAGTCGGGATGGACACATACTGCCATTCAATCCCAGATAGCAGGGATGGGAATCGGCTTGGACGAGTCGAAAGATATTTCTCCATGCTCTGGAGAGCATCCATTGCAGACCCTGTCAGAAAGGGATATCAGTATCGGATAGACATGAACCAAAAAAGACCAGCGTACCTTCAACTACGTCGAATACCGCGTATGCCAACAGCTTCGGGCCCAGCTCTCCTTTCTTTGCGACATCCGTAATCACCGCACCGCCTAGACTGTGTCCAACCAGAATGATATCAGGGAGCTTCTCCCAACCCATCCTGGTTTGTGTCTGGTAGATCACATGGACTAGATCCCGGCTCAGAGTCTCAAGACTGAGGTCGAGCTCAACCTTCCCCGAGGATTCAGCCTGTGCTGCAGCTGCCGTAGAAGGAGCTTCATCGTCCGTCTCACCGTCTAATGTGGTCATGACAGTGCGGCCATGGCTTCGAGCATCCAGTGATAAGGTCCCCGCCTTTGGGAGGATCTTTCGGATCTCTTCCGCGCACGTCGCGAAGGAAAGCCCAGATGAACCGGCCCCGTGGTGCATGACAAAAAGCGGGCCTGATTCAGTCGGCGGTGTTAAATAGACATGGTGTACAATATGGAGATTATCCACATCCTCTGGAAGAAAGAGCTCCTGGTCAAAGAAGTCTGTCCATGTCAAAGAGGTTTGAGATGATTGTCTGTGGTCGCATGTTAGCTTTATCCTAGATAACTGCTGATTCAAATAGCCAATTGATCCCAAATTGAGCTCATGGAAATTGGAGAAGTAAACGAACCGTCGGCCCGTTCGGGCGAATAGCTGTCGCGTGGGTGATGGGACCATCGTCCCGGTCGACGACAGTGAGGAAGTCGAAGAGTCATCCTCCCATGCATCCTCTGACAGGCTCATTGACCCAGGCATCGGTGCTTCGGGTGGGAATTTGGCCAGTTTTGACTTGGCAAATGATTTCTGAAGGTCACTCATCTCAAGTGGGTACCCCGGCTGTGTCGATCAAATGGAGGGGTGCATGGATAAGGGCTGTCAGACGTGTGTTCCCTTCCACGCACTGCCAATAATTTCTCAAAGCGAAATGGGTTTTAGTAGAAATAATCTAGTCCATTCACATCGGGTGACTGCTGTGTACACTGTTGTGTTGCCCGCCGGGCGTCAACCATCGCTGACTAATATCGTTACTGCCCACCAGGGCACCTCCAGCCGTGACTGAGATGTCAAGCCTGCCAAAGCTGTAAAACTTGTAAATTTCCTTTGTCTGGGAATCTTAGCAGTAGTGATCACGTATAAGGTCTTGAATATTTTCTGTGCACCTAAATAGTCATTTTTGGTGGCCCAGCCTAAACTTCGGCGATAAAGAAGTATATATAAGCAATCTCAACTTGTTATAAGAACAACGGAACCATAATGACAAAAGGAGAAGGGAAAATAAAGCACCATGAGTATGTCCATTATAACATAACACACATCTCCTCGGTCGTAGATATATAGTAGTTCTACAGAAACTCATGTCATCGATCTGTAAGGCAACAAACGGCACTAGTTATACAACATCATGCGTACATATATATACATGTACGTAGTAAGTAAGTAGTATTGGGCAGACATGCCTGTGAAAGCAGAGCAGGCTACATATAAGAAAGAAGAAGGTGCTATACATGACTCATTTTATAATATTTGTAATAATAGGTGCAATGAAGTGCCGTCCAATTTTTGATGAGACTATTTTGGGCTCAATTGCTACGAGTATATATGTAGTGTATTTCTCTTAATTGATGCACTGGCATATTATCAAAGCACGCGTGTTACTTCCAAGCAACCTAGAATGGATAGATTTAGGTATCTCTTACATGTATTTTGTATATCAAATACACCAAGAATAGTCGGTCGCATATACGGGCTTGTCACGTCTTTTTTTTTAGCACATATAGTTATAGTCTTTTTAGTAGTTAGTTAGTAATTTTTTGTTTTGTTTACATAGTCCTTGCTACCTAGGTAGTGTTGTATGTAGCTAGGGTATAGGCGGTAAAAACGGCTTAAAATGTGCAAACCGACTTTTCCATGTATAACACTTGCTAACAAGAATAGCCGGTCGCGTTTGCGGCTCCTGTCCTTGAGAACGACATGACCCAGTTGGCTTGATGGTAGCCTTTAGATGTCTTTTTTTTGGATTATCTTCCCTCTTGTCAAGTTTTCTGGGTAGACGGGGCGGAGGCTTAATTTGTGAAACAACTTTGCTATGTACAACATTTGATGTACATACATTGATGTAGCAGGGCGAAAAGCCGCCTCACTCTATTCCAAATTTACTTACAGTTATGTAAACTTGGTTATATAGTTAACTATTGACTAGATAGACTACTAGGGAAAAAAAAAAAATCGAAACAAAAGCCAACGGCGGGGGTCGAACCCGCAACATTCAGATTAAAAGTCTGACGCTCTACCATTGAGCTACGCTGGCTGCTATTGAACGAATCTGCATATCGTGGATACATTAGAGACTTGAGACTCGAAATTGAATAGACTCAAGACTCGAGCTTAGAGAGACCTGGAATCCAATATCATTAACGGAGGGGATTGCTACAGACGGTGTTCTGTTTGGATGTCTTTGTAATTTTTTCTTAGTAGTGTTATATACTCATATATACGATATACGAAGGCGGCAAAAGGCATAAACAGTACAGCGCACTTTTCTGTATATAGTTAGGGACAAAAATATCGGCCGCTTATACGGCCTTGTCATGTATTTTTGATAGTCTTCCCAGATAATCAATTGAGATGGCTTTTTTGAGATAACTGTATAGCTAGAGGGCAAAAATAGGCGGTAAAAAGTGTAAACCGTACAGAGGAATGTGTAATCTTTGATATATGACAAAAATCTGGCAGTACGACAATGTATGGTAGTATAGTTAACTATCGCATAGATACATACATATGCAACCTTAGAATTCACGAACGAGAATTCCAACGGACAATCTGACTAAGCTCAATATGCACTTGTGTGGCTCGCCAATTGGCGGTCACATGTTTCCCGGGTAGAACCCTGTATCCAACCATGTATTCAACCATAGTATCCGACAATATACTTCCAAATATGGAGTCACAATAAACACCAGCCAGCCCTATTTATACACGAGGCAAAAAGGGAAAAACGAAAAAAGAAAAGCCAACGGCGGGGGTCGAACCCGCAACATTCAGATTAAAAGTCTGACGCTCTACCATTGAGCTACGCTGGCAGTTGATGAAGCAATTCAAAGTGGACCCGGAACTTGAGCTCGGAGAGACCTGAAATCCTAACATCATTCAACAGAAACTAGACCTTCCAATCCCAACAGCGTCCCAATAGAGACCATAACGCTGTAAAGGTGATACAGGTGTCTTCTGCCCAATTAGACAACTTAATTTGCATCACCCCACGTGGTGTTCTGATGATAATTCATGCTGCATGGTCCAGCAAGTTGGCGGTGATCCTAAGTGTATACAATGGTCAAGTTCCGGAAGATTGAAATGCTTTGTGAGTGAAAGGTAGGTGGGTGATAATCCAAGTATGTGCGATGTAGGGCGTTGGTTCCTAAACCATCGGGGCAGTCCTGTAGTCCTATAGAACAAAAAACATTCTGGCCCATTCAGTGTCACTCTTATTCTTCCAGCTATGCATGGTTGCCCTTTGCACCACAGAATCCCACCTGTTCAAGAGCTTTGTTTCTCCTGAATCGAGTTGCATTTCTACCCATCTAAAGCAACTCCATAGTTTAAGCTCTGGGTCACATGCACGATACACTCATTTCTGCTGGTAGCCGCAAGCCTTTAAGCCTGTTTGATGTTCCGGCTTTTATTTGTCTTTATTTGTTGGAATATGCCTGTCATCTCATTGATGCCTCCATTTGCTTGCAGACTGAGCGTTTGTTTGTTAGCTTCAGGGTAGAGATACCCTGCTTCTGATAGACAGAATAGATCATGATTCTTCTTCCTCTCTCTTAACCGCTTTCTCCTATCGACACGCATTTTGACACCCTTCCCATCCTTTACGCCATGTCAAAACCACTGCCCCGAGGCCAGGCCGAGGAAGTCTATGATCTTGGGTCTGAGGCGGATGATGCCCTGAGTGTGAACCAAATCTTGAAATATGTTGTCTGGGAAGATCTGGAAGAGCTCGAGGATGAAGAACTTCATTCTCAAAAGCACTCTAGAAAGAAACAGGCGTCTGATGAGCAGCGTGATATGCTTGAAGAAGTTGTCAAAAGTATCTGGGGCTCCCTCGAAAGAATTTCAACGACAGACCTGGGTTCGATCCAGATTCCTTGTGTCGATACCAAGGAAAAGCAGGAAGCCTTAAGTATGTGACCAGTTGAAGCCCGTCAGATAGAGCCTCTCTAACAGTCTAAAAAACAGCTTGAACCCCACAAAGTCATCTTCGCTAGCCTTAAAAAGCTCGTAGATGACTTGGTTGAAAAGCTGGCTCAGCCAGATTTCGAAATCCATCGTCTCAAGTCATACCCGGACGAAATGCAATGCTTCGAATCGACACAGCTTCTCAAAGATAGGATTGCAAAGTGTATACTTCCAGAGGTGCGACAACTAGAAGGGAAGCAAGTCACCCGCCAAATGTGAGTCCACACCGCTAAAGTATACGAAGCTTTTACTTATATATAGATTAAGCTAGACGATATCCACAGAGTCCAGGATCCTCTCTCCAAATGGCCCGACACTGGTGGATACCTATTGTACATCACTTCTAGTGAGGCCGAAGAGTATTGGAGGCCGTATATTGGGCAGGCTAGCATACTGATTCGTCGAATTCCGCAACATATTATGCAAGTTCTACAAGGGCATATCGACACACTTTGCTACTGGGTTGCCTCGAAACCAGGCCGGCAACTAAATTTTATAAGGCTCTGGGATATTATAGAAGAGGAGGGGGACTCGCGCCAATCCCTTGAACTCCTTAACACCCTCCTCGAGAAGACTTTTTGTGTCGGCTTCCAATCATTATGTGGATTTTGCGATTCCCTATTTGGCCCTGACTGGAGATGGGTACGTGACCCTAGCTCGCCAGCATGCAGCCCTCAATGCCATGCCGGTATCAAGCAACATGCCAAAAGACCCGAGGCCGCACGGCAGGTACAACAAGGCTGGGTCAGGTTCCAAGATCAAATGTCAGAGAAGCTACAAATGTCGGAAGCCCTAAGACAGTATTTCAAGGATGAATTCGGCCTTGATACTAGTAGGAACGGGCTGAAAGCTATGATGGCAAAAGGAAACTTGCTGGCCGAGCCCTGCCTCAAGGAACGCATGTGATGGAAGAAGATTTCCTTTTGTCTTCGGCCTCCATTTCGGTGGTTACCCTTTTTTTGCCGCTTCTGTTTTCTTTTTTTGATGGTTTGAAATTTGGTGGTTTGGCCTTTCTAAGATCTCTTTTGACAGTTAAAGAAATTCAACTACATCAATTTCGGGCCTGGATGTTTAGACAGAATTAAAAAGATTCCAACTAATTCTATGAAGCCAAATGTTCCATTGAATTTATTGTTTATATAATCCCAAGATAAACTGCAGTACCAGTGTAGAGATTTGTTAAATGCACCTCATAGAACCGGACCATACAAGCCTCAAACTAGGACGTCCACCACTACAAGAAAGGCAAGCTCACGGCGATTGCATTCAACGCCGACCATCTCACAGTCAATTGCAATGGCCTTTCGGGTTGCTTGGTTTGGATTTGGCGGGGGAGTTGCCACAAATTCATTGAATTCGATTACCCCCCCCCGGGGCGAGTATACCAGGCGAGAGGGGCCGGTGATATGGAAAAGCGTTGCTCTTTTAACTGGCTGGCTGGGTGAACACAGCCCTGGAGGTGGCCGAGAAGCCACTCCTGTTCTTCGGGAGTGAGATTGGGGCTTTTGTCGGCCGTAATTGCGGATTTGGTATCATTCCCAACGGGGAGAACGGGATTGGTGTTAATTGCCATCATGGGCTTGGTTTGGAGTTGTAGTAGACGGTAAATGTGTAGTTGAAGTGGTGAAAATAAAAGTAGATGTCGGTATTGAGGTTTAATGAGATCGATAAATGTAGAAAGGAAGAAATCTCTGAGGGAGGGAATAAAATAAATAGGAAAAAGTACACGACACAAGTCGAACGCACAATTACTCAGGCAGCGCATTTTATAACAGGCATCGCAGCTATAAAAAGGGTGGGCGTCGAATAGCCTGCCATAAATGGCATGGTTTCGTACTTCCAGCTATAACCAGTCCTTTTAGGCAAACCTACTCATCTATATAGATCTACAGATAGGTACCATTGAATAATAACTCAGCATAGTCATTTTCTGTTCGTGTATAGCAAGACGAGTGAATTTGGAACAGAAGCCATTGGCCACGCCATTTGGAAATAACATTAATCCATATAAGGGGCTAGATCGTGAGCATAAGTCAGAACAATCTGCACTATGTTGTTGTAGGCAACGATACATGGGAAGTAGCTTGAACGCAATGGTGTTGCGCCGAGAAAATTATAGACCAAAGAGTGTCTAGAGGGAGATGCAATGATACCTAGACAGTTAATGACCGAAGTGAAATTACGCCACCCAGGTGGGTTGTGGGCTATAGAATAACTAATCATGTATAGTGTTAGACTGACTTAAAACAAAAAGAGGATTCTTAATGATGCCTGTGCATTGTGGAGATAGCTCTCCCATATGGAATACTAGAAAAATGCGGTGGTGGCTTTGAATAGATAGCTTCCCTCCCCCCACCAAATCCAAAAATAGCTGACATCCTAGGAGCAAGAAGAAATAAAGACCGCGAGAGAAAAATAGTAACAAGATACAAGTGGGTAGAGGGGGCACATAGCCCTTTGAGAGTTGACAAAGAGGCAGATATACAAAACACACCCAAATGTTTCCATTGTATACTGCACATTGCATAACAGACGAGGATTGAGACCAGTTCAATTAAAATATCCAAAAGTTCTTGTATTCACTTAACATCGGGGAGGAGGTGCAGTACTGAACCTCGAGTCTGCCATGTACACAGCAATAAGGGCAGCCTGAACAAAACAGTTAGTGTCTAATTACCGACCAAAATTAGATACACTCACTAGCGACAAGTCGAAACCCTCAGCCACAAGAATCTCAAGGACTTGTCGTGGCATCAAGGACACATCACCTTTAGAGGTACATTTGGGTAGTGTCTTATTCATCGTCATGCTCTCACGGACATCAACCACTTTCTGGCCCCCAACACTGGCCGAGAATCCTTGCCACGCGTAAGAGCCCGACTCTCGGACTTCGACCGTCGCCATTCTATCGCTCTCGCTTTTTGAGTCTGGCTCCATCGAGTTGCGAAATGTGAGTCTGTAGACATTCTTCATGTTGACCCTGAAATCCACAAGTTCTTCGTCTTCATTGCCGGGTAATCGCACCCGTAATGGTCTTTTCCATGCTAGGACTGCTTCGCGAGTCTGGAACATGGGGAGTCCTGACGAATCGCGAAATTCGCGGGCTGGAGTGTCACCATATTTGTGGCCAGTGACTGTGAAAACCGTCGAGTCGTCCCAATATCGCTTGATGGTATATTCATTGGGCGAACGGTGGTCGTATTTAGGTTTTAGGTAGAGCAGAGTTTCTTCCTCGGCGATATGTTCTGGTCTGATTCCGACAGGCTGAGAGAGTGTCCTGACAGCTTTGGTTACCGGTGTATTATAGTCCGTATACATGGTGGGGAGTTTGAAGATGAAAACAGCGCAGGTCGCGAGATTTCAATTTGAGAAGGGATCGACATGGCCCCTGTCCCCGATACGTCAGTCTTGCGGTGATCAATGCAATATATTTCTTGACAGGACAGGACTCCATCTCGTAACGACAGAAAGTCGGAAGCTCGAATGTTACTCCAAGCTTGACCCCTCACCTGGGCATTTACCCCCCTCCAGGGAGATAAGCCAGATAAGCGCAATTTATAAAGCATCACTTCCCCTCCAGGCTGATTTCGAGGGGCTCCTAAGTTTTTATGTACCTGGATATCTTCTATTATGGAATATCGCTTGTGGTTGGCCGGCAAAGAGCAAGATGGGAATGCAGACATGTGGGTAACGGTTATGTTGACACTTGAACCAGAACTGACAATTCTACAGCATTCCCATTGAAGACCCAGCAACCGGAGAAATCTTCGCGCAGTAAGCTTATTCGCAGAACTCGGGAAGCTTTTGATCCCAGCCTAACCATTGACAGATGTCACGCAGCCTCGCCAGCAGATGTCGAGACCGCTATCTCCACCGCTCACGCAGCATACAAGTCCGGCGTATGGTCGCGTGCGAATCGTCATCACCGCGCCGATGTTTTGGACAAATGCGCAACGCTTCTCTCCGATGCCCTCCCGCAGCTCATCTCAACAGAATCAAAGCAGACGGGTCGAGTGATTCGAGAAATGAAGGCCCAGGTCCCATCTTTGACAAGATGGTTCAAATACTATGCCTCCCTGTTAAGAGTTGAGGAGCGATCTGTTCTGCCGACGATGGGGAAACTGCATAACTTTGTCGACCGAGTGCCCCTCGGAGTGGTCGTTCAGATCACCCCGTTTAATCACCCGTTATTGATCGCCGTGAAGAAGCTTGCTCCAGCGCTTGCCGCTGGAAACAGTGTCATAATAAAGCCTAGTGAGCTGACTCCATTGACAACTCTTCTGCTTGGTAAAATCCTTCGCGAGGCGGGAATTCCAGATGGCGTATTCAGCGCCTTACCTGGTTATGGAGCTATCACCGGTAAAGCACTGGTTGAGCATTCCTTGGTGAAAAAGGTGGATGTGACTGGTGGAACCGATGCCGGCAGGGCAATTGGGAAGATTGTTGGAGGAAATCTGGCAAAATACACCGCGGAATTGGGTGGAAAGGCGCCCTTGGTCGTGTTTGAGAAGGCCAATATCGATATGGCGGTCAACGGAATCGTCTTTGGAAGCTTCATCGCAAGTGGACAGACGTGTGTGGCCAGCACCCGGATTATAGCGCAAAACTCGATCATGGACGAGCTACTGCACAAGCTCAAGGCTAAGATTGAGAACATTACACGCCGAATTGGGGCTCCGAGCAACCCGGAATCAACCATGGGACCACTTATCTCCGAGAAGCAATTGCGAAATGTGGAGCGCCTAGTCAACAGCGCTCTAGATGGAGGAAATGCGGTCTCTCTCATCGGTGCAAAGCGGATGGTTTCTCAAAGCCCGCTTGACGGATTCAACTTCGAGAAGGGATACTTCTACGAACCAACGCTACTTGCATCCAGCAAAGAAAACAACAGTATTGTGAAGACGTCTATCTGGCGCGAGGAGGCGTTCGGTCCTGTTATTGTCGTTGCTGGTTTCGATACCGAAGAAGAAGCAATTGCATTGGCAAATGACAGCGAGTTTGGATTAGGAGCCGGTGTATGGACACTCGATCTTCCCCAGGCTTTCCGAGTGTCGGAGCAGATTGATGCAGGAATTACTTGGGTGAATACCCATCATCGAAATGACCCTAGCAGTCCATGGGGAGGTGCAAAGTCTGCCAGTGGAGTCGGAAGCGAGAATGGGATCGAGGCTTACAATGCCTACACAACATCGAAAAGCACAATTATAAACTATGCTTCTCCTGATGAGTCCTTGGCTGCGGATGACTGGTTTGGAGATGGCTCCGGCAATGTTAGATATGGCTGAATGGAGTCATATTGCTGGTTTCTCCTGACTCTGTTGCCCAAATCCTCGAAGGGATTAGCATGAATATTAGTGAGGGCTTAATATAGTATGCTATAAGCAGAATACTTAAAGGTAATCATATCTCAGTTAGAAGAACTTACGCCAACCTCTACCCACCTCCAAGGTTGCATCTCACATTGGTCTCTTTTCTCGTGTACTTTTTTGATAAAATGCTTTAATGTTATTCGTATCTTCAGGCAAATAAATACACAAGAAGTCAGAAAAGTATTAAACGACGGTGCTACTCGAATATCCAAGATATAGATCTGCGTTACCCGGGAACAACCTGTAATGGAAATGCATGATGTCATACCCATCAGCTGGATATTACCAGGTTCGGCCTTGGTCCATTTTTTCAAACATACAATCCTCTCAAATTAATTTATATGAAACCTACTAAGTCAAAATATCGACACTAATCTTCACCATGTCACTCTGGGGTCGCAAAAACGACCATAAGTCTACGGGGCCACCCCACACCCCAAATGGGGAAGAACATCGACATGCGCCAGATGCGCCAGATGCGCCAGAGCAAAGATTCGAAGAACCTACTGAGCGCTCAAGACTGCTCCCTGCAGATAGAAACGAGGGGTTCCTAAGCCCAGATGATCCTGCAGTGAGTCCAATAAACAAAACCATACTAAATAGCACACCAAAGACAAGTTATAGCTAACACGAGAACCAGGTATCGCCCTACAACCTATGGAGCGTGCGCGCTGTGCGCGGCGTGTCAGTCATCGCATTGGTACTGAGCTTCATATGGTGGACATTCCTGCTGGTTTCCTTATTCGTCAGTCCACCGATGATGCACTCGCGGGGGTCGGGCTTCTTTGCCTTTTCATATACCACCCTGGCGATAGGATATCTCGCCCTTGGACTGTTATTCTTCGCAGTGCCATCCAAGTCCATAACTATATGGGCCATTACGCTTGCTGTTCTGCTTTTCGTGGATATGTGTATTATCCTCGCTGTGCCGCGGATCCGTCTTGAAGAGGGCTGGGTGGGGATTGCTTCTGTCGTCTGGGTAGCTCTGATCTCTATCTACCAGGCCATCCAAAACCAAGCGGTCGCTTGGGGTAAGAGGGAGGAGGAAGAGCGTCTTACTGGTCGAGAAGAGACTCGACGCTCGCTGCTGGAGTGGATTGCTGTTTTTGCTGAAACAGTTTTACTGGCTGTAATTGCGATCGCGGCCATCTTGTTCACGGCAACGCTGATCTTGCGTGCTTTCGATGCCGGGCTCAAGACTCCAGGTGAGCGTTACTTGGTGCATGGGGATACCTATCAAGTTCATCTCGCTTGTGTCGGGAACAAAACTGCAGATAAAAATGCACCAACGATCCTTCTGGAGGGTGGAAATGGGCCTGTCGAACATACACTGCAACCCTTCATCGACGATGTATACGGCCGTGACGGTATCAGCAGATACTGTTACTGGGACCGACCAGGATTCGGATGGTCCGACAACGCACCCTCGCCCCATTCCGCGGGCATGTCAGCGGACGTGCTAGCAGAGGCCTTAGCTCTTGCAGGAGAGACCGGTCCATGGATAGTCGTTTCCGCTGGCGTTGGCAGTCTTTATTCGAGGCTATTTGCCAGTCATAATATTCTCGAAGTTCGCGGCATCTTTATGATCGATCCGCTCCACGAGGCATACTTAGGAGACATTGGGCGACCTGGTCGTGGGTTTTTGCTCTGGCTTCGTGGTATCGTTTCTCCGCTAGGATTGGATCGACTTGCGGGCGCCATTTTACGCGGCCGTTCTCGCCAGGACCGTGTTATCGGACGTGCGGCTTACCAGTCTGGGAAATACATCAAAGCAAAGCTGCAGGAAAACCTTGTCGCTGTCACTATGACTGCCGCTGAGATACAGTCTTCTCGACATATCCAGATGGGTCATGCTCCTGTAGTTGTTGTGAGCTCTGGGCAAGAAGTTCAAAAGAATTCCCAGTGGGCAGAGCGACAGGAGGATCTGTCTCATCTTACAGATAACCTTTTGTCTTGGGATATTGTTGACGATGCACCCCATGAAGTATGGAGGACCGGACAGGGACGGGAAATATTGGAAAGACGTTTGAAGGAGCTTGTCAAAAAAAGTCAGGGATAAGAGCCATGAGGGGGTGATCGTCACCGGTAACTTGTATTATTTGGGAGTTTGAAATTTATATTCGGGCGTTTATGGGCAGTGCAATACTGAAGAGGGCAGGGAATTTGTCATAATTGTGTACTATGAAATACATCCCCGCGAATTTGACGATGAGGGGATACATATGATGCTGTGGTCTATGGCGTGTATTAGACTCAGGCTATGAGAGTTCCTCGCCTGACGTCACGTTGCTACATATAAACATCACATGTAGGCTCATTACTTTGTAGCATCCATTTGGACACATTAATCCAATCAAAAAAATCTACCCCATATCTGTTATCCGAAAAAGCAGATCTAAGTGAACAAGCCGTTGAGACAAGAGCACCAGTGAATTATCTAATTACAGCACACTCCAGGGCTGTAAGATGCGTAAGACGCAAACTGGATTTTCGAGTGGTATATTCGTCGAAAAAGCAGTGATATCGGGCAGAGCTTTAGCCTGCTATAACTAGCCCACGAACCCAAAGGCCTTCCAACTTCCATTCCCGCATTATCAAATCTCCATCTCGGGCCCAGGAATCGACAATATCTCGGGGAAAAAGGCGATAAACAGTCACTAGTCCCCCTCGTAATTTTTAGGGCAACACGGTGGGGAAATCCGAGGCGAAATGTCTAGGGGGATTGCGATGAAACCGGACGGTGAAAAGACGAAACCCGTCACTCTAAACTAGCTCCCTTAAACCTCTTAGCAAGCTGGTCACTCTCGGGACTGGGAGATATGGACCGGGGTAGGGTGGAGGGTGGGGGGTTCCGACGTTTCCGGGATTGGGAATCCGGGCGAGAAGGCTCGGCCGGTGTGGGCCAGGGGCGCTTAGGGGGCGCTCACCACTCTCTTGAAGAATTGTCATCAACGTGGCCCATCCTGGGGTATTCACGAGCTGCATGCCCTCGACGGGGGACTTCGTTCTGGCGACGCGGCAGAGGAGTGATTCCTCATCCTGTTCGAGAATGCGAGTTAGAGTCACGTACAGTAGATTAAAAGATGCATCATAGAACACTGACCTTGCTAAATGTGCCGACTCCATGCAAGAAGCACAGGATGTGGAAGTCGGAAACGCCTTGGATAGCTTTGTCGGGATCACCATGGGACATGAGTTTCTGGGCAACGTGTCGAAGCTCTTGGCTTTCGCCGATGACCTCACGGTTCTCGATAGGGAAGCGGCTGTTGGTAAATAACGGGGATGACTCTGTTGGGAATCCGTGGGTGAGGGTGACTAGTAGGAAATCCACTGGGAAACTCGGTTCAGCGCTCTCCTGTACGCTTGCACCGTACTCATTAATTCGTCGGTAGAAGACTTCGGGAATGTATCGTGTTCTGCTTCCGAGATCTTTGTCGTGCTCTGATTGCACTAGCATCACGGTCGGGTCCGCTGAGGGTTCGATGATATCTCCTCGAACCATCTCAACTGCAGACACAGATGCTTGGTACGAGCTGATAGCAATCGCACCTGTCTCGTCTCCGCTGAGCACACACGTTACGAAATCTGAGCCGAACTGTCCTGTCCGGCTCCATTTTGTTGACTTGGGATTTTGTGCCTGGAGTCGGGCAGCGAAGGTAATTTCCAGTGAAGACAAGAAGTATGAGTCGATATGCCGCTTGCAAACCACCGAACCATCCCCACGACCGCCATCAACCAAGTCAGTAAAGATGACACCAACCTTCTGCAACCCGCAGAGACGGGCTACCTCGTCTACTTCCTTTTCATTGTGCCAGTCATGGAGTGTTACACCATCGATTTCGCCCGTTTGCGGGGGCTCGTAGATTGCTTCCACGACAGCCTTGACACCTAGTGGTACTTCGGTGTACTCCTCGTATGTTCCATACAAGAAGCCCAGCCGTTGAGCACCTGACTTTCGCCAGAAATCAAGGAGGGAATTGATTAGATCTGGGGATGAGAACTCCACATGGTCAACCATGCGGAATTCCTGGGGTTGCAGACTGATTGCGCTCGGTTGACATTTGGTGCAAATGCCCTCTGGCCAAGGCGAATGTCCCGACGGGCAGTCACTTCGCACTCGGTAATATGGTTCGTTTAGCGGAGGCATGAACGAGGTTCCCATTTCGGGCTTGTTGGTCGCGGCATTGATTTTCCGCAGGTATGAGTGGAAAGAAAGGTGCTTGATCTTCTTCTCTGTCATGTTGTTCGCATCGTAAGGCTCGAGTGGCATGCAGTAATCACACATGCCTCGGGGACCGTGTCTGCACATCTTGTAGTCCATGCCACGCTTGATCTTTCCGTCTTTCTTGTCTAGCAGATTGTCCAGCGGTGACTGCTGCACTACCTCCCACGGGTTCTTGATTGGAGCGGAAGAACTTGGCTGTGGACGTATCGGGACTGTCTGTTGCTTGGGAATCGGTGCTCCATTGAGTCGCTGTTCTGTAGTGGTGGATGTTTTGCCGTTTGAGGGTCCGTTCTGTTGTGACTGTTCCTGGTACCCAATAAAGAGCTTATCGCCATGCCTTCAAGCCAGCGGCGCGTGAGTAATTCAATCTGTAGAGGCCAACATGACATTCAACACTTACTTGAGGCCAACCTGCTGAAGCGAAACCCCTTGTAGGCCTTCCAGTAGTCTCTCCTCACCACCCGTGCCGATCGGTTTATTTGAGAGGGCAATGGACGAAGGTTCGACGTTTGCCGGGAGGTGTTCTAGAATCTAATGCCGGTTGCCCGTTAGATCTTGGCTCTCATCCTGCTATTGTTCCCTTCTGACCAAGGGCCGACAAATACCTTTTTTTGAAGTGATGGGAAGAGTTCCTCCGGGCTGACCGTGAGTCGAAATTGGCCGTTTCGACTCTCGAATCGCAGAAGAATGGAGGCCATCTTGGCCCTGAGAAAACTAGAGCACTGTTGAAGAGAAAGACTGAGAGGTAGTGCCTTCACTTTCCGAGGAAAACAAGTGGAAGAAGAAGATAAAGAAGACACATGCAAGTGAGAAAAGAAGCTCGACTCGAAGCTTCCCTGGTCACGTCACAGCTGGCGGGCGGTATGGTACCTGGCTGACAGAACACCCCGCGGTCGGCTCTGGAGTTTTGGGCGAGACGTCGGTAAAGTCGTTACCACGGATACAGAGCCCCAAGATTGAGAGCCAGAAGCTGGATATTACATGTACATGAGAATAAATACTTTCAAAGGGAGATAACAAAGCAGTACCTCTTCTAGTACCGGTATCAGAAACGAATCTTGGAAAAATGTGAGCAAATTACTATGTAGGAGGCAGAAATGTGCCCAGAAGGATACGTAGTACTAATTGTGGAATGTGAACATCTGTAACATAACTAAGTGGATAACTATAGAAAGTTGAACATCTATTTGTTACTATGGGTTTTTGCAAAAGCAATTACGAAATCTTCTTCCATAAATTTCTTCCATTAGGCTAGAGAAAATTGTCACTTGGAAAATGAAATTGGTATGTCTGTATCATCTATCGTAATAATAATTCGAAACGCCTAAGAGAACGCCCCAGGGAAAACAGCCGAAAATTAAAGAAAGCAAGAAGAGACATGGGCCCAATCAAAGAATGGTACATTTCTTAGGCAAGCCACATGGTCCCTCATTGCTTTTTTCCTTCTTGGCTGGCTCCTGAGTACCCTGCTGCTTCTTGGAAGGTTGCTCGGTCTTTTGAGCGGCCTCCCCAGCAGCAGGAGTCGAGCTCTCCGGCCTCAACTCGGTACTATCATGTAGTCACTGAACCTTGGAAACAGCCTCGTAGAAGGCCTTGCCCTGAGCGTTGGCAATCTCGAGCTCAAGGGCGGAGGGCTTACGGGAACCGTCGGCACCCTATAGACGGAATGGTTAGCAAGAGAAAGGTATCAGAGGGTGTCGGGATAACTTACAGCGAAGGTACCAGCACCCCAGGCGCTACCACCGTGAACCTCGTCCAAGTTGCTCAGCTGGCCGAAGACGGTCTTGTAGCCCAGAGGAACGTAGATGAAGCCGTGGTGAGAGAGAGTGCTCATCGAGGCAAGGGCAGTGGACTCCTGACCACCACCCTGAGTACCGGTCGACACGAAGAGACCGGCGTACTTGCCCCAGAAGCCACCAGTGGCCCAGATGCCACCGGTCTTGTCCCAGAAGGTCTTCCACTGAGCAGGGAAGTTACCGTAACGGGTAGGGATACCGAACAGAACAGCATCGAAGGCGAGGAGGTCGGCGGGCTCCATAATGGGGTAGTTAGCCTTGGCAGGAGCGTACATCTTGCCCAGGACTTCCTCGCTGAGGGTCTCGGCGATCCTAGAGATTCAAATGTTAATCAAATGGCGTGAAGGGTAATGATATTGGGATGACTGACTGGAAGATCTCGGCTTGACCACCGGCGGACTCAATGCCCTTCTTCTCAGCCTCGGCCAGGGCCTGGATGTGGCCGTACATGGAGTACTGATTGGACAGTTAGTGAGATGAGAAATGCATTGCCACTGAAAGACGTACATAGACAATTGCAATCTTGGGAGCCATGATGACGGTTTGAGTATTGTAGAGTGTTGTAGAGGGAAACTTGAGAGAGAAAGAGCGGGGAGGGGAGCTAATTATAAAGGTTGACACCCCGCCGGGGGGAATGTCCTCGGTACCTCATCCACCATATCAATTAATAGGTGTTTTAAGTACCTCTATGATTAGCGAGCGCAGGAAAGCTTCGCAATTGCTATCAGTCATCGATGACAGAGCAAGTATGCAATATGGTTGGTCGAGCGGGATCCACTCGGATATAGCTCTGGCCTTAGTGATTCTTACTGAGAACTGACAAATGAAAATTTACGCGCCAAGGGTGGGCGTTTCCCTACTATGTGCCTAGTAGAGTTACGAAACCATTAGTAAAACTGGTGATCGTCCAGATTCCACCGCGGAAGGGCATTGCTTTTAGTCAATGGCGGAATTAAAAGGATATAGACCATTTCTGTGCTTATGTAGACAGCGCCTATCATGATGTCATGGAATCGCTCATGATGCCTACACATGTTTCTTCGCTATGTTGGAGACACAGGGCTCCGAATGCATCGTATGAATTAGATCGAGGTAAGCTGACATCGGCGTACTTAGGTCCGGTGGCTGAGGATTAACACGAAAATGGATTTTGTCTCACAGCACTACGGGTCTATTATTGCCAGACGACCTCGGGAAGCCAGCGTATGTATGTTGTAGTAGACGGCAGATATGACACAGCAAGGGTGGAACAAGTATTTATCCCTTGCAACACCAATTATACCATTGAGCTCAAGTGAAAAGAACAGTTTTTTTTGTGAATATTTCTGCGTCAAATTCAATGGGGTATCGCGGGACTAGCGCAAGAACCATAAATGAAAAGAAACCAAGGAGCCCGTGGACCCCTTGCTGAAGCCACACCTCACTCCATGCCATGCAATGTCGCCAAAAAAAAAAACCCTTGCGATAAGAATCCCACCTAACCCCTTCCACGCCCGCGGAAGCGACCACGCCCAAATCCACCACCCCGACCACGTTCATTTCGCCATTCTCGTTCCCGTTCTTTTTCCCTTTCTTGTTCTTCACGGATGAGGACTCGCTCGTGCTCAAGTTCTTCCTCCGTCTTTTCAGTGCGCATTGTAGGCCGTGGTAGGTTTTCCGGCCAGCGAGGGTGAGCATCGGCACACGCTTTTCCATCAGGGCAGAATCCGGCCAGATAGAAGGTACATATTCGTCGGCGGACGTGTCGCTTTGCACATAGTGGTCCCAGTTCGCAATATCCGCGGTCGTAGTGCTCGCAAGGCGGCAGGCGTGCCTCTTCGCGGACATGTTGGTAGAGGCAATCGTCACCATTGGTGCAGTATCCGGATCGCGAAAATGACTGGCATTCTGGCATTCGTCGAAGGTTATATTCGTGGAGGTATTCGCATTTAAGTCCTTTCTTGCAGAGTCCCTTGAGGAAATGTTTGCAAACCAGAGACCCGTGCGTTGTAGAGGGCGCCATTCCGGATGCCGTGGTAGTCGAGGTTGTCACACGGGACGGAGTGGGATGACGATCGGGACAAGCAGGTCCTAATGGGCAGTGTCCTTCACTATAAGCTTTGCAGACAGGTACATCGCTGGCGAGTCCGAAGCCGAAGCTCTTGCGTAGAAAGGGTGTGAAAGAAAAGTCATTGTAGCTGGGATCGCGCGTGGGTTCGGCGGATATGATGTGCGCAGCTGCGCTTTCAGTGTCGGCAGCCATGGCTCGATGAAGCTCGGGCGAAGTGTTGAGGGTAAAGAGATGATCGGTGGTCGTCGCGAGTCAGATGCGTGTATTCGACTGACTATGCCCACCTCTTCGTAAATGAAATTGCAAGGCTTGCACAGAGAGTAGCAATCGAAGATTCTCGGTGTATCTCCGCTGAAATTGGCATGGAGAAGGGGGTTTGAGGAAGAATTCTTGTTGAAGGTTGCGGAGCTGTCCAGGTTGTTCTTCGATTGTCGCCTTACAAATCAGGTGGCAACACCGTGTTTGGCTTGTTTGCATTTCCACATCCAATTCAACCCGTGGACAAGTCATACTAAATTTTTACAACTCAGGTACATTGGAAGCAAATTTCTGATTAATACCTTAATACCCTCGATTCTCATGCTATTATTCCTTTGGAAAATATACGGCCATATGCCGAAAGGGAGACAAGGGAGATAGAAACCGAGTAAAGATGGATAACCAGGAGCAACCCAGGACCACAGAGAACTAAAATCCAACATCCAATCCAATTATTATTTATTTGACATTGAGGTTACGACTGACATATTGCACTATAAGTATTGGTTTATAAACACGTGCATTGACAGACACGTGTTTACACGAACCCGAGCTGCTGGTCCATCAGATCCCGCACCATCGCCTCGAATGAGCGCCATTGAATCCCAAGCTCTGTCTCCGCCTTAGTCGTATCAACTGGGAACGAGGCACCCTGGAAATCCTCAGAGATCAACGCTCCAGAATCTGGATAGAGTCTGTGCACAATACGTGCAATCTCAGGGCCCGTCGTCTTTGGCCCGGCTAGTAGATATTTCGAGCCATCCACGATCTTCGGATTTAGTGCTTTGATGTGCGCTTCGGCCACATCTTGAACATGCACTCCTACCATATTTCTATTGCGATCGCCCTTCATGATGAGGTCCCACAGACCACTGTTAGACCCTAGATTGACTTCGTCGGCAGAACTCTGAACAAGATTGTGCCCGTACACAAACGCGGGATGCAGTGTCACCAATGCATACTGTGGCTTGGCTGTTGCCCGAAACTCCCAAGTTGCGTTATTTGCAAGAATTTTGGAGGCGTGATACAGATGCATTGGTGTTGCAGCCGGATTTTGAGGGTCCTCGAAATCTCCATTTTCATCAACCGAAAAGTCCCAGTCGTTGTCCTCTAGGAAATGTGTTAATGCAATTCTTAGTCGGAGATCGAAATACGGGATAGAAGGTACCTTTCAGTACACCACCAGTAGGAATGCCAGATAATGGAATCAAGGCCGCAATAGACGAAGTAATCACGATTTTCTTGATGGTTGGCACCTTTGCTGCTGCTTTCAGCAAGGTAGTGGTCCCTTTCACAGCCGGGGGAAAGTATGCTTGCTTGTCAGTCCCACGGGGAAGAGGGGATGCAAGATGAATGACATAGTCCACGCCGTTCAACTTGTTGTCGAATGCCGTCTCATCGGTGAGGTCTGGGATGATGACAAATTCAAGTTGGTCACTATACTCTGACAGCAGAGTTTGCAATTGCTCAGATGGCTTGCGAAGACAAATACGCAATCGATACCCCGCCTTGAGAGCAGCCACTGCAGTGGCACTCCCAATGAAGCCAGTAGCTCCGGTGATAAAGATCAATTCATTGGACATCTTGTTGGTTATTTATTTGAGTGCTGATGGGAGAAAACATTATATGCTGCGCTCAGCTGTCTTTATATCCTCGTTTGAATTTGTAATCTGCTAGCAAATCTAATTTGCCCAATCTATACCTAGATACAATGGAGTTGTTAGGATAATCAAAATTATGTAATGGACCCACGTATACCCCTGGTCCGATTCTAAAGATACCTCGGGAGCCTCAACTCCATGACGCCGACATGCTCGATGTCATCATATTTTGAATATTAGCCCGAGTGATCTGATATACAACCCGAGCAGTCGTTGGTGTTACTATTGTGAAGCTCGGGAAGTTGTACGATATAGTAATCACAATCGGGGCCCGAGGCTGATGAAATGATCAAAAAGCTTATAGTGGCACAAGCGGACCCGTTATTGTATTCGAGACTTTTTTATTACACTATCTCCCCGACACATCAAGACTATGAGAAATGGTGATCATGCATCTGGACGATGATGCGACCATCTTTGATATCACTAATCTTTGACTTCTACCTATAACTTTATGATCGTCAACGTATTATAAGAATGAACAGGATCCAATATACGTAAAATAGATCAACACATATCCATTTAACAAGATTCATCTTGAAATAACTTTCAAGTATTCCCAAAAGAAAACGACTTCCTTCAAAATGCCTTCCTGGTACATCGAACATAGTCCAAACACCATTACGGCTGCTGAAAAAGAACAACTCGCCAAGTCAATCACCAAGTTGTACGTCTCACGCGGCCTACCTGCATTCTATGTCCAAGTCCACTTCTCTGAGGACATCCCCGGTACGGCATTCGTTGGCGGCGAACCTCACCCCAACTTTGCAGCCGTGACAATTTATCACATTGCCCGTGCCTTCAAGAGCGACGAAGCCAAACGACAATTCTTGGCTGCTGTTGATGAGATCCTCAATCCAGTATTTGAGCCGAAGGAAATGGAATGGGAGTATTTCATAGCAGAAGCGTCGAGAGACTTGTGGAAGATAAATGGTCTGGTGCCACCGCAGACTGGGTCCGAGGGAGAGAAGAAATGGGCCGAACTGAACAAGGCTGTTAAGCTCCAGTGTGCATGAGGATACCGAAGGCACAAATTAAAAGTATACATTCTAGTGTCTAATACTTCGAAGTACTCTACTACGTTATGCCTATTTTGGACATCTCTATGAGCTTGTTGACTATCCTCTGTAAACATTTCTAATAGCTGCAAGTCGTCTATCGACCCTTGCTTCTTTGCCATCACAGGCAATAGTTTTATCAAGGTACAGACAGTCCTGAGATAACAAACAGAACATGGTTAATTGGGATCCAAGCTGGACACTATAAAGTCATGATCCCCAATCACACTCCTTTTGTCGGGAAGATAGCTGCAGTAAAGTTATCTGAACAAAGCCGAAGTACCTAGGTAGAGACAAACAACCTCAAGGGACTTCAAGCTGTTTAGATGGGTGGAATTTGTTAGACATCAAAGTTTGTAGCTTTGCGCGGTTGGTTATTTTGGCCATTGAAAAAAACCACTTTTTCGTTTCTTTTGTTTTGTCGTAATCATCCTCTCCATAATTCAAGGTGATCTGATGAGGCTTTTTCCCATGCGATATACATGTAGGTAGTCAAATGGTATTCCCGCAGAATGCAGTAAGCATTCCAGACTCGATCACCGCGGGAAAGCATAAAGCCGGCGCCACATGCATCCCTGCCTATAGTCCCCCAGCCTCATCTTATAAACTCTCTCGCTCAGCGAATCACCTACCCCTGTACTCGGTAAACACTTCGATATCAAAAAAGCAAACATTAGCAAAATTTCAAACCTGAATCACCCCTCTTCCTGTTTGGTCATTGGCTTCGCACCAAGAATGCATTCTCACCGGGGCACCCAACACGAGCTTGACGCTATATTCGCATGTTCACGAGTCATGATCGTCCACAATAATACTGTTTTAATACGATCTGGCGCCGTTTTGCAAAATCTTTCGAACACGGGGTGCATTGCTCATGCAGGATGATCCACACTCGTACCTTAGTTGGAAAGTCTCTTCGATAGGATTTTCTTACTGCGTTGTTTAGATCGGATCGCAGGGTATAGGGAGATGACCGGAGAAGATCCGGTGTGTCTTGGACCTAGAATAGTTCGTGACTGACCTCCGAGACAGTGTAGGCTACTCTGTAGGCAAGCAACCTTGACCCCGCATCTGACCATGTAAACATCATTGCGTACAACGTACTTTGAAAAAATGCTGCGCATATGCTTAGCCCGCATTCCCCGCATCTTTTGCTGTATGCAATTGCTGATTTGACCATCTACGCCAGCCTAGTGAAGTTACCTCAGATTTGCATCTGCAATCTGCCTGATCATAACACTCCACCCAATTAGTGTAAGTGCAAAGGGGAGAGTAATAAAACGAACGAGGCGAAGTTCCACGTGACGTATTCCAAAAAGGGAAACACACAGCATTGTTCTGGGTACTTTCCAACTTTCAATTCAACTCTTTCTCTTTCTTTTTTTTCCCTTGGTGACCTTTTTGGAATTCTGTTCAGCTTCAGTCCTTTCTGTGGTTCCCTCCAATGCGTGACCTGTCACACATCTGACCTTGACGTTTTGACAATGTTTTCAGCTTCCAGGCTTTTCCGCCGACGGGGCGCGGATCGTGACCCCGCTGCCGAGTCCCACGTCTCATACGAAGTGCCATTGTACACAAATGCAGCCTACTATCCAAATTGGAGAATCTATCGAAAGGAGCCTCCTTCATCTTTGCGCTTGGGATTTATCTCTCACGTGTTCTACGCATTTGCCTGGTAACCACAGCCAATCACCGCCGTTCAAGGGCCCGAGTTCATGTAGATGGCTGACGCGCTAATCTCGAATTGGTTTCTCTCAGGGTGAAAGATGACGGAACTGTCTATGTAAGTTTAAGTTTAAACATTCACTTCCCCCAATGAGGGAATATTTACTGACGTTGCGTCATAGCTAAGTGATGAATGGGCTGATACCCAGATGCCCGTTGACGGCGCAGAAGGCTGTCTTAGAGCTTTCGTCCAATTGAAGCAACAGTACTCTAAGATGAGGGTCATCCTCTCTGTTGGTGGTGGTGGAAAAGGCAGTGAGAACTTCGCCGCTGTAGCCAACAGCCGCTCTCGGGTGGACACTTTTGTTCGCACCGCGCGGGAACTGGTGGATCAATTTGGAATTGATGGGATTGACAGTAAGGCCGCATCATCTTCTTGATTCTGACGCAAGCTTGAATGCACATGACTTACTATATCTGCTATGCAGTCGACTGGGAACATCCCTCTGATTCCAAGCAAGGGAAGGATTATGTTCGTCTCCTCGCACGTCTGCGGGAAGTGCTACCTGCTCCACGATACGTCCTTACCACCGCCCTCCCTGCTGGCCAGTGGGCATTGCGGAATATTGACCTTGCTGCGGCACAAAAGCACCTTGACATGATCAACCTCATGACCTACGATTTCGCTGGACCATGGGAATCCGAGACGGGCCATCAGGCGCAGCTTTATGGCTCAGGCGTATCTGGTGATTCGGCGGTTTCTTACGTCATAGGACAAGGAGTGTCCTCTAGAAAGATTATATTGGGTGTCCCGGTTTACGGACGATCCTTCCTAGGTAGCAACGGCCCTGGTCAGCGGTATACTGGACACGGCGGCGAGGATGGTGTTTTTGACTATCGCGATCTGCCCCGACCAGGGACACAAGAGTACTATGACAGGAACATTGGTGCATCGTTTTGTGTTGGAGCCGATGGCGGTTTTGTAACATACGATACCCCAGAAACAGTGAAACAGAAGGCGGAATTTGTGACCTTGTCGAAACTGGGTGGCCTGTTCTACTGGCATGTCTGCTCCGATGCTCGAGGACCTCGCAGCTTGGTTGAGACGGGATACAACACGCTGCACGAGATGTGAGATGATTCAGCTGTTTGCAAAAACAACATTAAATAAAAAGTCAGATTCTCCCACGGCGCGCTGATATTCCCAGGAAGGATTGTTATGGCTAGAATAGTCTGCTTGCCATGATATTTTTACAATTATCTCTCAGATATTGGCTTGGCACCCTAGACTATAACTAGGTTATGTCGTGGAAACGGTAAAGCATAGATAATATCATGTTGCATGGTCAATAAGGTGGCACGAACAGCAAGTCGGCGCTTTTGCGGGCAAATATGAGAGACGTGGGACTCTCATGAGACAACCGACGGCCGAGGTCCATCTCCCCCGCATTTTCAACGGTTTTTATCAAACTCATTCTGAGCGCTTCGTCTGTTATTTTCCAATTTCACTTCTAACAATCACACCATGTCTTCTCCACAGCCCGCGACGGCAGATAGCGGCTACATCACCGAACCCGGCCCGTTGGAGAATACCTACACATCGGATCCCAGCCTTCAACGGACACTGGCATGTGAGTCTCTCATTCATATATAGTTCTAATAATCCCTAAACATTATTCAGGGTACCTACCATCCGCTATATTGCAATCTGTACAACCGCATTTCACCCAGTTCGGTGCCGAGGCTATTTCCGAACAGGTTCGTGAATGGAGCGCCGATGCTGAGCGCAATGTGCCATATGTGAAGAGTCATAACGTTTGGGGTAAGCGATATGATTATGATCGATTGGTGACCACGGAAGGCTGGAAGCAATTGGGCAAATGGGGTGCTCGGAATAGGTATCCTCTATAAATCACGCCTTTGAGATGACATGCATGATCTAACTTAATCCGATTAGGATCGTCTCGGCAGGCTATGACCAGGGCTTAGGGGTCGACCGGCGAACAGTTCAGTATGCGCTGTGAGTATTTCCTTGTCGATCTTTCTACGCTATCACTCATGCCATGATTCCAGGAACTATTTGTACTCTCCTTCTTCTGGGCTCTACTCCTGTCCGATTAGCATGACCGATGGTGCTGCTTTTATTCTCTCATCGAGAATCAATAAGCTGCCATCTACGCATCCTTTCCATACTGCGTTCCAGGGGCTGATCTCAGAAAAGGATGATCACTGGACCTCGGGCCAGTGGATGACCGAGAGAGCCGGTGGTAGCGACGTCCAAAACACCGAAACATGGGCTACATACTCGCCGCTAGCTACCGGCTCTGGCTCTGACCCCCTAGGTGATGGCGACTACCTTATCAGCGGATTCAAGTTCTTCTCCTCAGCAACGGATGCAAACCTTGCTCTTTTGCTCGCAAAAACGCCATCTGGAAAGCTCAGCACGTTCCTCGCGCCATTGCGACGGACCGTGGTAGGCGCCGACGGCGCCTCCAGAGTTGTATCTAATGGAGTCAGGATCCACCGGCTGAAGAACAAACTCGGTACTAAAGAATTACCGACGGCCGAATTGGAACTAAAGGACATGCGTGCACACCTCCTTGGCGAGCTAGACCAAGGTATCGTCACTATCGCACCTCTTCTCAACGTCACTCGACTTCATACCTTCATTGGCTCGCTGGCTGGCTGGCGCCGAGCCATCAGCATCACGAAGAGCTTTGCGAAAGCGAGGACGACTGTCGGCGAACCGCTCTGGTTAATCCCAATGCATTTGCGACTCGTCGCAGACACGGAAGTAAAGCATCGGGGCGCGATGAACCTTGCTTGGTTCACGGTTGCTTTGTTTGGGGTGGTTGAGGATCAAACACCGTCGTCTAATAAGCTCGCGCATCTACCCCAACCTGGTAAGGAAGCCGAGGTGGTTTTCCGTACCTTGACTGCCACTGCCAAGGCTGTCATCAGTAAGATGGCCACTGCGGGAATTCAAGAATGTCAGGAATCTATGGGTGGAGTCGGCTATATGGATGAGGCCGACGAGCCCGAGTTCAACATCTCCCGGATTATGCGCAATAATGCGGTCAATTCTATCTGGGAGGGTACTACAAACGTGCTAGCCAGCGAGTTTGTCCGCTTCATTATTAAGAAAGGCAACTTGAAGATATTTGGGACATGGCTTGACCGTACCTTGACCCTGATTCAGAGAGCAGATATGCGGAATGCCCTGGCAGCTGCGTGGTCAGCTTTGCGTGCTCGTTTCACGACTCAGGATCCCGCTTCGACTGTTGCTGATGGCCGTCGTTTTATGTTTACTTTAGCTTGGATTCTATCTGGTGCTCTTCTGGCGCTTGATGCTGAACGTGATAACGACTCTGTGACGACAGAGATCGCTCATCGCTGGATCTTGAGTGCTGAGGGTGGCGTGGGAGAGCATGTGTTCCATGACATTGTTACAGTCAGTCGCACTGCTAGCGCTACCTCTGGAGGCGAGGAACATCTGCAATGGGACTGCCGTATTGCCTGGGGAGTCGATCTGCCGGCGAACCGTGCCTCCGGTCACCGATCCTTGCAAAAGGCGAGCTCGAAGCTTTGAGCAAGTCAAGCATGGAGGTTAATGCCATCCATATATAGCATGCAATCTTAGCTGGTATTTTCGACGTTCGCGTATTTATCTAGCTGTTCTCGGATCATTGTCCATAAGTAAACATTCAATCAACACTTTGCATTCCAACATTGAGCTGTATAAGACCCTTTGGCTATTGGTAAAAGAGATAAAATTTAACAACCGTAAGCTCACGTTGCAAGATTCGTCGAAAGACTTCATCAGAGCTCGTCGAATTCTCCCATGCTGGTGTGGAAAGAATGAACCCCTCGTCTGCACTCGAGGGTTTTGAGGTTGGGCATATTAACTGATAACAATATAGGAAAATAAAATCAATATTCAGTTCCTTACTCCACAAAATGAAGCTTCCACTTATAGTCTTATACTCCAGTTTCATGCGGGGGTTGGGCGTTGCATCAGCCGAGCAGCGGGCCTCAACCCTATGAGATGCACCACGCATCACCGATTTCCACCGACAATCACCGAAAGAACCTACAGTATCATGGGTATTCCTAGGAATGCGTCAGGCTTACCCGAATGAGACTATTCATGCGGGGATTCAAAGGCCGGGTGCCGACTGCCGATGGGCTATTAATGTGATCGTTGAGGGTGGCTTTATGTCTTCTGTCACTCTAAGTCACTCTATACTCAATCAATTCCGATTCTACACCTTCAAAGTCAACAATTTGCACCAGAGAAGCAGACAAGAGATGGCAAACCCTACGAAGAGCGACGCTCTCAGGCCTCGTCCCATCTGGGAGCCCACTATCCCTCAAGACCAAATACCCATGAACATCTATCGTGCGCATATCAACAAGAAATTCAACCAGCAGCTTCGATCCTCTCATGATCTGCATCAATGGTCCGTTGAGAATTTACAAGATTTCTGGACAGACCTCCATGGCTATACGGGAATTATTCCACCATTGCCTCCGACAGTAACATCCGCATTTGATCCTAGCACGCCAATGGATAAGGTGCCCAAATTCTTCCGCGGAGCAACTGTCAACTATGCGGAGAATGTTATGTCTGGTCGGGACTTGAACAAGACAGCTCTTGTTGGAGTTCGAGAGGGCCAGGATCTAGGTGGGGAGGTGTGGACATGGGGATTGTTGAGGGAGAATGTCAGAAAGGCAAGGAGTGCTTTGCTTCAGCTCGGTGTTAAAGAAGGGGATCGAGTTGCTGCTATCATCTCAAACAGCGTCTGGTCGGTCGGTATGTTCCTGGCAACTGTGAGCATCGGCGCGATTTGGACTAGTATTGCGCCGGATTTGGGTGAAGAGGTATGTTTCGAAGGAATGGGAATCGCTGTCGACAATAGAGACTGATTGGAGACACTAGGGCTGTGTGTCACGGTTACAACAAGTCACTCCGCGAATTCTCTTTGCAGATGCCGAGTCCACATGCAAGGGGAAAATGCGATCGAATGTTGTTAAGATCCAGAGTATCGTGAAGGCAATGCATTCAAAGCCACAGGTGTTTTTGATTCCTATCACCGGCGCCCATGAGCCGAAATTCCCCGGTCTGGATCATTTCTTGTCAATGTCACGGCGTGAGGACGAGATAGAGTTCAAAAGAGTCTCCTTCTCTCATCCACTCTATATCTTGTACACCAGCGGTACCACCGGTCAGCCAAAGTGCCTAGTGCACAGCCACAGCGTTATTTTGCAACACAAGAAGACATCTGTACTGCACAACTCTTTGACTTCCGAGGATGTTGTTTTCCAGTACAGCAGTACCTCATGGGTCTTGTGGAATGTCATGGTCGGTCACCTCTCCGTGGGTCCGACTCTGATTCTGTACGACGGATCTCCATTGTGGCCCAGTGCCAAAGGACTGGCAAAAGTCGCGGAGTATCATAAAGTCTCTTACTGGGGATGCTCTCCTCGCTATCTCCAGGAGCTCGAGATGACCGGCTGCATCCCCAAGAACGAGTTCAACCTATCGTCCCTCAGAATGGTGCAGACGGGTGGCTCTCATCTAGGCGAAGACCAATACCACTGGTTCTACCGCACATTCCCTTCGAGTGTTCATCTCACCAGTGTAACAGGCGCAACAGACTTGGCGACTTCTTGGATTGGGACGGACCCTGCAGGTCCACTATATCCTGGAGAGATCCAGCTCCCTATGCTTGGACACGACTTGGACATTGCGGATCCTGTCACGGGTGATTCCATCAAGACCACTGGGAGACATGGCGAGTTTGTCTGTCGCAAACCATTCCCATCAATGCCAGTATTTTTCTGGGGCGATGAAGATGGATCGAAATACAAGAGCGCGTATTTCGAGAAATTTGAAAATTGTTGGGCTCAACACGATTGGGCGAGTTATAACCCACAAACGAAAGGTTGGCAGATTCATGGAAGGAGGTAAGTTGCATTTCCCTGCTGGTATAATTTGAAGGAACTGCGTGCTGACTGGAAACCGACAGCGATGGCGTCCTGAATCCACAGGGTATTCGTTTTGGGTCGTCCGACATATACTCAATCACCGAATCGGCTCCTTTCAACTCGGTCATCTCAACCACTTTCTGTGTCGGACGTCGACGACCCCATGACTCTGATGAAGTTGTATTTTTGTTTGTCGTCATGCAGTCTGGGAAGCCGTTCACGGGCAAACTTGCGGTGGAGCTCAAGGATGCAATTCGCAAAGGCTTGAGCAGTAAGTATGTCCCTCGCTTCGTGATCGGAGTCAAAGAAGTTCCTATGACGGTGAACGGTAAAAAGGTCGAGACATTGGTAAAGCAGGTCATTTCGTCTGGTCAGATTCCCAAGACTATCAGCAGCACCGTTGCGAATCCTGGGTCTCTGGATCACTTCAGGCAGTATTATGGTCTTGATGTCCAAAAGGACAATAGAGGTAAGCTATAGATGACATGCAGTCTAGCCGAAACAATAGACCGTGGGTGGTATTTTGAAAGAAAATGAGAAAGGAGCTTTTGTACATTAGAAAAACAAGACATGAATGAGACCGATTTGTGTAGCGCTAATTCTCAAGCTTTTGTTAATTTATATATTGAGTAGCCAGGAGCCACTCCAGTCGAATCCAGCACCTTCCCAATTATTGCTGAATGGATCCAAACTAACATCAAGAGAGGCAAAGTCGTAAGTATCCACCTGTTGTCCCGGCGGAGCGTCAAGGGACCGAAGGGCATCATTAGGGACTTGAATGTCGGCCATAGTGCAAGTAGGCGAAATTCCCGCGTTCCCACTGATGGGCTCCGAGGAGTGTCCAATGCTTTGCCATTGTTTGCAAAGTTTTGTGTCGAACCCCTCAAAGAAAGAGGCTGCGTCCGGGTCAAGAGTAGGCGATGAACCCCCGAAGGGACCCAACTCTCGGACTTTCTCGGTCAAGTTATTCAGCGCACGCAACGGTCCGACCGCGGAGAGCCACCTTTCGGATAGCTTTTGAAGGGAGAGCTTCATGACTGTTAATTCATGTTCGGCGGTACTCTGTAGGTGGGCATAGCGACAGCTAGAAAGGAGTGACAGCCCAGCGCATAGTGGATAGAATGCAAAGACAGGGCCCAGATATCGCAGCTCATCGCGAAGCAAGAATTCCTCGTAAATCCCAGCAATAAACGAAGATGCGACCAGCGATGCTGCGGGCGGTACGCTACCTGGCGTAGGCGAGCGATGGAGAATAGTGAGAACCACGAAATACATGACCAGCAACTGTTGAACTTCGAAATTGCAAATAACTGCATCGTCTTGAGCTGCGACAGATGATCGTAATCTTGGAATGACTTGGTTTGCCCATCGGTAGACGGCGTTCTCGAGATCGACCTGCCTTTGGCGAGAGATTTCTTTTCGTAGATGGGACTCGACCGTGTCTCCTAGAAGCCGGCATATCGTGCAATAGGCTAGGAATAATTGAGATTTGAAGTTATTCACGGGAAAATCACTAAGTGATGGCGGAAGCACATCGCTGTCGCGTAGATTGATAGTTCGTGGTCGGCCGACGCCAACAGAAATTATATTATCCCGCACCTAAGTATGTTAGCCCATGATACTTCGTGCATTGCAGATTCAAGGAGATACACACCACGAGAGACCACCACAGCCTTCTCCGGAGCCCCCGATCTCGGGAGTTCGGCGCTGGTTCCTTGTGCAGCCCAATCTGAAAGGCCATTGCTCCAGCTGTTCGAATCCAAAACCCACTGGTATCAGTAGAGACATCCTCGGGCCCAACCGGATTATACCAATGCAGCAGGCAGGCGGCCACAATAGAAATCAAAGGGTCGTCACAGCCACCAAAAAAGAAAAGTAGTTTTGCTCGTCGATAGAACACTTCGCTGGACCCATAGTCCAGATGAGCTTTGGAGACTCTGCTTCCAGCGAGAAAGACAGCCTGTAGGAGCAGCATTGATCGCGGCGCACTCTCATCCAGCCATTTCGGGTCCACAACCGGTGTCCAGGATGCACAGTGCGTATTAAAACTGGCCATTAGCTCTGTTTGGACTGATACTGGAGGTAACTCAAAGGCGCCCTGATCGCGGAGCATTTTCAAGTCAGTTTCTGATGCTTTGGGGCTGGTGTATGTAGTTTCGCGGCCAGGTTTGACCATATTTTCATCAAACGGGACGCTGCCGCCGAGATATTCACTGCGGCCGCGATAGCTCTCTTCTTTAATGAACGGCTCGCCATTATTGGCGGCCACAGCTGTATTGCTTTCAATTGGAATCACTCGATGAGACTCGCTCAAAGAATTCCGCCGTAAAGCCACTTGCGCCTCTGGTGACTCGGGAGGAACATGTGAGCTCCGCGGTGTTTGACTCAAGGGAGCAGAGATTGACACATTCCGCCCTGGCGATAGGCTGTTGGTGAACCTCTTGCGCTTCCTCGTATATGGTCTGAAGGGAGTCAATTATTTTGATTATTCGACTTCTTTTGGGCGGCTCTACTTACCTGCACTCCACATCCGACTTTTTGCAGTTGGTGCAAGGGTCTTGCGTCGCAAAGTCGCACCTCACCTATAACCATCAGCAATTACTCGAGAACAGGCCAATGGATGATCATTGCGACACCTTTCTTTTATGACAAATTATACATGCTGAAGACATGGCGCTATGTCCGACAGCGTAGATCCGAATGACGGTGATGGTTGGAGGAGGTCGAGAGTGGGGTTTAGCCGAGGCATGGGAAGTCTATAAAACGCCCAACCAGCAACATTTCCGTCTTTTTTCAATTATATTTCTCTTGTTTTTGAATATGGCTGAACACGACAGAGTGACAACAGATACTTCCTCGTATCCTGGCATCTCGGTGATTGCAATCAATCGCCCTGATAGGAAGAATGCCGTCGACCCCTTGACTGCGAAGGCGCTCTACGAAGCCATTCTTGTCTTTGAGGATGACCCAAAACAAAAAGTGTGTCCCTGACAGGTGCCGGTAGTACCTTTTGCGCAGGAGCCGACCTCCATAGCGTTGCACAGGCAGACAGCGACACACCCAGCGACAACCTCCAACCTATCAACGGCCGCAACTTGGGGCCAATGGGTCCCTCCAGACTCTTAATTAAGAAGCCAGTCATATGTGCTATATCTGGATACGCTGTCGCAGGAGGCCTAGAGTTGAGCCTACTCGCGGATATGCGCGTGGTTGAAGAAGACGCAGTCTTCGGGGTCTTTTGTCGACGCTGGGGTGTGCCTCTGATTGATGGAGGAACTGTCCGGCTGCAAGCTATTGTCGGGCTTGGTCGTGCTTTGGATATGATATTGACCGGTCGGCCTGTGAGCGCCCAGGAAGCGCTGACCATGGGACTGGCAAGCCGGGTGGTTCCTAAAGGAGAATCATTAAAGGAAGCTATTGGGATAGCAAGACAGCTCATCACGTTCCCTGAGCTGTGTCTCAACACAGATCGCCAGTCATGCTACTACAGTGCGTATGAGGCATCCTCGTTCCAGGATGCGATGTCCCAGGAGTTCAATGCTGGGAGCAAGGTGATTTCGCAGGAAGCCATCGCAGGTGCAGCGAAGTTCAGCAAGGGCTCAGGGCGGCATGGCAGCTTCAAGGATCACAGCAAGCTGTGAATAGCAAGAGTCTCTCATTAAAGGAGTTTGTATTAACAAATTAATTCTTTGGATATCTAAAACCAATTATAACTGGGGGCGACAGTCATGTAAGAGCTTTTTATGCTGATAGAAGCCAGGCATGTATCTTCAGGGATATGAAGTATTGCGCAAATTAGAGGGACTCCACGACAAAGCCCCTAGTTAGTCTTCTTTTCGGTCTCACTCAAGTCCTCCGATGTGAATTTGACACGCTTGCCGTAAAGCAGTGGAGTACGAGAAATCAATGAGCCAACGCCATATCCGATGTACGCCCCAACGAGAATCGTGATTGGGAATGCCTGCCAAGGTCGGTCCCTTCATGTATCGAGTTAGCCAGGTATTTCGCATTTGGAGTGCAGTATGAACGTATAGCATACCAGTCAAGAGGAATAGGAACAGCGCCAAACCACGCCCCCAAGCCTGTGCCGAGCGCACTGCCCCAGACCGCATCAGCGGGACGGGCAATTCCCCAAACCTCGTTCCACACGGCGCGATCCAACCCGTGGGCGTAGATCAGGGCCGTCGCGGATAGAACGGCCATGTGGGCCGCACACAGGACGGTCTCGGAATTGTGCGTTGTGAGCGGGGCGCCGAACAGAACCAGAAGGATTGTCAGAACCGGGGTGGCCAAGGCGAAGGTCAGAGAGAGCGAGAGGAGGGCCGGCTAGAAAATGGTGTCAGTATCAATGGCTCGCAGTTTCCACTCAATTTGGAGAAATATCGCGTACCAGTAACCGCGACCAAATGCACGCCCAGCTGTTGGCGTGCTGCTTGCGCTTTCCATGTTTTCCATGACGCGCGGCGCCACTAGGCCCAGATGAGCGAGGACTTGACTTGCCATCAGCCGGGGCGGACGCGCTCGTCTCTGTTGATGGTGTCGACCCAGCGGGTGGAAGACAAAGAATCACATAGAAAATTTGTATAAGGGTGAGCCATGGTAAGGTGAAAAGAAGCTCCTTAGTGGGATCAGTCACCAACGCTTCGAAACGAGTAGCGCCCAATGCCAAAAGGAGTGCTGGGTGCGCAATTGAGTAGATCCGGGATATCAGCGAGGGGAGGATGTTGACGGGAGGGGCGGACGGTTTCTCGACAGGAGCCTGGGGTGTTGAGGAGGAAGCCCCTGGTGCAGAATATGTATCTTGGGGCATTTCAGCGTTCAACTGGCAGTTTTCTGTGGAAAACAAACCTTGAGCAGCTCCCGGGTGATTCGGGGTGGAAATGGGAGGGTCTTCAATGGGGATGACAGCTTGACGGTGATTGGCTGTAGCCTTGATGCCGTGTCTCCCGATATCTCAGGCAGAAATATTTATTGCCAATTTTCTCAGGCAACAACATCATTTTCGCTTCACAAATGGATTTGTACTGGTTATTTACATTGTCAATATTGAATTTATCTACTTGAATACATAGTCCATAAAATTGTAACGGCTCTTGATGCAGTACTATAGTTTGTTTCAGAAGGTTTCTGCTTTCTTTAATTTTTGGCATTTTTTAATATATTTCTCCAAACTCATGGTGACATTCGTCGGGCTTTTTATCGTTGAGAAAATGGATGTCTAGGCTGTCTCGCTCTGTTCCGAGGTTATTCCAATTATCCAGATTAAGGTTTATATTAGTATCCCCCAGGGCTGTATCTAGCTGCCTATATAGGTTAGCCTACCTCAGAGTCGGAGTAAATATAGGAGCGCTCTCCCCTCTAACCTCCCTGCCATCTCTTATCACCTCCCGTCTTGTTTATGCCACCACATCGAAGAACCCGGGCATCTATTGCTTGCGAGCGTTGCAAGCGCCGTAAGACAAAGGTAAGGAGATGATGATGCGTTGAAGCATGATTATTGACAAAAGATAGTGTAATGGCGAGCTCCCCGTATGTTCGGCCTGTGAGCGGTCAGGATCCAGTATGCTTTGCAATCTATATCTCCCAAAATGAGAAAAAGTGTGGAGATTCTAAGAAGTGCAGGTTGTACATGGCCAACATTGCCGGGGCTTGAGGCCCTCCACACCACAGAGCACTCGCAACTGGTACAACATGCTAGCAGACTAGAAAGACAAGTCGCCGAGCTACAGAACCGCCTCCAGTTCCAGGGGAATGAAAGCTGCACTCATGAAGTTGCCCCGCATTCCATCTCGCCGGTTGACTACCATGGTGAACTATCGACGGATGTCGTGCTTTTGAGTATGAACGCCGCTGCAGAGCCATCATTTATCGGTGCAACATCGGGCTTCTCGCTTTCTAGGCTCGTGGAGGGAATCTTGTCTGAGTCTATGTTAACCGAAAGGGTTAGAGATAATGACACTACCGTGTCTAGTCAGACACCAATGCGAGAGCAGTCCGTGGCCTCAGATCAAGAGGATGTGTTGGTTGAAACGTTTTTCAAACGAGTGCATCCTCGATATCCACTTCTTGACGAGGTTTCCGTTCAGAATTTATTCCGTCAGGCAACCCGGGACGAAGATCACAATTCCCCCGATCTCTTCTTACTGTATATGGTTTACGCTATTGCTGCGAGGACCATTCAGCTGCACCCTGAGATGCGTCGATGTACAGGCCCAGAGGTATGTCACGTCACAGGAGCTCAAGAAAAGATATTCAGTTCTGAAACGCGCCTAGACATACTTTGCACGTGCCCTTCCCCATATCGACTCTGCTCTAGCGAGCCACAGCCTGCAACGGGTCCAAGCCCTCCTGTTAATCGCCCTCTATCTTCTCCGAACTCCCAGCAATGTGTCAAATCTTGGAAGCTGGCACATTATTGGGCTTGCCATCCGACACGCGGTCGAGATGGGTCTTCACCGCAATCTTCGTGATTCCCGGGCGAGACAATTGAATGAAGACGACTTGAATCTGCGCAACCGTGTCTTCTGGAGTGCGTACATTTTGGATCGAGCGGTCTCATTGACCCTTGGCAGACCATTCGCCCTAGCAGAACATGAGATTGACGTTCCGGTAATTTCCATTTGATTTCGGATGCGTATGATTCTGCTGAATACTTATCAACGAACAGGTACATGACTCGACAAAATACCAATCATTCACCCATATGTGCCATTTGCGACGGCTGGAAAGCCGCATACACCGTGAAATCTTTGGTGCCGACGTGCAAGAAGTTTCCGATGAGAAAATTGACTGTTTCCGGTATGAGCTGGACGCTTGGCGACTCGCTGTCCCGGTCCCGATAGATGCCTCCTTCGTTCTCCCTGGTTACTCGTTGTACGATACAAGGGAATTTTTCGATATTCAATACAGCAAGGCACTACGTATGCTCCTTCAGCGACGTATCACCACGGCAAAGAAAGAAGCAGAAGGAGACGCTTCGAAGACAGCAGATTATCTCACACTGAGTGCTCGGGCATCTGGCGATATCTGCCAACATTACAAAGTGCTCCATCAGCGAAGCCCTTTGGGCTGGAATCTCCTGGCGCTACATTCTATCTTCACGGCGGGTCTAACCCTCCTATACTCCACCTGGACTAGGAAAGAGAGGCCCGACCTCGTCGCGTTGGAAGACATCCGAGCTTGTTCGAGTGTTCTGTTTGCTATTTCAGAGCAATGGCCGTCGACAAAACGGTTCAGAGATATTTTTGAAACCATGGCGCGGGAGATGATGGAAATTTTGAAACGCAGCCAAACTCAGGATTGGAACGGATTGTTTCCAATCGATGCGAACACTTTCGGGGGCGAGGGCTTTTGGTCAATTTTTGATGATTTAGTGGAAGACGATTATATTCGCGATCAGTTTAGGTTTGAGGAAATGATGGGTTAAACTGGTACAATTCAGACATATTCTTTCATCGCAACTCGAAATCTTGAAATGTTCCCTCGCATGGGCAACCTTTACAAACTCGCACCGTGCGTTTAGACAGATTATAAACGACACAACAGACAGTCGATGTGGGACCAGAATACGGCCCAGAGCTCTCCTGCTTGGAGCTTTGTTCCTCAACAACATGCTCACATAGACTATGTGGATAACCTGCATGGTCTTGGAATGCCTTCACAATATCCCGTTCGATCAAATTTTCCTTTTGTGCCTGTTTGCGCAGCCCTGCTTCTAGCCGGTCACCGCGATACCATGAGCTCCCTCCAAGGTACGTATCGGCAATTTGCGTCTGTGACAGGAAGGGGCCAGTCTGGAAGTGGTTACTGTGCACGAGGTAAGGCTTCTCCGAGCCCGAGGAAATGACGGACCTGAAGATCGTCCGCGGTGTCACTTCCAGACACATGCCAATATCATCGGCAGATGAGACCATCATATTAAACGAGACGTGGCGCGGGGTTCTGGCGATGCACTTCAGTCCGACTGAGTAGTTAGACTGCTCAAGGAAGAGCCGTCTCAATGCCCCAGAGGGGGGAATAGGCGTTGATAAATCGGGAGCTTGGTCCATATCGCTCTGCAGGGAGTTCGCTGTGAGACCTAGCCCGGCCCCGTTGCATCCTGAGCGGCCCAGCTGACCCGCCTCGGTGACAAGGAACATTATCGGGATGTTTTCGGAGGGATCTGGATGAATCTCGAGGTAGATAATGGCGTCTTCAGTGACAAGTCGGTGGGACATATCCCAGTTCTGTGCAGTGAATACTACCCCGTCCCTTGTTGCAGGGGCAAGAATGATCGAGGAGGTACATTCTTCTGCGACTTCGACCTGCTGTCCTTCATCGACGGCCTTTTCCTCGCTGGTAGGCTCCTTTTCAGTGGTGGGCTCGGCAGCCTCGGCGGCCTTGGACTCTTCGACGGCGACTTTAACGCCAGGAGTCCCCTGAGTGATTTCAGGAATAGCTTCCACCAATTCTTCTGCGGTGGGAGTTTCAGAAACGGCCTCGAACTTTACATGCGAGAGGTCATATCGCGCATTCAACATGACGATATCTTCAATTGTAACGCCAGCGCCAGCGGCAACACCACGCATCTCTTCCCATCCTGATGGCCAGTAACGCTGCAACCCAGGAATATAGCAGTTGTGAATGACTCTCGAAACCGAAGACCTAGAAATCAGCATCCTTTATCAAATATTCGAGATCCGAGTGACCTACCATGGTCCCAGCTTGCCTGGCTGCTTATAGTACGTGACATTGCGCTGGATCTTCTCCTTGGTTTGCTGACCATAGGAGAATCCGCGATCATAAGGTAACCCGTGAACCACCACATGCTGGTAAAACGGATTCACGGACATCTTCTCAGGGGTATTGGGGTATTCTTTCTGCAGATCTACCAGAGAGTCAATTGGCTATTAAACAAGCTTATCCAGAAGATTGGCGTTCTTTATGAACTATTTACTTCGGTAGTCTTCCGATGCTGTAAATGGTTAGGGCTGGGTTATTACGGAGATATCGGTTGCTGCCGATATATCACCGGTTGCTGCCGAGATGTCGGTATGAGCCGATATCTCGGTATAGCCGACGATCCACTCCCTTCAATGGCCCCGTCACATCTTTAGTATCAGGCTATCATTACCCCAGGTCATGCGAAGGAGCGGCATTGATAAGAGAATTAAAAACAGTGCGGGGAATATCGCTAGCTCCAAGTGGATGCAGGAGATCCGCGAAGTACTTATTCTCCTTCGTCCGCCAGAACCAAATGCCCCTGTGTCTACAAACAGAAAGACTCTTTGGTGTTTCCCCAAAAGCCCAAACAGTTTGCAGAAATGGGAGAACACAATGTACAGGAGACCGCCGTCCCTCACGGGGAGAAGACAATGCATGACAAGGGATGCGACGATGCCGCAGAAATGTTCAATGGTGACCTGGTGGTTGAGTACAGCGCAAGAGAAGAGAGTATCGTCCGCTGGAAGCTTGATCTATCGCTTGTCCCCATGGTGAGAATCAATCCAGAACCCCTGTTGTCAATACACATACTTACTAAGTCTGTAGATGCTCATAAGTTACTTACTCTCTTTTGTCGACAAAGGGATCTTATCGACAGCCGCAGTGTATGGGCTCCGAGATGACTTGGTATGGACTATTCATCCAGAAGTATACTGTTGTCCACAAGTTAACGGCAGCAGCGCCTTGTAGGTCAACAATACAGCTGGTCCAACTCGATATTCTACTTCGGGTATGTTGCTCAACCCCTTTTCGTTCTATTCCGGGTCTAATGCAACACAGATTTCTGGTCTGGCAGTACCCCAACTCTATCTTCATGCAGCGGCTACCCATTGGCCGCTGGATAGGAGGCATGGTATTCCTCTGGGGTGTGTGTGTCGCAGCCACGGCAGGCGTCACCAATTTTGCTACGCTGGCCGTCGCCCGGTTTTTCCTGGGCCTCTTTGAGGCATCAAACAACCCCGTGTTTACCCTCCTAGTAAGCCAGTACTATACCAGGCAGGAGCATGCATTGCGTGCTTGCTTATGGTGGGCTGGTGGCCCGATCGCAGCGTTCATCGGTGACGGCGTGTCGAATGGAATCGGCCATTTCAATGGCGCGTTGAGCAGATGGCAATATCTGTACCTGATCTTCGGTCCAATTACCATGGCCTGGGGAATATTTCTCTTTTTCGCCATGCCTTCCTCCCCCATGACTGCGTGGTTTTTGACCCCCGGGAAAGGCAGATCGCGGTTGTCAGGGTAAGTTTCATTTTTTGTTTTTCACACAAAACAGGATCGTGGCTGATGTATCCTCCAGGTCTTGCAAAACCATACCGGGCTGAAGAACAAACAGTACAAGAAATACCAGGTCATAGAATGTTTCCGCGACCCCCAGGTCTTGATGCTCTTTGCCATTGTGTTCCTTCAATGTATTCCCGGCGGCGGATTGACTGCTGTAAGTGAACAATCCTACCTTGGTGCACGATTTTGGTAACTGACCTTTATTTCAGTTCAACAAAATCATTCTCACAGGACTTGGCTACTCAAGCGTCGAATCGACAGTGGTTGCCATGCCCGAGCATGCTATTCAACTTGTCTCAGTACTACTCGCGTATGTTGCTTCCAGCTTTACCTCCACATGGTTCTATTTCTAACAAATCAGTGGCGGAGTCTGTTCCTATATTGGCAAAGGACGATGCATCGCGATGATTTTGAGTAACATTTGCGTGCTGGTTGGGAGTGTCCTACTCTACAGTGAGTGACCGGATTCCTCATTTTCCCTTGATAATATTAATCGTTGCAGCTCTTCCCGCCGAAAGAAAAATGTCGCGCCTGGGCGCCGTTTACTCGCTCCTCACATGTACTGTCTCATACATCATGTGCATGTCAATGATCTCATCCAACATAGCTGGATTCACTAAGAAGATGACAGCAAGTGTAAGTGCACCTACACCTTCCTATCCTACAAGAAGCGATGTTGATTGAAGATGCTATTTAGGTTATGATTTTTGTTGGTTACTGTGTTGGCCAAATTATTACGCCGCAGTTCTTTATCACTGCCGAAGCACCAACATATCCCACCGGATTCCGGGCGTATTTCGTGACCGCTTCGATGATGATTGTCATTCAAGCCGCTTTGATGTAAGTGTCCACTCAAAATCTACAGGCCGTCAGGTTCTAATTTCGGCAGGATGTATCTCATAAATGAGAATCGACGTCGTGATAAACGCAGCGAAGCACCGGTTATCGCAGACCAGGGTAATCAACATCACATCTTGGAGACTGATTTGATGGATTTGACAGATCGGGAGCAGCCGAACTTCAGATACACTTGGTGATGGAGTTGACAAAGTGATATAATCAAGTGCTCGAAGCACCAGTATAGGAGTGTCATATGTGTCGAAGCAGACGCGCAGTTCTTACATGACGGAGGGAGAGAAGTTCCAGACCTTCAATTTATAATTCATATTCAGTAAACAACCACTATCTATCGCGGATTATTCAAATCTCACATGAATTAGAGGTGGCTTATGACCAGGATAACAATTCTTAGCAAGATGTGGTCAGAGGTATGTCAATCATTCGCTGAAACATTCGTATTGAATCCGGCATAAGAGAGTGCATCGACCATCATAGATGCACTCGCTTGGGATAGCAGGGTATGGGAAGATCGAGGATTCCTTAGCAGATACACGCTGCTTCTTGGAAACAGGCGAGCTAAGCTGTTGTGTCTGAGACCTTGTTAATCCGGGCATGATGATGGTAACGGAGCGAAATGATAAAGAAAGAGTCGAAGTCGTATAAGTCGTGCGCGTCGATGCTGATGGCTTGCCGAGTGAGAGTGCAGACAGGTTCCACGATTCACTCCATCGAGACTCTATCACAAAAGATGGAAGAAGATCCTAATTCGATCAGAGAAATATATCTGGTTCTGTGCGTGACGAAGAATATGGGCCCCATTGGAACTGAAGGGCTGTAGGAGTTCAGTACATAGCAAAGCATATATACGTTGTAGTAATTTACCGAGTAGAATGTCCGTCACTAGTTTCGTTGATCAAGTCCACTAGCCTTTCCCCCCACGACGAACTCACATCAGTGGAAACCAATACTTGAGGCTTCGATGCATTCTGAATTCCATTCAAGACGTGAGATCATGAGATTTAAACTCGGAATAGTCAACGAGTTTGTTTATACAAGTTTTGCTCATCATTAGAGAAGGTCGTAGGCTGAGGTTCGCGGGCAAGTCAAGTTCGGGAGGGCTCAATATGATGGCTTGGGCTAAAGGGATATAGTTTAGAAGTTGCAGAAGGTACTGTGACGGAAAGAACTGTAGACTGTAGGGAGAAGGAGGTATGTTGTGGAGGTCTCAAGTGCCAGGCATTATCCGGTACATATATTTGTACGCACTATATATTTCCAACCTTCTTTCTTGTCTTCTATTAGCGATTCGAAATTGTATTACCACGATGGTCCCTAAAAACGCCTTGAAATTTATTCTTTATCTGAATCGCATGCACGTATTGTAGGTACCGGAGTGCCCTAAATGGATTCGATTATCTTTTAAAGAATCACAGCAAGCAGTTATGCCTAACTGGTGGTCTTCAGTATTGTGTAGATAAAATATAATTACCATCAGTGCAAGGGAGTATCACTGGCCATTCTATGACTGATATTGCTGCTTAGTCGTAGAGATAGACTGGGTAGATGATGCTTGCTGACTCGTTGGTGAACTCGCAACTCCACAATACCCCGCGGCCTTTCAGACGACAACATCACGTTCGTCATCAAAAACGCACAAGAAAAGCAATTGCTTCTTTAACGGTGAATTTGACCTGATAAATACCATTGGTACGGTGTGAATTGACCAATTCTCAATTCTCCAGGATTTTCCCGGCGCGGCACTCCGGCCGCGGACACACCCTACAGCTATGCAGAAGAAGAAGCGCGAGAGAAATCTTGAAAAACAACATCCCTATTCTCGTCATCAGGTTTATAACAATAAAATCAGGCCGATATCGCAAGCTGAACCTAAAAAATAGGACGAGATCGAAAAAGAAAAAAAAACACGAAAAGAAGATCAAGACAGACCGGCTGCAATCGCAGAGACAAGCAGGCGTACATTCATTCCACATGGCAACGTGATCAACTGAAATCCGGAAACGGGCTAATAATATGAAGAGAGTTTCGGACAATTGCAAGGAGACGGGGGAGGGTGAGAGCAACGGGATAAAGAATACATGGGGGTCATTCGAAGGGAAATTTGGGAGGGCATCACATTATCCAATCGACAGCAAAAGGATGAGAGTGCAAGAGGGTCACGAATACGAGGGCAAAGCCCATTTCATCACGAACGAAAATAAAAGATGAGGAAAAGAACATCATCCAACGCCTCAAGCGACGCCAATGCTCTGTGAATAAGCCATACCCTCTTAAATGGTCAAACAAATCCTGCACAACTGGATAAACGATAGAGGTGCAATCGACGGAAGAACAATCGTGATAATAATAGGAGCAGAAGAATGGAAAACACTTTGTGGGAACAATTTGAAGGAGATCAAGCAGCCGAGGTGGATGGTCCTGCGGTCTCTTTCGGGATTTCATGGGACAATGGTGGCTCTGGTGCCACTACGGACGCGGCAGCGGGCAGCCCAGCGGACTCCTTCTGTTCAACGACAGGCGCAGCCGCAGACGCCTCAGGACTATGCGGCTCTTCGGGGATAGATGGGGGAAGACCAGCGCCAGGCAAGGGAGACGCGGGCGAACGCATATGCTCTTCCTTGGGCTGTTCACGTGGGACTTCGACTGAGGCAGGGTTGCCTTTTGTCGACTCTGTAGCAATGGGAGAAAGAGGCTGGTTGGTGAGGGAGGGGTCATTCTCCGATCGGGTGGGGCTCTTTGCGCGCTCACGATCATCCTTAACACCATCCCGGACCTGAGCGACCTTCGCCTTGAACTTTCCGAACAAGCTCTTCTTCTCGGGCTCTGATCCTACGGAGGAAGTGCCTTGAACGCCAGCATCCAAGCTCAGTGGGTGGTTGGAAAGGTCCGTGCTTTGATAGTGACCGCTGCCGATTGAACTGGTGCTTTGATCGGCTCGAGGATTCGTCGCCCCCAGGGGTGGAGACGCGAAACCTAGCCCAACCTGCTCACTGGTGCGCTTCGAGGACCGATGGAACCGCCAACTACGACGATTTTCATTGCGAGAGACATCGTCGGGCTGATCCATGTCAGACTGATCAGTGAACGACGAACGTGAGTTCATAGAGGGGGTGCGCGACTTGTTAGGCCGCAGAGAATGGTCGGTGTTAGGTTGCGTTGCACCCTCTGCGAGCGCCGGGTTCGAGTCGAAAGAGTTCTCTCGGTTGCCGAGTGTGGCAGCATTTGGCGGTCTCGGAGTGGTGTCGCCAACAGCAGCTTCCACGGACCGGTTTTCATGCTTAGGTTCAAGATCCGCACTGGGATCTACACTCGAGGCATGGAGTGAGGTAGCCGAGCTTTGTGCGCTCATGCTTGCACTACCGGGAATGCGCTTCTTCTTCAAGCGATTCGGCTGCCGAGGTTCTTTCAGTTCACTATCAGCTGGCGGTGACTTTGTGAAGAAATTTGAGAGTTTGCGCTCACGGCTTGGTGTGACAACTTGTGGGGGTGAAGCAACTGGGGGTGAGGCGACTGCCGTATTGAGATTCTCATGTGGCCTGGCAGTTTCAGTGATGCTAAGACGTTCAGCAGTTGCCGGAGGCAATGGGCCATGGGTTGACGTGTGCACATAGAGGTTGCCTGGAGTCAATGAGGTGGTTGATTGACTAGGCGTGCGCTGCTCAGAACGCTGCTCAGGACGCTGCTCAGGGCGCTGCTCAGGGCGCTGCTCAGGGCGCTGCTCAGGGCGCTGCTCAGGGCGCTGCTCAGGACGTTGCTCAGGACGCTGCTCGGAAGTCCGTTCTGGGACTGACGGAGGAGCCGGATGAGAGATCGACTCAGGGATCGACTGAGGCTGCTCAGGCTTCTCAGGCTCTTCGCGCACTGACGGTGTTCGACTAGTCGATTGAGAACTCTGATGAGAAACAGAGAGTCCAGAAGGATTGTTCGAGCCAGTCTCGTTGGCTCGCGCATAACGAGCAGAGGTCAAGACGGGGCCCATCTTTGAGGGTAGAGTGTTGCTTCGGTGAACACCACCACTGCCGCCACCGCCGCTGATTGAGGTGGGAGTTACAGGGCTTTGAGTGTTGTTGGAATGACGGGAGTTGCGCGACGAAACGGAGACATTGCGTCGGATACTGTCCAACTTGCGATGGCTTTCCGTGTTAGCACTGGCGTTGGATACCGATCGTCGAACGCTCGGGTGAGCTGCGGGTCGTGGAATCCCTGCCTCGACCTCCTTCATGGTCTGCTCATCGGCAGCCGTGCCACTCATTCCGAACAGGAAGTGGTCCTGGTTCTCAATCAAGAAGATCAACACATCCTGACTCAACTTGTATTCCTCCGGCGACATATCGTGCTGGGGGTGGGACAGCATGCCTGGTTGGAAGATCGCGGACAGATTAGCCGACGGCATGCGATTCTGATCGGACTTCGAGGCGAAAACCGCGAGGAGATCGAGGATATAGAGGAGCAGTTGCTTGTTCAATGGGGGCAGCTCGATGATGAGGTTCTGGTATGTCTCGACAGCCTTTGCGTGGTCGAACTTGTCGGCATCGTTTGTGTCCTTGCCTTCTAGGACCTGTCGCTGGTAGATACGCAGAGGTTCACGGAAGCGCTCATAGAATTCCAATGGCACGATGGGTTCGGGAAGCTGGTTCAGGTATCGGCGAAGCACGTTTGCTGCATCGTGGACGGTGTATCCGGACCAGTCGAGTCCTTTTCCATATCGCTCGGGGGAGTCGAAGACCTCCTGGAGGTCCTTAATACGCTTGGCTGATCCGTTAAGACGAAAGATGCCCTCCACATCCGTTGCTATTCCAAAACAGGTCAGCGATAACTCATCGAGTATAGCAAGGTAAATACTAACCTTTTTCTTTGAGGAAAACTCCACACTTTGCAACAACAATGGGCACGTATCCATAAATGAAACTCTCGCCGTGGTCGTTGGTCAAGGAGATTGCCACATTGGCATACTTGATGCTGACATTGAGCGGAATCCCGAAGATCCCGCGGGGTGCCTCTTCTGCGACAAATGGGTCAGCATACCAGTTCGAGAAGCGATGAAGAACCCAGACAAATCAATTGAAGACCGAGCAGAGTCCTCGACTCCGACATGGTGAAGCGCAGCAACCATCTCCTGTGCGACGAGGGGGGTATACCCCGAGGCTCAGGGGGTTGCGAACAGCCGCGAGCCGGAGCGCCCCAGGAAACATTTACACGGTCGCCTGTGTTCTAATATCGCATTCACCAAATATGGCTTACCTTTCAATTCATCCTTTCTGGTGCTCCGTTTGAACTGCTTCCACCATGAAGCTAAATCTCGCTTTGATGGCGGGGAGTTGGCGTCGACCGGATCGGGTGTGGGGAGAGGGTGGACAGGGTCAGCACCCGGGTGCGACTTGCCGACCGTCACCATGGCGAGTCCGGAAGGCGACTCGAGATGGAATCGAAGATACTGGGAATCGGAGAAGCGCAGGGAAGTGGGTGTGTCGATCGAGGGATTCGGGAAAGTTGAAGGGGCCCTGCGTCACCGCCCTCGTGTGGGAAATCCTGGGGCCGGGCTTAAAATAGCACAGGCACGTTTCCGAGGCGAAGCAGAGCAAAGATGGGATTCGAGAAAAAGAAACTGAGAACAAAGAGGATGAGAAGAAAACGAGGAAAGGATGTGAGTGTGTGAGTGTATGAGTCTTGATGGATGAAGGGATACGAAAGGGCTGAAAGGTCAGGGTTTCGAAAGGGTCAATGAGTCGGGGGCACGAGCCAAGAGCCGACACATATGACAGAGATTATTCTCTGTTTTAAAGACAGTCCTGGGTATTGTTCAGGGGGGTGGTTCTTTTTTTTCGAGAACATTAGACTATGAATAGCAAACATAATCTCAAGACCCAAGGTTCCCGGGACAAGTTAAAAGATGGGTCAGGGTCACCTGTCATATAGATTAAATTGGATCAATGTACGGAGTACAGGTACACAATGCTACAAGGGGGGAAATCTTAAAAATGGGATCTCTCATTTACTATATAGAAATACCTATACTCCGTACAATATAGATCTACTTGAAGTTTTGGAATTTAGAATTTGAGCATACTGTGAAGAACAGTCCCCGCTTGCGAGTTCTACCAAGTCTGGAACCAACGGGTCTTGGATTGTCTGGAACGAGTCTGGACCCTTTTAGGGGCTTTTTGGAGATCAAATCGCTTATATCGGGTTTCATATCTGCCGGATCAGGTACGGATTTTCATTTTTTTTTCTGGTTTTCAACTCGCTTGGCTTTTGGGTTCCAAGTTGGTGAAGTATACGGAATTATTTGCTTAATTAGAGCATATCCATTGTCACTTTTTCCATTGCGGGAAAGCGTGTCTCGGGTACAGGGTAGATCGTCTCTCTCGAGATATAAGACATCATATTTACCCTTGAGCGATTGGCACTATTTCCATCCTCTTTAGAGATCATCCATCTAGGGTGCATGTTTCTACATGTAGTTTTTGACATCTTATACGTCATGTAGATCGTTAAAAAGTGTAAATAACACTATTGAAGCAGACAATTTTTCACGTGTGGGATGTAACTTTCTATCCACGGGCACAAGAATTCTTTGATTCGCGTAAAAAGTAATTGAGGTGGGATTAGCTGTCCATAGCGTCATGAAGTTAGGTTGAAAGAAATATTGGTGACGTTGTGATATCACGTGGATTGAGATTTCCAACCTTGGCATGTTTCTCCGATCGGATAAACCCGCTTGCGGGACAGTCCTGGAGTAGGTAGAGCTATATGTACTCAACAAAGCATCATTACAATACACCGTTGCTATAAAGATCGACTTCTCACGGCTCCAGATTTTATGTGAACCAGATATGGTTGAAGCGAAGGCCCTAGAGGCTATACAACTAACAAAAGACAAGATGTTGATTAAATTGTGGCCTGGTAGCTAAGGCACACAATTTTGAGTCGCGTGGGCTAATATTTCTCCGGCACCCGAGAAGCTCAGAACCAGCGGAGCTGGCAGCTAGCAGGAGACTTGTGGAAAGCAACTTACCATCAAAACATCTTGATTTCAATCATCTATCACAATGGAAGGGTAAGTACCTCATTTTGAACACTCTTTACTTTCCTGCCATGTTTTCTCTCCGGTTGTTCCTCAGGATCAATCTCTGAGCAAACCGCTAATACCCAAGTCACAGACTTAACGCATCGGAACAGCGCGAATTCGCTTCCCGCATGGAGCGGAAGCAGATGAAGGAGTTTATGACTGTATGTACCTCCTGGCTTCCGCATTTAAGATTCGACTTTGCACTTATTCCCCTGCCCGTGATCCCGTGTCATTACCATCAACCACCTGTCTTCTCCCATACTCAAGATCTAACATCCGTTCTTTCAGATGTACTCCAAGATGGTCCAGCGCTGCTTCGATGACTGTGTCAATGACTTCACCACCAAGTCCCTCATCAACCGCGAGGAGACTTGCATCATGCGCTGTGTTGACAAGAACCTCAAGAGCTCCGCCCGGTTGAACGAGCGCTTCCAGGAGCAGAACGCCGCAATGATGCAGAGTGGCTCTATGGGAGGCAACTAAGGGTCTATTTTGATAATAAGAAACATATTCTCGATGACTATTTTCCGTTTTGGCAACATGCATTCGATGAATTGGGTGATTGGCGAGGCGGCTCGACCGACCCGGTTGTCTCCGACAGTGACTTTATCTGGAGGCTGAGAGGGATGACATCGTGGTTCGATGACCTATTGGCGAGGAAGCAGACAGGATCGGCTCCTTTCCGTGTACCATAGTGACTAGCACGGGAGATATCTACCTCTCCTCTCCCGGGGCTCAAAATACAAAAGACTTGACCAAATCAACGAAATGAGGTGTGACCGTGTATGTTGAACGGGTTCGCAAAATAGAGCTTAGCTTGGGTTATCTTTTTCTTCTCAAGCTCGAAATATATCCTTTACTGCTATCAAGCAATGCAACTTATCGGTCGTGAAGCCTGAGGGCGCGTGTTATTTGTTATTTATTTTTTTGGCGTACAAACTCGGGCTAGGGTCTGTCGGAATATTGCTGCCGTTATTGTTTTAGTGAACTTTCTCCTGATTCAATACTATATCTCCCATTATCGGTGCTTTGAGATGCCGGATGGTGGATATATCGACTATTCCGCGGGTGTTCCGAGGTCGGCAACATGTCGTTTTTTGCCGTAACCTTAGTCTTACGATAAAAGTATAAGAGAATAACGGATGGCAATAAGGCAATTATCCCAGTCAATTATGCCTCTAGGGCTATATATAGTGCCCATATTGTATATGTAGCAACCCGGGGATATACTATGTAGTACTAGTCCCCTACGGCATTTCCCCGCGGAGCTTCGGGAGCATTCCCGATCACGGATATTTCTATTCCAACGGGAACGGCCTTATCTGACTGAATTTCCCCAAGTGGGGAGAATAATATGAGGGGGACTTGTAAGGTAAGCTGTTCGGATCTCCAACTTCCCAAAGGTTTGATGCCTTTATCTTTCCCCTCATACCCGGATCCACCCACTGTTCAAAAGCCCGTCATTTCCTCTTCTCTTCTTCCTCAACCACCGTATTCTTGATGTAAGTCTTATTTTTCTCTTGGCATCCCCGGACTTGCTAACAGTGTTGTAGTTTTAAAGATCAATATACACAATGGCCAGCACAGTAGGACTGGTAAATTACTCTGTTCCTTTTTCTTTTTTACTGAATAACCTTGCTGACTCGGAAATCTACAGACAATCACTTGCAAGGTAAGCTCGATCCGACCGCCCCGCACATATGACGTCGACGAGCACAGCTCGCATGGATCATGAACAGCGCTGAACAATTGACAGGCCGCCATCGCCTGGGAGGCCGGCGCGCCTCTGTCCGTTGAGGACATCGAGGTCGCTCCCCCTAAGGCTGGTGAGGTGCGCATTAAAATCCACCACACTGGTGTCTGCCATACCGGTAAGCCCCGCCATAGCCCCGCCCTCTGCACGGAAAAAAGAATAAAACAAACTGCCGAACAAAATCCCGATCTATTAGGACAAATTATTGACATCCCTCAGATGCCTACACTCTCTCCGGCAAGGATCCCGAGGGTGCTTTCCCCGTTGTCCTCGGTCACGAGGGCGCCGGTATTGTCGAGTCTATCGGCGAGGGCGTGACCTCCGTCAAGGTGGGCGACTACGTCGTCGCTCTCTAGTACGTTTTCGGCTCCGATCTCGGCGTGACGGTCCACTGACAATTGTAGCACCCCCGAATGCCGTGAATGCAAGTTCTGCAAGTCTGGCAAGACGAACCTCTGTGGTAAGATCCGTGCTACCCAGGGTAAGGGTGTTATGCCCGATGGCACCTCCCGCTTCAAGGCCCGCGGAAAGGACCTCCTGCACTTCATGGGTACCTCCACCTTCTCGCAGTACACCGTTGTTGCCGATATCTCAGTCGTCGCTGTCACTCCTAAGATCCCCACTGATCGATCCTGTCTGCTCGGCTGCGGTATCACCACCGGTTACGGTGCTGCTGTCGTGACTGCCAAGGTCGAGGAGGGTTCTAACGTCGCTGTCTTCGGTGTTGGCTGTGTTGGTCTGTCGGTTGTGCAGGGTGCGGTCAAGAACAAGGCCGGTAAGATCATTGCTGTCGACGTCAACGATGGCAAAGAGGCCTGGGCTCGCAAGTTCGGCGCTACCCACTTCGTTAACCCCACCAAGCTCTCCGGCAAGACCATCCAGGAGCACCTGATTGAGATGACTGATGGCGGCTGTGATTACACCTTCGACTGCACTGGTAACGTCGGTGTCATGCGTGCTGCCCTTGAGGCCTGCCACAAGGGCTGGGGTGAGAGCATTGTCATCGGTGTTGCTGCTGCTGGTCAGGAGATCTCCACTCGGCGTAAGTTAACCCCGCCGTTCTTCACTTCCCAATGTATATTCGTCTTGTCTAACAAACGTCATAGCATTCCAACTTGTCACCGGTCGTGTCTGGAAGGGATGTGCCTTCGGTGGCATCAAGGGTCGCACACAACTGCCCGGTCTGGTCGACGACTACCTCAACGGCGAGCTCAAGGTGGACGAGTTCATCACTCACCGCCAGTCGCTAGACGGTATCAATACCGCCTTCGATCAGATGAAGGAGGGTGACTGTGTTCGTTGCGTCGTCGACATGCAATAGATGCAATATTTTGCTAGTCGATACAAAATAACTGATGTGAAATATGACTTTAATTATTTCTTGGATGCAATAACCGGATGCAAATCTTTTTATATAACAGTACAATCAATGGGGGAGTATGAACCTTTGTAGGACTGAAGTTGTCATCAAGGTCCTCAACCCCGCGGCACCTTGAGGGTGAGATGTGTAAACACTGATCTCAGCTCAACGAGCAAAAAGGCAATGATATCCCTAGAGATGTCAATGGAATGCAAAGATACCATTTAACACCGTCGTAAATAAATTGATAGCTGATGCAAACGGCATGATCATAGCATAAAAAAGCCTTACGGCCTAAAGCTCGCGGCTGTTGACGTCTGAGACCCCCTTCTCTCTTCTTCTCTGTTTGGGTATATCTCAAATACCTCCAAACACGAAACTTGTCTCTTCAGCCAGATCAATAGCCGCGGAACATACATGGAGTCAAACATACCGCGCAGTTTATACTCCTGTCGGAGAGAGTCCGAAATCCCCACCATGTCGGCACTAACGAGCTGCTGATAAGGATGCCAATCTCGGTTCTACTTCGGAATAACGTCGCTGGAGGGCCTGTGATAGGTGGTATATTACCTGCATAGCGTGATTCATGTACTGATGGGTCTAAGAGGGGCTGCTTTGCGCTATCAAACCCCAACCCCAACTCCGTTCGCCGCGGCGATGCCCGCGGCGATATCTGGGAGGGGTATATAGTCCACGATATCATGGTACTAGATCAACACCAGCTTGTTTCAAATCTTCTCTATATTCAGTCTATTACTTCTGCTTTACTTGTCTTATACTTCAGAGCAGTTCTCTCCACCACCACTACAACGCTACCACCGCACTCTATACCTCCCAAGCCACCACGCAATCCCCAAAAATGACAGACCCAAATCCCATCCCCCTACCAAGCCCCTTCTCCACAATCCCCCGAACCCCCCTCCTCCTGGGCCCCTCACCAATCCACCCCCTCCCCCGCATAACCGCCGATCTCGCCAAAAACAACCCCCACCCACCCGTAACCATCTACGCCAAACGCGACGACCTAAACTCGGCCTACGCGTACGGGGGCAACAAAACCCGGAAACTCGAGTACCTGCTCGCCGAAGCCCAAGCGCAAGGCTGCACGACCCTGGTCTCCATCGGCGGCGTGCAGAGCAACCACACCCGCCAAGTCGCAGCCGTAGCCGCGCGCTCGGGACTGAAAGCCCGTCTCGTGCAGGAGCACTGGGTCGACTGGACCGACCCGGGCTACGAGAGCACGGGCAACATCCAGCTGTCGCGACTGATGGGCGCGGATGTGCGACTCGACCCGTCCGGGTTCGGGATCGAGCATAAGAATACCGCGCAGGCGGTTGTGGAGGAGAGCAAGGCTGATGGTGAGAAGCCTTACTATATCCCTGCTGGTGCGTCGGATCATCCGCTTGGTGGACTTGGGTTTGCGCGGTGGGCATTTGAAGTCAGGCAGCAGGAGGGGGAGATGGGGGTTTTCTTTGATACGGTTCTTGTCTGTGCTGTTACCGGGTCGACATTTGCCGGCATGATTGCTGGGTTTAAGTTGTTGGAACGGTTGTATCCTGGGGATGCGAAGAGGAGGGTTATTGGGATTGATGCTTCGGCGACGGTTGAGGCGACGAGGGCGCAGGTTTTGCGCATTGCGAAGAATACGGCTGCGAAGATTGGGCTCACTGAGGATGATATTACGGAGGACGATGTTATCCTTGATGATCGGTATCATGCTGGTATCTATGGTGTTCCTGATCGGCAGACTTGGGATGCGATTGAATATGCGGCGAGGATGGAGGCGTTTATCACTGACCCGGTCTATGAAGGGAAGAGCTTTGCCGGTATGATAGATATGATTCGTCGTGGGGAGATCAAAGGTGGGAATATTTTGTATGCGCACCTCGGTGGGCAGTTGGCCTTGAATGCTTACTCCGAGCTTGGTCGGACCAATGAATAGATAGATGAATGTGTTTAGAGAACCTTATGGGAATACACTTACCTTACGTCTACGGCTTTGTCAATAACTAGGGAGTATGGTTGTAGCATGTTAAGGCTTGTATTGTTAAACGAGTGACTGTAGTTGGCGCGTAATGATGATCAAGCTAGGGAAGCATGGAGAACGTCTAGAACAGCTTGTGCTCAAGGGTCATCTCCGACTCAGGCTGGAGACCAACACAGGCACGGAAGATGTTGATAAGAGCGGAGCGCTGCTTGCCCAGGGCGTTGACAACGGGGGTACCGGGAGGGGTCAGGGGAGCCTTGAGCATGTAGCTGAGAATGCTCAGGACGCTGTGGAAACCCTTGTAGTCCTCACCCTCGCTGTCAGACTGCCAGCTGATACGGGTCATCATCTCGGCGAGCACAACCAGGTCGATGATCAGGGGCGAGGCCAGAAGCGAGTCCTCACAGATGTTGAACAAGCTGATAGTCTGGTGGCCACCCATGAAGATCTCGGCGTAGTACTCATCCAGAGCACGCTTGTTGTCACCGACAGCAGGCATGTACTTGATGACGACAGTGTGGTCGGGGTGCTCATCCTTCTCGTAAAGGATGTGGTTGGCCGCGACCATGTCGTCCACAACGTTGGACTTGGAGATCTCCTTGGAGCGGAACTGCTTCTGGGAGCTCAGGTTCTTGCCGTCGTTGTTGCCCAAGTGGTTGTAGCTGGCAATGGAGGTGAGCTTGATACCAGCGTTGATCAGGAAGTCAACCAGGGCAGACTTCATCTTAGTCTGGCCAGACTTGAAGTCGTCACCGCCAATGAAGGCACGACGCTGCTCGGCCAACTGAAGGGCACCAGGGACAAAGGTGTTCTGGGGCGAGCCGTTGATGAACGGAGTGTCCTCGAGGATGGCAGCCACAGCGAACACGGTGGAAGGAGCAACCTCCAAGTGACCGGCCTTGATCGAGCTGATCAGGTTGTCGGCAGTGTCGTTGACACCGGGGATAATGTCGGCGTACCGCTCAGTGTTGGCAGTCCACATGATAATCACCTTGTCCAAGCCGTTCTGGGCCTTGAAGTCGCGAATGTCCTTCTGGATCTGCTCAACGTGAGCCCAGCAAGCCTTGTCACCCTTGATGACATTGTCGGCACGATCCTCCTGGTTGGCGGCGATGAAGTCGGGGTAGTAGATACTAGGCAGCGGCTTCATCTCGGCCATCTCCTTGCGGACCTGGTTCTTGAGGGTGGGTTCCAGCACCTGAGCGCGGTCCATGGACTCGGCGAGGTTCAGGCTGCTGATATCCCAACCGCCAATGGCCAGATCGTTAGGGTGGGCCATGGGGAGCAGGTCGTGGAAGGGGATGTTGATCTCCTCACCGGTCTTAGCATCAGAGCCCAACTTGACAGTCGAGCTCATGACGATAGAACCGTAGTAGTTGGAGGTCTGCTTTCCATCGCGGGTCTCCCAGGAGAGATTACGACGGTTGGCCAAAATACCAGCAGTCACGGTGGAACCGTTGTTTCCACCCCAACCGACAAGCATCATGCCGACCTTGCCAACCTTGCGGTTGACCTTGAAGTTGTAGTTGGTGGCCTTGGGAGTGGCAACCAACTTGTTATCCGCGGTGCGAGTGATCTCAGTAGTCTGATAGGCGTACTTCGACTTGATCTCGTCATCGGTGTAGACGACATTGGGGGACTGGACAGTAAACAGGGAAGATTCTTGGCGAACCGACCCGTTCAGCGCGCCATTGGCAGCATCCGAGCTAGCGTGAGGAGCCATTGCGTTCACAGCGGGATGAATAGGCAAATTTAGTGTAGTGTGTGTGATAGCGTAGCTTTAACGGATAAAGGGTGCGCAGTCCGATGCTCCTCCACGGTTGGATGAGCGTCGGCCGTTGAACGGGTGGTGCCGCCTGGGAAGGAGTTAGCAATTGGACTTCTGTATGATCATGGTTGCCTCCTATAGGCTGTGGGGAAACTCACGAGTTAAGACTTGTCGCGAAAATTGTGGCGGTTGTATGTGACCACTGTCTCGACGAGAAGTGATCTGACCTGCTGACAAGGTTTATACGAACCTAAAATAAACGGGCAAGAATAATGAGGATTGAGGATAGAGAGAGAAGAAGAAGAGAAAGAGGAAGTGGCAGGAGGGCGACTTTATGTCTCCGCCTGTCTCCGGGCCCTGCTCCACCGGTCCCCCGTCCCCCGGCTTCCCCTTTTTTCTCTTTTTTTTCCCCCTTTAACTTCAACCTATTTGTTGGCATTAATCTTATTATATCTTATTATTGGTTGTAATATCTCACCGTCTATTCTAAGGGGCTTCATTGTCTAACCGATACCGCAGTTACAGTCGATCTTTTCGTTGTTCCTGCATACGGAGTATAGCACACCTCTTTGTACTCCATGCTCCAGGTACTCCATGGTCCAGGTACTACCCCCTTCAGGTACACGGCCAATGCAATGTGATCCGCAAGTTTAGCACATGTAATTCATAAATCTCCAGTTTTTTTCTGCGCTGACTATGGGGCTCCGCTTCCGGCTTCCACGGGTTTCTGGCCTGGCCACCTGTACATTCCTTTCCGAATACGATATTCGGTGACGTATTTAGGGTTGTGAGGTTATCCATTTGACATATCTGGATTCTCAATCGAACATAGGCATTATATTGCCATTGCAATTGCAATTGGACTCATAAAATAACCTTGGAGTATACATCAGGCCACGAGCCCTCGGCTGAACCGTGCTGCACATCTGCACATCGGAGGGGTAGACTCCGCGGGGCAGAATGGCGGTCAGCCCATACACTCAACGTGTGCTTGGCAGACCTCCGGGGCTGGGTTTTGCTTTTATTATTTTTTTTTGGTTTTTTTTGGTTTTTTTTCTTGTTATCATTCGCTTATTACATACCGAGAAAGGATCTCGGGAATTGTACAGAGTAAAACTAAAATTGATGTTAATTTGCGGAGCTCAGGACCTTGGGAGACACCTGGGCTCCGACGGCTGATAACCTAAACTTATAACCTTCTAAGGTTACCTAGGTACAACTTTCCAAGGTTCCAACCTTGAAAGGCTTCAACTTACCACTCAAGGCAATAATCAAAGAATTGTTCAACTTTACTGTACTTTGTAGTAGAATCGTGAGATAATAATGGACCCTGAAATATTACCAGAGCCCCACAGCGGCAATATCTTCGCAATTTTAACTCTCCAGTCCACTAACGCGGCCTGTGCAGGATGTGAGCCACCGCAAGCCAAAGCCTGGTACTGCAGCAGAGAGTGCAGAAGGCCGACTTCGAAGTCCACAAGCTCAGCTGTGCGCCTACAACTGCATACAACTGCTGCTTAATCTGGCTTCTCTTGTTTCTGGCGATGCTCAGCTGACACACTTAATTGAGCCATTCCACCTCAAGTCTTATGGAAACTAAGGCCTCGAAATGAAGGAGCTCAAGGAATGGCTTGGCTAGCCGCAAGCTGATGAGGCTGGAAAATTCTATCCTCAGAAGGACGTCGATACATGGTACTACTATATGTATCCATCGGCCGGTCAAACCTTCCCAATAACAAGCTTTCCAGTCATTGCCTGGGACGAACTGTGATGGGCGATGTAGCCGTCATCAGATCGTGACCGGATAATGTTGATGATTACGAAGAGTCCATTACCAGAACGGACTTGAAAAAGACCATCGATTACTACAAGGCTGCAAACTCTCACGTGGTGTTCCAGCAGCGGGAACGCTCGAGACTTTCGCGGAAACTGGGGATGCCGGAGGACTTTTTGAAAGGTGTTTTCAACTTCAACTTCTAGGGTCGAAACCAGTGGGACTTGGCAATAGTGTGTCTGATTGTGTCATCTCTCATGTATTCTATGATTTGTTTCTTTTATGTTGCTTAATTGTGTTAGCGCTGCTTTATGCCTCCGTGGTTGTTGAGTGGGCATTTTCAATATTGTTCACTTCCGAAAACATAATCCGGTCTTCTATTACAACAAATCATGTCTGCAATTCATAGAGATGTCCATAGTATTGCCATTTCTTGTTGACCAAGCATTCCTGCAAATCCCGCCCTTGTTCCTATTGTCACAACAAATATTGATACTCTCAAACCTTTGGTGCTCCATCGTCTTTGTTCTCCAAAGGACAATCTCCCTGTGGTTGGCGATCTTTCAATTTCTTGGGCAACTGTTTGGCCACACGAACAGGATCTAACCAGCCCGTGGACATAATAAACACCTCATCTATATCTTCCAGCGACAAGCCTGCGGTTTCCGGGAAAAACAGATAAACAACCGGTATCATAGTAAAGTTCAGACAGGCAAAGATGAGAAAGTACTTCCATCCAATGGCATTGAAGGCGATCGGTGTGACCTCGGCGATCAAAACACTCAATGCCCAATATATGCTAGAGCCGATACCGTTGATGGTGGTACGCAGGCTGAGAGGTGCCACTTCGGATGCATAGAGAAACGGTATCCCACCAAAACCAATAATCATGCTGAAGTGAAAGATAAACATAAATACCACCGCTGCGTACATGGCAATGATGTTTGTCGACTGAGAACTGAGCGCAGCCACGAGGACCATGGCGATTGTGTTGGCCGTCGCACTTGACAACAATAAGAAACGACGACCAAATCCCTCTATGGTGAATACGCAGACGATGCCACCAAAGACACCGCAAAACTGATAAATTACCGCCAGAATCCTTGATGTTGTCGAGTCAAGGTGAAGGTGGGTTTGGAAAATCGTTGTAGCTAGTGGATCCATAAGCGACGGGCATTGGAATGGATTAGAAGATTAGAGTACGTACTGTAGAACGTGATAGAGTTGACACCTGTCAATTGTAACAACATCAATCCTCCTGTCGCAAGAGATGCACGATGACGGATTCTTTGATGTCCCATGTGGAATATTTGGAAGAAAGATCCTTTACCACCGGCAATAGCCAACGAGGACTCCACATCCAGTATCTCCTTCTTGACAACCTCACTGTCCATTTCAGTGTCCCTCAGGGCTGCTAATACCTCACGGGCAGCAGAGACATGGCCCTGCTGAACCAGCCAACGGGGTGACTCGGGCATATAAGAAGTAAATACAATCACAACTATGCAAAATATGATAGGCAGTCCGACTGGAATACGCCAGCTTGCGCTGTTGGGGACATATGACATCCCAAGATCGACGAGTAATCCCAGCGTAAGACCCATCGCGGCGAAGATGCCTGTGGTCGCAACATGCGCACCACGCTTGCTAGCTGGTGATATCTCCGATTGCCAGACCGGCACAGTGGCTAGTTGGCCACCATGACCCAGACCTAGGATAACTCGTGCTACCACAAGCTGAGAAAAGGTAAACGAACTAGCCATGAGGAAAGCTCCGATCAATTGCATCACTGAAGCGAGTATGATAGTTCGCCGACGTCCGAGCACATCGCCCAGTCCAATGCAGGCGATGGCTCCCAGGCAACCACCTGCTGCATACAAGGCCACCACAGTACCCTGCAAAGTCGATTTGTGGTGTTTTTCCGAAGGCAAGGCATGGCTCACATCGATTTCAGGAAATTGGGCCTCGAACCAGGGCAGGGTGAGAACTCCCCCTAGTAATCCTTGATTATAGCCTAAGGACATGATTGAAGGCATAACCACGCCAAGGAGTGCTGCATAGTTGAGGCGACTGCCTCGAAGGCCAAGAAAACGTGCCATTTAGCGTGCAATGAAGGTTTAAATAAAGTTGTGCTTAGACGGTTTCGTGTTAATCTGGAGGACTTTGCTAGGTGCGCATTTTGGGGTTAATCAGAGATCCTGCAATTGTGGGTGAATCCGATCCTTGCATATTTATTGTTTTCTTACATTCCAATTATGGGGCTCAGCCTCTAGAAACGCATGTTTTACCTGTTCAGCAAGGTGTTGATTAGCAGAGATATTTTGAGTTTCAGATAAAGATGATCTATGAATGTTGGAATATCTGCAAGGGGTACGCCATCTTATTGTTTGTTGAACTCTGGTATAAATCAATCTCAGCATAATACCCAGGTTGTATATATATGCAACATGAGGTTCAAGTAGATTTTCAATCCTTTATTCTTCGCGTAGATCAAGTGAAATTTAATGATGCGACTTTGTACCTCATCTGCACCTTCTGCCCGCCCCCAACAATGATGGAGTGGAAGAACATCTATGCTAGGGGCTACCGAGCAACCAATCAAGCAAGTGATCTAGTAGAAGATCTAATGGGGGATTACCAACAGTGTCTACCCGTAGTTAGCCATGTGGTTCAGGGTCGTCCATGTGATTCCAGGTATTGGGATCAAGAGCTGATCTGGGATGCGATCTATGCTCGTATACAGTGTTTCTAGCAGACGGCGGTGTTATCGATACAGTTAGATAATTCAATGGGTTTGGATATGTGGTTCAAGGAGTACATGTCAGTGTCGAAGCCACGACCTCGTTGGGCCATAGCATGAATGTTGACAGTTGGCTCTCATTCAGGGAACCGAGAAGTGTGTTGACTTTGTGTATCTCTCTTTCAAAGGACCCCCTTAGATACCATGTATCAATTAGAGTACTTGCCAAGTAAAAATGAGCCAAAATGACCAGTGAGTATCCACGAAGGCAGTTAGGTTCGCTTCTCCCAAGTGAAGCCAAGAATGGACTTGGAAGCTGGATCGGCCAGGACAAAATTGCCGCCTCTTCAAAATCCAACTGGATTTCAATGTCAGCAGGATTTTCGGTTGCTGCACACCGTAATATGGAGAGAATGCGTATATATAACGTGTCCAGGATGTCAATGGTCTCAGAGTGCGCTTCCACAACGGAGTCTAGAGTCGTGGACGACTCTGAAAGGTGAGATGTCGGCGTACCCGAGCAGCTGGATAAGTAATCCTTGACGGGTTCAAGCGTATGCAAAGAAGCCTTTATGTTTGCGACTGCTTGGCTGGCACCTTCGGCAAATTTAACTAGGCGGGGGGAGCAACGAGAAAGTCGAGATGATGGTGCAGCAATCGGTACATCGTGCCAACGCCCATCATACTGCGAGAACACAAGCATCTGCCGGAGCCGACTGCCTTTTAACACATGCCATTGGTCATGTAGAATAGAAGTTATCCCCCGGTTGAGGTATAACCAGTTGAGACGTAAGACATCATTTGCAGAAGAGGAATTTCCCGTGGCACTATCCATCTCTTCGTGGGTTCCAATAAGCGGATTAAGCTCCTGGACCTTAAGAGATGCAAAAGCAAACCCAACGAGAAGTACGGAGCCCGTAAAAACAATCTCAGCGTTGGAGGGAGAAATGCAGGACACCTCTTTCCTAAAGCCTTCTAGCCCTCTTTGATGATGTTCCATGACTATTGCTAAGTCCACCGTATCCAAACCTTCAGCGCTACCAGTCTTGTTGGCCTCATCCTGCTGGGTAACCATGTGGATTCCCCCTAGTGCTAGGAGCAGGTGCATCAGATGCCGATTTTTGCATGCAATTTCAGGGATGATCTGCTGCCAGACCATAGTTCTCCTCGGATGCGACGACATTTGTTTCGCAGTGTACGAATTGAAATACTGAAGGAGCTTCAAATCGTTCATCGGCAAGTCCCCACGCCCATGGCTATAATGGCTCGAGAAAATCGCTGGTAAAGTCGCGTCGAGCGGAGGACCTCCATCTGATGGAACGAAAGGATCAGATAAGGGATAGCCATCGTCATTCCCCGCCGCTTTTCCTCTAGGTCTGTGGGGTTTCTTCGAAGGGAGGCGTGGTAGGGGGTAAGAGCAAGGTTCGCCTCTGGAAGCGCATGTGCCGCAGGCGGGTCGAAGTTCATCACACTTAACTGGTCAGCTTCTGTCCGTAAGGAAGATGGGGAAAATAGGGCTCGAAGCGTACTTTGACCCTGCGTTGTTTGCAAGGATAGCAACCATTGCGAGACTTGGTGTGGCGGATGCGATGTCTTCTCATAACACGTTGATTGTGCGCAGATGTGTCGGAAAACACCAAATCATCCATTCTTGTAATATGAGTTTCTGAAGGAGACAATATCCATAATTTGCAGCATTTGTGTAAGGCTGGAGCCTACCTCTGTAGCTAGTAGGCTAAGTTAACATGCGAGTGGCGAAGCAGTCATTCTTTGTAAGGCAGACGTTGACAAGTGAAAACCTTGTTTCCCATTCCGGCCACAACACAGAAAACTCGTCTAGAGCTGAAAAGTCCCATATTGACATCGCTATTCAGTTTCTCCCGTTGATTTTTTCTATAATCACTACACATAATCAACGTGTTTCAGATGGACAGAAAAGCAACACTATAGAACCTTACCTTTTCACACTTGACTTGAACTAGTTCGGACATCTCCTATTTGCGAGTTATAAACTCCACAGCGGACGCCTGCCGATGGCTCAAGAGGCCACTAAATTATGATAGTTTGGGTAGATCTGGTAGACCCACTCGTATTCTTATTCGAGGGAAATTTATGTACTTATGTGCATACATGTAGGCAAATACGAACACGACATTTCGTTCCTTGCTTCTCGTCTATCTCAACAACCGGATCGCATGAACTAAATTGAGAAACCAAAAAAATCTATAGAAATACAAAGGTATTTTGCAAAAGAAAAAAAAGGAAGATTGAACAAGATAATTTCACACGCCACGATAGACTCCATCAGGTTTCACTGTCTGCTCATTCGGGGTGCGAGTCAACTCGTAATCCGGGCCAACGGCCAAAAATCGAGTAATTTCATATGGATGAGCAATATTGAAGATAACCATTGCAACGAAGATAAGCAGTGAGTCAAAAACATACAAGTACATCTCATGACGCAAAAGATAACCATTATTGCCCTGGATGTATTCCGCAAGTCGAAAAAGCGAGCGCACCAGGATCAGAAAACTGGTAGCATAGAGGATATTAAGATGTTTGCGCCAGGGGATCTCCCGATCGAAGCAGCGAGGGATAGGGTATTTGCGCAGCTTCAAGTCAAATAGGCCAGCGACAATAATGAAGAAGCCAAAGAAGATTATTTGGACAAAAAGACCGACGATGATAATGCGCTCGCCAGTCTTCATGCCGTCGAGCCCCCCGCTACTCTGAATGCCGCCACCTGGATATATAGTCAGATAATCCCATCTCATCTCTCATTTCTCTCGAGAACACATACCGGCGCCTTGCAGAAGGAACGACATCACGTCGCCGGTCACGAAAATCTTGGTAAGCCACTTCTTTTTCAAAATGGCATGTGATTCTGCCTGCAGCACAAGAATAATCCGGCCGAGCAACATGTAGATCGAGGCTGCTAAAAGAGCTGGGGCGAGAAGCAGACAGAGTGTCTGTATTATGTAGGGACCTAGCGTCCAATCCGGACTTTGTTTGCTAGACAAGGCACGCCCTATATACCCAACAATCTCAACTACTTGTGTTAGCACAAGTATAAAAAGCAGATAAATCAAGGTTGCACGTACAAAGACCACCTATTGCGTAGGGAATAAAAAACCAAGTCTTGACTTTGAACATCTGGAAGATGTGGTAGAAGGTTGTGCCCATAAAAAGAATCGCAAAAAGGACGGCACCGCCCATGCTGGGGTCATAGCGATAAAAAGCGAAGTTGACTTCTTCATCAGAACGGATCGATGCCACATTACTCTGCATTCTGAAACGATTGGCTTGGTAATTGTTGTGGTCAAGAGAATTTGAAAAGTATCGAGATTCGAATGCGTAATTTCAAGCTTCACTGAACCTTTGGCAATGTTTTTGGTAGACATGTCTTATATACTACTTCTATAGAAGCCAGAAGTTGACACTCAATATAAAAATAACTCTTGGGTGAATTTTTATCGAATCACGTATATCCTAGGGCGAGACGGTGGAAACGAGTACGGGTGGGTCAGCGGCAAAACGAACCTCAAGATATTTGGGCTTAGATGATTCCCTCAGGTAACCACAAATCTAATTAGATAAAGACCCGCCCCAACTGAATGGCGACTGGCGAAACCGAGAATGCGAATACGGGTGGGTCAATTACGGCCTCGCCGCATGTTAGTACCGATTCACCTACATGGCAATGGCATCTTGAACCACGGATACAATCAGCAAATCATGAGAAAAAAAATCATATCTGGTTTCCCCTGAATACGGTTACGACACTTGAAGAGATCCATATATATACTGGACTCGCCCGGTAAAAAAATGCATAATCACTTACCACCTGCAGGCGCCCATTCAAGGCGACAAACATTGGACAATCTCCTTAATTCTTTGAATCGCCTCCTCTCGGTCGAGGTATATTTAATCACTCTGACAGTTGGTTGTATTCGATTACAACCTTCATTTATCATGGCCTCCAACACGGGTGGAAAGGTAGACTTTGAACTATACCGCTATACACCTTCTCTCGTGGCTGCAATCCTGTTCACTGTTCTGTTTGTGCTCGCAACTTTCTATCACCTTTACCAGGTCGTTCGTACACGATCCTGGTATTTTACAGTCTTTGTCACCGGAGGAGCCTGTAAGTTGGCCCAGTCTCACTGCCACCGCTTCCCAGTTCCCTCATGATCTTCACCGAAATCCATAGCGTTGCTAATGAGTGTTGCAGTTCAAATCATAGGTTATATCTGCCGTGCGCTAGCCCATAACGACAAAGAGAATGTCCCGCTTTACTCAATTAGCACTATCATGATACTTCTTGCTCCTCCTCTCTATGCAGCCTCGATATATATGACTCTCGGTCGTCTTATTGTGCATTTGGACGCTGAGAATTTAAGTGTGGTGCCAGTGAAATGGCTCACCATAATTTTTGTCTCTGGAGACGTGATCGCGTTTCTGATGCAAGCAGCAGGTAAGTAATCCCCTCTATCCACACACTCGTCCCGGTCGATCAAAGCTAATCATGAATGAAGGCGGAGGGATCATGGCAAGTGGAACTATTAGCGCGATGACCACCGGCGAACATATTACGATTGGCGGTCTCGCCGTACAATTGGTGTTCTTCACCGTTTTCATCATAGCTTCAACAATCTTTCACTACAGGATTCGCAATAATCCCACCGAGAAGTCTGTCGGCCCATCACGCTCATCTACAGTACTACAAATGGCTACTTGGGAAATCGTCATGGTCGGGCTATACGTGGCCAGCATTCTGATTCTCATTCGGTCGATTTTCCGACTCATTGAATACGCCCAGGGCAACAATGGGTACCTCATCAGCCACGAGGCGTTCCTATATGTCTTTGATTCAACGTTGATGTTATTCACCATGGTTGCGATGAGTATTTTCCACCCATCGAAGATTCTTTCTCGGCCAACGAAGCCACAACGTGCTTCGAGAAGGTCGCGTTCAGCAAACAAGGAGTTACCTCCGACAAGAGAAGAGGTCTAGATTGCCAGTATATTATGAAAAACGTTGCCGGATTTTGTCACGGATTTTGGGCATATAAGGCCTAGAGTTCCTTGACTGAGCTGGAGAGCGGATATTGGTTTCAGGTTTTAGTTACATAGTTCTGAGAGCTTGTCTCTTCCATCAACAACCTTTCCCCCTCCCCCTTTTTCTCTCTACTTATAGATGGGCTTATAGGTTGCTGTTCCATCCTAGAATTTGTCCGACTAGTTAAGTATAATTGTAACAAGCTTCATATTGATCGCTCGAGCGAGGGTATTTGTGGCTGCCTCGTGGGCTTCTGATGGTACCACTTTGATCAACCCAGCGGTCCCTTCCCATTCGAAGCGGTGATTGATCCCTCCCAGGCTGTTTTGGTGCTCTTCGTCGAGCTCTTGAATCGGTCGTGTCGACAAATCGAGGATAACAATCCACTGGTTGTCATTTCCTTTCTCTTTCAGAAACTTCAGCAGCTGCTATGCTTCAACCCGCAGGCCTTCGAGGCGTGAAAATGTCCGCACAATATGCTCTGGGGAGGGTTTGGGAAGCAGCTGCATGACGCTTGGAATCATCGTATCGAAAAAGACTACATGTGTCTCAAAAGACCATGTATCTAAAAAGACATGCAAAAAGATATATAAAAAGACACATAGAAAGACATATAAAAAGGCTACCTGAGGAGGTTACCTGAGGAGACTACCAAAAAAGACCGCCAAAAGAGACATCTAAAAAGCCTATCCGAGAAGACTACCATAAAAAACCACCAAAAAAATACTTGACAAGGCCGTATAAGCGGCCGACTATTCTTGTAACGATATCGTTACCATATTGTGGCACCGGATTAAATCCCCCGCAGTGGGGAACTTCCCCGACGGAAGTGGTGAAGAAAATCAACACCTCCGTCATGCCCGGTGCGAAAAACCCCCAATGCTGGTAAGAATCGGCCTAGATGATCTTAGCACATTTTGACACTTGATGTCTGACTATATCTAGCGATCCATGTCGTGTGCTTCACCATAAATGTAATACCGCTTTACCCCCCAGAACCAGCTCTCCGCTAACTATCATAGGCGACGGGATCTTGCCACAATGCAGCCGATGCATCCGCACAGGTCGGGAATGCACTCGAGGTAAAAAGGAAACCAAATTTCGACAGGCAAAGGGCCGGACGACGCGCACTAAGTTTCCTAGCAACCAAGTTTGGCTTCGGCCACCACCTAGAGGTTGGATCCTGCACCCGATTTCCTTGAGACTAGTCTGACATCAGGCCATTATATAGTCGACTTTGTACTCGAGAGCGGAAGTGGTCAAGTGGATAACTCGACCGAGACGGCAACCGATATTCTGTCACCTGCCGGGAGTTTGCATAGTCATGCCGACTCTATTCCTATACCGGAAAGGCTGTCTCCCGGGTCCTCATATACCGCCCCGTTGCCGCAATATGGCTTCTCGAACCATCAAGTACATATGAGGAATAGTGATGTTTCGCCAAAACTCCCGGTGGTGGGTACACCTGAACGATCATACCAGCGGCCATGGCCCTTGAGAGATCCCGAGGAGGCGCGTTTATTCCAACATTTTGTGGATAATGTTGCATGCTTCGTAAGTGCTGATTTTGATCTTTTGTTCTACATGATGAACCGTAATCTGACTACGATATCAAGTTCGATTGCACGGATCGCCAGCAGCATTTTGCCATCCATATCCCTTACCGAGCACGCCGGTGCGAGACATTATTCAATGCAATATTGGCCATGTCGGCTCGTCATTTGAATCGCACGACAGCTTTTGACCCTTTTGTGTCAGACCACTACTACCAAGCATGTCTGGAGAAGTTGATTCCCGCGCTAAATGACCACGGTGTTACTATGGATGATGATTTGCTGGCTGCTACGGTAATTCTACGCTTGCTGGAAGAGTTTGATGGTAAGTAGTGGACTCCTTCCCCCATATGTCAAGAATCCTGTTAACGACAATCATAGTCCCACTCGCGGGGTCCGATATTAGAGGCCACTCCTTCGGGACAAAGGCTTTCATACGGTGCCCATCAATGATGACCACAACCCCAAGTCTACGGCAGGCTGTCTACTGGAGTGGCCTACGCCAGGAGATTTACAATGCCCTTAGCCTCCACCAAGCCCCAGACATTGAGCTGAGGTCATTGGACTTGAATTCACACTTTAACTCGCTGGGCCCTGATGCAGGTGATTGCGCATGGGCGAACCAAGCAATCACTCATTGTGCCCACGTTTTGGTGTTTTGTTTTGGGGAAGGACCTCGCTCGGCGGCTGTGCATGCAGAGCTTAAGGCACATAATCAGCAATGGAGCGAGACTCGGCCGGACTCTTTCGACCCTTACTTTGTGGGCGAAGACGTGGAGGTGGGAACTAAATTCCCCGACATTCGTTACGGGTGTCCCTGGCATGGTACGTATCGGACGATATTTTAGGAAGCGGCGAGCTATTTAGGATATGAGCTAAGGCTAATCGCTTGGGACTATAGCAATCGGCAATCAATACATCGATCTTGCCCAGATTCTGCTTTCTGTGCATGATCCAACTCTGCCTACGGTTGGACCTCTGCGCAGGCGTCTGATTCAGGAGGCTGACGTAAGTGTCTGATTCCGATATACATTAAGCACTCAAGCAGAGACTGACATGGGTTCAGGATCATATCCGCAGGGGAGTTTGGACAGTATGTGGCGCTTCATTATCCAATGCCTCTGTGCCCCCAGCCATGGTTGTCGGGTGCATGGCCATCCATCTCTGTAAGCAGCGGAAACTACTGTCAATACCTTCTAGTGAGAGGCTGACCAGGACCACAGGCGGCGATCGCTTCACGGACCCACATGAACAGGACCAATTGATCCAGGTTCTTATCCAAACTGATACACTACACGGCTGGCCAACCCATGCGCTCCAGCGACAGCTTCGGGAGACGTGGGGCATACGTTGACGTTGGTACTAAAATGTAAGTAGAAGAGCGAGAAAGAGCACGAGAGAAAGGGGCCGTGTCTGAGCTGGAGGGACACGTGCGACAGATGATCGTCCCTCTCCCGCACGCAATCAAAAGCCCCATACGGGGTAGCACCTCGTCCATTTCTCACCTCGTCATCGTACGCGTTGTGCGAGGTTTCAAATGGTGATCAAAACACCCGGGGTTGGCGCGTTAACTCTTGCAACGACCTAAAAGGTAGAAACGTACCTACAAGGTACCCTGTACGGAGTACGGAATATGTACTTCTTCTTTCGGCCAAGTGCCAGGGTCTTGCATGATCCGTGGCGCTGAGCGTGGCAACCAGTGGCCAGTAATAGGAGTGGGTTCGGAGGGAAAAAAATGGCCCCGCGGATCGCCAGCACGGGGCGAAAAAGCACAGAGTTGATTGTTTTTCGCTGTGTTCTAAGAATACCCCGACAACCTTCGGGATTATTGCCACATGATCTCAGGGGTGTGCGTTTGCCAGGAGAGGATTTTGATTTTAGAGCGATCATGTCAACATCCATTCAAAATCCAGATCGAGAGATAACCCCTGGAGTTCATCCCCACTGATCGAAAGATTGCAAGCCTCAAACATCACCTGGGCAATGTGATTGGTGCTGGTGGAGGATCAGACACCAGGTACGGACCAGTCGCATTGCAAGCTGAGTCTAATTTTCCATGGTGATATGCATACGTTCCCTGTGCACACGGTATTTTGGCTCCACCATTTGGGTTAGGAGAAAATAGAAGAATTTAGTGATATAGTGGAGATTGCAATATATTGTAGAGAGAGGCCTTCATCAGAACTATTTATCTATACGACAAACTCCGTGTATCACACATCTAATTATTTATACTCCGTAGATAATATATGATAATATAGAACTAATATCATAATATATTATAATAATCCTCGGAGTAACAAATGTAACCCCTGAACACAGTTACGCACCCCCTTTCCGCACTGGAGACGCTAACCAGACTAGCGTGTTTTCCTGGTCTGGCAAGCAGTCTTCCCCCCCCCCATACAATCGCTAATTCTCCCGGGGATCTCAACTTCAGCTTTTCGTTAGACTTGCTCTAGAATAGTCTTCCCCATATCTCGAGGGGATATGGCCCACTGAATTCGATGTTCAGGATCTTTGATGGCTTCAATGAACATGGGCATATTGCCCACCATAAAATGCTCCAATTGTGGGTGCAACGTCGAGATCTCCTCTATGGGGGATCATACTTGCATTCGGAATGATTTTGGTAGGCTTTGAATATTCAACATGACCCTGAGTCTACGTGCTGACTCTATAGCTCCAGTCGCACCTATCCCATCACCGCCTCCATCGGCGGGATTCGAATCGGACCGATTCATAGAGGCAAAGGTTGGCCGGGGGCTCCCCCGGCCATAGACCCCTCCGCTGCAAGTATGTCTCAAATCCCCATGTGGACACTTCAAGGGATCCGCGACTAACCCTACATATAGATCGAGCATTTTTGCAGCCAAATATGCCGACACCAGCCAACAGTGTCCATCTATCACCCCTCCCTGCCAGTCCAGCACCTCCATCTACTGTGCGCCCGTCTGAGCACAGTCTGACCGATGATTCGGTCTTCTCATTCCCCATGCCTGGAAACAGGTCGCCGACTGAAGTGAGGACACCGAGTCCAATGACGGATCGGAATCAGCTTAAATCACGACCACCAGTATCGCCGGGACAAGGGCTGGGTTTGATGCCAGAGAATATACAGCTTCCGCCTAGTCCACTGCCACCTAAATTCCCCGATACGAATCATCACAGGGGGGAATCGGCGGTGAGCAACAGCAGCTACCGGAGCTCTTTCGCCAGCAGTCGCTACGGCGATTCCACAACGAGGTCATCAACCAACAGCCTCTCGCGTGGTTTCCGGTCATTTATGGACGACACCCCACCAGTGCCACTGGCACCTCTCCGCACCCCCAACAAGACTTCTTTCCCCCGTGATTCCAATCTCTCGGTGGTTTCATCCCGGATTAGCAAGGAAGAAGCCAGTGGCTTCGACTTTGGTATTCCCAGTGGCCAAAATCCGACCACCGGACTACAAGATCTCCCGGAGGAACCCCCTTCGGCCCAATTCCAGGATCATACTGAATATGTCGCTTTCAATCCTGCACAAACCCACCTCCACCCTGCAACAGCGGCAACAGAGCTAGGTAGCGATGCGCCAAGGAAGAACTCTAACGCAAGTACGACAAGTGCATTTTCCGTCACTAGCTTCGCCCGGGCTCTCGGTCTGGAGGACCAAATGAATCACTCCGAAAGCTCTGGCTCTGATTCATCGCCGTCCGATGCCCGCAGTGGTAGTTCAATGTCCAGTCTTCCCTCCGATGCCAGCTTGAACCGACACAAACCCACCGATCCGCTCAATCTAGGACCCTTGGTGGAAGAACTGCCCGCCCGGACCCGACAGACGATTTTGGAAGTACCCGGCCGTATACGGAGCACTATGGAAGATGTCCCTCCCATCCCGGCTGCTTTCTTCAGTCCGGATTCCCCTACCGACCCTTCCATCAACCAAGGTGGCGTGTCGTTGATTGCAGAGAGGAAAGAAGCACCGCCGACTCCGACCCCAACCCAACTAAAACAATCTATCCCCCGAAAGCCACCACCACAACGCTCATTTACAGCACCCCTACCACAACCACAAACACCAACAACACCAACCAGGTCCGCAACACGTTCGAAAGGGAAGTGCAAAGGTTGCAATGAGACAATCACAGGAAAATCAATATCATCCTCGGACGGCCGTCTCACAGGTCGGTACCACCGTGGCTGTTTCGTTTGCTTTGAGTGCCACTCTCCCTTCCAAACAGTCGATTTCTACGTCCTCAACAACCGCCCCTTCTGTGCGCAACATTACCACGAGCGCAATGGGTCCCTTTGCGCCGGCTGTAACACCGGCATCGAGGGCCACTATTTGGAGACTGTTGAGCGGAACCCTGCACGGCCAGATCGCCGTCGATTTCATACCCAGTGTTTGCAGTGTCGTACATGTCACGTCCTTCTCAAGGGCGACTACTTCGAGTGGAATGGCGAAGTCTTTTGCGAAAGAGATGCTCGCCGAGCCGCTGCTGCCCACCACCCACCACCACCTCCTGGTCCTCCTGGTCCTCATGGTCGTCGCCGGCCCACACTACCCTCGTCTCCCCTCGCCCAGTCTGGCCAATTCCCACCGGGCCCGTACCCTCCACCACCTGGCGGAAGACCTGGACCTGGACCTGGGCCTGGTCTCCATCCCGGTCCCCGATTCTCCCCTGGAGGTGGAGGACGGTTCCCCGAACGACGCACTACTAAGCTTATGATGATTTGAGTAAACCACCTTCCTCATTCTTCCTTGTTATGAACCTTGGAAAGCGCCGAGTTGCTCATTCGTCCTTTCCGCATCTACCGCGGATTCTATTGCCCACTTTCTTCATTCCTTTATACATCGCGATATACCCTCTGTGCTATCTCACCCATTTACTTTCGCTGGCAATGGCGTTGATCGTCTGTTTTTCCCTTGCATCGGGGCTATCCTTCATCTGTATCCATTAAAAACGCCCCATTGACATGTTTTGTGGTTTTTGGGCCATCATCCGGGGTGGTGTATTTTGTTGATTTTTCCTCATGCCGAAATGTTTCTAATGTATTCTCTATCGGCTCGGTGTTTGGCGAGTTGTCTCTTGTACAGGATTTACAAGTTTAATGGACATAAGACATGTCTTTTCTAAGTTCCATCAAAATCATGCCTCATTATATCATTAACCATTAATATGCCATCGCACCTTAGTGAGATGCTATGCAATTATATCGACTTGTGTTCCTCAAACTCTAGTCGCTCAACAGGAGTAAGGTACTTGCGCTTCAAGATCCATCCAAAGCAAATGACATAAAGCGCCACAGCAATGATCTGGATACGTTGTCTGAAAGTGATCCGATCTAAATTGGGATTCGGGACACTCAATACACCTTTATGTTCCTTCTCCCAGCCCTCACAGACCTGCCGGAATCGACCGGGCTCGTCGGAAATGACGCCGTCGATCTCGTGTCGGATACACCAACGCATTAGGTTCGGCGCATTCACCGTCCAAACATAGACTCGACGGCGGGCTGCGCGCGCCTCGTCTAAAAACCCTCGCCCTAGCGGGCCCATCAAGATCATTTGGTTGATACTGAAGGATATAAGAGGTACTTGGAGGAATTGGCGCGCATAGCTCAAGTCCAAACATATGAGCGTCACTGCATACCGTGGCAAGTGCTTTGCTCGTGCGGGTAGGTATCGTGCAGACCAGCAGCCGAGAACGATTCGTCGGTGCCAGTCGGGGCCGATCGCGGGCATAGGGACTGACTCGATGGTTTTGGCAATTCTTTCCATTATAGCGAAGGGTTCATTGGTGAGCTGGGAAGTGGGTTAGATGTTAACTTTCCGAGAAAGACAACGTGCGGGTTGGGGGAATAGCTTCGCTACCTTTATATCTAGCAAGATCCAAAAATTCTCCCGACCTGGTTGTCTTAGGTATTCCAACACATCGACCAATCGAGGCATCGGTTCATGGGGGGCTTGTAAAGTTCGCAGAGTTTTTAAATACTCCCAGTCGCAGTCGGCGACCTTCTTCTTGATGCCAAAACAGCGCATGAGGCTCGGGTCCTTGGATCTATGAGCGTTGTCCTAGATCGTGGAGTGTGTGCACCTACGTGTGATAACACCACGATCCCATCGCGGGAGATATGAAGGTCGAGCTCGAGGGCGTGAGCACCTGCCCGGATTGCGCCGTCAATTGATAATAGAGTGTTCTCGGGATATTGGCCTTTGAACCCTCGATGAGCAATGGCTTGAGGTAACCGCGGGGAGGCGCGGGCAACCGGCGAGTGGTGGAAATGAGCTTGCGGGGAATGAGTTAACTTGACAACGCCGATGTGGGAGGTTAGGTACGCACCTGGAATTTCATGCGAATGCTCTTCTGGTTCTAGAGGTGATGCGTCGCCCATTTTGAAAGGATTTGTGAGAGTTGAAGAAGAGAAGAATGGAGAACGGGTGATCGAACAGGGCCATCGGAGTTTGGCGGAGATAGGCCCCGCTGCACGGTCTACTGTGTACTTTCATGTTCGCTCGCCGGACTTTAAGTTCTCTCGTGCGGGACAAGACCAAACGATTGGAATCAGCACTTAGAGAGATCAATATGGTCATCGGCTGAGAGATAGCAGCCCTGGAGCCCTGGAGGGCTGGATCAAGGTTGGTCGACCACCTCGATTACTCAGCACCTCCAAGGACTGCCGAGGTGGATGACGAGGTGGGTCCATATCTCCAAATTTCTCCAACGGGATTTATAACCCCCTTAAGTCCTTAAATTGTTGAGTCCTTTTCAACTGAATCTGTTCTGCAACTAGAGTGGTGAAAGAATGGCCGTTCGACAATGGATCACGCCCTTGAAGGGCATTGACAGCCTTAGCCAGACCGAAGCTCCAATGCCCACACCAGGACCGAGCGAAGTATTGGTAGAGATCCGTGCTGTCTCTCTGAACTACCGCGACGTGGAAGGTAAGTCGCCCGCCAAGAACAGATGTACAGGATTCATGCTGACCGCGTCTTTCAAAGTGACCAAGGGCGAGTATAAACATCACAAAACCGCCGAACAGGATGCCACCATCGTGCCCTGCTCGGACATGTGTGGAGTGGTGACGCAGGTTGGATCTGGCGTGACTAAGTGGTCAGTCGGCGACCGGGTACTTTCGACTTTCCTGCCCGATCACCAAACCGGCCAGGTGACCGAGAAGGAGCTTAGCAGGAGTCTGGGGCTGCCGCAGGATGGTGTCCTCGCAACTCACCGCGTGTTCCCTGATTACGGCCTGGTCAAAGTGCCTAGCTACATGTCAGATGAGGAGGCGGCTACGCTTCCCGTCGCTTCAGTCACGGCGTGGATGTCCATCAATGGCATGCGGCCGATAGGGCAGAGCGGCGGGAAGGACGAATATGTCTTGCTCCAGGGAACTGGTGGTGTGGCTATCGCCGGACTGCAGATTGCAAAGGCCTCTGGCGCGAAGGGTGGGTAATGGGATTCATTACCGTTTATAGGACGAAAATGCTGATCTTGTAAACAGTTATTATCACCTCCTCGTCCGATGCCAAATTGGACCAGGCTAAAGAGCTAGGTGCTGATTTTACTATCAACTACCGCACCAACCCCAACTGGGAAGGTGAAGTGATGAAGGTGACTGAGAACCGCGGTGCTGATATCATCTTGGAAGTTGGCGGTGCCAAAACCTTGCGGAAGAGCTTTGATTGCATCGCGTTCGGAGGATTGATCAACTGCATTGGCTATGTCTCAGGCAAGATAGATGCCGATGAGGACCGCCTGAATGTCAACCTGCTGACTCTCCGCCGAACGGTGACACTCAGAGGAATTATCAATGGTCCTAAGGATCGGTTTGAAGAGATGATCTGTTTCTACGAGACAAATCAGGTTCACCCAGTAGTTAACCGCGTCTTTTCGTTTGCCGAGGCCAAAGAAGCATTCAGGTTCCTGGAAAGCGGCAAACACTTTGGCAAGGTAGTTATCAAGGTTCAATAGAGCGCTGGAGCTTTGAATATCATCAAAATTCATTGTCAAATTATCCCAGAAAAAGTGAGAACGTTCACTCCTGATCATTGTGACTCGGCTTGATTTCTCCAGCCCCAATTCCCAGATCTTCTCCCAATTCCTTCCCAGCCACAGTCAGTTTCTTGCAATCCTGCAGCACGAACAGGAGACGGGCCCATTCTGTCTCGCTGGTGTTGCGCCACCCATGCATCGTAGCCCGCTGTACCGCAACATCCCCTCGGTTCATAATGACTGGCTCGCTATCTTCCAAGATCATTTCAACCTGCCCTTCGAGCACCACTCCGTAGTCGAGACTCTGCGTCCGGTGCACTACAACAGGGTTGTTGGGGGCGAAGTCCACAATGCGGCATACGCTTCCACCAGGGTTAACGAGGCCCAGCTTGTCCGATTGTGTCAATGTCTCGTGGGTCTTGATGTCTGCGTCATCGTTGAGATCTGGGTTGAATTGGTTCGTGTAAACAACATTGAATGCCATCTTGCTTTCTCCAAGTGATTTCCATTCAGCCGGTGTCGAGGAATGGATCACTGCTTTCCCGGACTCATTGTGGCCTGTGATATGCCGAGTGACGGCCGGCAAAGGCGATACTTGGCTGGTATTGGATGCCATTATTTATAGGATGGAAAGTAGGGTTGGATGTGTGAAGCTGATGGAAGCAGATAGACGTACAGAGTACAACGTGAGCCCTCGGAGGGTTTTGTATACTCTCGATCCACGTGATGCGGGGCAGGTGCATGAAAGCTTGGTCAGCGGTGAGCTGAATGAGAATCCCAAAATTGCGCGCATTCCTTGCTTGATGCGGGCGTGTTCGAAAGCAACTAACATGTCAGATCCGACTGAGAGATTGTCAATTCGGTTGCCACTTTGGGCGAGGACTGCGGGCCCAATGGCTGATAATTGTGAGATCAGTCACATAAAGGAAAAATCAAAGAGACAAATGTTGCAGAGATATTCAGCTACGTTGATGTGCATCGATGCCAGTGATCCTCCCGAGGTGGCTTAAGGATTCTCTCTCTACCTTCCACGGGTAGGGCTGCCAGCACTACCTCACTTAGCACGCCAGGCCCGCCTCCAGGGCTACCTAGGTAGGGGGCATTATTAAAGCATTGGAAGGATTTTGGCTTAGCTAATTATCTCAACGGACTTCGGGAGTACCCCTTGGTTTAATATAACTTCGATTGTTCTATGCCGACCCATTGCAGATAAGGACACAAATTCGGCCCACGAAGAATCCCTCGATGACATGTCCAACGTGGTATCTCGACGAGTCATGCACATATAGACCGATGCTAAGATGGCGATGGTGATGGATGAAAGGCAACAGATGAAATCCGCCGTAGGACCCAGCGAATTTCATCGGCGACTCGTTCAGGCTCGGTGATCTGAATATTATGGCCACTCTGGGATGTTGTGGAAAAGCGCGCGGTGGTCGACAGATTCAGGAGCTCACGTTGAAAAGCCTCCTCGCCGTGGTCCCATTGGGCTAGATAGTCGCGAAAGGTCGCTCGCTGGGCGTTAGTTCCCAACCCCAGGGCCACGCCCCGATGGTACATCCGCTCCTGGTCCCGGAGAGAATTGCCACGGAGCACACTGAGCGGCTTACCGTGCAACAAATCCCGACCGGGGCGAAGTTGCTGCTTCTGGGCTAAGACGCCGCGGCTGATCTGCAAATAGGGCAGCTCCCGGACGGCCTGGCGTGCGTGATGAGGGCTGGCTTCCTCGGCCATCAGCTCCGCCCACTCGGACTCAGTCAGCCCGTGATCACGGTGCAGCCCCACGACCTCCATGTAGTCCAGCCCCGCCGTGGCGGCGGTGATGTTGGGATCGGGCCATGTCTCGAAGAGCATCCGTTCCTGCACGGCATCCACCAGCACGATCCCGCAGATCGCTTCGGGCCCGCGCGCGGCCAGGAACTCCCGCGCGAGGATCCCGCCCCAGGAATGGCCAACCACTAGGTACGGTGGTGGGAGTGCCGCAGCGATCAGCAGCCTAGATAGCTCGTCAACAATGGTCAAAGAGTCTGGCTCCACCGTTAAGCACGCTTCGCTCTGACCGTAGCCGGTCCGTTCGTATAGGAGCATGGATGCCTCGTGCTCGAGATGGCGAGACACCGCGCTCCATTCTAGTGCGCTGCTCGTTATCCCGGTGAGTACCACCACTAGTGGAGCGCCGGGATGCCGAGGAAGGCCTCGCAACGCGTAGCTTAAGGAGTGGGTTCCGATGTCAGCGGTATGCCGGAAGTGTTCCATGGTAGAGGGTGACGGGTGGAGTATGTGAACGAATAGCTGGATGCAATTTAATTTAACCCAAGGAAAATAGTGAGCCCAAACACCAGAGCTAGGTGGTTTTTAGACGACGGAGTTCCTGGCTCATCTTCTTATCGTCTTTGGAAGTGACCTTGGAATTAAGTAGCCTTAACATAAATGAGTCATGCTGTAGGTGTCAGCAAGAGCAGGGAACACGAGGCTTATTGAAAGATGGATATTCATTTTGCATAACCAAATACAGCTGTGATGTTTCGACCTTCCTTTTACAAAAACCATCGGAACTCAGCAGATGCCGGTCCGTCTCTCATTCGCTCCGTTGGAATATCCCGTGCCCGAATCGTGACTCCCTCCCTACGGTCGCGTCGCTTGTTATCCAACCACATATAGAGAGCTAGTGAAGCCGTCAAGCAAGCGCCAGTAGCACCGAAAGCAGCAACGCTGATCAGCGCCGGGGTATACTTGGGTGCGTCTTGCTTCCGGAACAAGTTGCTGCTCACCAATCCCATCAAGTTGGCCAATGGCACGCCAATACTCGTCAACAGTACACGGCGACCCTCGTGGGCGATGTTGTTATTATACCAGGTGCTGAGCATCACGGATGGGGCAGACGTTCCCCAAGTCATCATGAAAGTCGCGAAGTAGGCGACCTTTATGTCATTCTTGACATCACCAATGGATGCATAAATCATGAACCCGGAGAAAGTAAGCAGGAAGCCCAGAACAATGAATGGCGATCGGAGTCTGGTCCAATCAGAGGAGAAGGCGAGCACCAGTAGCATCACTGCTCCCGTCACGTTTGGTGCAACGGTGTACAGGTTGGTCTTGACGGTGGGATAACCCAATCCCCCGACGATCTGCGGCATGAAGAGCGCGACACCCTGCAAAGGCACACCGAGACAGATTTCAATGCACAAGAAGGCGTATGTAGTGGGGTGCTTGAAGATGCCAAGGGCCTCGCGAAAGTTAAACTCCTCGTTGACCACTGCGCTGGAGTCGACTTGGATTCGGTGGAAAGCTAGCGCCTTCTCCTCCACGGACAAGAACTTCGCCTCGGCGGCGCTCCGTGGGAGATATAAGAAGGCAAATATAGCGAATAGAACAGTGACGCCGCCCTCAATAATGAACAGGTAGCGCCAATTGGGAATATTAGATCCCTTGATCTGGAACACTCCAAATGCAATGAGTCCGGAGAAAGCGTTTGCAATGTTCGACGCAGCGTAGAAAACAGCCAGGCGACGAGCCAGCTCGCCACGACGGTAGAATGTGGTCAGGTAGTAGATCACCAGCGGGAAGAATGCAGCCTCGGACATGCCCAGGAACCAGCGCAAGGCGAACATGCCACTGAAATTGTAGGCGGCCGAAGAGAGCATCGTGAATGAACCAAATGAGAACATCAGGATCGGAAGTACACGCGCTGGACTGAATTTCTTTCCAAGCATCGAGAATGGCGGTGCAAATATCACGAATGGAACAAAGAAGATCGATAATAGGAGATTGTACTCATTCGGCTTGAAGTTCAGGTCTAACCATTCAATTAGGCTTAAATGTCTGCCGCTTGGATCGAGGCTCTCACATACCTTTACTCATCCCATCAGTTTCTGCGTTTCCCAAGTTTCCTTTGTCTAGGGCATTAAATAAATCTGTCGCTAGTTAGTTCCGCATGACTGACAAGATTGGGTAGACTTACACATGACCGCTAGAATAGGAAGCAGGCGATAGTCAAACTTCCGACAGAGACGCCGTTCAGCCTTGTGGTCGACCACTCGGGTCACCTCGTCCATCACACCCGGGACAGAGCCATAGCCTTTCAGCGTGTTGGGCTCCTCAATAGTGCCCACGGTTTCCGTTTTCTTCACTGTGCCATCAGGCGACGATGCACGCGCTGGACTCGACATGTTGTATCCAAGGTGTAGACAAAGAATATAGAAAGGCCAAGTCAGTGCACAATACCTGTCAAAGTTATAAAGTTTTAAAAGCTCCAGATGCGAGCTTCTTATCAAAAGCGAGGTGACATCCCTTGCTCTATTAGATAAGGGTCATGTTGCATTACCCATGCATGAATATCACCCCCACGTTTCTCCGCATCATGGAAGGTTTAGCTGAACAGGCAAAGATCGCTGTCATGGTCGCATCCGGACTTTGGGGCTGTTTATAGCTTATCTGCGGGGAAAAAAAGGTAGGTGCTTCCCGCGAGCTTGATTTGAATGCCATATCGCCGAGGTTCGTATCGCAGATAAAAACGCCCCTTTCTCTCCCTTTGATATCCCATGCAGATCATGTCTCACCTGTTTATTCTAAAATTCCTTCTAGATATTTCTATGCACTGGAAGATCAAGAAGCTGTGAGGGTGTATGCATCCCTATTCCGGTGTACAAAGTAGGGTTGCATCCGTCACATTACCTCACCATATTTAAGCCTATGAACTTCACTACCTTAAGCCACTGTCTTGGAATACGACAGCAGATTCGACCGGAAAATTATCCAGTAAGCTTTTGTTCATCAGGAACTTGAACTTTATTCGAACTTCTATATCTTTCTGAATCTATATCTTTCCTTCAGAATGATTACCGTTTCCGTGCAATGAGGCGACGCAATCATCCTAGAATTTTCAATTCCATTGTCAGACCTTGTTCGAATCACTTCTTTACTGCTCTTAAGTTAAACAGTACCTAGCGATGAGATTATTGGGCTTATATATCCTTCTCCGATCGTCAACACTCAGCCCATAAGTTTTGAGTAAATCTCAATCAACCTATCTCTAGTTTTTGATGTGATTTCCGAATAATGCTTGTTTCTTCATGCAGGCCCCTGGGTGCATGTGGATGGTATCGCAGCCTTGGCGAAGATAGCATTAATCTGAGCCATTTCAGCATAGACCACAGGGACAATCTTGTTTTCTACATTTACCACTATTATTCATCACAATGTTCACATTTACCCAATTATCCAGGATGCCGCCAAAAAAGAGTAGCTGCATTTATCCACTCCCCCGCAATTTGTCTTTGCGGAGAGCATATGCAGCGGGGAAATAGAGGAGCCAAATTTGAGATGAATTTACCCACATTATCCGGGCAAAATCGTCAGACAACTGGCTATAAATTGCAGATTGAAGTTCGATTTGAAATTTGGGGGGAATTGTGACCCTGGTAATAGTTTGTCGACTACCTGCTACGACTGTGACGATGTACCAAATCAAATCTATATTTCTCATCGCTTTGTGCACTCACTTAGTATATTCCTACCCTTTACTGGCCCGAGGAAACTATGAGGGTAAGGCAAGAGACTCGCACTGGGTGAATATATGGACCACTATGCCCCAGTTGGTCGAGCCCGCTAATCTACCCCCTGCTCCATTCGTACGTTGGATATCTTTGTCACAGTAACCAATATCTCGATACTGACGGTGGGTGCAGAATGGATCCACTGCTGTGTTCAGTAATACTACAATTCGTCAAACCCTCCAGGTTTCATTAGCTGCACAGGAGATCCGCATTCGACTATCTAATTCATTTGGGCCAACCGGTCTCAAGATTACCAGTGCGACTATTAGCATACCAGCGAGCCAGCAGGTGGGAGTCAGTGGGCTACAGACAGAGACATTGAGAACTGTGTTCTTCAATGGAAGCCCAGATGTGGATATCCCCAACGGTGGGCTGGTTGTGTCTGACCCAGTGAAGTTCCCTGTTAAGGCCCAATCCCCTCTCATGATCAATATATATCTTGCAGAGGGACAGGAAGGTTTCTCTATTACTGGCCACCCCGGAAGTAGAACAACTTCATACCTGGCTTTGGGGGACTGGACAGGCGCAGAGAACCTCACAGACTCATCTGTTAAAAGCACAGATCATTGGTAAGTCTTTCTCCCGCAAGCCTTCCGATTACCCCGAATACGAATCTGTATCTGACCTCTATATCAGGTACTTGATCAGTGGAGTAGAGGCTTGGCTACCTTCTGAGTCTAGTGGCTTCGCGATCATTGGTGACAGTATCACCGATGGGCGAGGAAGCACTACAAATGGCAATGATCGGTAAGTGGACCGTCCTGCGGTGCATGTATTTATGGCTGATGGATGTAGTTGGCCGGATTTGTTGCTAGCAAGAATGCAAAAGAATAAACCCACGTCAAACATCGCCATTCTCAACCAGGCCGCAGGGGGAAATCGCATCCTACAAGATGGCCTAGGTCCAAATGTGATCAGCCGTCTTGACCGGGACGTCCTAGCACAATCTGGAGTGCAATATGCGATGATCTTCGAAGGCGTCAATGATATTGGCGTCGCTGATAGTGATGCAGCTACGCAGGCGGAGATTGAGAAGAATCTTATTGGGGCATATAAACAGATCGCGACACGAGTGCATGCCCTAGGAATTCCGGTATTTGGCGCTACTATCACGCCATTTGGCTCGTCGGCAAGCTCCGACTATGTGCAACCTTACTCAAGTCCTGAGCGAGAGAGAACTCGTCAACGAATCAATAAATTTATCCGGGAAAGCGGCGTATTTGATGCGGTGCTGGACTTTGACCGGGCGTTGAGGGATCCGCACGCGCCATCTCAGTTACTGGAAAAATACGACTCGGGAGACCATCTTCATCCTACTGTGGCGGGGTATCAAGCATTGGCTGATTATTTCCCTCTTGGGGTATTCGAGTGAAATTCACATGGTTATTCTCAAAGGCTAAATGATAGAAAATGATTCTAAGATTGTTATCCACATATGCAAATATATGTACATGGTTTTCAAAACCAATCAAAGAAAGCTTCAAAATTTCTGGTAGAAAGACAGAATCTTTAAACACGACGCTTGAAGTTGTTTTGAACGTTGCGCTTTCTGTAGGCGCCGCCACCGATAAGAGCCTGCTTGCGTCCAGGACCAAAGTCCGGATCACCACCCAGAGAGCCGAAGATATCACCGATGTAGTTGTTGGCCTTGACACCAGCAGCAAAGGTGGCATCCCACCCGTCCAAAATACCCTCGACGACCTTGATGCCAGCAACATAGACATTCTCAATAGCGGGCTCGAAGCCGCCCTGCTCCGAGGATTGGAAGAGATTGTAGGTCGCTGAGGCACCGGGGTAAGGGCGATCAAAGTCAGACGCAGTGCGCATCACGATAATGCGAGAGAAATCAGTCAGCTTGTGCATCGATGATCGGAGCAAGACCTCGAAGGTGGCATTATCCTCCTGGGCGCTTGAGCAATAGTCGCCCGTTCCATTAGTCAACACCTTGGTGGTATTTTCGAACACCGAGCCGAGGATGTTGCCGCTGTAGTACACGTCGGTGGTCGCGACGTCGCACTCGACAACACTAGGGGGCAAGGTGGCGGCCTTGTACTTCCCACTGGGGGTCTTGTAGCGGGCGCGGTAAGCCTGGGCTGTGGCGGAGTCGGAGAGGTTTGCCTTGCGCGCGAAATTGGCAGCCATTGTGCGCAGGTCGGCGTTCAACTCGAATACCTCGGTGCCGTAGATGCTGGTAGGGTACTGGCCTGGGAATTTGGTGCCTTGTGCAATATATCCGGTGGAAAAGTTGCTGGGAAGCTCGCGGATATCAATTTCATACTGCAGCGCGACCTGGACTGCGTACCGAGCAAAGGTCGCGGATCCAGTGGTGGTTTTCTTAGGGCTAACGCCAGCAATACCCGCGACGAAGAAGTAGGTTTGCGTGAGATCGAATAGAGGGGAGAAGGCAACGGAGGTGACAGTCGTAGCAGCATTGATCTCGCCTTCTCCAGTGATGAGCTGACAGACATCATAGTCCTCGGTGCAGTGGACTTCCGGGAACAGAGGGGAGAGACCGGGAATGGTGATATTGTGGGAAAACAAGTCGAATTCGGGGATATTCCACCAAGCTTCGGCTTCGGGTGCGAACTGTCATAATCTATTAGCGACATTGCATTTCTTTTGGTGGAAGCGCATACCATTGACACAATGAACACCTTGGGAGCAATTGCTCCATGGTGACCCTTCTGGGCGGTCCCAGTAGCTCCGGCGCATAGTGAGCTGCCAGTGAGCAGCAACGAGGCTGTCAAGGTTTGAAGGAGGTGCATGGTGAAGAAAGTTGCAGTTGGAAATCTATTCCTGCACATGCCGAGGCCTTTTATTTGTAGAGTCGTGCAGATTTTGTAACCCTCGCGTCTTTCACGCTATGGAGGGACCATCGCCGATCAATTGACATATCGGTACCTGATTCGGATAAGATCATCACCAGAACGTGGAGCAAATCTCTCCTATCGGTCATCATCATGGGATTTTATTTGTGAGAGATATATGGAGAACACAAAATATTGGTACCTGGCTTTTGACTGGCGCTTTTCACTCAAATGTGGGTCGACCGTAAATGGGATCTCACAATTTATTACGTTGACTGTTGCCTTTAAGCATCGGAGCTTGCCGAAGGGTCCACTTCCCTAGGAAGTAGGTATATGCGGAAGGTGTCGATATGAGATGAACAGAACTCGGCACATTCGAGCCTATTGTCTCCCTATGCAGCGGTATAGGCGCCAGCTGCGAAAACCCTATTTCCGGTAAATCTTGATGCCTTGATGCCTAGTTTTGGCCTGGCGGCCTGAATTAAAACCGGCAGAAGAATTAAAACACCTGAATTTCTGCCCAGGTGAGACACTTCCCTTAATAATCAAAGTAGCCTGATTTTGCTGGCGTTTACAACTCTCAAAAATGAAGCTTTTCATCCCATACAAATGGAGATATCTCGACTTTCTTGGACGGTTTATAAGTGTCAAAAATGAAGCTTTTGATCTCATACAAAGTGAGATAACTATCTCGACTTTCTTGGACGGTTTGCAAGTGTCACTTTGTATGAGATATCTCGCCTTTATAAGGCTCAATGTCAATGCGAGGGCGAGGTATAGAGGGTAAAGAATCAAAATTAAGGTAGGAATTGTGGGATAACCCGTGGACATGTGGTATATTTTAATCTGGACTATAGTATGGGATTTAGGTATTCCGTACCGAGTTCAAAACCGTCCAAGAATATGGAGATATCTGCATTTGTATGCTGATGAAAGGCTTCATTTTTGACACTTGTAAACCGTCCAAGAAAGTCGAGATATCTCACTTTGTATGAGATCAAAGGCTTTATTTTTGAGAGTTGTAAACCGTCCAAAAATATGGAGATATCTCACTTTATATGAGATGAAAAGCTTCATTTTTGACACTTGTAAATCGTCCAAGAAAGTCGAGATATCTCACTTTGTATGGAGGCCAAAAGCTTCATTTTAGGATGAATAGTCTACATTACATTGTATAGGGCGGTGTAAGGAGCGGTCAATAACCAGGCCAAAACTAGGCATCAAGGCATCAACATTTACTGGAAATAGGGTTTTGGCAGTTGGCGCCTATACCGCTGCGTAGTCTCCCTAATATTATAGAGAGACTGGTCGCCTTATACTATTGACTGTCTGTTCGAAAAGTTGTCGAGGTGAGTGGAGATAGAGAATGGTAATCCATAGATGACTCCATATATGGATCAAAGCTGTCTACAAAAGGTCAGGGCATCATCAGTTCCTCATTTATATTATTTGCTCTTAAATACATGCCTACCCTGTAACGTACAGCTATTTCCAATTCGGATAGCCAATGGCTAGCAATGCCAACCCACCAAAGAAAGGCCATGCCCAAAACTAGAGAAAGTTATGAATCACTCAAGGTGACCACTTATCCCGCTTGCCTTTCGCAGTCGTGGTCAACTAATCAGTATCTGTCTACGTCGTTAGATTTTCCGCCGAGAATTTCTCCAATCTACCCTTGGCTTTTTGCGCTACCCAAAGCAGGACGATGACGTGCCTCGACCAGCGTGGGTTACAACAAGCACACTGACATAGGCTCTCTTACCCTGCGCCTCACCCAGCAATGGGGCCTTCCGTTCCTGTCTCCCAACACTAACCGCTGGGAGCTCCTGGAGCCTCGCCTCGGCCACGCTATCATCAACGTCGGCGACAGCCTGCGCTTCCCATCCAAGGACGAGTAGCGAGCGTTGTGCATCACATCATTCCACTCCAAGTTAGGCAGGGCGAGGACCGGTACAGCATTGATAAAGGACTGCCTTTTCCATGTGTCTGGCGTTAGCTGTATGCATGTCATGGTATTGCTATAATTTGGTGTAAGAGATGAACGCGATGAGGTGTCTGTCCTTTGTGGAATGTCTTTACTGGCGTTGGCTCGCACGTCGTGCAATGAACGCAGAATAGCCGGATCAGTGCCTTTAATGAATCTAAGCTACACATGAGGCAGATCTTGGGCATTGTTTTGTTTTGTTTTCTTTTCTCGCCCCTCCTATCACGGCCACATCTCCTATGATGGAAAACATCCAGTCGGTCCAAGTGCTGATCCCATCCTCTTCGCTATCATCTATCCAGGGTAGTGCACCAAACGGAATCGTGGACGCATCATGTCGAACCGCCATCCGAGTTCGAAGTGGTTGAGAATGGAAGCTTCGGCTGGGAACAAGACAAATTCGTCCTCCAAGGCATCTACGCCAAGGTACCAAAGTCGTCACTTACCCTTATTGTCGGACCGGTTGGCTCGGGCAAATCCACGCTTTGCGCTACTTGGAGAAATTCCCTTTCATCAAGGCACAGTCACGCTACGCACAAGAGCAATGGCTTCGCACGTCGGATTCTACGACCAGACTACGTTTGTGTTAAATGGAACCATTAAGGAAAAAAATTATAGGTTTCTTTCCGGTAAATGTGGACAGATATGCTGAGGTCGTTGATGCAACGGCTCTCGCCTTTGACTTCAAGACCCTACCACAAGGCGATGGGACAAACGTGGGTTCCGACGGTATCTCGCTATCCGGAGGCCAGAAAGCGCAAGTTTGGAGCCGAGTTTGGGGCCGCTATGCAGCTGGGCGGCATCCTACTTTTAGACGAAGTGAGCTCAAGCGTGGATCAAAAGACAGAACGCATCATGCAGGAGACTATTAGGACCGAGTTCAAGAACTACACGGTGATCGCGGTCAACCATCGATTGGGCATGACTAGGTTTGGTGATCTGGTAAGAGCAGGAAACAAGTAGATATGATAATGTCGAGATCAAGAGAGAGCACACATCACATCAAGTAGACATCCTTATGACTAGCGCTTACCTGTATCCGTCCATCCGACACATATGCAAAACAAAACGATACGATACTATATCAATGTATCAAGTTAAAGATACTTGATGAGATGAGTACCTAGGTACTCCAAAATATGAGGGCAGGAGCAATGTTAGAACGAACCATTATAGTATAAACGAGCCTATAGGGCTATTTCAGCAAAGATATGGATATAGTCTATAGTGGTCTAAGTGATCGAAGTTGCTCACTAATTGGGCACTAAGCAGCACTAATTAATTAATAGGCATTATAATGGGCATTTCCATGGGATCAGTTATCGTGAACGTGACTTCGTATGTTCGTAGTTCTAAGCGCCGTCATTAAAGCATCTCAAATAGGAAATCATGGTACAGGTACATGTGTAACGTGTCCATGTCCCAGTATTGCCATAAAAATAGCCCCATAATATAACAATAATCCCACCTTATTGGTGACGAGAACCAATCCAGTAAAAATCCAACTGTACTTCCATGGATACACGCGGGAAGGTCAATTGTGGATGCGCCAGGTCCAGTGATGCTGGGACTTTCAAGCCACCGTGCGACTGCCAGACGTTGAGCGTGGAGCATGACGCATGTCAAGCATACACAGTACCCTATTTAGGTACTTAGAATCGAAATCCCATAGGATATGGTGCTGATCCCCGGAGATTAAATTGTTTGGTTCTCAACGTCATCTGACGTCATTTTTAATATAGGTACCAGTGGGATGGCAAAACAATAAAATCAGGGCCAGGGACGCTCAAAGTCATTGTTGATTTACTTTTTCGCTTCTAATTTCGTCTTCCTGAGAATAAATCCCGTTCGCATTCGCATCGCAACACAATTCAAGCAGCGTATTTCATCGATACACCACCCGAACTCCTACACAACCCATACCTACATACCCACCATGCCTACAATGCACGAGCGTATCCGCGAGGATCTCCTCAACAAAGAGCGTGCGCTCTGGACAGCCCTCACCTCCGCTGATCCAGCACCACCCATCTGGAAACTCAGCAACCCCGAAGCCTGTTTCCTATTCCCTCAGATGCCGATCATCACACTCGAGGACGAGGATGCTTTCAAGAAAGCCGTCCGGCCACCCTTTCACCGATTCGACGCCTACCAGTTCGAGGAGGTACGAGTCATCATCGTCGATCTGATGGCAGGTGTTGTCACATACAAGGTCCGCGCTGTGCGCGGGAAGAAAGAATACACTGCCTCGGGCTCGACGACTTGGAGCCAAGGGTCGGATGGCGAGTGGACGCTGGCTTGCCATCAAGAAACTTTGATGTGAAAGTATTTATTTGCGATATTTATTTTTGTATACACCCCGTTTCTTCTATACCTTTTGCGATGCAGATTAGGGGAGGGAAAGTGATCTCGGCGAGCGGCGAACGTGTGTTTTAAGTGATATGATGCAATGTATCACGAGTCAACGAATCTTTTAATGCCATGAAGCATGATTGAATTTATTTGAAGTCCTAAGAAGTATTTGCTGGTAAATAAGTAGCTTTTAAGTGTTGTAGTGGCGTATCGGCTACTGATCAGCCAACTAACGCGATCATCTCTAGTGCATATCGACTGCGATCTACAGTCCAAATAGTCGATCATCCAGACTTTTCTTTCGATTGGTACTCCGTAGTTTTTGCAAATGTATTGCGATTTATTGATTTTTTTTGTTCATTTGTGGCTGATCTATCCAATGATTCAGCCGTGGCGCAGTTTCTGAAGGCACCAATTCACTAATGCAAGCCTTCCTGCTCTACCGGCAGATTTTGACAAGTCAAGGGTAGCCCAACCGTAGCCCAACCACCCCGGTTCGGCTTGTCATTAGCCGGAACATGCCACATAGCATGAGTCACGTAGAATCGTCTGAAATCCTTCCACAGGGTGAATTCAATTTGATCTAGACATTAATAAGCGGGTCTATGCACCTAGGTAGACGCGAGGGGCTGGGGTAGTTGGTCTGTGTAAAAACTAAGATAAGCCCCTTTTTTTTCACTGAACCGATCATTAAGCTCGTGAAACAACCCGTGGACACTATGAGAGCCTCATCAGACCACCAAGAACCATGGGGCTTCCAATGGCGATCATCCACTTATTTCATTGTCGCGACAGTGGCAGTGGCGTTGCTCACCGGTAGGCTCTTCGCGCATATAGCAAAAAAAAAAAGAGAGGATTTTAACCCAATCCATAGATATGTATCTGTATGGATTTCTCGTTCCAATTCTTCCATTCGTGTTGGAGCATCGACTGGGACTTGACGTCTCACTCACCCAGCGCGTAAGCACGGCGCTGCTATCCCAAACCGCGCTCGTCATGGTCGTGGCAAGTCCCTTGATCGGGGCTCATGCTGATCGCTCGGGCGCGAAACGTGCCTGGCTGTTATTTGGACTTGCGGGTGCACTGCTGGGCTCTTTGATACTCGCCATGGCGACTTCATGTAAGTGGCGGCTAACAATCCGCGGATGACATTCATTCCCAGCGAGATGATTAATATCAGTGCAGTGTTCGCTCTCTTTACCGGGCGCCTTGTACAGTCTGTGGCCAGCACTGGTCTCTGGGTGGTAGGCTTTGCTACTCTGGCAGAAAACGTTCCTGCCGAGCAGCTGGGCAAAATCTATGGCTTCGTGACTATTGCCATTGGCGTAGGAACGTCGGGCGGACCACTTGCGGCTGGTGTTCTGTTCGATCTAGGCGGGTATTGGGTGGCATGGTCGAGTGTGCTTTTCGTTATCGTGTTTGATGTGATCCTGCGATTTCTGATGCTAGAGCGGTCGCGAGACACCAGTGAACCTGCTCACACGGAGCGGAACGGGCAGGATCCAGAGAGGGAGGCACTTTTACCACCATCGACTGACCCAGATCCACAGGTAAGCAGTCAGGCTGTATCGGAAAAGACGGGTATACAATTCTATCTATGCCTGTGTAGCAACGGTCGTTTCGTTGGTGGTGTCGTTAGTTATTTCTGCTACGCCGTTCTAACTGCCAGCTTCGATACAACCCTTCCTCTCCATGTGCGTGACGCCTTTCATTGGGGAAGTCTCCCCGCTGGTTTGTTGTTTGGCGCTTTCCAGGGCCCCGCGGTGTTCTTTAGCGTTCCTGTCGGCTGGCTGAAGGATCGAGTGGGGACTCGACACCCGACCATGATCGGTTTTGCTCTTCTAGTGCCTTTAATGTGGCTAATTGGTGTTCCTGGGGACGAACGGTTTCCCTGGGCTCGTGAAGAGGAGATTGGTTCGATCATATACAGTGTAGCTGTCCTGTGTATCGGGATTGTGATATGCTTGCTCAACGGAGTGGGTATGATGGAAGCCACTCGTAAGTTTTTTTTTTCCGACTGTGACGTTGGGGAGTGGATCATAACGATTTTGCAGAAGCCGTTGACGAGATCGAAGGAGAGAATCCCGGAATCTTCGGTCCGAATGGCGGGTATTCGAGGGCAATATCAGTCTCCAGTATCAGTTGGACGCTGGGGATGTTTGTTGGGCCGATTCTCTCGGGATATGGTACGGAACAAATCGGATACTATGGAATGAATTGTGTGTTGGGTTCGTATCCCCCTGTCTGATTTCTTCATGTCTCAACGCTAACAGACGCAGCGGGGGTATGCGGACTATGTTCCATCACCGCCTTCCTGAATTTAAAATCGTCGGTGCCTCTACGGCCGAGTCAGAAGAACCAGATGCCTTCTGGTGGAGTTTCGAGATGAGAACTAAAGAATGGGCCCCGTTTGATATTGCCTAAATTCCACCGGTGTTTGGGGTTGGAAGCTGTATCTCGCTTAAAAAAAAAGATAACAAAAGGCAGAAAAAAAGAAAAACTCAAAATTTTTGTGACAAGCCCGATTTTTTTAAGCTTAGCGCAACAAAAGAACCGAAAGGGGGGCCGATTACCTTGAAATAGTCCTGGAACATGCATAGAAGGTTAATGGGGCCATTGAAATCCTTACCGAGGTGCGCCGTACGGAGTACAATATCAAAGAGCACATTCAACCCCAGACTCGAAAGTAGAAAAAGGAACGTTATGGAAGTGGAACTAGGATCTGTAAATCCAAATAACTGGAGCTCATCAAGCCAAAAGTGGATGTAAGGACTCTAAGTGGTGTGTTCTAGTGGTCCAGTTCCAAAGTGGACAGACAGCCTTGGAAGTAAGACCTCGGAACAAAGGACAAACGGTGCTGTCAATAATTTCTCCAACGGGTTCCTTCCGTTCTTAGCTTCCCCCGAGCTCCTTCCGTAATTGATTGTGACATATTTTCTTTGTATCAACATCCCACAGACCCTCTAATACCCCCCCCCCAGACTTCACGCCACTCGCCAATGCTTACCTAGATACTCTCACTGTTTCAATTAACTACCGATGTGACAGGTACACTCAAATTTGTGATAACCGTGGTTGTGACTGAGACTCCACCTCGGAATCCACGGATTGACATGCCGAAGGATCTCCTCCCCGGCCGAACCTTTTAGAGGCTTCTAGCCCGTTAGTTTCTTTAGGTGCATAGTATATATTAATTCTGCATGAGAAAACCGGAATTATCAGTTGAAAAAATTCTGCAATATAAGCTCATGCCAAGAGAAATTCCTTCACGGCTCTTTTCTCTCTGGAATCTTGACACATCCTCTACTCAAAACATATACAATGGAGCCAATTCGACCCCCACAGAATATTGCCATCATCGGTGCTGGCATCGCTGGCATCGCTTGTGCATTGGCCATATCCCGGGAGCTTTCTCCCTTTGTACCGAACCTGAAAATTACAGTCTACGAACGACATGATGTACTATCGACTTCCGGCGGCGCTATCAATCTGACCCCCGTCGCCCAAAGACATCTCGCCCAGCTCGGCGTGCTGGATGAGTTGGACCGGATGGGTGCCGAGGGCGGTGCCGATGTCGACGCCATTGAACTTTTCTCTATGCGTTCAGGCCGCGCGATCGGCTCCATCAACTTCACAGACCACCAGGGAAAGGGATTTGGTGGATACAAGGGCCGAAGGGTCATGCGTATTGCTCTCTCCATAGCCATGTTGACCGTGGCGGAGCGGACTCGGAATGTGGAGGTTGTCTTCGGCAAGAAAGTGATCGATGGAGAGGAATTTGAGGATAGAGCTGTCTTGCGTTTCCAGGACGGCACAGAGGCAGTGGGAGATTTAGTCATCGGCTGCGATGGCGTGCACTCAGCGGTCCGGACCCAGTTTGTGGATGTCGACCGGCCTGCTGAGTATACGGGGCTGTCGTTTTTGCAGGCCACGATTGACTCGGATTCACTTTCCGCACCGGCTCACTTCCGCACATCATCGCTCAATATCTCGCGACATGGCTCAATGCTGGCCAGTTATTGTGACCGTGATTGTGAACAGATCTTTGCTGCTGCTATCGTTCAATTTAGTCGGGAAGAGATTACCCGCTATCGACTGGAGCCTGGTCAGGATTGGGCCACCCAGAACAGAATTCGCTGCGACCTCCGTGCGGAGATCAGAGACCGCTTTGGCAAATGTGCCATTCCCTGTATCAAAGAAATGATTGAGAGTAAAGCGGACTGGATGCTTTATCCCGTATTTCAAGTTCGCCCCGGGGGGCGTTGGTGCTTGAATCGAGTTATTTTGCTGGGCGATGCAGCACACGCGGTACGTCTCCATCATGAAAATCCCCCCTGTTCGTTACTTTCTAACAAGTTATACAGATGCCCCCGCGTGATGAATCGGCTGCGTACGCATTGGACGACGCAATCTTGTTTTCTCGAATTCTAGCAAGTTATCGTTCGGAGCCTCTGACGGAGGTTTTTGACGCATACGAGAGTCTTCGTCGCGATACAATCAACCATGCATTCAAAGAATCCCGTCGTATGTGGGAGCGAAACCGCGACATGGGGTTCTTAGAGGGCAGAGTGAAAGAGTGGATGATGTCTTTCCGTCTCAAATCCGACAAAAACGCACGTGAGGCCGCATGGGAGTTTGACGCAACTAAGATGGCTCTCCCCACACCAGCACCCAGTGAAGACCTGGTTTCGTTGGATTCATTTTTGAGAGACCGTACTTTATGAAGAGGAAATAGCATTTTACAGGACGGTGGTGGAGTTTGGGTTGGGCTGCATGGACTGGAGCGTGAATCATCTCAATTAATGGATACCCGGTAATTGGCTTCCCAAATATATCTAAATCTATATGCCTATGGAAGTTTCCGCAATAATATTAGTCTGTCTCTCATTTATTCGGACTTACATCTGCTCAAACATTTTTCCTTTGTCCTCACGATGGTCGAAGTCACGGTTAAGGTTTGATCAGGTACTCAACCTTGGAACGGAACGGGCACTACTTCAGTCAACCCCAATCTACCAAAATAGTTTAAATTTCTTTTAAACTACGTACATACGTAATCTCTTCGGCTTAGTTCACTTCTAGAATTATTAAACCAGTGGCGGAACAGGTGGCTTGGAAATATATATATGTCCTCCGTCCCACAGACTCCATGTTTCCATTATTTTCTCTACCTCACTCTTTTCAATCTAATTGATAAGCTGCTCTGCTCTACTATAGTAGATCTTGAATCCCACAATATTGTGTACTGTGACATTTACGGGATATTATTGCAAGCAAACAAGGCAGATATTTCCTAAAGACTAAGTTGCAACAAATTAAAATCAAATACACATAATTGCGCTTCTCAGAAGCGATTCCCTACTTGTTGCATAATTCCTCTCAACTACTTCGCTTAGAAGGTAAGTGTCTGACCGGCAGTACCAACCACAGCAGCCTCAACCTTGGCCGAGCCAAGCAGGTTGTAGTCGTAGGGAACCGACTTCAGGGTTCCGGCCTCAGCGGTGTTTTCTCCATCACCGAAGTCGTTGTCATTGGCCACAGCATAGCCAGAGTCGGTAGAGTAGAGGGGCTTCTTGCTACCGACGAAGGTGTTGGACTCAACCAGAAGCTGGGCGCCTTGGCGGGTGTTGATGCCGTCGGAAACGTTCAGGTAGTAGTTGTTGTAGATGTGGCCAGTGCCGAAACGGAAGGAAGGACCACGCGAGTTGAGGTTGTACCAGTAGTTGTTATTCTGGGTGACGTGCAAGTAACCGGTGTCCTCGTCGCCGTTGCTGTCAGAGTGGCCAATCAGAGAGGCCTTGTAGTGGTCGTGGATGAAGGTGTTGGACACAGTGACGAAGTCGGCAGCGTGGGTAAGCTTGTTCATATTAGCATCTGTGGTTTGTTCGAATTCCACATGTTGCGATCTGAACTTACATCGATGAGTCCGTCATAATAGTCCTTGTCGTGATCCTTGTCAGACGAGACATCGCAGTGGTCAATCCACACATTGGTTGATTTTTCTAACCCCAGTTAGCTTTTATCCTGTTTCCTCAATGGATATCCATATCCTTCAGCATGATGTACTCACGAACACCAATGGCGTCGCCGTTCTCGGCAAGCACCTTTTTCACACCTAGGTTGCGGATGATGACGTTGGTCTGTTCCTTGACCAGACTATATTGGTTTAGTATCATGGCGAATCCATGTTAGGAATGACAACGTACAGGCCGAAGCCAGTCAAGATGGCTTTCGAGTCCTTGCCAAGGATGCTAGTGTTGCTTCCAACACGAACTTGTTTGGCGGTCTCCGTGATGGCGCCGTTCACAACGACAACCTTGGCGTCATTGCCGGAGACTGCGGCTGTGAAGGCAGCATATGAGGAGACAGTGGTAGTAGTGCCACCAGCACCACCCTTGGTGCCTCCATTCTCGCTGGCATATCCAGTAGCGACCTAACTCAGAGCGACGTTAGAATGTTGATCGAAAGGTCCTTGAACGAATCGCGCATCGATACTCACATCATCGATGTTTGCGCGCTTTCCCAGGTTGCTGGTTGCAGTAGGAGCTCCCAGTGCAAGGCTGGACAAGCAGCCGAGCAGGGAAACTGCCATCAAGTTGAAAGGAGCCATCGTAGATACAGAAAGATATCTTAGAGGAATAGAGGACACTGATTTTTCAGGTTGCTTTGCCCGAGCGTGTGTGTGTTGATATCAAAACATCGAAAGTATATCCTCGTCGACCGAAGGGTTTTATATACTATTCAAGAGCCCTATTAGGGTATGGGAGCTTCTGAAACAAGCTACATCCACCACCATCCTGATCGTTGGAGAATTTACCGTGCTGGATAATTTCTTCCAGCCCAGCCGAACCGAAGATTTACCGAGATGGACATGACAGCATTAATTCTCCGACGCGTCAAGTATCAGACCGACGCTCCAGGGGTGCTCTCTGTGACAGCCAAGATCACATCATGTTTCCTTTAAGACACAATGCTTGGCATAAATTGATTGAAGTCCTAAGTCTAGAACGGGCTTGAGATCTTTGGGGCCAAGGACCGGACAGCCCGTGCACACCTTACTGGATGAATGCCCTTTGGATGGAGAAATAATCATCAGCGATGAGCTGCTTGTTAATTTACTCACAGGACCACCTCTTCGCCGGAAGAACTTCCACAAATGATTTGAAACATTAGGAGGGAGTTCCTGCCAAGAGTTCGGAGTTTCAAGAGAAAATGCCGATCTTGGCATTCAGAAGCGTCAAGGAGGGGGAAGTTATATTTCCATCAATTGACCAATTTTAGGATGAAGTTCATCCTCCCATAGGAGTTCAGAGTGAGTTGGCCATAGGAGATTTGCTCTGTATATTGTTTTTGAATATGTTCATGGTGGAGGGTTCAACAATACGGGAGAAATGGCGTGATCGCATTAGTTAATGAAGTCTTTCGCAACCCCATTCTTCAGATCTTCAGATATTCGACACATTCTGCATATCCAACTTAGGTCTGGCGGAATATTCCCCATACAAGTTCTTCCTGAGGTCATCCCGTGAACGGTCTCGCGGCTGAGTAATCCCTCTTCCACCCCGTACTTACTGGATTTGCGGGGAAATTGAATTGCGATCAACACAACACTTCACTTGATCGCAATAGGCGGAATGACAGAGACATTTTCATCCGTGCCGATCGTCGACTTCGCTCGGCTGAACGACCCTGTGACGAAAGATGAGGAGCTGTCAAATCTGCGTGAAGCCATCTTCGTTGTTGGGTTCCTATACCTAACCAACACAGGATTAGAGGTACGAGCAACAAGCAATGTAGGTGACCGAGACATGCTGACCAAAAATCGAAATAGAGCCTAATTCATCATACCCATGAAAATCTACCCAAGCTATTTGACCTGTCGACAGAGGCCAAGGAGAAATGCAACATGATTAACTCGCCATCGTTTCTCGGCTATACCCGCCTCGGTGCCGAGACCACTGCAACAAAAACAGATCTCCGCGAGGTGAGATTATTTACTTTTGGAATTCTCTGCAATTCTCGGGTACTAATTTTCCGGATGTTCTAGCAATTTGACTTTGGCACTCCTGGCGTGAAACCCTGGACAGAGCAAGACCCATTTTGGCAACGGCTTGAAGGGCCTAATCAGGTAAGCCACCCCCTTTGGACGCGTGTCCCGACTACTAACTCTCAATAGTATCCAGATTATCCAGGTGCTCAGGACCTAGTTGACGAATATATCACGAAGACTGACAGCCTGGCGCAGGCATTTGTACGCCTCGTCGCCGAATGCTTGTCCCTCCCACGGACGACATTTGATGGCTTCAAGGGTAATATGAGCCGGCTAAAATTTGTCAAATACCCACCTGCCGCACAAAACTCCCAGGGTGTTGGCCCTCACAAGGACTCGGCGGGTCTTTTTACCTTCCTGTCCCAGGACAATACAGGAGGACTGCAGGTACTCAACAAGAAGGGGGAATGGATTGACGTGCCTCCAATTGAGGGAAGTCTTGTCGTAAATATCCAACAGGGATTCGAAGCGATCACTGGAGGGATTTGCGCGGCCACAACACACCGAGTTATCGTATGTTTACTATACCGTTCATACCTGAACGACTGTTCTAACCCCTGCCTACTCCTAGGCGCCCACTTCTCAAACGCGCTACAGCATCCCGTTCTTCCAGGGCGTGAGACTAGACTTAACGCTAGATCAGCTCAAGGAATCCGCTGCTCACATCGTGCAGCGCATTCCAGCCTCTGACGATAAGAAGAAACGAGCAGTTGATGTGCCGAGTGAATTCCTTTCTCCTTTGTATTCTTGCGTGAGTGGTTCTAGTTTAACTGTTTCATGCATGGGACTAACGAATCGCAGTTTGGCGAAGCTCACTTAAGAAATCGCATCTTAAGCCATCCGGACGTGGGCCAGCGGTGGTATTCAGAGCTGTATGCAAAGTATTCTCAGCAGGTCCTAAAATAGTCTAGAAAAGAATTGTTGATAATCCCTGTTAATTCGCCGTAATTAACAACGCTCACCCTACTGGCTCGGCATTTCGACTTGCCAAGAACCTGGACCATCCACGGAAGCAAGATCAACACTGCCGATGCAGTTTGGCATCGCTTACGCTTTTTCCTGCATACAAATTGCATCGTGTTGTATCCCAGGAAAATATTTCAGTTCAGCCTGCTTCCAGTCAGGGAACCTAGCATTGTTAGTCTCCTTTCTGGTTTCATTACGAATTCGACAATTAAAGGGTTATCTACAGTGAAAGTAAAGTCTATAAAGATGGACTCCTCTTCCAAGTATAAAGAAAACAGACAGCTTGATAATTCATTTCTAATACCGCCCAGTATCACCTTTGCAAGAATCCAATTCACCCCGTACATGCAATATAGTTCCATCTGTACTATTTTCAAGAGAATCTTGAAACAAAATGCCGCTTAACTCGAATATGTATATCCGGGAAAGAACCACGGCAAAACAAGGGCTAACACATCGTGTGAACCAAAACTCCTGCTTAAATTTCGGAGCGGATTGAAAGCAAAACACAAAATATAGAACATTTTCAAGTCTTTTTGCGAATTCCTACCAAATTCAGGTTTATACTCGGTTTCTGTTAGACAAGTGTTACTCCAAGTGTTACTCCGAAGGAAATCCCCACAACTCCGCGGGGTAAATGTTTGTGCCCACCAATTCTTCCACTCTCAACCATGCCTGAGATCAATGATACAGCTCTCGAGGCTCTGCGGAGCCGCCTAAAGACCGCGACGATCTATACATCTGAGTCAGAGGGTTATAAAGAGGTTATAGTCCGCTGGTCGGACACTGGAATGAAATATGCGGTACGGAACATAAATATAACAAACAAGACGACCAACTGATAAATTGCAGGGCGTTGTAGTCCAGCCTATTGACGCGATTGATATCTCGATCTCGGTGTCCTGGGCACAGGAGTATAGCATTGACCTTGCTGTGAAAGGCGGAGGTCATTCAACCGCCGGCACAAGTTCGAGTGACGGTGGCTTGGTCATTGATCTGTCACGCATGAACCAAGTGACAGTGGATACCGAGCGGAAGACTATCACCGCCCAGGGTGGAGCTACCTGGAAGGAAGTCGACGAAGCTGGTGCAGCCCACGGTTTGGCGGCCGTAGGAGGCACGGTGAACCACACCGGCGTTGGCGGACTCACTTTAGGGGGTGGTTATGGCTGGCTGAGCGGAGAGTATGGCCTCACTATTGACAATCTCCTGTCGGCGACCGTCGTTTTAGCCGATGGCCGTATTGTCACGGCCTCAGCCACCGAGAACTCCGACTTGTTTTGGGCGTTGCGAGGTGCAGGGTACAACTTTGGTGTCGTGGTAGACTTCACCTACCAGGCCTATGACCAGAAAGATCCAGTGTACTCTGGCCTCCTTGGATTCACCCCCGACAAGCTGGAAGGAGTTATGGATGCACTGAACGAATCCCTGGCAAACCCTGACTCTCGCTTCGGTGCGATGTCCATTTTTGCGTTGGCACCAGATGGATCTGGGCCGATGATCATCGTGATTGGCTTCTACAACGGCCCACGCGAAGAAGGCCAGAAGAAATTCACCAGCTTCACAGCCCTTGGGCCAGTTCTGAATACCCTTGATATGATCCCATACTCCGTGGTGAACACCCTACAGAACCCCCAAGCGACCTACGGTGATCGAAAGTCCTTTAAGGGCATCTTCTATGAGCCGCCATTGGATCCTCAGTTTGCGAGAGTGATCTTCAATGATTTCATTGCAAAGATTCAGAGTGAACCAGATCTCAAGACATCTGCCATCATTCTCGAGTTTACCGACATGCGCAAGATTTGCGAAGTGCCGCTGACTGAAACCGCGCTCGCAAGCCGAAATCCTACTCAGAATGGGATCATCTACTTAAGATGGACCGACCCGTCCAAAGATCTGGCGCACCGCGCATGGGCACGAGAAGTCCAGTCCAAGTGGAAAGCTGAATTGGATGCCAGAACCAAAGACCAGGGTGCGGATTCGAGCGTGCCTCAGTACATCAACTACGCAGAACGTGAGTATACTTGATCCAAAATATTTGCACCTCACTAGATACTAATATGGTACCCAGCTGGTGACTCGGTAGTAAGCAATATCTACGGCGAGAACCTCCAGAGACTGAAAGAGGTGAAGGCGAAGTACGATCCCAAGAACATTTTCCACAAAATGCAGCCGATTCCAACGGGCGCATCTGTTAGCAAGAAGGAATAGGATGAGCGAGGACTCGAAATGAAGTGAATGAAGTGAACGGAAACGGCTATTGGCTGGTCTCTTTTGAAATCGTCTCTGACACTTTTTCTTCGAGCAATTTATGTTTTTCTTCCCAGCAGGAGAATGAAAATATAGGACTGCACAAGAATAGCCTAAATTGTAAGGATGAACCGTTCTGTTTACAACTAGGATCATTAAAAAAAAACACATTGCTACAAATTGAGGGATGAGACACCTATTTAGCAATATATAATGCTCAGAGCCTTGGAAGAATGTGATACTTGACAGCCTTCACAGTGGTCCAACCCTCGAGAGCCTCCTCGCCCATGTCTCGTCCAAATCCACTTTCCTTCACACCCCCAAATGGAACATTGGGGCTGAGCATTGCCCACGCATTGACAGTCACTTGGCCTGACTCGAGCTCCTTAGTCACACGATGAGCGCGGTTAACATCGTTGGTAAAGATGGCAGCACTGAGGCCGTGATGAGAATCATTGGCTTTGAAGATCACTTCTTCCTCCGTGGTAAATTTGGCAATACTCTGCAATTTGTGCCCGGATTAGTATTCAAAATCACAGAGGATTGCATGGAATCTTGCTTACCGCAACAGGACCGAATATCTCCTCTCGCATGATTGTCGCATCATCACCAACGTCTGCAAAAGCAGTGTTTTCGACGAAATATCCCTTATCGCCGATCCGCTCACCACCAAATAGAAGCTTGGCTCCAGATTTCTTTCCTTGACTAATGAAGTCCAGAATCTTCTCATGCTGCACACGACTAACCACCGGCCCCTTTGTAGTAGAAGCATCTAATGGATTACCGGCGACTGTCGGAGCATCAGCCGCGGCCTTTTTGTAAGCCTCGACAAATCGATCATAAATAGAGGCCTGAACGTAGATACGTGACCCAGCTGCACATATTTGCCCATTGTTGGCTGTGATTCCAATGCGAGTCCAGAGAAGTGCATTTTCAATATCGCAGTCATCAAAGACAATAGACGGCCCTTTGCCGCCGAGTTCTAGACTGACCTTCTTTAGGTTGGTTCGGGATGCTGCTTGCAAGATCTTGCGCCCTGCAAGAGCACTGCCAGTGAAGGCAATCTTGCGTACATCCATATGTTCCGACAGAGCTTGGCCTGCGCTGGCGCCCTCGCCGGCAACGATATTCACAACACCAGGAGGAATGCCGGCCTCCTTTACCAGCTCGGCAAGCCTCTGGGCGTATAGTGGTGATAGCTCGGAAGACTTGATGATTAAAACGTTACCAGTTACCAGAGCAGGAGCCAGCTTCCAAATAGTGATCATTCTGAGAACATGTTAGGCGTCTTTCGGGTTTCGGGGTGAATATAGATCGCTGGGGACTGGAAAGCTTACAGCGGAGCATTCCAAGGCACAATCGCACCACAGACACCCAAAGGCTCGCGATGGGTATAGGCAATGCCACCTTCCATGTCAAGTGTCTTGCCGTCGATCTTCCCCGCCCAGCCCGCATAGTATCGCAGACAGCCGACCGCCTGAGGGATGTTCATTCCGATTGAATCGGTATACAGAACGCCAGCATCAACGGCCTCCAGTGAAGCCAGATCTTCCGCATCACGCTCGAGCAGCTCTGCAAGCCTGAGCAATAGCTGGGCTTTGATAGGTCCGGAAACTGTTCTCCATGTTTTGAAGGCTGACTTTGCGGATTCCACAGCCTTGTTGATATCCTCCAGGCCCGCGGCGGAGATTGTGCCAAGTTGTTTACCAGTTGAGGGATTTTCCACAGCTAGCGTTTGGCCGGTAGAGGAGGGAACAAATTCATTGTGGATAAAAAGTCCCGTCGGAACTGGGAGAGTTAGCAACGCAACGGTCACATCTAGGGCCAAGATGGACTTACTTGTAATTTTGCGCCCTTGGACGCCCGTGATAGTCAATCTAGAAGACATTTTGGTTGTTAAAAAGGAAATCAGGTGTCAGATTCGCAATTATTTCATACCGCAGACGTTACAGATGACTTTTGTATCTGATGTCCTCGGAACGTTCCGTCGCGCGGAACTGGCCTTAGCCCGCAAGCCCACAATTCCCGAGGTATAGCGGGCCGATCGTCCATCAAAAGAGGAGATAATGGGTTGTTTGGAGTGACATTCTGATTCAGGTCCTCGAAATCAATAGAGATTACGGAGTACATATGAACAAGAACGGACGGTAACCTCTCAGGAGCCTTTTTTTTTGTGTGCAATCTGCGAGTGTGTTTTATCTTCTAGTTGTAGAGGTAAACAGGAGAGGGCATGAAGCCAAAAATGTTTGAAGCGCAGCCTGGACATTCTCCCGTAGATAATCCACGAAACGAATCGTTCATCATATCATCATTCCCCAATCCGACCGGACCTATCCTGTGTATCGGCCACTTTTCGAAGATGGCAACGGAGTAGCGGGCGCAGCGGACGGGGATGTACGGCGTAAGACTCTATTTGTGGCCTATATTCGGTTAATCTGTTGAATAGTATAATACTAACATTTCTGACGGTTGTGTCAAGTCTGCCTTCTAGAGTCTTAAGATCGAACGGAAGTACTCACGATTATGGCTTCTACTTAGCTTTCCAAAAGGCCCAGGCTAAGACAAGTAAGCCCTTGATACCGGCTGATAGCCAGAGAATGGGAGCAATGTCTCCAGTGACCTTGGTGACCCATCCGCCGACGATGGCACCCACAAGCGTCAACACAAACGCAATGATTCGCCGGTCGCGTTTCACATTCCTCACAAGAAACAGTTGGGGGTCCGACATCAGATCGCAGAGAAGACTGGTAATCACCACGGTCGGGATCTCATTGAATCCCAAGGCACGACTCGCTACAATCTGACCGGCAGACTGCATACTAAGGAGAACGATTGGGACTTCCTGATCCCATGGGGGTGCTGTCTGCGATCCTTTGCTGGCTAGCGTGCTAGAAATGGCACCTCCTTGAACCAATGCAGCTGTAAGTAGGATTATACAGGCCTGTAAGAGGAAAGACAGCATCAACGACCCTCGTCGCCGAGCGCCCAGGATGCGATGTAATCGTGCGAAAATGAACGATCCTAGGATAAAACATCCGATAGACGTGAGGGAGCGTGCCCAGCCAAATGGACGAAGGTTTTGGTTCGATGCACCCAGTCCGACGAAGATAGTGTTTCCTACCAACCACTGTGATTAGTCGACCCTGACATGGGATTGTAGGTGGGTGAGGTAGGGATCTCACCTGTTTGCATAGAGACAAAAGTGTTGTAGGCTATAGATGTTAGATGTGATGCAGTTGAGTAGAGGGAACTTTTGCTTGTTCCTACCTCTGTATATCGTGCTATCTACAAGCCCCGATGTCAAACAACAAGCGAAAAGTAGGAGGTCGGCATGCTGTGGCTCGAGTTCAGCCTTCAGAGATGCTGAAAGTCCACCGAATGCACCTTTTTCATGGTCCATCTTGGAAGTTTTTGACTACAATAAGAGAGAAACGAAGAGGATGAAAAGGCAAAGGGACACAGGAAACCATCGAGATAAAACACAATTGACAGATGCATTTTCTTTTTCCGCGGCGATTGAAGGACGGGTGAATAAACTATGAGATCTGCCGATATTTCCTTCCCCTCCCTTCCCCTGGTCAATCGCATCATCATCTCACATAATTGATGCACCCCAAGTGCACCCCAAGACGGAGCCAAGGGGCAGTGAAAAACTCCGAAGCTCCGTGGAAATCTAAGGAATCTGCAGGATTCCAAACGAGATAAGGACAGCCAAATCACATGTCGTGCATAACGCACTGTTATTTCTGTTGGACGGGCCGCAGACCTAGCCGACTTCATACTAACTTAGTCTCCGATGCATGCCTAGGATGCCAAGGATGACCCGGTGGGATGAGCGTTGGCGTTTGCTTGGCGGCAACTTTCTTCTCCCAAACTCGATCCGCGGACAGGACTTGTGTCACCATGGGTTCTCATGGAGGGGGTGATGTACGACCCGCTGTGCATGATCCCCAATCCTTGTGGCAGCCAAGCGTCTCAGGTTTTCAGACACAGCCCCCCGATAGGACGATACCAGAGACGTTAAGGCCAAGACGGACGGATCAATCGGGCATCTTGCTGCAGGGTAAATTCATTCAGCCCTCCAAGCCCTCCAAGCCCTCCATCTCAACCTTGAGTACGTCAACATCCAATTCTGCCATGACTCCAAGCACGACGCCTAGACTCTCCATAAATCCATTGACAGAAACGCGCAGCATCCGGTTGGTCGTCGCGATGTATGTTATATTCAACACGGTCTTAGACTCGTCAGGGTCCTGTTTTTGCTTCTTTTCTTGCGGCTCGGATGGTGCCTCGACCGCCGGAGCCCCGAGGGCGAAAGTCCGTCGCACGAAAGGGGATAGTTCGGCGTCAACCTCTAAAGCGCGTAGAGCGCATGATGCGAGGCGATTGGTTGGGAGAGGGAGGGATATTGTGCTGAGTCAAGAGGTGAGTATTGCTCGGTCTACTCGGGTCTTGTTTTTCGGAGCTAGTTCGGGATGGGGGAGGGGCTTACAGTGAGTAAGGGAACTCGGGATTGGTCGGTTGTGTGAGAGCCATGATAAGCGTAATTCAGTTGGTAAGAGCAAAAAAATACGACAGTCCTTGTGAGTTCAAAAAGGCGTCTCCCAAGCAGCAGGGGTGGATGAGGTATTGGTGTGGTGAGGACGGAGTGGAAATTGGCGATGCCCTCGGAGTCCTAGAGGAGGAATTCCGGGCCCGGGGGGGGGAAACTATACGGCTGACTCAGCCCGGCGAAAGCCCAACAAGGCTAGAGACGTCTCAACTTACCTACCTTGGCACTTGGTGCACTTTGAACACAAGGTACACATCGCACAACAGTACGTGTTGATTCGCTACACAGCACCACAATAGCGCCTTTTGCGTTTTTTTTGGGTGATGATCTCCCGGTCTGAAGAGCTTGGCGAACGAGGGTCTTTGTGGAACGGTGCATTTGGCCAAGAGACGGGGAACCCCCCTCTGAAGATATCGCCGCGCAGATCTCTCCTGTGAAAGGAGCGCAAAATGCACTGCACCACTTTACAATATGCAGTCATATTGCCAAGGTATTCAGATTGATTAAATTTCTCTTAGAGCGAGCCATCAGGATGAGCATTATGGGTCCAGTTCCCCGTCCCCAACCTATCCCAATCAACTTGGAAAGCCCGATGTAAACATGCATTATCTAGATCTTGGCTTTCCATACGGAGATATATGTATGCAACGCTGTTGTGGCTCTTGATTGATGGGATTAATCCGAACACCTGCTCCGCGACTAGCGCTGTTAATCCTGCGCAATATGTCTTCTTCATGGACTCACTCAGCTGAGGTCATCTAGGATCAGTACGACGCGAAGGAAGATAAGCCATCAGGACGTCTTGGCAGATGGTGGAATGTTACATCCCCAAGAAACCAAGACTTTTGCCTTTGTGAGATGCTTTTGTCCTCTACGAGCAGGCAGACGTTTCTCCTCTGGGCATGGTGTCTGCATGTAGTAAAATTACTTGCGGGGTATAGAACTCGAAAATATAAAAGCCAGCGTTGTCGTTCGATTGTAGTACAAGATTTCAACTGTCCAAACAAAAAGACACCTCCTTTACCAAACTTCAAACATGACTATCACAATCACTGTCGAAAAGGATGGCTACTACGAGGTCAACGGGACCCGGCAGGAGCCTACTGTCTCTCTCTATGTGATTCCCGCTGCTTCCAAATTGCGCCGCATGCTGAAAGACACCAAAGAGCTCATAGTGTGTCCTGGTGTGTATGATGGCCTCTCAGCTCGCATTGCCATGCAGGTCGGTTTCAAGGGACTGTACATGGTAAGAACTTTAATGTCTAACACCACATCACTATATGCTGACCAAGTGCACAGACTGGTGCTGGAACTACCGCATCACGCCTGGGGATGGCTGATCTCGGCCTGGCTCAGCTTCACGACATGAAGACCAACGCTGAAATGATCGCAAACTTGGATCCATTTGGACCTCCATTGATTGCAGACATGGATACTGGCTATGGAGGTTAGTAATTCGCACTCTGAAACAATAGACCCTTATCGCTTGTTTGAAAGGGAGTCTAACTTTATTCCAGGCCCTTTGATGGTGTCAAAGTCTGTGCAGCAATACATTCAGGCCGGTGTGGCTGGCTTCCATATTGAAGATCAGATCCAAAACAAGCGTTGTGGTCATCTCAATGGCAAGAAAGTCGTTGGCCTGGATGAATACCTCATGCGCATTCGTGCCGCCAAGCTGACCAAGGATCGCTTGCACTCGGATATTGTTCTAATTGCCCGAACCGATGCACTCCAACAACATGGCTACGATGAGTGCATCCGTCGACTGAAGGCTGCCAGGGATATTGGAGCGGATGTCGGACTGCTTGAGGGCTTTACTTCAAAAGAGCAAGCCCGGCAAGCAGTTCAGGACCTGGCACCTTGGCCTCTTCTTCTCAACATGGTGGAGAATGGAGCGAGTCCTCTCATTACCACAAAGGAGGCTGAGGAAATGGGCTTCAGAATCATGATCTTTTCATTCGCCACGATCACCCCAGCTTACATGGGTATCAAGGCCACTTTGGAGCGCCTCAAGGCAGACGGAGTAGTCGGTGTACCCGAAGGACTAGGACCACGAACGATCTTCGAGGTCTGCGGGTTAATGGACTCCATGAAGGTTGACACAGAATCCGGAAATGATGGGTTTGCCGAGGGAGTTTAGTAACTAGTAACTAGTATGGATATGTGCATGTTTTGCATTGGACAAGCAACGGAGTTTCAATAGCTAGATATTCAAATTGGAAGCAACAGTCGCAATATACAATTTCCCCGCACAAGCCAAGCTCCTTCTAAATCTCATCCAAGACTGGGTCACCTTCATGGGATTCCATTTCATCACTCATTTCAACCGAAGGGGTGATCGGGGGAATCTTTTTTACAATCTCCTTTTCGACTATCAACCATTCGCCGTTTTGGACGATCTTATATAAACCAGGCCATAGACTAGCCTGAATGAACCCATCCGAGGTATCCTCGTCTATGAGGGTACGCATTTTGTCATCTCGGAACAGCAATCCGTATTGGTAACTGCCCCAGAAGATGTATCTGTCTTCCTGGCAATCCAATTTATGTTTGAGCTTGATGCAACGTGCAATGATGTCGTGCAGCTGTTGCATTCGTTTTGGTCTGTCAGTGACAGTGTAGCGACCAAAGCAGGCTTCGACATTCTCAATGATCCAGTTGCACTGTTCTTGTAAACTAGCGGTTTCCAATGATAGGATGGCAGAGCTCATCGCACATCGCCAATGCCGGGTTATGTGGTTAGAAACTTCTGTTGTTAGAAAACAGTGACAGTGCTGATCATTTCTGAGCGCTTACATTGTTTATTTATTTCGGAGTCGACCTTGCGGAGATAATTACTCCAAAAATGCTCAGATCCAACCATAAATTGGTTCCAAAACGACCGATAAATTATCCCAGCAATGTCGGACTGAATAATATCCAATGTCGAGATATCAAGGCTCTCTGATCTTGGCGTGGGATCGTTCTTTTGTTGAGGTGGCCTTGTTGCAAAATGGGTGAACCTCCAGTGCGCAAGATCGTGATAGAGTAGAGACATTTCTCGTTTAACTTCTTCATCGGAGAAAGTCTCAATCCCAGCTTGTAGGCTTGCTATTTTGGTCATAAGGATTCGGTTCTCGTTTCTGGCTGCTTTTGTTTCCTGGATAGCATTTTCGAGCAGCTCGCCTCGTTGACGAGCCTGCTCTTCTGCAAGAAGCCGGTCTCGTTGAAAGACCTCTGCTTTTCTTTCTGCGATTTTGATTCCCTGTTTCGTTCCTTAGATAAAAACAAGTGTAGAGGGGGCGTTCACCACAGACCTGTTGGAGCCGTTGAACCTCATTATACATGGCCTTTTGATCCATGCAAGCTAATGAATTTAGTGGATTCCATTTAAGCCATGGAGAAAAGAACAAACCAATAGTAACTTGGCCCCATTTCGAGGATAAATCTGGGGAGCTTTGAATACTCTTGTTCGACTGCTCAGGCTCGGGTTCGTCGACGGGCCACATTGCGTACCGATAGTCGAGTGATGGGAAGTCTGAGAATCATAAATGGAACACTTGCGATTTTTACCCATGACTCAAATCGATGACACCACAATTATCCGATGTTGTAGAAATATGCCTCGCGCCGACGCTCGTTGCGGCTAAGCGCAGGAGTCAATGATATCAAACTTGCGAAATGAACGAACTTTTGTTTGAAGAAATATCACCCACCAGGCTTGTCCCTCCCAGAAAATTTCTCCACATCCTCTAATTTCCGGAGATTTATGAGAAAGACCAGAGGTACAAATTCAACATGGCGATCACAGAGGAGCGACCAAAACTCATAGTAGGTGTTGACTTCGGAACAACCTTCAGCGGGTAAGTATATATTGTGTTGGTAGTAATGGAGTGTAGGCTGATCGTTGCAGTGTTGCCTGGGGATTGGAAGACTGCCCTGATGATATTGAGCTCATTCAGACATGGCCAGGTGGTGGCAACAGTGAGTCTACAGGACAAAAGAGAAGGTCATAAAACTGACTCTTTATTTCATAGTCACAAGCCAGAAAGTCCCAACCCTATGTTCCTATGACGGCGAGCGCATGCAATGGGGTTATCAGACTAACCAGTCTACCCATCCGGGCAAGCAGGAGCGGCTCATCCAAGGAGTCAAGCTTTTGCTAGATGAAAGTCAGAAATTCCGCTACGCACCTGCTAGTGACTCTCAAAAAATTATCAAAGACCTGAATAAAACGCCGGTGAGGGTTGCTGGCGACTACATGGAAAAATTAGTCACCCACGCTCAGGAAGTCTTGAGACGTCGCTTTGGAACAGCGCTGCAAACGATGGACTTGGAATACATCCTTACTGTCCCCGCTGTGTGGTCCGATAAAGCCAAAGATCTTACTATGCAGGCAGCACACCAAGCTGGTATACCTCCAGCAAGTTTGAAACTCTTGTCGGAACCGGAGGCGGCTGCGGTGTGTGCAATTCGAACAATTCAACCAAATACAATCTCGGTATGGATCTCACCCCACCATGGATTGGACTTGAATAATCTGATAAATTGTAGGAAGGGGACTGCTTGGTTGTATGTGATGCTGGGGGTGGAACGGTCGTAAGTCTTCCCTATATGGAACTAGTTAGACAAAGACTGACAAGCATAATAGGATATAATTACCTATCGTGTCAAGGAAACCGACCCGTTGAGATTTGTGGAAGCTACGAAGGGAACTGGTATCTATCAAAGGCTTATCGTACCCTTGCGTATCTCTAACAGATTCCAGGTGCTGTTTGTGGCTCAGTGATGTTGGACGAGAGATTCGACGCACTTATCAAAAACATCATTGAGAAGCAGTCTCATCAATTGATTCCCCAGTCTACAGCAAGGGCTGCAAGAAGGTACTGGCACGACTACATCAAGCCTGGCTATACAGGTCCTCTCGAAGACGATGAGATGTGTGAGCTAGGATATTGGATCCCGGTTCCTGGAGTTTCGGGGATCTCGAACATCGACCTTAGTGAGGGGCACTTATATCTAGACAGGTACGTATATATATATATCTTTACTTCATTGGCTCAGCTGTGGACCGCTCTAATCTAGATACAGAGACCAAGTGAAAGGAATTTTCGATCCTATCGTTCGACAGATTGAGAAACTCGTCGCCGAGCAGAGAAAAAGCGTCAAGGCTGCAGGTTTTGCAACCAAGGTGAACCCTTACATCACTTTCAAAGGAAGCTCAATTAATTTCAATTAGACTATTATTCTGGTCGGAGGCCTTGGTGCCTCGGGGTATCTCTTCAAGCACCTACAGGCTGCTTCCGACGGCCTCCAAATCATGCAGCCTCCAAACGCGTAAGTTGTTGATCTCTTGCTAAATTAACTGGATACTGATATCGAAACAGGTGGTCTGCTGTTGCTCGGTACGTATAGAATCCTTAAAACTTGTTTTTTACTTAACAAGCCCAGTGGCGCTGTTATTCGTGGACAAAAAGGCAACCAAGTAGAGAGTCGCATTGCCCGACGCAGTTACGGCTTTAATGTGAAAGTCACGTTTGATCCAAAAAAGCACCGCGCAGACGAAACCCTCCATTGGTGTTCATATGAAGAGGAATGGAAATTGCATGACCGTATGACATGGTATATCCACAAAGTGAGTACATAACCTGCAGTTTCCAGTGACCATTCCTTCGAAGTTTTGACTGCTTACCTGACGGACTTTGAGGGAAACCCCGTGGCCGAGAGTAAGCCGATAAGGATGAGCTTCTACCGTGTGGTCGGCGTTTGTAACCCCCTAGTATTTCACGACTCATTGCGGTTTTGCCAGGCGAACAAAGCTCCCGAAATAATGGATTCCAGTATGTCCCCCCACATCGCCAATAAATATAAGCGGCCTTTTACTGACTTGAACAGGCGTCGCGAAACTGTGTGAGCTGGAGTCAGATCTCAGCAGAATCCCGAGAGAGCTTTTTACTAAGAAAACGAACTCCAAAGGGGAACAATATTACCACATCAACTATGAATTGGTTCTAACGCCAACTTCCGCATCGTTGTTGCTTGACCTACAATTCAATGGTGTCTCCTATGGGAGCGTGAAATCTCGCTATTGAATTCCACTACCGCGAGCCAGGAAAGGTATCTTTTAAGATGGCTGATTTGAAAGGGACTTGTTGCCTATGGTAGGCGTGGTTGTGCTTCTTCCAGGCTCAACCACTTGATCGCTTGAAATTGGCTTTACGATATAGTTGAGAAGATGGAAATAGCTAGCAATCCGAACCCGATATTTGCTTTGCTTGGAATAAAATACAAGATGATGTGTGCTAACTAGTTTCACACAATCTAGCATGGTAATTTGTATTGTTGAGATGGTCTCATTGTCTGACAGATCCGGCCACAACCCAGAATAACTACCTAGGTAACTAGCAAACGGATAGTTCTGGCGGCTTGTCTCGTTCTACAATACAACTCCCTTCCTCTCTCTCTCCGATCTTTCGCCTTGTGGGCTTGACATATATCGAACGGGATTGAATTCGTGAAAGCCTAGCACTGCAGGCTGCAGTAGACGAGAATGATATCAATCATCCCTGCTACCCTGGAAAACAGCCAAATGTTGCAAGCCCGAGCCCTCCAAAACATCCAACGGGGCCACGAAAGCCATCTGAGCCCATGAGAAAACCCGATTCTTTCCGCCATATATAAAGACTTCAAAGCGGCCGACAAAGACTCCATCCACCCACACACGACTTCCATATATCTCGTTTGTGGAGATAGTGACTTGTGATTTGCGGGGTATTGTCACAACCTCATGGCTTGACGTGGTCTTGTTAGCCCAAATTCGTCCAGGCTGATCTTGGTCAAACCCGTCAGCCTCAGCAACAGATCGAAGTGGGTATGGCCATCCATCAGAAACAAAAGTAAATTCACCGTCCGATGACAACGTAAGTGTCGCATCGGAGGACTGCAAAGAAAATGGACCCGTGACGTCTAGTTGGAGGGTGTAATCCATGCCCTTACTGCCATAGCCCAGATTATATTCATCCTGGTTGAACTCTGGAGTTGTCCATGAAAGCAAAAGTCCTGATCCATGGCTCCCTTCTCCTGGGAGGCGTCGGTCCAGATTCTGTCCCACAGCCTGAGAGGATAATTTTGCAATAGATTCACCCAAGCTCTGTTCGTCGAGGCGAGGTCCACGCGAACCACACCACGCTTGCGAAGCCACGACCGGGATACCATCACGAATTGCATAGTAGGCCTCAAGTTGAGTAGTTGCATCCGGACCGCTGTCATTCCAGGCAGCCAAGAGAGCACCTGGTACAGCTTTGGCATCCGGTTGTTCAGTCGTGTTCACCGGATTGAAGAGCTCCGGCGTCCACTGCCACCCGTCCTGACCGGCAAAGTTGAGAACGCGGGAATTATTGAAGAACTGAGGATATGGCGCTGGGGTGATAGGCACATGGTTGCTTTTCAGCGACATATAAGCCCACCAATCCTCGGAGTTGATGACCTTGTAGCCATTACGGGCTAGATCAACTGGATCTGATTGTCCATACTGCCAGTGTTGAATTGTCACATTCTTATCAATGGTAATGTTTGATGGCTCGTATGTCCCCCAAATACGCACACTTTTACCAGATGTTTCTTGCACGAAACGGGACATCTCGTTCACGAACTCAACATAGTCATCCGCAAAGTTGGGATCGTACTCATCGGCACCGATGTGCACTTCCTTTGTGTGGAACCAAGGAAGGAACTCGGTCCAGATGGACTTCATCAACGGAACAGTGTCCGGATGGGAAAGATTGAGCAGGTCCCTCGAGTCCAATGCGAGCTCAGGTCTCCATTTCGTAACCGTGAGACAGTGCCCGGGGCTTTCGATCTCCGGCATCACTGTCACACCTCGCTGAGCACAGTGGTGCTGGAAGTCATCAAACTCAGCCCGGGACAGTGTTTCGTTGGCACGCTGGACAAGAGGGTGAAGAGCCTCGCTTTCGGGGTGCAAAGAAAACTGCGAGTAAACCTCGTTCCAGGTCTCGTTCTGACCGCGACTTAGTGGGTAGTTGTCGGTCGCATGGTACTGAAACTCAGACATTTTGAAGAACGAGGCATAGGTGCACAAATCTTTCAAAAAGTCCAGCGAATACCATTTCCGACCAGCATCTAGCAAAAATCCACGAGTCGCATAGGCAGGCGCATCTTCCACGCGACCAGGTGGTAGGGATGAGCGTGTTAAAACGAGCTGCTGGAGGAGCGTTCGCGTCCCCCACCACATACCTCGCGCCCCGGAGCCTCGAATAAACACACTGCCATCCTGGATCTCCAACTCATATCCCTCCTCGGTCTCGCGTCCATTTTCGTAAGTAAACTGGTCCGGGTGGTCAACGCGATGGAGAAATATTCCCGACGCATGTTTTGGAAATTGCTTGACCGTGCGAAGCTCCCAGGAACTGTTCGTCAGCTCCTGTAAGTCGTCGCGAAATGTGCTGGCAAAGTCGGCCGCCGATGGTGGAAGCAGCGTCAACCCATTCTGATCCTTCCAGGTAGCGAAATCGGCATTTAGGTAGATTGTCCGATCAGTGGTTGCCCACGAAAAGCCTTTGTTATGGCCTGAGCCAGTGTTATCAAAGTGCACTGGGGGCAGGCTCTGCAGCGCAGACACGACTGCGGCAAGGGAGAGGACAATCCACTTCATGTCTGGACATTGTCATGTTGGCTGCGATGTGAACTGACCTTTTATGCAAAGCAAGGGGTTGTATTTGGCAGCGTTACATTCCTGATTGTACAGGGGCGTGGGGGTAGGGGTTTTGCGGGGAAGTGCGGAGTTCATACACCTGTGGGGTTTATATTGGCAGGGTGGTATTCGTTGGCAATGAGAACGGGAAAACCAAAGTATCAACTTCTATTGAAATATACATACGGTTATATGTGGTATATATCTCTTTCCGGCCCTTTTCGATTTCCCCCCGTTATGCTTTTCTCTTGGCAATTTGTTCGAAGAAAACCCGCTCACGATATGGTTAATGAGGAACCCTATAGATGTAAGTGAATATGCGTTCAAAAAACAGTGTTGCGGGATCATCTGCTCAAGACTCTGGTATCTTCGGGTTTACTATAGCCGCTTGAACGTGCACAGGGAGGACAAAGGTATTTCCCAGTCCCGCCCAGTGAAGCGCGTCAAGCCTTGCAAGCCCGAGTTTCACAAGTGGGAAGCTTTGGCTTTGGCACCGCAGAACCTGTAGCCAAGAGTCTACTAAATGCTTTCCCCGTATTGCATGTGCCATATTTGGAGCCTGTACCAGTAGCAACATGAGGTAATTTGAAATTGTAGCAAAGCCAATTCGCGACCCTATAATGTTAGATGTTAGCACCTAGTGAGATGAGATGGTGGAATTCAAAGGTGGTAAACTTACAAGAATACCAAAATGCCGTGAAATCACTAGACGTCAGTCGTCTCGCAAAGTTCACCAATATGGAGGCACACTTCTCGGCCGCGTGTAGAGTGGCATCGCCAGTACCAAACTCATCGGATATAGATATTTCCGGCAATGATTCGATTTCCGGAAGATCCATGAAGTCTAGCATCGACTCATCTACGGGCAATGGTGATGTGGTAGACAGATCTTCCAAGTCAAAGATAAGCGGCGGGTCGGATGATCGTGCCATCGGTCTGAGCATCGCACGGTAAACATAGACCACGAGCAACAAGTAAGCAAAATGGATCGACGTGGGGTACGGGGCAAGTCCATGGACGGATTTGCTCCAATTGGGAAGCCGAAAAGTCTCGGGGAGAGAAGAATACCAGCCATTCAACTTTTCAAGCAGCCCGCGGCCTAGCTCGGCAGAGGCGATGAAATTTGCATTCAAGAATTGGGAGGCCCGGAGCGTGCTATAAATCAAAGTCAGCAAGATTGCTCTTCGCCGGCGAACGAACAAGGGGCTCAGTTGAGAGTCAAAACTTACTAAAATGTGTCATGGATCTCTTCACCGATTCGTGTGAGATTGACGAGGTATCGGAAGGGAATCTCGGTATCACAAGAACTAGTTGAGAATCCTTGTCGTGGGCCCACTAGAAAGTCCCCTTCATCCAATTCACTCACGTCCCACTCCGCGGGATGGATATATGGTGGACGTCCCATCAGCAAACTGCGCCATTTGTCTTCGGCATACACAGCCCACCACAACCGCCGCCGGAGGCGCTTTTCCCATGCCGGAATGCCCCACATGCGGCATTCGATGTGAAGGCCGAGGGAACATGCCAACCCAACGATTTGGCCGACGAAGGACCACAAAAAGGGGGTATCGGCGGTCGTCAGGCGAGTTTCATCTTTTGGCTGTTGGTGTATATATAACAACGCTGCTTGCAGCACGGCCAAACGAGGACTATGAATCTCTTCGGTCACGAGTTCATAGACCATCCGCCACAAGGTGTCAACTGGTGACGCATTATATGTGCTCAGTACACAGAGATAGTCATCATGGGCCACAAATGGAAATGCCGATGCGTAGATGGCCGCGAGAAGGTGCACGGGCACCTTTTCTAACACCGACAGATCTGGCAGCTGATATGTCGGTGCAGTCAACCCTAGTTGGGAACGGGAAATGATTGGCAAGGCAGGAAAGACATACTTGACGAACCTGACTTTCGGTTAGTTCATGGATGCTTCAGTCTTATATTGAGGGGTAGTACTCACAAAGCTACTAGCCTCCTTCCATATTCAGGGGGTACTAGATAGTTCAGGCGTTCCCGTGTCGCTTCGCCGACGCCGGCACTAGTTTCATGCTTAATGGAGGTGGTGAGCTCTTCTGATGAAATCATGAAATGTATTGGAATTCTTTGTGCCGTGGGGACACCACCGGCGTTGCGAAAGTGCACTTTGTAGAAATATTTCATGCCAGAATCGTCAAAGCAACAATGTCTTAACAGCCAAGGGTCTGATTCTGAAGATGCGCCGAAAAGCTGGGCGTGACCGTGTTCCAGTTGATCAATGCTTTGCACGAACTGGGTCGGGGGTCTTCCGGGGGCTAGAACACCGGAGCTTGGAGATACCCCAGTATTACTTGGATCGAGGCCGATGGGTGGGAATCGTGGTTCGACACTTTGTGTTCCACTCCCTGCCCAACTGGACTCGCGGGTGAAATTGTTGTCGCATGCTTGCGAGACAAGTGTGTTCCCATCAACACTTTGGGCGGCGAAGGAAGAAAAATCCTCTGAGCCTCTGGCTCTTTTCGGTGGAGGATTATCGAACGTACACTCCAGTTTGGCCGATCGGCATCGTTGACAGGGGCCTCCGCCGTCCGTTTGACAGCCCAGCTTGCGGGCACGGCATTGATCACACGGGCGCTGACGTTTTGACCGATATGGCCGAGCAGAAAGAGGAGAAGACATGACTTGTTTCAGCTGATCGGCGAACGCAGGGAATGTAGGCTAATGCACATTTATCAGGTCATGCCAGTGAAGAAATTGTCGGCGAACGAAGAACAATGGTCGGCCGAGATGAATGGCCGAACTCACAGGCAAGAAAATTCCAAACTAGGGCAGTGAGCAAAACAATAATGTTGCCCGAGAGATGCGAAAGATGCCCGAAAGTGAGCTCCATCGCCCACCATCCGGGGCCCGGGGGCACCGTGCAGTGACGTCATCCGCCGGTCCCGGCGAACTGGCTGTCGGCGAACGCAGATAGTGGCCACAGTTCGGCATACAATGAACCGCCAACAACTAATTCTTTCGATGCAAATTTTTCCTTCTCAGTAACAGATATAAATGGCCTGGATATCTGGGCTGCAAAAATATTTATGTAAATTAAAAACATATAATTCGAACAGAAAGGCATTGCTTAATTATTCAAAACCAAATCTCAACACTCCACTTCCGGAATATCAATTTATCATACCACCAAAATGCCTCAAAGCAGCAGATTGAGCCGATACGATCACCTCAAAGCTATCTTTTCAAGACGGTCTAGCCAAGAACCCGAGATCAAGGATGATACCACGTCCGAAACTACACTGGTCCCACAGTATGTATCCCAACCCAACTATGGATAGAATAACAGAATATCAAAATGCTAACTCATTATAGACGGACACAAGCAACAAGCTACAAGAAGCGTGACATCCCCCAGAATTATAATGGTAAGCACCCTGACCCTAAAATAATGACATGCAACATCAGCTAATGGGGAAACGTTGTCCAGCGGCCGATATGTGCTTCGGCTCTTGCTGCAGAAATTGATAGATGTACAATCATCTCGGTGACAATCATATAGCCGAACAGAGGGTACTAAAAGCATTTTGATACAACATTTTGGGGAAACGAACATATTGAACCCCCTGTTATAGAAACTTCATAATTTATAATTTATCAACATCATTTCTTTTTTTCCCTTTATTCCTATATTTTCTTTTTTTCCGAATGTGTCGAGTTGGGAGTTGAGGATGACCTAGTAGGTTAGAAACGATAAGATCAACTGATAGCTTGTATGGGTGTACAGTGAGTGTATGAATAGACGTAGGGGGCTCGGCATGAGCGGCAAATTGTGGTTCAGCATTTCTTCTCTCCCCCTTGTTCTAGTAAAAAAGAACTCTCACGAGTGGACTCTGCTATGATTCTATAATCTAGGCAAACTAGGAGGAGTGTGGTGATATAAATTCCAAACTGTTTCTCCGCACAGTAAACCGGGGGAGCGGGGTAAAGCAAAATGCATATAATTGTACTGTTTGGACTTGTATCTGGATTCTGCCATGTTCAGTGCGTTACGATCGACATTGAACTGCATAAATTGTGTGTATCCCATTGGCAACTGTATGTAGTCTCCCAATAAAACCCCTAACACCCTTGATTCCCGATGAAAATGGCCGATCATGCTCTTCCGCTTAGGCGACCGAGTTCCGAGCTAAACACATGAGGGGTTTAATCGAAGCTGCGGGGCCCCAGATAGATCATCGATTAAGATCAAAACTAGCTGCTTCCTCGAGCTATTTCTTAATAACGCAATAGAAGCTGCCAAGTGCTAATCTTGTATTTGGTCATTCCGCTTGTCAACATCTACAGCTCAGCACAGTATGATTTTTGAACCAGCAGAGAGGGTTCTGCTTCCAACAAGCGACCTATTGTCCTATATCTTTGACGAGCCACCATATGACCAAGACCAGCCAGTGGGTGATAACCAGTATTTCAACTTTATCATCAACCAGCGAGCGAACTGACCTTGGTAGATCTATGTCGACGTCAACAATCCTACTCGGTCGATCTCCTGTAACCAGGCGCGAAAACTCATTCGTCGGCTCATCGCCGGCCTACGGGCATCTGGACTCCAAAAAGGCGACTGTGTTCTCATTCATTCTTTCAATGATGTATGGGGGTTCCACCATGCAGTTGAACGAGGTTACGGGATGCTGACTTAGTTTAGATAAATTATAGCATTCTTGTCTTGGCCATTATCGGAGCTGGAGGATGTTTCACAGGCTCTAACCCATCTTACACTCCACATGAGCTCGCTCACCATATCAAGGCCTCCGAAAGCAAATTCCTTTTCTCCGAGCCCGAGATCTTGGATTCTCTCATGCGTGCGGCTGGGGAGGCAAATTTACCCAACCAAAATATTTGGATTTTTGACAATTTGGGACAATCTATTCCAGATGGGATGCGATCATGGAAACAGCTATTAGAATTCGGCGAGGAGGATTGGGTGCGATTCAACGATCTAGAAACCTGCCAACAGACTACCGCGGCGAGGCTGTTTAGCAGTGGCACGACTGGTCTGCCCAAGGCCGTGACAATCACGCACCACAATCTCATTGGACAGCATGAGCTTGTCCATGGCGTAAATCCACGCTCTTACCCTGTCAGTTTATTCCCAGTATCAGCTTGGAGGAAGCATTGGCAAATAAGTGCGATGGTATCACTGACAACTGACATGCTCGGGTAGATTTCGCGGGTCATTGCGGTACCCATCTTTCATGCATCTGCAGCTCCAGTGGCGCATATTTCAACTCTGAAAGCTGGCTCAGTCGCATATATGATGCGTCGGTTCGACCTTGAGACATACCTCACTACGGTCGAAAAGTACAACGTCACCGATCTTGCTCTGGTTCCACCGATCGTAATAGCAATCCTCATGTCCCCTCTTTCTCAAAAGAAACCTTATCTGCGCGGAGCCCGAAACGCAGGCTGTGGAGCGGCTCCTTTGGATAAGAACGTCCAAGCCAGGTTCCGCTCACTGATGGGTGACGGCGCCCCATTTACTCAGGTATGGGGCATGACTGAAACATCGTGTATAGCTACCATGTTTCCCCACACTGAGCACGATGATACAGGATCTGTTGGCCGACTTATCCCAAACCTTGAAGCCAAGTGCGTTACATCCAATTCCCATCCCAGATGTGTAGCATTGTGTCAAGTCCAAGACTAATATCCATTTTCCCTCAGACTCATCGACGAAGAAGGAAAGAATATCTCGGCATTTGACGTCCGTGGCGAGTTGTGTGTCCGAGGTCCAACAGTGACACCCGGGTACTTCAACAATCCCGAGGCTAATGCCGAGGCCTTTGACTCTGAGGGTTGGTTCAAAACGGGAGATATAGCCTATTGTGACCAGCGCACTCGCAAATGGTATATTGTGGATCGCAGGAAGGAACTGATCAAAGTCCGCGGCTTCCAGGTGGCCCCACCGGAGCTCGAGGCGGTGCTCTTCTCGCATCCGCAGATTGTGGACGCGGCCGTCATCGGAATCACCTTCCCTGGTGCTGATACCGAGTATCCGCGCGCCTATGTGGTTCGACGACCCGGTGATTTAGGGTCCAAGCTAACAGAAGCTGAGATTCAGGAATATGTCTTGAGCCGCCTTGCGAAATACAAAGCGCTCACAGGTGGCGTGAAATTTGTCGGCGCCGTTGCACGGAACCCAAGTGGGAAGATCTTGAAGAGAATATTGCGCGAAGATGCTAAGAAAGAAATCGAGGCTGGGCTTTTGAAGGCTAAGCTTTAAGCTTAGGGCTTAGAGGTAGAATAATTCGCTAGCATGGCTTTTTGATTCTTTATTTTTGTGTCAATTGATGATTGGGTAAATAATTCAGCGAAACGAGGTCCGACTAAGCTCGACAGGTGACACAGGATATAATTGTAACCAGGAGAAATGAACAGACGCCGCAATACTATAGGTTCTTGACCAAGCGAATCAATATTTCTTGGGTACTTGTACGAAGGAAAATGGGACTGCCCGAAATAGCAGGGTTGCTAGGTTTGGTCGAGATAATTTGATGTCAGGATTTCTTGCTTAAGGCCGGGAAAGGGCACATGAAGAATGCGGCACACCGGGGGCATTGAGAAGCACTAGAGAAGGGAAAAAAAAGCGAAAAAAAAGTCATCGCCCGGAGGCGATCCGGCAGCTCGAGATCAAACGGCACTCGAACTGAGGATGGGGGTTTCCAAACAAGCAGTACGCCAATTGTCGCCAACGACAACCGCTTGGCCCAATGCCCACCCATCCATACATTTACACGGGGCAGCGCAAAGTATCACGCGAAATAAGCACATTCATAAAACAGGAACTGTGACAACAACCCTCTCCTTCCGTTGTAAAACGCTACGTTTCACGACGGAACTACGCTATCCTGCTTTGACATCTTACTCTTTCGCGAGGGTGTACACGCCACCATCTCTTTCAAAACTTCGAATTTGTTCAACGCGTTGAGGGCTGGGGCGTCTTTGACGCCGAGGTTTGTTATGTTTAAGCAGGCCAAGAAATGTCTAGTATCCCTACTCAGCCCTATTTGCTAAATTGGCTCAATATCAGGTCCCTTCAACTGGTATATTTAGTTAGCACTTCGATCACCGAAGTCCCAAGTTTGCATGAACCCAAAGTGGGGAAATGTGGAGAAGCCGAGTTCCGCGGCAAAGCATATCTTAGTTCAGCGGGGTAAGTGATGTGCCGCATACCCCATGGATGAACAAGGTATTAGATTGGAATGGCATAGGTCTTTGGAACTGGACCATTGCTATGGGATATCTTGATATGTTCATATTTGGCCCTTTTAAGCCATTGGAGCTAGATTCTCGAACCAATAGACGCTTGCAGTTGGCTTCCGAGCTGCTAGCCACTGCGATAGGAGGCCGGTCTTTGTGTGTCATTGTCTCCGATCAAACCACAGCCTAGGTAAAGTGAGTGGAGGCTAACAGATGGTAGGAATTAGATACTAGGTAGGAAACCCTTGGACCATCGAGGCCATCGAGAGCTAACAACGCTAAGGACGTCAGGACCCACATGACAAATAAGTTTGCATAGATGGCTCCGGGATGAGATGTCCGTGAGATACCCGAGTCGGCTTCTTCCAACGTTGGTGGTCCGACCACTGATCATTCCCCGGACCCCAGACCTGGGTTTCACCTGAACCCTGCTCAAGTTATACCCACCCCGACATCAAAGAAACTGGATGTTATAAACAAAATGTTGCGTCGCACAAGAAGAGCGTCAAACGCTTGCTCCTGGTGCCGTCATCGCAAAGTGCGCTGCGATGCATCAATCCTCGGCTCTCCGTGTACCCGGTGTCGACAAGACGGTCGCAGGGAATGTAATCTTCGCGCTAAGAATCCTAAACAGTGAGACTATGATCGGAAGAGATGTGTCAAGCGCCCATTTCCTGACCTCTATTAGGTCCCCAATTTCGACAAATCCGGTGCTTCCCACGCATCAAAGTTCAGGGTCAAACAGCGTGATCACTAGCCGACACTCCAACGACCTGCGCCAGTCAAATGATCATCCAACTCTTACCTTACAGTCCCGAGCACATGGTCTCAGTTTGGATGACCGTGGCACAAGCCCAGCCCAATCTCCCAATGTTCCATATACTGAATACGCCTTTGTCGACTCGCAACAATTGCTGTCGCTCCCCTCCGAAGAAGTAGCATTTCTCACATCCCAAGACTGCTTGAGCTTGCCAGCCTCTAATGCTATGGATGAATTTGTCCAAGAGTACTTCAAGCGCATTCACCCCTCGATACCTGTCTTAGACGAGGCTGAGTTCTGGCGCATTTATCGAAACAACCAATCTACCGATCCCAAAATATCTCTTTTAGTGTTACAATCATTGCTTTTAGCAAGCTGCCCGGTCAGTGTCATATTGTCTGTCCGATAACTTCCGCCCTTGGACTAAACCATGAAAGTTCGTGTCTTTAGAAACATTGCGTCAATGTGGATTTGACGATATGAGGGATGCACGAAAGCAGCTTTACAACAGAGCCAATGTAGGCATCCCCAAATCCAATGTCACATTTGCCGTGGACAGGTATTGATCGCGCTGGGTGCAGCTACTATTCGAACTGAGAACCGAAAAACGACATCATACAACTGCACAAGCCGCTGTTCTACTTACACATTATACCTCTGCGGAAGAGCCCCAGGCTGGAAGCTTGTGGGTCACAAGGGCCATAGAGCACGCCGTGCTCATCGATGCTCAATCATCCTTGTTGGTAGAAAATGTGGCAATCTCGCTCAAGAAACGACTTTGGTGGTCTATCCTTCTTCGTGACCGAAGCTTGTGTATTGGCCTAAGCCGCCGTCCTCAGGTTACCTCAATGAGCTTGCATGGGTGGAGTGATTGGCTGAGTACAGACGATTTCAGTGAAGAGTTGTATCAGTCTCAAGTCTACGACTATGATACCAAGAAGCGTTTACTGGAGGCACTTCAAAAGCAATGTGAGCTAGCAGTGCTACTCACAGATCTGGTGTCTTTGGCATTCAATCACGAAAAGACTCCAAGACGGCTTCTGTCTATGATTGAATTTCAGGGCCTCTTGTCGGGTATACAAAATATCAAAAAGTCCCTTGACGAGTGGAAAATGCCAGACCAGCCTCTAATTTCACCAACGAAAACATCAACGTCGGAAGGCCTTGACCCAGTTGCGATGTTGGCTTACATGACGTATATGTACTACCAGTTCGTGAGCCCCTTCCACCCCACTGTCTTAAAAACTAACCAAGTGGCTGTCTATTTCTAGCACGGCACGAGTGAATCTAGCTCAGCATGCGGCATTTGTACTGGAAGAGAATTTGTTCTACGCGGGAGAAACATATGACAATCTGGTTCTAGAGATCAGTAATGACCTAAGGGATGGGATTCGGGGGTTAAGTCTTGTGATGGAACATTTCAGTATCAATGGATATGCTGATAGTCTTCCCTTGAGTGTGTGAGCATCCCCTTCATCTTTCTTCATTCATTTTGTCACGGGAGTGTTTCGGCGCTAGACGCTAATATGAACGGCAGACTTGGATACGTCAGCATGCCACTCGTGCTGGCAGCTATAGATCTCAAGCTATCCCCTTCTCATAAAGAGATGGAGGTAAGACAACGACGATTGACCTCGCTGAGTCAAATTATCCGTCACTCGGAGACACTATATGATGTCACTGATCGCGTCGCTGTCGCGACCAACCATATCCTGCAGCTTGCCTATGCGACAACACAGAATCTGTTCTTTGAACAGAAACCACGTCAATTACTCTCATCTGACAACATAATGGCGAGAGAGAACTCTTTATCCAGCAGCCGATGTCCGGCTAGAGCCTCCAACAAATCAATGTTGCCCAAGCCCAACCGCCCAACGAGCTGGCAAGATGCGTTCATTCGGTGCCCGAGGGCATATCTTTTGATATCGATGTCTGTGGACTATACCATGGCAACTGGCAGACTTCCATCCGCTAGTAGTCTTCCTGAAATCGTTCGTGATCTTCCCGCGATGGGCATTATTGGTCGACTTCCCTGGACATCTGATATTCCGTTCACCGAATCCACGAGCTCACTTGCAAGCCACATGAACCAAATACAGCAACAGATGTACCCTGTGAGTGTGCGTTCGTCCTCCGTCAAAGGGAGAGATGTCTTGAACCCCATCGATATTGAGACCGAGTCGGAGAAGAGCCTTACCCCGCAAACGGTCCAAATCAACTGTAACTCGTCACCAGATGAGTTTTCCAAGTATCCTGCAACACCTTCCTTCATGTTAGATAAGCAACTGCAATACATCAACAGAGTAGCGGAGCAAACAACTTACGAAAATCACGAACCGAACCTGGATTTCATGGACTTTGGAGATTGCCAGAGTGTATCAAACAATGCGACAGAAACTTGTGCATTGAGGATTCTACTGGGACTTATCGGTCACGACTTGCCTGCCGAGAGCCTGTTGGAGCAACCCTATGGTGCCACCTTACCCTAGTTGATCAAAGCGATTGACTCGACACTTTCCGACCTTTCTTTCACGAGGCATTTGAACAGAACTGGGCCGTTCGATAGCGCAGACTTTGGCTAAAAAAATGATATGAACATTCCTGAAACAAATCATTAAAATAATGGCAGTATCTTCAACAAAACCTCGATCTCCTAGTTAGTCTGGTGGAGTTTAAGCACATTCCCGGAGCCAGCGGCAGAAACAATTATGAGATCTCACACATTACCAGGTATGGTTTTACTTTTGCATGAAACTCGCAGCATGATCTATGAACCTCTAGGGCTCACCAAGGAACCAGTGTTCATGCATCTTTAGGCTCGTTTTCATTTTGGTCAGGCATCAGTCGGTAATATATGTATGCGGCGAAAACTAAAGCCTGGGTCTAGACACCACGCAGGACCAACACGCGAGAAAACTGTATGCAATGCAAGCATTTCCCCGATGATTCCTCCGACAACCCGAGCTTGGCAATCATTAATCAACTGACGCAATTCCTTGGCGAAGAGTGTTACGAGTCTCACTTTGTGGATTCCTGTTATTGCAGCAAGGGCGGAAAGTGGGTGTATCCAAGGCATCAGGAATTATCCACAAGGATCGACATTCTCCCCACGCCGAGAACCCTTCTCAGAGTGGCGCAGCCTTAGCGGAACTTTGGGCTATCCCTTCAATGAACGGGGGCTGGGGTACCCCGGCAAATTATTTACGATGCTTAAAGTTAGGATCTCCCTTCGAGATAAGAAAATTGACACACAGCCGTGACAACATCCAACTGGCGGAAAGCCTCAACGTGGCATTGACATCGGCATCCCCACTTAACCCTTCACCCTTGCCGTCGGGCCTTGTCCTTTGTAGATGGCAAATATCAAGACCGTGAGCTGAACTACACACCTAGCTATACTTCCTGTGTGTTACAATATGTTGCATATAACCAAACCTACATAGTTACCTCTACCAATGTGATAAAACTTTCGACTAGATCGTGACGAGCTAATTTGACCATCGAGAGAAATCGGCTTGTACGGAGCTTAATATCCACTTGGCAGCAATTGAAGTAAATCGGGTCTTCAACTGCATCCTTGGTCTAGGATGATCAGGTGGTGATGTCACACTCACAGCAGGGAGAACGGTTAAACATGGTTTCAAGCCAAAACACTGCCCAGTCGGCGGGCTGGCCAATTGGAGGTGAACCAAAGACATCTCCTTGGCATTATCACGTCTTGTTGGCGGCGCCATGGAGCGACTGACTTTCCTAGTCTGAAGATAACAACATCATGGGAAGGAATATGATTTCTCACGCCTTGGCATATAGTATTGCTTTTTTCTCGGATGGAAATATTCAATTATCTTGCCATTGAGCCCAACAGTGGTCTTATTCTTTTTTCGTTTTTGCGAAATCTCAACTTCAAACAGCCACAAAATTCTCCAATATAATCTCTCTTGTGCTTCTCCTTTTCGAGTTGGGCATTGAATCCTGTAGCCCACATATCCATTACAAGGAGGCTATGCCAAGATTTGATCCGTACTGCTGACGGAGTGCCTGAACCGCTCTCTAGTTACCGTACGGATCAACCTAGTGAACGCCAAGATCCAGTATTCGAGGCTGTGTTATCGGAACCTAGCCGTTGGCGTGCGTAGATAAGACTATGTAGTGGTGAACCGTTGATGCTGATGGAGATCGTTCTTGGCGACTAGTCTTACTGCAGCGATTTGGGGGCCCCGAACGGACTAGTGTCAGTGGATACGTCGATCCCTTGGCAAATAAACTCTACCTTTCATAACTTTGGGGTTTTCAGGGGCCAGAACAAGCGATACATACTCTCTAAGACGCCATCTCAACCAGGTGGTTGCATATCAATCCGATAAACACAGGGGCAGGCGAGTTTAATCGACGTGATGACAAGTCACAATAGTTCCAAATTTAAATACGGTCGATTGCCGCGCATTGATTTTGCAAATATAACCAATCAATGCCATAACGCATAACCATGCCGCCAAGAAATAATGTGAGGAAATGCTGCGGATTGCTTCTTGGAATGGAAGCAGCCTAGGGATCGGGTCTTGACGGGCTCCACTGAGCCAGGGTAGATCCTGAATCCCCAGCTTCCGAGGTCGTATTATAGTTTGATTTCTAATGGAGTCTGGGGATGAATTACGCATGCAGCGGAAGATAATTATAGCGCCAAGATAACGCCCAGATTCTGCTAAGATAGGATCTGTGAGATCACCTCATTTTAGGATGGGTATTCATATTGGGCTACTCATTTTATGATGATTGCCCATGCGATGTGATCTTGGTAAGTGATAATCGACGTTATAGTACTTGCATACGCACAGTATATGTGGAACGAAGAGCCGTATTGGGTAGATCTAGATTGAGTAGTTTGGCTCCCAATGTATCCGTCGGCGGTGTACTCCGTAACACATACACGAGACGCGTAGGGATGGGGCAAGTATTATTGTTTCATGTCATCGGCGTGTTTTCTTATCTCTCTTGGCGAAGATTCAGCTTATTCCTTTCATGGAGAGGATCGGAACGGATCCGAAAAATAGATCAGCATTAAAGAAAGGTGTACTCCGTATCTGTCGTGTCTATTTTGGAAATCTATTCCTTTTCATATTGACACAGCTAAAGTGGAACCTTTTAAGCTTGATTCTGTTCATAATCAGCTTATCCGACTCGAATAATATATACACATTTACAATAATCCGAACATGCACCACCGGCCCCCTTCCCCGTCGGGATATATCGAGCCACTCACACCCACAGCCCACCCCGCCCCTGAGAACCGTTCTATCTACCAGACGGAGTTAACAATCGCAAATTCTCGTTTTGAGCGGCCCAATGAAGAATTCAAATACACACCGGGCATTTGGTCTTCTGGGGGCAGCACAGCAGTGTCTCTCTCTGGCAACCAGACACCAGAAGACAACACGGTCTGCTCAACTATTTCCCGCCACTTCCGAGCAGACATAGACACCACACATACCGATATTCCTCTTATAATATGCGGGTTCGTTGGTGGTTTGGTCGATGGGCTATCATTTAATGCATGGGGCAGCTTTTCAAGTATGCAAACAGGTACGTGGAGTCTATAGTTACCGAGGAATTTGTTACTACGGTGCAAAGTACATCGGCTAATGACAAACGACACAGGAAATACCATCTTCCTAGCCTTGGGTGCCTCCGGCCAGCCTGCAAACCCAGCTTATCTCTGGGCGAAGTCCCTGATCGCCCTGACCGTCTTCCTTGCGAGCAATATCATCTTCATCCACATGCATCGACTCTTGGGGCCACGACGCCGCTCAACTATGATAATCTCATTTGCCATTCAGACTATTGCCCTTTTGGTGACAGCAATTCTTATCGAGCTGGAGATCATCACCCCAAAGCCCGAGGACCCCCGGGCTCCGATCGAATGGGTGCAAGTCCTGGCCATCTCACTTCTAGCGTTCCAAGCAGGAGGACAGATCTGTGCTTCACGGGTCTTGGCCCTAGATGAAATCCCAACTGTTGTTGTGACGGCTTTGCTATGCGATCTACTTGTCGATCCAAAGCTGACTGCAAAATTCAATCCTAAGCGCAACCGTCGAGTAGGGGCTTTTCTCGCATTGTTTCTGGGCGCCATGACCGCGGGCGGACTTTCTAAGACCACGAGTATGGCGTCTAGTATATGGCTTGCCATGGGTCTGAAGTTAATAGTTACCTTGGGGTGGGTTGTTTGGCGGCGAGAGGGGAGGAGAAAGAATGATTTCGATGTGTGACTTGGCCTTGTTTATTTTTGCGTCGCCTATTCAAATAGGCATGTACACGAGCCTACGATACTGTCAAGTAAAGCTTCATTTGCTTTGTTGAAATACCCAGTCACTTTTCGTGGCCTGTTACGTCAATCTGTTCTTCTTCTTTAGCTTGTTCATTCTGCGATTTTGGTACCTATTCGAAACACCTAGCACATGGATACATGGGTAGGTACATGCGCAGTATTCATCATGTCGCCCTTCTCTCCACATCAGCCTCGATGTCGCAGACCTTGCTATTGCCACACTCACCTCCGCAGCACTTGCCATCAAGGCCTCACGCAAACAGCTCGCCAGATCATCATAAAAGTCAACTCCGCATCATACGCCCTTATCACTAAGCAAACTACGTCGCGCAGTAGGTAGCATCTCACGACCTTCGAGCTGGCATCCCTGCCACGTCCGAAGCTGGAGCTCAGGCGCACGGCGTTGGGGAAGTTTGGGGAGGGGGCCACGTTTCCATCGACGCACCCAGCAAATCTTCTCACGTCTCTTAACACAAGGTCCAACTTTACATTCCTAGGCACCTCTTGGACCTCACGCTCGCACACTCACAAGCTCACCTCATCGGCTAGTTGTGGGATCTGAATCTCTGCCAACATCCGCCGCTCAGTGTAACAAGCGGTTGAGCCTTGACGTCACTAGCCAGCGTGCATACAACATGCGCATATATCCAACTCTGTCCAAGTCTCGGGTTACACACGATTGAGTCTCCGTTATGGCGTCACACACTTCTTCGTTACCGATACTCACGTCGAATTTCATAACACAATTCTTCCTCTTCCCGATTCGCCAACCGAAAGTTCTTGGAGGTCGTTCCCATTCTGGTCGTTGAGGCTCACTTTGCCTCTTGGTCTATTAATCTCAAAGTTAAACTCTCCCACTTACTTAACGGTTCCTACGCCAAGCTAGTCATTATCGACACGACTCAGCCTACCATAACTTCCAAGATTCCAATTGCAGCAAGCCTTATGTTCAGCCTGAAAACAGCATCCAACGATCCGATATCGTGGCTTTCACGTCTGCCAATGGCTACACCGAGGGCGTAATCGCTCACAGTCTGATCTGTTTACAGATTTCAATTACATCTCACAAATTATATATTCGCACAGCTCAATTATCTCTGAAAAACTACATAATACGGGGAACTCGGTTATTAGCTCTCACATTCCCCATGGTTTCACATTCCGCAT